CTAACCCTAACCCTAACCCTAACCCTAACCCTAAGAAAAGTCGTTTACCCCTGATTTAGCCAAAGTAGGGTTAGGTGGGACAGCCTTGTAACCCCCACCCCCTGTCCAAGGGTTACTCTTTTTTCACGTACCTCACTCAGACATAGGTGATTTTTTTGTTTTGCTCCTGGGACAGCTCCTACAACGCGCCAACCCCTCATTTTTTCGCCTTAATCAACCGGGTAGCCCTCAATTCACGCTTTCCAATGAAGTACGTCTCGTTGTATAACCCCGGTCGCTTCGTCTGGGCAGTACGGAGTAACCCTAACCCTAAGTGAATCTGTCTCAAACTTGCCAGAAATGCGCCCGGACGCCCCCTTTACCCTTAGGAGTGGTCCCTCAGTCCATATCCCCCTTTGGCCCTGATCCGGCCAAAGTAGGGTCAGGTGGGACACCCTTGTAACCCTACACTCCCTCTAGTTCAAAAGTCGCTTGCCCCTGATTTAGCTCAAGTAGGGTTAGGTGGGACAGCCTTGTAAGATAGGACGGATTTTTAGGACGATCAGGACGGGCTTGGACGAGTTTGTGGGACGGCTTGGGACGGGCTGGGACGGATTTTCTGGACGAATGGGACGAATGGGACGAGTTTCCCAGACGGACAGGACGGGCTGGGACGACTGAGACGAGCTGGGACGGATTTTTCACTTGTCTTTGTGCGATCTTTTTTGTTCATTTACTTGCGAGGGCGCTGGTCGTCGGAACCTTCAGAAAGAAGGTATGTATGGAGCCGGCAGAGCTTCGCCCTTTCCGCGCATTCTTTTGGGGCCAGCGCACTTCCAGCGGATCAAGCAACACCTTTGCAACGGCTGGACGGGCCGTGGACTGGAAACGACTGACTTTCGCACCTTTACCTTGGCCAATGCCGATCATCACGACATCTTTTCTCCGCAGAACGTGCCGGTGCTGCAACGCTTCATAGAGGAGACGGAACTGCAGAGACGATTCTGAGACTTCTGTTCAGAGAGAAGAGCAAGAGCAAAGACGATGTTTGAGTGCAGAGAAGAAGTTTTGCGACGCCACGCTCGTGCTCGGTCGAATCCCAGAGTCCAAGGGCGATGCCGTTGATGGTTGAGTTCGGTGCGAAAAGTAACCTTCGGCCCGACTGGAGAAACGAAATACATGCGGCGCGCCAGCGGGACCGCGTGCCGGCGGCCGCATCGACGACGATTTTCCAGCTCGGAGCTTATTCGGAAAGAAAAAATCGGTGGATTTACAGTCCGAGATCTCTCGCCGACAGAAGCAGACTAGCGTTTCTTTCTGGTGCGGATCACACGCAGGACAGGAGGTTCATGGCTGCTGGGTGGCCGGTGAGTCACCGTGCTCCTTTTGCTACCGAAAAAGCTCCGACCTGTGTTGAATGCCGCTTTGCCTGCATCGGACGGGGAAGGCTATATAAGCCACCGAGTGGGTCGAGAGACCTCGACGGCATCCCCTGCGCGCAAACAAGAAGAAGCAAAGATGCTGCTGTCTACCCACTTGCTCGTATTCCTCTCCGCCTCTCGGCTCCTGGTCACTGGCCGTCCGCTGTTGTCCAGACGCGGTGCGAGTGCTTCCATCTACGGCGATAACGCGACGGCCCACGGACCTCGCAACGACCTCCCCTATACCTTCGCACTGCCACAGGGTGTGAAAGAGGGACAGGTCGCCTCGGGCGACCAAGGTCTGCTGCAAAATCTTCTCGCGGCGGAATGGATCGTCGACGGGCTCTACAGAGCGGGCATGAAAACGTTCAAAGCATCCGATTTCGTTGATGCCGGCTTTCCGACGGACACCTACAGCCAGCTGAAGGCCGTCTACGAAAACGAGAATGGCCATCTCAGAGTGTTTGAAGACGCAATTGCCTCTACGAACATCAAACCAGGTCGCTGTCAGTACCTGTACGGCTTCGAAGACATCAAGAACAGGACGCTCCAGGTGCAAAAGTACATGGTCATCGTCTCGGAAATTGAGATCGGCTCGATGGCCTATCTCACAGGCCTGGCACAGCAGGCAGAGAGTGCGGAAACCCTGGCCACAATCATGGGCACGATCTCGGCAGAGACCCGCCATCTCACATTCGTAAATGGCCAGGTCCTTAGGATCGGCAGTTTCGTCGGACCAACCGACACCGTCTATCCTTGGCCGCTTCAGATCCTCTCGACCACCAAGCAGCTGATCGTACCAGGCAGCTGCCCCAAACAGAATCCCGAGTACCCGAGCCCAGACCAGAAGCTGCCCAAGCTGTCCTTGAACACGTCGGCCTCTGACATCAAGAGAGCAAACGGAACAATGAACATCGCGTTTGCCAAGCCAAGCGGCGGCGATCTGCCCCCGCTCCAGCGGTCCTCGCCAGAAGCAAGCAACCTGCACGCCATCTTCTTTAATAGCCTGTTCAACTACACTGTCAAGGCAAGCTTCTTGGAGGACGGAAGCATCTTCGTCAACATGCCCACGTTGACGGCCAATAACGGCAACCTGCTCGTGGCTATTGCCAATACCTCGAACGTAAGGAGCAAGGAAGACATTGTTGCTGGTCCCCTGCAGGTCCAGCTCGGGGCGGTCAGCTAAGAGCAGCAGCCATTTCACTCGATCTTAGTATACATCATGTTGCACACCTTCTTGATCTCGCTAAAAGCCAGTAATGGAGTTTCTCGGGCCACGCGTGACCCTGCTTGCATGCCCGAATGAGAGAGGAGAGAGAAGAGAGAGAGGATCTAGTCTTCGCTCTGAAAATCACCAATCAAATTGATCCCCTATGTGGTTCTCAGTTGAGTCACTCGGTACTCTTCTCAAATCGCGTACCCCTCCGTCGCACGAGCGGGTCGTCGAGGCCGGGGATGGAGATGAAGCCGGGGAGCCTCTTGATCGACTCGATCCAGGCAAGCACGTGGGGGTAGCGCTTGAGGGAGATGTCGCCCATGGGCGCCAGGGCGATGTAGACAAAGTTGGAGATGTCGGCAATCGTCGGCCGGTGGGCCACCAGCCATCCGCCCTGCTTCTCCAGTTCGCCATCGATGATCGCCAGCGATCTGTGGCCGCGCTCCTTGGCGTCCCGGAGCCGTGCAGCCAGCAGTGCGTCGTCGTCGGTGTTCTGACCGAGGCCGTTGTAAGGCCCGCCGTAGGACAGGATCGCCCGTGCGGTAAAGACGCCGTGCTGCACCCATCCATTGGCAAAGGCGAGCCACTCGATGATTTTTGCCTGCTCCAGGAGATCTTTGCCGTAGTAGGACGACGGCCCACTGCCCTGCTTTCCGTCGTCGCCGTACACGGCTGAGAGGTAGGTGAGAATCGAGGAAGAGTCAGTGAGCACGACGTCGCCCAGCGTGATGGTGGGCACCTCGCCCTTGGGGTTGATCGCGCGGAACGACGCGCTCTGCTGCTCGAGGTTGAGAAAGTCGAGGTCTTTCACCGTGTAGTCGACCTTGAGCAGCGCCAGCAGCAGGCGGACCTTGTAGCTGTTGCCCGACTCGGGCCAGCTGTAGAGCGTGAGCTGGTCAGACATGGTGCCTGTGGCTTGCGCTGTCTCGTATCGCGGATCTGGCTCTGTTGCCCCCCTCTTGAAGGTTCTCCCTGGCCTTGCGGCGGGCAGAAGGCGCGCAACTGAGCAAAAAGGAGGTGAGAAGAAGGCCCATATAACTAAAAGTGAACGGGAGCGATAGCGCAATCCGAGGTGGAGCTGACACCACGGTCAGAAGTAGAAAAAAATGCAGGTGCGATGTGGGATTTGCACCACGTGTTGTGCGGCGCGATGACTGCTCAAGCATACTAGTACACAAAAGGGAGGATCTTTGACCGTGTCTGCTGACAGTACTGCGTCCACTGCTGCTTGTACTTGGTCGCAAGGTAGCGCTCCGAGGTCGGGAAACTGGTCGTGACGAAGACATAGACGAGACTCAGCGCCAGCATCCCATTCAGGTACCAGCCACCGCAGAACTGGGCATAAGCCGAGCGCCAGAGCTGGAAGCCAGGGCACGTTGGGGGGGCGGACGAGCGACCAGACGCCACGGGTGCAGAGCTTGCCGTCGTTGCCGCGCGTCGACTTAACAACATATTTGGCGCCGTCAGCCCACTGGTGGAGCGCGAGGCCGACGGCAAAGAGGAGAGGCATCCATTGGGCTGTCGCTGGCGACCATGACCGGTTCCGCGAGAGTGAAAAGGCGAGCGCCAATGTGTGGATCAGGTCCACGAGATTGACCTGGGTGGCGATCTGGATGGCGCCGCCTTGGCTCTTCAGGGGCAGCCGCTCGCGCCGCCAGACAAGATTATAGAGCGCAAAGGCGGCCGACGACAGCAGCAGGCCGGTAAAGGCGACGGTTGCATAGGGCAATGCGAAACCAAAGACGTCTTCGGTCAGGAACCCGAGGGCAGCCTCAGAGGCGCCCGGAATGTTCACGGGGCCCGGAAACATGGACTGCGTGGGTAGCGCAGCAGGAAATCAGTGGTAGAAGGACAGGCCCGAGGTGCACGGCTTGAAGAGCGAGTAGCTGACGCCGATGACAAGCGCACGGACGCCGAGGAAGAGGGAGCCGCCGGTGTTGTGTGGCCCGCACTGGCCGCGAAATGGAAAGAAGTCCAGTGGCGCGACCTGTTTGTCCATGTTCTTGGGTGCAGACATGATTGTCGTCGATGGGGCAAGCTGGGCACCCCAGCCATTCCTTCTTAAAGGCTTGTGTCAAGCTTCATGCGCGGCTGGCCCGAGCTGTCAGATTTCATGCGACGAGGAGGCCCGTGCGCGATGTTTAATCTGAGGCTGATTAAAATCGGGCGCGTTAGACGACAGGCGCTTCAGCCTACTTCCTTGCGCTCATGCAGGATTGGCAGATCACACGAGGGTTTCGTGGGCAGACAAGCGCGATGCAGCCACCGACGGTCGCGGCCGCCATCAAAAGAGTATGTAAAGCGACCGAAGATCAGGCACAAGTCTGTCTACACATTAATGGAGTGCGCCGTTGCTACACCGACGCTGAAAGTGACCTCTCGCAGAAGTCAGGCGCTTGAGTCAGGAGCAAGCTGCCACGCTGCACAGTCGAAGAGAAGCTGTCACGTCGCTGATCTTGACTATTGAGGGATCAGAAAGGCAGCGCCGGAAGCATCGCCTCGCTGGAGATCCTGGCCCAGAGCAGCTCGATCGGAATGTCGCCGATGGGCTGCTGGAAGAGCAGGTCGTCGTCCTCCTGTTCCAAAGACGTCGTGGTCTGCCGATCCATGCTGTCGCATGTGCCGACGACAGCCAGCAGCAGCTGCGACATCTCCTCGTACGTCTGCGGCGGCGCCGCCCCGTTGAACAGTGCTCGCAGCCGGCTTGACACCGCCTTGATGCCCTCGAAGAAAGGAGCGGTGGTCGCGTCCACGGCATCCAGGACAGCGGTCGTCTTGCGCTTGCTGAGCGAGAAGACAACTTTGGCGGCCGTCTCTCGACAGCCCGGGGAGTCTCGGCGAAAACGCGCCAGGAGCGCCATGAGCTGGACTTTGATGGACAGTAGGACGTGGCAAGCGGCCATTCTGTGTGCGGGAGGTCAACTCGCAGTCCTGGGACTATCTGGCAACGCTCACCCTGTGCTATCGGACAGTCGCTGGAGGTCGGAACCCCGCAGGTCTCCAATGGAGTCGAGTATGGCGTGACTGAGCCAAATGCAGACGGTGCAGGGTCCATCGTTCTGCGGTCATGAGGGGTAGAACGTCAGCAAAAAGGCAGGTACGGGAGCATAGAAAGACAGAGCAGCACGTGGGGGGGCAGGAACAGAGAAAGAGCGACCAGAGCAAACACGGAGACACTGACACTGTCAGGGCGCAGCTCGTCGCGATGGAGCCGCAAAAAGGCCGTAAAGATGTAGTGGTGCAGCAGCCAGCGCTCTACGTGCTGCGTCGCGGCCTGCCTGCGGTCGGAGACGCCTTCGACGGCGTAGTAAGGCGGCAGTGTCAGCGCAAGCGTGGCAAAGAGTCGCGTCAGCGCCTGGCGATCAGCGTTTGACCACGTGCGAGTCGGTGATGCGTTGCGCAAGTCGACGCCTGTGCGCACGACGGTGGCCAGCTCGATCATGGCAAGGCAGAAAGAGGCCGGAGACCATCCTCCTGGAGCCTCGCTCTGCAGGCCTGGCATGTGCAAACTGGGCTTGGGAGTGGTAAAGTGCGAGGGATGGATCGAGTAAGACCACGTGACGGGCGCACGCATCCATGACCGCACGGCAAGATACCACCAGCAGCGGGCGCCCATCTCGTCGGTGCTGGACCACTTGTCTGTCGGCTCGAGCAGGTGCAGACCGAGCTGCTTTGCCTGCTGCACCGTTAGCTCGAACAGACCATCCAGGCTCGTCTGGTCAAATCGTGGATTGCAGAGGAGCAAGATGCCCGCCTGGACGCCCTCGAGCGTTGCCGAGCGCTGTGCGCCTAGAAATTGATCCTTGAGCTGTGCAATAGCTGTAGAGGCGCAGACCGATCTGGTCCTCTCAAGGTTGCCACTCGCGCCGTGCTCTAGCGAGGTGAGAAGCTGGCTCGGTGCAAAATGGATGGCCAGGGAGATCTATGGAACATGCGTGAGATCATTGGTCGCACCGGCTTTCAAAGAACTCACGGCAGCCGACACCAGGACACGGACGTCTGTCTCTTGGCGCCTGCCGTCGACGCAGACGCCGTGGGTATAGTGGCTCAACACAGACGGAGTAATGACCGCGCCTGCAAAGGGCAGCGCGTAGGTCGCCTAAGGAACAGATTAGTCGCGTGACCTTCTCGAGAGCCAGTAATTTGCTCACAAAGACGCTCTCGATGAGGGTCTGACAGACTGTCCACGGCGGGAGCGCTACTTGCTCCCCGGTCGTTCTTCGGGCGGCTTGGTCATCAGACACAGCGACGAAAAAGGAGGCAGTTGCATGGCCTCGCTCGCTGCTGGCCCGGGTCAGTACCATCTCAGGGCTGCAACGCTGCTGCCTCACTCACGGCGGACGCTTGACGGTGCGCCTCTTCCGCTCGCGTTGATAGCAAAGCGCTGATCTGGAGGAGCCTTCTCTCAGCAGTCGACTCAGCTGCCAGCACGGACAGCACGCACCTGTCCTTTAGTATACACTGGCTGCACGGTACCTTGCTGCAAGTAGTTCAGCGATCCACACGAGGTGCACATTTCCAACATTACTGACCCGTCGCACCGCACACCTGCACACCTCGCTTGTCAGCTTCCTTCGACTACGCGTTCCGAGAGTCAGTCCACTCACGCCGCCGCCGGCACTCCACACAGCTAGAGTTGAGGCCCATGCTACAATGCCGTAATGATGGTATTGCGCGCGGGATCGGTCAGATACGAGCGCGCATTTAGGATGGGCCGCGCTTTTGGAAAGAGCCGCGCTTTCGGAAATATGGGCACACGTGGACTGGACTAACCCGGCGTTAGCGGCACCGCTCATCGGTGCGCAGCGATCTATACGAGCAAGAGAGCTTTGCTGATCGTGACCATGACCATCCTTTCCCACAGCATTGTTGCTAGCGGAAGCCACACAGTCTTGTCAGTCTCTCACAAAAGATAGGGTCAAATTACCGAGCAATTGGAGAAAGCTAGATTCAGTTACAGACTGCACAGGTTTGTCACTCGAGAAAGTCATTGATGAGCTGGGAAAAGTGCTCGGAGAACTCGTCGAGGAAGCCGTGGCCACTGTCTGGGTAGAGGTGCAGATGCGTGGGGGCGTTGATGAGCCTGCGCCAAAGCACGATGCTGTTGTCTGTCGCAATGAGCACGTCGTTGCTGCCATTGGCAATGAGGACAGGGATCTTGATCTGGTCGAGCCGGTCGTAGGTGCCCTCAGCGGCGTGCTCGGGCGAAAAGAAGCGCTGCAGGGCAGAAACCTGGCACCGGGTACCTTCAGCTCCCACATAGTCGCTACGGTTGCTCCGCGCATGCGTCATTCGCTCCCACCACTGCTCTCCCTTCTGCTGCTTGGCGGCCGAATGGGAGAAGAAGTGCTTGACAAACGCCGCGTGGTTGGACTGCTCGTCGCTGGCCGAAAGCAGCTCTTCGAAAGGCCCAGGCGCCGAGCCCATCACCCCGTCGCCGGCGCTGGGGCCCGTGCCGGCGAGAATGAGCCGTCGGACATGAAGGGGATCCTCGAGTGCAATCAGCTGGGCCACGAAGCCGCCCATTGAGAACCCAAAGACGTCATACTGCTCGATGCCCAGAGCCGCCATGAGTCCGCTTCCATATTTTGCCCATCCGGCGTACGTCAGGGGCACCTCTCCCTCGCTGCGCCCGACACCAGCGTTGTCGAAGAGGATCACGTGGCGCTTTGCGGCAATCGAGTCGAGAAACACGGGGTCCCAGTGGTCCATGGTACCACGGAAGTGCGTGTTGAGCAGGAGCGGCACTCCCTGCGTCACACCTAGGGACCGATAGGCTAGCTTGACGCCCAGTACGGCGGTGTGCTGGTCCGGAGCCGTTGCATATGTAAATGGCAGAGTCATCACAATCGTCGTCTTGCGTGTGGAAAGGTGTGCAATTGTTGTACAGGAAGCGATGTGCTGCTGTTGCGTACTGAAAGGGAAGTGCTGCCGCTCTACCTTATATAGGAAGTCCCTTCCAGAATGTCGTCAGCATGAGCAGAAACAGTGCCCTTTTGGCCGCCGTAATGCCGACGAAATTGACGCGCTGCAGCACAGGCTATAAGAGCGAAAGCGCGTGTGAGCGTTTTGCGGACATAATGCTCACCGCAAAAGCGCGAATGTGCGTGTCTGCTCGCTGATCACACTGCGCCTACAGAGCAGTGTCCAGCGGTGATAGCACGGCGAGCTCTCTGCGCTTCACAGGGAGGATGCGCGGACATTCGGACAGGCACCGCCCACTTTGTGGCGAATCCCCGACTAAGGAGCTGGACAGTGGCGGCGAGCCAGAGATGCGGTGCGCAAAGCACTGGCCTCTCATTACCGAGGCTAGTTCCGTCTACAGTCCCTTCCACAAACAACACGCTACAAAGAAAGTCATGCCAAGAATCTGCGCCAATGGCATTGCATGCTGTGTAGACACAAAGAGGAACGTAGGGCAATCTTTGAGGTCTCGCAGCAGTCCGTCATGGCCTGCTCAGACAATCACCATGGGAGCTCGGAGCCGTCTTGTGCCTTGAAAAACTTGCCCGAGTGCGTGTCGACGGCCGCTTCGTTGGCAAGCTTGATGATCCCGGCCGCACTCTGCTCCACGGTGATGGCAGCGCCTTCCGACAGGGCATCCTCAATCTTGCTTCCGAGCGACGACTGGGCGAATGCGGCCAGATCAGTGGCAACGAGGCCGGGGTGAAGTGCAAGAGAGACAACGTCCGGATACTCAATCGCAATGCGCAGCGCAAGAAAGTTGACCGCGGCCTTGCTGGCACCGTACGAGGTGCTTTTGTACGGCAGTTGCCGCTGGATGCCGAGAGAAGCAATGGCGCTGCTGACAACAAGAAACTTGGGCGAGGCACTCTTCTTCAGCAGGGGGAGAAAAGCCTGAAAGAGGAGCAGGGGTCCGACGGCATTGACAGTCAGTGTCTGCCGAAAGTCGTCGGCGCTCACGTCGGCAACCGGCTTGAAGTCGCTTGCCACACCCGCATTGGCAATGATGACATCGATACAGTCTATGCCTCGAGACAAGACGGCCTTGGCAGCAGCCTTTGCGTCGCTGTCGGAGCTCGAGTCGATTTGTACCGTGATGACGTGGCCTCTCAGCTGGGCCAGCGTCTTGGCTGCCTCTGCCGCCGGGTCCCTGACGCCAGCGACGACGGTGTTCTTGGGGTCAGCGGCCAGCTGCTTGACGAGCTCTGCGCCGATGCCACGCGTGGCTCCAGTGATGAGGTAATTGACCATGTAGAGGTGGTTTGATAGGGCCTTGATGAGAAGATGTCGCTCCCAGACTGTCGGACATGGCTCAATTTATAGCTTCTCGTCGGTGACTCGCACTCTGACGACGATGCTTCGAGAGACAGCCGGCGTTAATCGTCAAACGCGGAAATTCCATATTCGCGCCAAATTCGCGCACTCTGTAAATACAGTAGTATATACAGTACATCCCATAGTTCCGGTGGGGGGCAAGAAGCCGCGATCACATGTCAACGCCCATTGCTCTGAAGAAGGAGTGCGGAGCGCCGGGACCAAACAGCTTTTCCGCTGTCCAGTGTCCCTTCTCAATCGCCGCACGCGCGCGTACGAGCATCGGCTTTTCGTACTCGGCCACAGCGTCATCGAGGCGGTCGATGCCGTGCTCTGTGATCTGCGTGGCGAGCTCAAGGCTGTCGAACAGCGCGTTGTTGACGCCATCACCGGTCGGCACACTGCGGCCACAAGTCAGCAGGGCCACAATTGATTCAGCAAAGGACTCACGTCAGGTGGGCCGCGTCGCCAACAAGCGTGACACCCTGGACAGACGTCCACTGCGACGCGACGGCTTCGACAGGCAAATTGTACAGCGGCCAGGCTCGAAACGCACCGTCGCTCTGTCGGACCAGGTCGACTAGCTTCGGCGTCCAATCTTGGAACTTGTCCTTCAGCAGCGACTCCCACAGCACCGCGCCGTTCTGCAGACTCGACTTGTCGGACTGACCCTCGGCAACGTCCAGTCCGACCGACAGGAAGTACGACCTGTCGCTCAGGTAGTGGAGGAAGATCTTGCGGGTGCCGCTCATGGCAAGGTAGTTTCCTTGCTGTGCAAGCGAGTCGGCGACGGGATAGCCGGCGTCGTCGGGCTGGACGTAGGTCGTGTAGAAAACGATGCCGGAATACTGAGGGACGGCAGGTGTCAGGAGCGGGCGTACCTTTGACCAGGCCCCGTCTGCACCTATGACGAGACGGAAACCTGACAGGGTCGTCTGGTCGGCCATGTGTATCGTCATGACGCCGTCTGCCGCTCTGCTGACCGTTTCAACCTTTGAACCCCAGACGACCTTGTCCAAGGGCACCGCTTCTTGCAACAGCCGCTGGAGATCTCTGCGATCAATCTCTGGTCTTTCCTTGTCTTCTTTGCCGCCAGCATTCAAAAGTACGTTTGCCTGTGCATCTACAATGGTCGTCGAGACCCCATGACGTGCGAGGGCGTTGAACCGGTCGAGGAGACCGGCCTGTTTCAGGGCAAGCTGGCCTGTTATTGGACGGACGTCGAGGGTACCGCTGCCGGACCGGATCTCGGGCCCCTGATCGCGCTCAAAGACGGTGTAGGCAATGCGAGAGCGCTCAAAGAAGCGTGCGAGGAGCAGACCGGCGGGACCGGCGCCGATGATGGCGATCGGTGCGAGTGCATTAGTGCCTGTAGATGCCGGTCGACGGGAAGAGGGTATATCAGAGTACCGGTGGCTTTGCGATGCTGCCGTCATGTTGATGATGCGATAACGATGCTGGACGGTTGCTCTCGACAGCACTCTGTGGCAGGACGGCAAAGACATTGATGGAGTGCACGGACGACCGCGGTCTGGGACGAACGTGGTTCCTAGATTCATGCGACCCCACCAGCGCGTAGCAATTAAGCTCAGTCAGAGCACAACCCTGGGAACTAACTGTCTCGCCATCTATCTGCTGTTGAGACGCGTGACTTCCTTTTCGTCGATCTTGAATTCGTTCTTGGTTTCCAAATACAGTAGTAGTAGTACAGATCCTGAGGATTTATATATCCCTTCTCGGCGAAACTCTGGCCTACTTAGTTCACACCACGCTCTCCCCCGCCGTCAGATGGTAAAGATCCTGTTAGGAGCTCCTGGCTAGATTCTGATCCAATCTCTAATCTCGTGACGAGGACATGTCTTCCCACCAAACAAAGCCACCGCACTACGAGCCGCGAAACGTCGAAATCGATGGTCTTGCTGAACAGGCCGACGACGACGCTCTGAGACCTCATGGACGCCCGTCGCACGCAGGCGTCGAAGGCCCAAGCTTCAAGGAATGGGTCTTCATTGTCTCGGCCTGCGTCATTGGCGGGTACTGGCTCGCCTCATTCCTCTACAAGCCCGCAAAGGCAACCCTTGACATCACCTGATAGCCTTTTGCCATGCTGCTAGAATACCCCATCAAACCGCGCGGTCAATGACGGGCCGTCGGCTCGACAGGCCTCTCTTTCGGTGCCCATCTTTCGCCATGAACACATGCGTCTAATTCATCATGCAATGGCAACAGACACACAGAGCAAAATGTGTTACTTCGCCTCACGTCCAGCGGCAATCGCATCAGCAACTGCTTGCTCTACGATTCCTTCTTTGGCTCTGATGCCGAGATCCTTCATGTTTTGCCTGACACGCTCTCGTTTGAAGGTGGCTACGTCTGCGTACCGTACTTGCCTACCCAGGATGACCGATGTGATGACCTTGCCATAGCCCGGTCCAATCTGCCCGCTCTTGTACAAGGCCAGACCATCGGCCAATTGCACGTCAGAATCAATAGCAGTGGTCGTCCACGTGGCGCCGGTGTGCTTTTCGAAGTAGGCCAACAACTGGCGCTGCGTGACAACGGCATCGGCTACATGAAAGCTACGGTTCAGCGCTTGCCCGTCAGGCTTGCGAAACTTTTCTAGGACGGCGACCACAGCCTCTGCTACCGTGGCGACACTCGTGGTCGCAAATGTACCGACGCCATCGTCAACGAGTCGAGCACGACGGTCGACGACGTCAAAACCGGAGAAGCCACGCGCCAAGGCCCATTCGAGAAAGGAACCGTTGCTGATGGAAGCCCAAGAGAAAGCTTGCTGCCTGTTGGCGTCTTGCTCGATGGCGGACTGCAATTGACGCACGTATTGCCGTATGGCACGCTTACCGTTCCACACCAAGAGCTCCTCCAGATGCTCGGCGTCCAGATCGCCCGAGAAGTCGGACGGAATCACATTTGGCACACGCGCCTGCACGGCAGCCGACAGGAATCGACGTGACGTTGCTTCGATGTCGCCCTGTTGCGATGAGAGAGCCAGGACGACCGCCTGTGTGCCTTGCAGCACTTCGATCAGCTCTTCCGCGGGCGCAGAGTAGCTGATCTGACAATGTGTGAAGCCCTGCCTGACCGCTTCGGCGAAATCGCTCGACGGACGGGACGACAGGATGCGTACGTCGAAGCTTCCAAAATGCGGTTGCAGCTGGTCCAAGATCGCCGCGCCCACGGTACCGCCCCCCTTTAGTCAGGGCAAAAAGCATTAGAAGGTGCTAGCAAAAGTATTCGTTCAACATCGACTCACGCCGACGATTGATACGGCAAACTTGCTCATCTTTGCTCTGAAGGCAGCCTAAACCTCTTTCGCTACCAGAAAGCACCCTCTATGTATCAGTCGCATCGCCAGGGTACTCGGCAAGATCTGTGCTTCGATTGCTCCGGGAATTTGAGTAAAGGCGACGCTCTGCAACTGCTTACGTGCGTAGGAAACGTGCCGGAGATGAACGGTCGAGTCCGCAAAACACTTCGGTCTCCGGATTTGCACCGAGACAGCGCTGTTCCGAATATCTTCCGCTGGTGTTATCGCCGCCGGTCATAGCATTTACAGGTGGCTATAGCGTTCGTAGTTGCGTGAGTATGGTAACAATTACCGGAAATTCCGACCGAATCTAGTAAAAGACGACCCTTCAAGATCCCTGCACAGTTCGAGAGTGAAGGCGGAAGCTGCGTGACAAGATTCTTGTATTCACAACTCTTCCGATTGCGTTTGAGACGAGAGTTACGGAAACGATCACATCGATTCGCTGGGGTAAAGCGAGAGCCAATGAAGGGGCTACAAGGAGGGCAAGCGACTAGCAGGGTGCGGGCGACGGTGGAAACAAGGAGTTCAGATTATCATCAAAGGCAAATACTGAAGGGAACATAAGCAGAAGAAGCCTGGAAGAGCGCGCGAGGCGCTCATGTAGCTTTCAGCAGGCTACGCTGGATGCGAAGTCTGACAGGCACAAGTAAAAGGCTGGCCAGCATGCTGCAAAGACCGGAAAAGACGATCACGTAGATCCAGGAGCGACGATTCTGACCGTCGGCCAGGTCGAGGGAGCGGATCGTGTCTGTTCGGATGGCGTCGGCGATTGGCAAGATAAAAATGGGCGGTAAGACCGCCATCAAGAACTGTATGGCCAACGCCGAGCCCAGCTTGTGCAGTCCAACGATGCGCATGCATACAGGCACGGCCAGTGACCAGTATGCTGCAAGAGACACTCCCGATGCATGAGCATGTATGCCTTGACGAACGTGAATAACCTGCTCACCTCCTGCAAAGAAGCCAAAGAGGACGGCGAAACCCATCATCGTGGCCAGCGAGTCGGCAAAGATCCAGCATACAACGCACACGAGTCCCTGAAGGAACTGAAAGGTGCAAATCAGGTTGATGTAGCCGAATTTGTCGCCCAAGAAGCCCGTGAGAACTCTGCTGACGACGTTGAGCGCGCTGAGGACCGAAATGACTCCGGCTGCGTTTGCGCGCGAGATGCCAATCGATTCACAGAAAGCTGATCAACGGCATGTCAGCGTGTGTGTGATGCAGGGACTGTGAACAGAAGCGCACCTGGGATAACAAAGAGCGGCAGCGTATAGCCGACGGCGCCCAGCAGAAAGAACAGTAGATAGAGGTTGAAGTTGAGATCTTTGAGCAGTGCAAAGTCGAAGGGATTGTATGCGGTGACGTGTTTCTTCTGCTGCCCAGCGTGACTCGGCGTCTGGATCAGCGCGAGAGACAAGACACCACAGGCCAGGATGATAAAGCCAATGATACGTGTAGCCCATGGGATGCCCTGATTGGCGGTGAGGGCACGGATGGCAGGTGCGAATGCGATGGCGCCAAAAGGCGATCCGGTGGCGGCAATCCCCGTAGCTATGCCCCGCTTCGTCGTGAACCATTGAGCGGGTAGGCCGATGGCGGGTATGTATGTGATCGAGGCACCGATACCGAAGAGAATGCCCTGCGACAGGAGGAGGTTCCAGAAATGACGACCTATGGACGCCATCATCAGGCTGAAAACCATCAGAAAGAACCCCAGGCCAATGCACTTCCGGACGCCCATCGCCCCGATCAGCATGTTTCCAAATGGGCCACAGATGAACGCAAAGCCGACTGAACAGCCGCCCAGAAATCCAAGGCGCAAGGAGGTGAGGCCGTGGTACTGCTGTGCGCTGGGGTCGCTGAGGAAGGCCTCTTGGAACACGCCCCACGACTGTGCTAGCCCGAGGGACGCGAAAGCGGCCAGCCAGACGGCGCCGACGGTCATCCACGCCTGCAGGCCCCCGTTGGGAGGCGCGGGCGTCGCAGGCTTTGCCGCAGCTTTCTCTTCGTTGCCCATGTGCTCTGTGCCTTGCGCAGGATGTTTTCCGTCGACAACTTCAGGTGAAGACATGCTAAGTAAGCTGACGCATGACAATAACCATATCCTGCTGGAACTCTGGGCAATCTCCGGGTTAAATAGTGTTTCTCATTGTTCCTATGTTCTGTTTGCCTAGTTGTGCACGGACATTGACGAAGCCAGCGCCGTGCCAACTTGCTCGGTACGTCGATTGATGATGCCCCACTCTAAAGGAATCGCTTTCGTAGCTTCGCTGCTCGCGGAATTTCCGCCAGTAATAGAGACCCTTCGAAAAGATGCGCGCTTGCTCGAATATACGCTTCTCCAAAATCCGCCCTCTTCTGAAATAATATCTCCGAGTGACTGACTGCGCGGAAGTTCCGTCGCATTTCTCGAACCGGTCCTCTACAGCAGTGTGCGCGCAGGGTGGTCTGCACCCTGTGGAGGCCAGGAAAGCCAGGAGTTGACCGCTCTATGGACAACAGCGACTTTGGCCCGAACGCTGATGGCGCCGACACCAACAAGGCTGACTACGACAACATTGCGGGGGGTGTGGCGGATTACCTGCAAGACAACCAGGCCAACAGCATTTGCCTGACGCAGTGCCTTGGTTACACAATCTACGAAGGTGGTCAACTGCAGGACCCAGGCCGGCACTGATCCCGCCTACGACACCGACTGCGAATTCTCAGACGACATGGATGGTTGCTAAGGAACCTGCAATGCTTCCCGCCTAGTAACCTTCTTTGCCTCTGCGATATGGCTCCTCTCTCAGCGGAGGGATGCCTCGAATGAAATTATGGTACACACATCGATTACAAGCCTTAAAGAGCTACCGCCGATTGTTCTCCACGGCTGGGTCGATCCACGTCTGGTCAAAGAGATCGAAAAAGTCCTCGAGACCGGGTATGAAGCCACTGTCCATCAGCGTCGGCTGGTTGGCGAGCATCTGGTTCCCATAGCCAAACGGGGCCTGGCCCCCAGCGGACGCATCGGGCGCTGGATCCAGGTGGCGCCGCTTGGTGAGGCGCGTGGCGCCGCTGACGAGTTCCAACGAGCTCGAGTGAGCCAGCTTGGGCAGCGCTGCTGGTCGGCCGGGCGGGGCATCGCTGCTGCGTCTGGCCGCCGAGCAGAGCTCTTCGAGCACGGTGACCCAGCGGTCGAGCGGCCGCTTGCTCACGCTGAGCCCCCGGTTGGCCGACGCAAACGTCTCCTGGAGCGTGTACAGGTCCCCCAGCGAGGACGTGGTGACGACAGAGAGGGGGAAGCGCGTGGCGCACACGCCAATGCACACGCCGGCCGAGAAGGTCCGGGTGAAGAGAAAGGCCCAGCGGCCAGCGACGGCGGGAAAGGCATTGTTGGCGGCCGTCGTGACGGCAATCAGGCGCCGTGCGGCATCGAGGAGGGCCACGACAGACGAGGAAAAGGGCGAGTGGAGCGGGTCGCCGTCCTGCTCGGTGAGCGCACGCGAAAAGTGGGAGCGGTGGAGGCACATGACTGTCTCCTGGATCATGATGGAGAGATAGTAGCGGCGCATCGTCGGCAGGTCCGGCAGCGTCGTGCGCTCGTCGATGTCGACGTGGGCGCCCTGCGTGGCACTGCCGGTCCATCGCAGCGTCGCGTGCAGCGTCCGCTCGAGCTCGCGCAGCTGGCCGTCAAGGTCGAGCACGGTGGCGTAGGGGCACGCGCGGAGCGAAAAGAGCTCGTCTGCGATGCGGCCGCGCACCTGGCCGAGGCGGAACTTGGCGCGCTCAAACGACAGCTCGTGCTCGTCGAGCGTCGACTGGGGAAACTGCGTGTCGATGTGGTGGTCTGCAATCGCATATGGCCGGCCCAGGCTGAGGCTGTGCAGCCGGTCAAAAGTCTGGCACTCCCAAAACGTCCGACGGCGCTGCTCGGCGCCCTGGTCGTTGAGGCCGAAGCGAACCCCATCACGGTGCAGGCCCATCTGTGGTGGCGACGAGAGTCGCACGTGACGACAGGCAGGGGGATTAGAGAAGAAGTGGTCAGATCGTTGCGTCTCACGCCTCAAGGACTCAGGACTCAGGACCCCCCACCCACCGCCTGAACAATGCGCATCTGCATGCCCAGCCAGGGCCAGTGCTTCTCGGAGCCTCGGACGCGGGCATTGATGCAGAAGATGCCGATGAGATGCAGCGCGCGGACGCTGGTGAGCGTGTGCTGCTCCTCGAGCTCTCGGACGTCAAATAGCGACCGTGCCACGTCAAAGAGCGTGTGGGGCTGTGCGTCGTCCCACGGTGCAAGCGGGTCGAAGTGGCTGCCGAGGGCCAGGACGAGAAAGAGGATGGCCCAGGCATGCTTGTGGCAGACGGCCGTCTGCGCATAGATGGGTGACATGATGCCGTGATGAAAGGCAGCCGCGTCGAGGACGGCAAACTCGACGCAGCCGTGCTTGAAGTAGATGTCGCAGAGCCGCTGCGCCGTAGCGAGGGGCGGCAGCGATGCGCGCGCGGCAGTGACGAATCCAGCGTCCTCGCTCGTGTCCTCGAGGCCGCCTTCCATCTGTTGCGCGAGCGGAGCGTCAACGGAGGTGCAGTTCTGCCTCTCTGACGCCACTTACGTCAATGCGGTGCGCTCCCGTGGCACCTCCGCCCACATAGTGCGAGCTTTCGCCCTCGTCGTACGAGACGAGGAGGCCTGCCCCGCCCGGTGAGCCGCCCGCGTCTGTCGGCGGCCTCGACGAGCGCCACGTCGACTCGTTCGCGCGGTGGCCTCTCTGTGGCCCCAAAGGGGAAGGAGAGGGTGGCGAGGGAGACTCGTGTGCATACCCCTCGAGGCTGTTGGGGTCCTCGCCGGCCTCGCGCAGGCGTGCCTCGAGGATGGACACTTTGGCCGCGAGGGATTCCTCAGCTGATCTATAAGTAGAACTCTCAGCATTGCGTTGGCGGCATCGTCTCTCATCATTGCGAGACTGACTGGCCTGAAGGGAGCCCCTCGGGGCAGAAGTGGCCCTTGCCTCGCTTGACGCACGAAGAGCAAGGCCAGCTCCGATCGCACCGCAGCTTGAGCCGTCGACCTGCGGAGAGCACTTTACGTTACATTGGGTTTTGTATGACGGCACAGCGGCACTCACAGTCCGCACATGACCTGGTCCGGTGGGGGTCCCGCGGTGTGCTGCTCATCAGGCCGCTCGATGAGCAAGTCCGAGAAGAGGAGTAGGAGCAGGGACCCAAGCGCAGTGGGCCCGGGCCCGAGCTCGACGGATTCCGTGCCAGGTCCGTGGCCCGATTTCGTTTCCGTATGCCACGTGTCTTTACTCGTGGCCCCGTCTGCATCGGGCTTTCGACAGACGGTGGCAGCAAGCACGGTGCATATCATCCTGCAGCGGCTCTCGGGGTCGCCGTTCAACTACAGCCCAAAAAGGAAGAATCCACACTTTCAATGTACATGAGACCGGCTCAATGCAGACCTTGTGGCGGTGAATCTCCTCAATGACAGAGCGTGCTGGCAATCAATAGCTCAAATTGCTCGGACCCAAACCCGCTGACTCCCACAGCAAATTTTGTCGAGGAGCCGCCGTTGCCTTGCTTGCTGAGCATGCCCGCTGGCAGGTCCAAGTCACTTCTTGTCTCTCACAGTCATAGGAAAGCTGATTGTTCGGTCTACAGGACTTCTATAGGTTCGGTCTGTTTAGGTTTGGCAGGTAGCCAGTCGCCTTTTCGGTCTACACGTCTTCTATTTGCGTTTTTTTGTTTAGAGGAACAATTTTCTTTCTACCGGCCGTACTCCTGTATGAAGTCCAACACCTCCTGTAGCTCCGGGCGGTGTTCTTCATTCCTGGAATTTTGCCGGCTAGGAGGGTAGAAAGGCTCGCTCGTCATGCCAGGAACTCTCGTGGAAGTTTCCGCCCTCATCGGCGCAGTTGTCGACGCCAGCGAAAGCAGCAGCTCTGGGGATGACGACGGCGGCACCACCGAGTCGAGCACGGGAAAGGGCTGATTCGCTGTCGTGCTCGTCTCCGCAAGCAGCGCTGGATCCAGGCTGCCTTCGGTCGCAAATACAGATGCCATGAGTACCCCTGTCGTTTCATCGGAATACAATCCACCGTAGTGCTCCTGTGCAGGCGCCAGTGCACCCTGCCCACCTATCAGGTCGGCAGCTGAGCTTGGAGGACTCGTCATGAGCATGCTGGGTGTCAGCGACGCCTGGAAATACTCCTCTGGACTGTAGGATACACGGGCGATGCGATTCGCACTGTTCGGAGGCCGGCTGTACATAGATCCGAGCGAAGACGCCCGGAGCCTGCTTGCCTCGTGCTCTGGCGCATGCCGATGCATCTCCTCTGACCGCCGCAGCTGGCGGCGGTGGTGCTTGCGCTTACGTAAAGCATCGGTTTCCGCTTGTGGCACCTTCTGATACACGCATTCGTCGGCACGGTGGTGTCTTTGACAGGGACTGCAGGGCAGCTCGCCGTCACAGCGCACCTTGCTTTCGCATTGGAGACAGAATCGTCAGCTCATGCAGGCAATGAACTGACTGTCGACCTACCGGGCTCGACAGAGAGAGCAGGCCATGATGACGCGATTCTTCTGCGCCTCGCGCATCCTTGCCCGGTTGTCGCTGCTTGTGTCCCCGCCACTGTCGTGTCGCCTAGCATCGTTGCACATGTTCGGCAAGCCTCACAGTGGCGTACTGAAGCTTGCCTGGTCGTCCAGTGGCCAGGAGTGGCGTGCATCCAGCCAGACGGGTGTATATATATCTGCACACTCCTCCGCCATTTCGATGCCATTCCGAGAGTAGCGGACAGAAGCTTCCAGTCCGCGATGGACGGACGCTGCATGACGCTACCGTTCTCCGGCCACGAACGGAGAATTTCCGAGTCAAGCGGGCTTTCCGAGTCTAACCACGTGTCGCTTGTCCGCCTAGGCCTGTCAGTACGGTCCGCTCGTCCGTGAAGCACGGACTCGCCTTCCTCGACTCGTTCGACAAGCGATGCGTAGCACAATACCGTGGGTAGGCCAGTATCCGATGGAGCTATCCCTCTGCACTTCAGGAGCAACCCTAGTCTTCTTACAATGAACGCGCGGCCGCTTCAAGGACATGTGCTTAATGTCACCATTTCTGAAAGCTGTCTCTTGATCATCATATTGTGTTTTTGACTCAATCACGGCAGATGGAGCGGCGGGCCCCGTCTCACTCCCAAGAGAAGCCGTCGAGGTCGCTAAAGTGGCGCACAATGGGCTCCTCGAAGCCGCCGTCGGGATGCGTCGTGTTGGCAGTCCAGACAGTCGTGCCGAGCGAATAGATGTCTCGCTTGCCAAACGTGACGAAACGGACGCCGGACTGTGTCTCGTAGCCTTGTGCGATTGGCGGCTGCGCGTTGGCCCTGCGACGATTCTGCGGCGTGGTGACGTGGCGAAAGGTTGCTGGCTCGCTGGGTGTCTGCTTGGTGTCGCAGTTGGCTATTCCGCCAGCATTGGACACGTGGGGCTCGTAGTTGTAGCCGTCGGGCTTGCCGCTGACGAAGCCTTTGAGCTGGCCACCTTGTGCTGAAGTGACCGATCAGATCTTGGGAAGCGTGCCGTCTGTCGTCCTGCCTGCACTCACAGCTCTGATCGCCCTGAGGCACACAAACGTTGAAGCCATCGCGCATAGTCGGGTACCCGCCCCCAACGACGCCTAGACCACCTTGGTAGCTCGATGCAAAGGGATACTCGTCGCAGGACTGGCCCGAGCCACAGTTCTTGCTTTTGCACCCAATGGCTGCCCGGCGCTTGCTCTTGTGGCTCTCCTTATCCGCCGAATTGTCGTAGTTGAAGCCATCGGTCATCCACGAATCTCCGCCAAGCTCACGGTCGTAATAGCAGGCTGCGCTGCAGATGCTCTTCATCTTGGAGCAGTCGAACAGCTTGATGTCTCCGCGTGCCTCGACTTGGACCAGGGCGACGGCAGCAAAGAGAAGCATGCTAGCAAAGCGCTGCATCTTGACTAAAGCAAACAACACAAAGAACGAGGCGGTCAATGACGAGGCCGGAATGCCGTCTTATAGGGCACTGCCCTCTACGAATGAGCTTCTTTGCAACGACAAGAATCTTCTATATGGCCTGAAATGAGGCCCCCCGCTCGAGCGCTTTTTCGATGCAGGTACCGCAGGAACCAATATTGAATATCTGCAGCCGACCTTGTGGAATCGACGTGCATGAGTAAACCTCATGGCGACCGCAGAGCATTGCACGACAGAGTTCAGATCAAAGTTGAGCCGAGGCCTCTGTTCAAACATCTGTTACAGTGTCTCTTCCTCCTCATCGCTTGGAGTCTCGTGGTGGAAGTGCAGCGCAGCGCGGTACTCTGGGTCGTCGCCACGGAGGAACTCAACGAGCTCCATATTGCCCAGGTCCGAGTTGACTACCGCGACAGGGGCTTGCTTTGCCGCTATTCGACCTCGCGTCACGATGCTGCCCTTTGGTAAGCCGTCGGTCTCAGGGTCTGCCACGCACTCAACGATGAGCACAGTCCCGTCCTGTGCTGCCTGTCGGTCGACAAAAAAGAGGCAGTGGTTCTTCTTCGGCCTGTGTTCTACACTTGCTTCGTAGGCGATCCGCTCGACGTCTGCCAGCGTGCCGTCCTGTTCCTCCTGCAGCAGAGATTAGTGCTTGACCTCATCTCCTCATTCGCGCGACCACACACCGCCCAGGGATAGTACCACACCCGCTTCTCATAGTACTCGACCGGCTCCTCGATTCGCTTGCGAATCTCTGCGTCCTGCACTGGCGTCAGGAGGCGGGTCAGATAGAAGACGAGCGAGTCGGATGTGTCGTATGCCGTTGTGTCGCCACTGGCCACGATGGTCGGCACCCAGCTTGTGGGCCGTTCGCCCTCTGGATCGTCGGACATCATGTTGGTCGAAAAGAAAGCGCGGCTAAACGACGCCGTCGGAATCTCTGTAATTCGAAGTGGAGAGAGGCTCCTCAGCACGTGTGCGCGCGCATTGGACTGCTCGCATTGGACTGCTCGTCAGGGAGCGCCCGAGTGTTCGAGAACGGGGCGTTACTTAAGAGCAGTCTGAGCAAGTCACAGAGTAGATAGAATTACATCAGGGGACATGTGCACGCTACTCGATGAGGACGAGAACGCGGAGCTCGATGCTCCAGCGCGGTGCGGCGTCGCGCGCCGTGGTGGGGTCGATAAAGGCCGTGTGGGGCGTCCGCGTCTCCGTCTCAGAGTCGTAGCACTTGAGGAGGATGGCCTGGTTGGTGTCCAGGCCCTTGTAGTAGTACCACTTGTGCTGCGGCTCGCCCTCGGCGGGCGGGTGGATGAGGAGCGTCTGCCCGGTCCACGTCTCGTACCGCAGCTCCGACGGCTCCCAGTCGCTCGGCGTCACGCTGCGCGAGTCGGCCATGGCGAGTGGGTGCTCCTCGACGGGCCCCCGCAGCGGCCGCCAGACATTGACGAGCTGGCACTGCACCTCGCCCCGCTTGACGCGCGCCAGCACCTCGTCGCCCAGGTGCCGTCGGATCCGGTTCTCGCCCGACCAGCGGCTCTGGTCGCAGTGCGCCATCGACACGGGCTTGCGGTTCTCGGGCGTGTCGGGCAGGTGCGCCGTCTGGCTCTTGCGCACCGTGTGGTCAAACACAAACGTGTTTGTCACCTTTCTGCCGCGGGCGTCGCGCCCGAGGAGGTGCTGCTTGACCAGTGCGTCGGTGTCGGCATAGTACACGTCGCGGAGCCACGCGTCGTCGTTCCACTTCTCTGCCTGCCACGCGCTCGCCGTGGCCTCACGTCCAAAGCCGGGCACAATCTCGAAGCCAGCCTGGCGCGTCGAGATGCCGAGGTCGCTTCGCTGCTGTGCCGACGTGCGCGAGAGGTCGGTGATGCGCACCGGCGTGGGCGTGCGCACAAAGTTGTCCTTGCGGTCTCCCGCTGGCGAGGGGCAGAGGTACTGGTACGGCTTTGTCACGGCACGGTCCAGGTAGGTGATCTCGGCCTGGATCTGGGGCAGCACGGGCTCCGTGGCCGTCGTCGTGATTGTCGTCGTCGACATGCTGGGCAAGAAGGTGGGTGGCGGTGGCGGTTCTTGATGTGCCCCTCGTCGTTATATATCATATACCCACCTCCACCGGGACAGATCTGTCGTCCGGCAGCGAGGAAATTGCGTGACCAAATATAATAGTCTTAAGTCCGACGATGACTTGCGGCTGGAGAAATCTGTATGACTGCATGACAAATTAAGCTTCCGAGACGCCTGGTGCGTCTAAGGAGCGTGCTTCGAGTTGCATTCTACTACTATATGTGATTGGGGCCGCACATGCTCACGACTGGACTTTTGATGACTTCTGAACTCTTGCAGTGTCATCGACACAACTAATGTCAGGATATCAAGCGCTACCTCCTGTACTGTGGCAAAAAGGACGAGAGCGCCTCCAGACCGGCACGAAGCTCCTCCGTGGGGACACCGAGGCAGACGCGGACCCAGTGCGGCGTCTCAAAGCAGGTGCTCGCGGGTGCGAGGAGCTTGGAGGAGGAGCTGTCAGCCTTGCATCTCATCGTCAGACACTGGCATACACACCGTGCCGCTTTCTTGACAAGCCCGTTGCGAGAAGTCGACGTCGTCAATGTCGTCGCCCAGGTGAACGAGACTGATAGCTCCTCCAAGGCACGGGGTCATTTCCAGCCCCTGCGCCTTGCACCACGCTCTGAGCACGTCGGCGTTTGCCCTCGTCAGAGCCACATTTCTACTGAGGATCCGCGTTCGAATCTTGTCCGACAGCGCCAGGAGAGCAAGCTCGGTACCGAGCTTCGTGCAGCTGATGACAGTGTGGTCCAGGCACGTAGTGAGGTCCTCGACGAGGGCCAGATCCGGCGTTGCGATCCACCCGACCCTGATGCCGGCAAGGGAGAGCGACTTGGAGAAGCTTCCCGTCACAATAGCCCTGTTGAAACCGGAATCTGTAGCTACATCCATGAATGTGGTCGCCGTCTGCCCTCCATCCGCCGAGTGAAGAATTGGCGCGTGGGCTTCGTCACAAAGGATGTAGCATTCGGGTGATGCTTTGCGGACTAGGTCGATGATCTGCGTCATCTCACCTCTGCTCAAGACCTGGCCCGTCGGATTGTTGGGATGATTGAGGACCAGCAGCCTTGTCGACGGTCGCAGCAAGCCTTCAAGCTCCTTCATGCTCCCTCGCCAATGCGTGTCCGGTCGGGCTTTCCACAGGCTCACGTCTGCGCCCAGGCTCATGGGCACGTCGTAGAGCTGCTGATAGGTGGGAAAGGTGCATACAACGTGCGACGGCGCTCTAACCAGCGCTAGAAAGACGGCAAAGTTGGCTGTGATGCCGCCGTGCGTCGCCAATACATTCTCTGTACCGAGCGAAGACCTACTGTAGAAGGACTGCGCGATACGCAGCCGTAGCCGAGGGTCGCCGCCCATGGGGGCGTAGGACTGGGCCGTCTTGAAGAGATCCAGCTCGGAAGGAGGCTGCTCGCCCTCTTCTTTAGACCACTGCAAGAGCGTTTCAATCGCGATTGGATCGCAACAGCTGCCCGCCAGGTCATATTTGGCCTCGTGGTGGTACTGATGGATCCAGCGATTCAGCTCGAATCGCTTGAGGCTTGACATGCTTGCTTCAGATATTGTTCTAAGGAGCAAGCAGGAGGACACAGGTTGAAAGGGCGAGTCATAGTAGGACTAGCATGACTGCACGTGAGCAGCAGGACGTGTTGCGCATGACACTTCGACCACAGGGCGTAGAAGCATAGTCTAAATGGTGGTATCTTCCTACCCCACAAGGACCATCGAGGACCACACGACACAGTAGCACAGCGACGTTCCAATTCTATTTCTCAATGGTCTTCCTTCGCAGCACGGGGCCGTACCGTACAATGACAAAGGGCACCGTGCTAAAGACTGTGGCGAGCGCGGCCAGAGTCGTCGTCGCCAATGGGGAGCCTAGATTTTCATACATGTGCCTGTTCAAGAGGGGTAGCACTGCTGCAAAGAGGTTGCGCAAGAACGACTGGGCGGCCACTGCGCTCGAAGATCGATCGCCGTAGACCTCTGAGAGGTAGGAGAAGATGGCCTGGTAGATGGGAAAGATGGCTGTGTTGAAGAGGAGCACGCCAATGACTGGTGCAACGGGCGTGATGGATGCCCTTGCCGTCCACGCAAAGATGAACAACCCCGCGGGAGCCAGCAGTGCGCCGACGCAGGCGTAGCGAAGCCGCAGCTCGATGCGCTCCGGGTCGCTCGCTTGAATATGCTCTTGGTGCACGTGGCACACGTATCCTGCCAGGGCAGCGACAAGCATGGTGAGAAAGACAAACGACTGCTGCAGGAGCGACCAGCCGTACGCTTGTGCAAAGGTCAAGGGAATCGCTCCAAAGGCCATGTAGTTGATGCCCCATAGCAGGCTGTTGCCGTGGCTTCAGCAGCAGATTCGCTTTCCAGAAAGAGAGCACACTCACGCAGACCAGAGGGAGATGCTGCCGATGACGGGCTGGGTGAGCAGCATCGTGAGGGCAACTGTAGTCGAGGTGGCAGCGCGAGCAACCTTGGACCTTTTTTCTGAAGGAGGCAGCACGGCAGGCGGGCGCGTCTCGGGGAAAAGAGCGACGACGGCGACAAAGGCCACGAGCGCCGCCGCTCCATTCCACCAAAAGGCAATGCGCCACCCTTGTAAGGTCCCTGTAGCCACGTAGGCAACCGGACCGATGCCCTGGCCGATGTAGACGGAGGTCGAGTAGACGTACAGTGGCAGGCCTCTGTATGCGGGTGCAAAGCAGTCCGAGATGACGCCGGCGGCAAGCGAGTTGCCGATGCTGCCCGCAGCACCGCAGAAGAAGCGTGTGGCAATGATCGTGGCCATGTTGTCGGCCAGGGCCTGCGGAATGAAGCAGACGGCATAGACCAGCGTCGTTGCTATGTAGACGGGCCTCCGACCAAAGTCTTCGCTCAGGGGTGCCAGCACGAGGGGCACCAGGGCAATGGCAAGCAGATACTGTGCGCACGCGTAAGCTTTCGAGCTTGAGTCTCTAAGAAGGTTGAGCTCACCATGGTGTTGCCAAGCACGAATGTGGTGTGCGAGACGTCAAAGGCGCTCGTGATGGCCTCATCGCACAGTGGATACCCTGTGGCCGTGAGAGTGGTGATCAAGCTGCATCCTCGTCGTCAGTGTGTGGTATGTCCTTCGTTGATATGGATGGCACCTACGTAAAGAAACACGCAACGAGCGTCGCCTGCCAGCGCTTGCTGTCTGGCCAGCTTTCGAGCGTCGTCATGTCAGTGAGGGTCGTGTCAGACCTCAGGGCATGGGCATGATTGGCGATTGAAGCAATAGACACAGCGTCTCCCAGAACACGGCTCCTTTGACGTGAACGCCGGAGCACACGGCTCTGCAAGAAGGCATAGGAGCCGTGTCAAGGAAAAAGCCGTGCAAAACTATGCAATGCAACAACGCAAAGCAAACTTTGCCTGCAAAGAGGATCAAGCCTGGGCTGCACAAATGAGATGGAAGACGCTGTGCAACTTGTTTTCATTAATAGCCCTTTTCTACATCAACTACATTGAGGAGCTTGTCTCCGCTCAAGAGGCGCATAACATTGTTGTAGCAAATGTCGCTTGCCGTCTCCAGCTCGCCTTCAGAGTCACCGGCGAGATGCGGAGTGACAATGGCCCGTGGGTGTGTGAACAGCGGATGGCCGTCCTCGAGGGGCTCGGGTTCTGTCACATCTACGATAGCGCCCAGCAGAGGCCCGTTGCCATCGTCGAGCGGCCGATCGAGGGCCCAGAGGATGTCTTCTGTGCGCACCACGTCACCCCGGCCTACATTGACAAGAACCGCATTGCGCGGGAGCAGCGCAAGGCGTTGCCGTGTCAGGAGATTGCGCGTCTTGGGCGTCGACGGCAGGCTCGACACGAGGACGTCGCACCGCGCAAGAAAGGCGGCCAGGCTGGCCTCGTCCGAGGTGCTGTACATGTCCTCGGGCAGCGTCGCGTCTGCGTCGCCGGTGCCAGGGACGACATAGCCCGTGTCTGTGCTGCGTGTCCCCCGTGTGTTTGCCGCGATGACGTGTGCGCCGTACGCTTTGAGCAGCCGCGCCGTCTCTCTTCCGAGGTGGCCATAGCCGAGCAGGCCGACTGTCCGGCCGCGAATGGTGCGCCCTGCATACGGCTTTCCATACAGGTCCGGAAGCTGGTCGACCCACTTGCCATGGACCTGTGCGTTGATGTGCTGCTCGTTGAGGCGGAGGTAGATCATGTGGATCGTCGTCAGCACGTAAGGGGGGATGGTAATGACATGGAGGCCGCTGGCGTTGCAGATCGTCAGCGACTGGCGCACGCCGGGAGACGCGCCCAGGTAGCCTGGGCCCTGGACGATGTTTGTCACGCCCGAGTTGCTCGCCTGGACCAGTTTGAGGCGAGGGCACTGCCGCTCGATATCGGTAATGTACTTGGGAAGGCCCCGCACGTCGCACAGGACCACGTCGATCGACGCCAGCTCCTCGGCCGTGGGCTGGGCCTTGTCCAGGACCGGGTAGGAATACACACGCTCGGCCACCTCGCCCAGACGCGCAATGAGGGCCTTGTCGAGACGCGGACTGACGGTGACGAGGAGGCCTGCTGCTTTTCTCGCCATGCTGGCCGCGGCAACAGTCATTGTGGCAGTCAGTGGGAAGGAGAGACTAAAAAGAAGAAGAAGCGAGTTGTTCAGCGCGCCGTCTTTATCTAGCCTGCCCCAACCCCCCACGGACAGGCCAATCAGCGGACACGGCTCCCGGATGAATTAAGCTTATCTGCAAAAGAGGCTCCCTTGGCACGGCTCTGTGGCTTTTTCGGTTCATTTATCTCACAAGATTCGACGCACACTCGCTCGCCTGCCTCGAGAGCACCACCATGAATCGAGGAAAGAGCTACGACGACAAGGTGTTTTGCATCGCCGACCTCGAGGCAAACGCGCTCGGGCGCCTGCCGAGGGCCACGGCAGACTACATCAATGGCGGCTCGATGCTCCATGAGACGCTGCGCGCCAACAACGAGGCCTACGATCGCTACGTGTTTGTGCCGCGTTACTTTAAAGACGTGCGCAAGGTGGATACAACGACAGTCTGCCTCGGAAAGAAGGTCGCCTTCCCCGTCGGCATCTCGCCCTCGGCCATGCACTCGCTCTGCCACCAGGACGCAGAGGTGGCCACCGCCAGAGCGGCCGCCGAACGGGGCATCAACATGATCCTGTCCACCTACACCAACACACCCGTCGATGTCGTGGCAGGCGAGCTGGGGGGTATGGCGCTGGGCCAGCAGCTGAGCAAGGTCCTCGACGAGGGCATCAACCAGAGCATCATCGACAACGCCGAGGCAGCCGGCGCCTCGGCCCTCTTTGTCACCGTCGACTGCCCCTGGCTGGGGCGTAGGCTGGGAGACTACCGCAACTCGTTTGCTCCACCGACAGACATGCCGTTTCCCAGCTTCCCCACCGATGTCGACATACACAACCTGTCGACGGCGGACCAGCGGATCGCCTACGATGCCGATCTGAGCTGGGAAAAGGTGCGTGCGCTCAAGGGCCGGACAAAGATGCAGATCTGGCTCAAGGGCATCCTGTCGCCCATCGACGCCGCCATGGCCGTCGAGGCTGGTGTCGACGGCATCCTCGTGTCCAACCACGGCGGACGGCAGCTCGATGGCGCCATCTCCACCCTCGAAGCGCTTCCTGCCATTGTCGAGGCCGTCGCCGGCAGAGTGCCCGTCCACATCGACGGAGGCATCCGCAGGGGGAGCGACATCTTCAAGGCCCTCGCCCTGGGCGCCCAGCACGTGTGGCTGGGCCGGACGGTGCTGTGGGGACTAGCATACAAGGGCCAGGCCGGTGTCAAGCTCGTCCTCGACACGCTCTACGACGAGTTTCAGCTCGTCATGGCCCTCAACGGGTGTGCGACCGTGGCCGAGATTGGGCCTCACCTCTTGGCCCGGCGCCACCTCGACGGCAGCGTGGTACCTTTGCTTCTGTCTCGCGAAGCTAGATTGTAGTAAAGCCTTGCTCTTCAATCAAGCCATCTATTCCAATCAAGCTTCCAATCAAGCCATCGATCTCAAGTACAACTAGGAAATAGGCCAGGAGGTGCCATCTTTTTGTGATGGCGTAACAAATCAGTAGTATGACAGTGAAGCCATCAGTCCAAGTCAAATGATCATTTGCAAAGAAGTCATCCATTCCAATAGACCCAGAGACAAATCAATAACAAAAAGCAAGCCCTATCAAGTTCCAACGAGCCCAGAGTCACAGTCGAATATGCCACAGAAGAAAAGAAGGAGAAAGGAGAGAACTAGCAGACAAAGGCGCTCTTGAGCGATCCTGTGTCGTAGTCGGCCTTGATGGCACTAACCGAGCCATAGGTGCCGCCGACAATGACAAAGAAGCCAGAGAGCATCATGAGGGCAATGAGGATCTCGCGCCACGTCCTGGGCACGCGACGCAGAGCGTCGCGGTCGTAGAGGTAGGTCATGCCAGGGACGACCATGGCCCAAAGCACACCAAAGAGCGAGCCGAGGAGGCCGAGAAGGTCGCCGAAGAAGGGCACACCCGCGGCGATGAGGAAGCCCACAATGACGGCGACGAGAATGGAAAAGAACCAGACGAGCCAGTGGACCATTGTGCCCTCCTGTAGGTGGCGAGTGCCCCTGAGAATACGGACAAACGAGTACTTTGCCGAGATGTGGGCCTCGAACAGGCACGAGACCATCAGACCCACGAGGGCGATGCCGTAGCCGATCTTTTCCACCGTCGGTCCTGCACTTCCAATCGCGGGCGAGGCCACGTACTGGCCCACCTTGGCGTAGATGACGATGCCCACGAGCGTGTAGTTGATGACGACGAAGCCCTGTCCGGCCCACAGGGCCTTGCGGTAGTCGGATGTCCGCCGCATCTCCGCGTGGATGGGGATGAAGGTGGCCGTGCCGGCCAGCGAGAGGACGTGGGTGGCGACGGCATTCATGGCGTCGCCAAACGAGGGCGTGGCAAATGCTTGGAAGCCGAGGTCGTAGGGTCCCTGCGACGGCGCCTTGTGAGGCCGGCTCTGGGCCAGGCACGCAATGGCCGTCAACCAGACGGCGACAAAGAGGCAGCCCATGCCGAGCCAGCCAAAGGGGGCGACGTACTTCATGGTGCGGCAGATGGTGCACACGACGATGGTGATGGCAGCAGCAACAGTCATCCAGACGATGGAGCAGGCAGCATGGTCAGTGAGCGTGTTGAGGGCGATGGAGAAGGTGACCATGGCCGCGCCAATGATGAGGGCATTGTAGAGCCAGTAGAAGAAGCCCAGGACCTCACGGCCCATGGGTCCAAAGATGAGCTGACCGGCGTCGCCGATGCTGTGCACGGTGCGGTGGGCCTGTCTGAACCGTCCCATCTCCAGGCCAGCAAAGGTGGTGATGGCGCTGATGATGAGGAGCGAGATGAGGCCAGGCACAATGCCGAGGGTGGCAAAGGTGCCAGGGATGCCCAGTACACCGAGGCCGAACTGCGACTTGCAGATCAGGACGGCGGCGCCTTGCCTATCATAAATTCACATGTGTGAGATGGCCATTAAAGCTTCATCGGTGTAGTGTTAATGCTCACCAGCTAAGACCGTGAAAGTCAGGGCCGACATCGGCGTCGACAAAGACGTCCTCCTCGGGCGTCTCGGGGTAGTCGCTGACGTTGGCCTCTGCCTTCTGTCCAGGCATCTCGACGTCTTCAGTGGAGGAGTGTTTCGACATGGCTCTTGTGTTATCTGGCTTGCACTCTGCGCTCATGGTGCCTCCTTTTATGTGTTCCCCCGTCATGAAGCAACCGTCAAGCTGATAACGATTGCCCAGAGCCGGACGTCACATTCTGACGGGAGCCGTGTCATGCAAGCCTAATTTTAGAGCCGTGCCTCCCCGCGGTGACAGAGCCGTGCTTGGACGATTAAACTTTTAAAGCGCGCGCAGAGCAAGCCACCCGTTAACCATTCCATCAATCCACCACTTCTAGCTACAATGACCCAGGAGACACCTCACCCTCTCGACCCAGCCACGCCCAGGGAGCTGGCGGCCGCCGTCGACCTCATCCGAAAGAGCTGCTCGGGCGTCGATGTCCAGTTCAAGGCAGCCGGCCTCAAGGAGCCGTCCAAGGAGGCGCTCCTGCCCTTCCTGCGCGCCGAGCGCTCGTCGATGCCATACAACGCCCCACCCCGGCTCATCTACGTCATGTTCCTCTACCGACACACGCCAAGGCTCTTTGACGCCGTCGTCGACGTGACCAACGGCAAGATCCTCGAGGTCGAGGAGCAGCCACGGGGAAACCACGCGCCCGCCGACCGTATCGAAATGAACGAGGTGGCTGCCACCTGCCTCAAGTCGCCCCTCGTCCAGAAGGAGCTCAAGCGGCTGGGCCTCGACGCCGACGTGGTCGTCATGGACCCTTGGATCTACGGAAGGGACGACGACGTCGAGGACCGGCGGTTGGCCCAGGTCTTTTTCTACATTCGCAACCCCAAGAAGTCCGACGACTTTGACTCGAACCACTACGCGTTTCCACTCGACTTTATGGCCGTGACAGACATGGTGGAGATGCGCGTCGAGGAGATCGGCCGGATCCCCCTCGGTGCCACGAGCGTGACGGGCAAGGACGAGGCGCCGCTCAACGTCGGCCAGCCCGTCGAGGCCGAGTACGCCCACCACCTCCAGTCGCAGCCTGCGCGCACGACCGTCAAGCCGCTGCAGGTCGTGCAGCCCCAGGGCGCCAGCTTCACCGTGGCAGGCAGCCTGGTCGAGTGGGAGAAGTGGCGCTTCCGTGTCGGCTTCAACTACCGCGAGGGCATGACGATCCACGACGTCACCTTTGACGGCCGCGAGGTCTTTTACCGCCTGTCGATGTCGGAGATGTTTGTGCCGTACGGCGACCCGCGCAACCCGCTCCACCGCAAGGCCGCCTTTGACCTCGGCGACGTCGGTGCCGGCTCCACGGCCAACAACCTGGGCCTGGGCTGCGACTGCCTCGGCCTGATCAAGTACTTTGACGGCGCCGTCATTGACCAGCACGGGACCGTGGTGCCCAAGCCCAACGCCATCTGCATGCACGAAATCGACGCGGGGATCCAGTGGAAGCACACCAACCACCGGACGGGCAAGGCGTCGGTGGTGCGCAAGCGCCAGCTGCAGCTCCAGACGATCATCACCGTGGCCAACTACGAGTACATCTTCTACTGGACCTTTGACCAGGCCGGCGAGGTCGAGTTTGAGACGCGCGCCACGGGCATCCTCAGCACCACGCCCATCGACCCACGCTGCGACGAAGAGGTGCCGTTTGCCACCCGGGTCGGCGACGGCGTCCTGGCCCCTTACCACCAGCACATCTTCTGCCTGCGCATCGACCCGTGCATCGACGGCGACGGCAACACCGTCGAGGTCGTCGACAGCGTGCCCATGATCGCCGACCCGGTGCTGAACCCGTACGGGACCGGGTACGTGACCGAGTCGCGAAAGATCAAGACGTCGGGAAGCGAGGAGACGGACCCGCTCAAGGCGCGCATCTTCAAGATCATCAACCCCAAGAAGATGAACCGCGTGTCCAAGACGCCCGTCGGCTACAAGCTCATGCCCATCTCGTCGCAGAAGCTCCTGGCCGCCCCGGACTCGTGGCACGCCAAGCGCGCCGAGTTCGCCCACGCGCCCCTCTGGGTCACGCGCCACCGCGACGACGAGCTCTTCCCCGCGGGCCGGTACACCAACCAGTCGCGCGGCGGCACGGGCATCAAGTCGTGGGTCGACCGGCGCGACAGCGTCGAGAACCAGGACCTCGTCCTCTGGCACACGTACACCTTCACACACAACCCGCGCACCGAGGACTTCCCCGTCATGCCGGCCGAGTCGGTGCGCATCGCCCTCAAGCCCATCAACTTTTTCGAGTACAACCCGGCGCTCGACGTGCCCGAGAGCACGCAGGCGTCGAACAAGAGCGTGCTCTACCAGGCCGCCAACGGCTGCTGCCGCGGCGACTCTCCATAGATTTCTTTTGCTTTGCATCTCCGTTCGCTACTGGGCTTTTCATGAATCTGTTCATTTCACCATTTGGGCTACTCTCGAATCTATTCACTGCACTCTTTCTCAGGCTCGGGCTGCTCATGGATTTGTTCTGAGCACTCATGTCTATATTCAGTCCACTATCAGGCCAGAGTATCACTACGCTACACCTTTGGCACGAGCCTGCTCGCGCTCCTCCTTTTCCCGAGCGATGGCAATGGTCGCCGGGCTGCGCGCCCGGATCTCGGCGCCGCGCCACTTGAGAATGAAGGGCAGCAGGCCGAGGACAAGGGCGATGCATGCGACCATCGTCGAGGCCCACTGCGTGCCCATTCTCTCGTACGCCGTCTTGCTCACGAGGGCTGCCGCAAGAAAGTCAGCTTCTTCAAACAAAAACATCGCCTGCTTGTCCAGGGCAGACACTCACGGAAGATCGAGGCCAGCGTGTTGCGGAAGCACGACTGCGCAGCCAACGCAGACGACGCGTACTCTTCGTAGGCATCGGCGAGGTAGGTGTAGGCGGAGAGGTAGATGGAAAAGATGCCAAAGTTGATGATGACGAGGCCTATGCACGGCCCGATCCAGTGCAGCCACGGCCGGCCGGTCCACGCAAAGATAAAGGCACCCACGGGAAACGCAATGGCGCCCACCATGCAGCCGTACAGGCGCGACTCGGGCTCAGGCTTGGTGCCGTCGGCACGCCGCGCGGCATCGCGCCGGTAGAGTCGCTCCTGGAAGACGTTGTTGAAGACGAAGCTGAGGAAGCAGCCGATGAATGTGCACAGCTGGGGCAGGTTCTGCTCGCCCGTGTTCCAGCCGTAGGCCGAAAAGACAATGGGGATGGCCGAGAGGAGCAGGTAGGAGCAGGCCCAGCCGAAGCCGATCCAGAGCGAGTAGAACATGATGATGGGCTCTGTCAGCAGGTAGCGCAGCGGCCGGCCCAGCGAGTTCTTGAGCAGCGTCTTTGCATCGACGGCCTCGTCATCGGCACGCGTCCGGTGTGGGATGCCCGTCTCCTTGGTCAGCCGCTTTGCACGTCTCTTGAGCAGCACCGAAGCGCGTGGCTCGCCGAGGAAGAGGGCAAAGCAGATAAAGGAGACGCCGCAGACCATCATCTGGGGTGAAAAAGCCCTGTCAGCGACTGTGGGGAACTACATCAGGCAATGAAGCAGCGTCTCACCTGGATCCAAAAGATCCATCGCCAGCTGAGCTCCTGCGCCACCCAGCTTGCATAGACTGGGCTGAAGCTTTGTGCCTGAAAAGAACCGTCAGCGAGGCGAGGCAGACAGAGAACAGAGGACAACGCACAGCAAAGAGACAGAGAGCGTACAGGCTGAGGACAATGCCTCGACGGTCAGCCGGAAACATGTCGGCAAAGTAGCCCCCCGACATGGAGTTGCCCACAGACCCGACGCAGCCCTGAATGAACCGTGTGACTACGATGGTCTCCAGATTCTGAGCCAGCGTCTGGCCGAGGAACAGCACCAGGTTGCTGAGCGGGAAAAGACAGGAGGTAAGCGATTGGCAACCGTCGCAATACAGGCATGCGCAGACACGCACCAGAAGGCAGACACCATCATGACCGGCCACCGTCCAAAGCTCTCAGACACAGGCGCGAGAAGAAGAGGCGCAAAGGCGATGCCGAGAAGATAGACGGTGATGCCAGACTCATAGGCCACATAGGGGTACGGTCCCAGGTCTTTGTTGACGCCCTTGTAGGCCTGGCCGTAGCCTGCGCTCATCGACGCGCTGGCAAAGGAAAAGGTCATGACGGTGCACGCGCAGATCCATTTTTGTCGAGTGGGCCAGTTCTGGGGATGCTCTGGGTCATCCTCGGCCCAGTCAATGTAGATGGCCCCGCTGGGCTCAGGCGTCGCGTCTCCCGAGGCCGTCTCCATCTGGGCACCGTCGTCGATCTTCTTCTTTGTCGGCGTGTCCATCGTCGAGGGTTAGGGAAGCGGGGTTTTAACTGGGGCAAAGTTCACCTTTATACGAGACGGCATCCTGACTCCACCCTGCCGCAGGAACGCAGGTTTTGCTCATTGCTTGGCTCAATCAGGCGTCAGTCATTGGTACGAGGCAGTCGCTGCTGCGTTGGGGGGAAGGCGAAGTCGAATTTCGAGCGGAGCAATGATTTTCCCCAATGCGATATTTCTTCGAGCCACGTGCCAATACAAAGGACAAAGGATCAGCCCGCAAGGGTTCGCTCGAGGAAAAACCATCTGCCCCTACGGCTTCGACAATTCCCCGCGCTCCAAGAGGCCGGGGTTTCTCGCTCCTCCGCAAGAGGCCGGGGGCCCGCGTGCGCCTGCCGAACAGGGCGCAGGCAGCGGCCGATGCGAGGCGGGGCTCTCGTGTGTCTTTTGATCGGGAGCTGCGGAGTGTCGCATGGCCGGGTGCAAGGCTCATTCCTACCAGTCAGGGTTCATCTCAATGCAGGCTCGAAAGAAATCAACTCCAGTAATGAAACAATGCTACTACTATTATTGCATACGTCGGGATGGTCTCACACTCAGAGTGAATCTGGAAAACGTCATGGCTATCGACTACGGCTTCCGATGACGCGGTCGACCATGTCGGGACACGCTCCCAGGTAGTTCCTCGGATCAGTATAGTAGCGCAGCTGTTCGTCGTTGAGGATCTTGGCCACCTTTGCGTCGTGCGAGAGAATGTCGTAGAGCGACGTCCTCGTCTCTCTGCTCCGCTTTGCTGCTTCGTAGATGATGTCGTGGGCAGGGACCCGGCCAGTGGTCGGCGCAATGGCCGTCATGACATGCTCGGCAGTGATGAGGCCGTTGGACAGATCCAAGTTCCTCTTCATCGCTTCCTCGTCCACCTCGAGCCCGCTGAGGAGGAAAGCGGCTTGGGCGAGCGACTGCGACAGGTAGACAAACGACTCCGGCACGGCGACCCACTCGAGGTGCCAGGGCCCCGTGGCGCGCTCAAAGTCAGAGAGGAGCGCGTCGGTCGCAAGCGAGGCATGGTTCCTCAGAAGCTTGCAGAGGGCCAGAATGACTTCGCAGGCAATGGGGTTCCGCTTGTGCGGCATCGTCGACGAGGCGCCGCGGTGGGGCACGAATGGCTCCCGGAGCTCGGCAAACTCGTCGCTGCACATGATGCTGAAGTCGAGGGCCATCTTGCCCAGGGAACCGCCAATGTTGGCCAGGAGGGAGACGAGCTCGGCGATGCCGTCGCGGGCCACGTGCCAGCAGATGGGCGGCTCCTCGAGGCCCATATCGTCGGCGAGGCCCGCAAGGACCTGCAGACCGAGCGGTGGGGCACCATCGGCGCACCTGCCTCCCAGCGAGGCCGCCGAGCCTGAGCCGCCGCCGAATTGGGCCATGAGGACGCGAGGGCGGAGCTGGGCCAGGCGCTCCTTGTGCCGATCGAGGGCCGAGAGGTAGACAGCGCACTTGTAGCCAAAGGTGACGGGCAGCGCCTGCTGCAGATGCGTCCGACCAATCATGATCGTGTCGCGGTGCTTTGTGGCCAGACCAACGAGGAGACGTCGGACCTCGTCGAGCTGCCGATCTAGGACATCGAGTCCCCGTTTCACCTGGAGCACCGTTGCGCCCTCCATGACATCCTGCGTGGTAGTGCCCCAGTGGAGATACCTGCCCGACTCGCCGCACAGTTTCGAGAGCTGCTCGACGAGACCCACAATGGGATAGCCGACGATATCGTGCTTTTCTCGGAGTGCATTCATGTCGAGCTTGCTGGCGTCAGCTTGTTCTGCAATGCCGCGGGCAGCCCAGGTGGGGATGATGTCGAGCTTGCCCTGAACGCGCGCCAGTGTGACCTCCCACTCGACGAGAGCGGCGACAAAGGCCTCGTCGGAAAAGATGGCCCTCATCTCGTCGTTGCCGAGCATCGTCCTGAAGAGACGCGAGTCGAGTGCCGAGACGTTTCCGCCGCAAGGCAGACTGCTGCGCGCCGTGGCCATCGTCACGCTGTCCGTGCTCGTGGATGTGGGTGCCATGGCGGGCTTGTCTGGCGTGACCGTCACGGCCTTCGTCTGCCCGCTCCTTTTTGTATGCTCAAGGCAGGCGCGACCTTGGTCCGTGCAGACACGGAACTTGACCGTGCGTTTTTAAACGCGCCAGAGAGCATTGTATCTAGACTAAGATCTGCGGGATCAAGATTGTATGCCGGAACTTGGCCGTCTCGCACATGAAGCGGCCAAGATCCGTCCCCCACACACGCACAAGTCCCGCGCTGAACCTCCTCCCCCGCGTCGCCGGCAAGCTGTCTGTTCCTGGTGCCACGGAAATGCGCTTGGCAGGGCGCGAGCAAGACAGTCATGGTATAAAGGCAATGGGCAATCACATCTCCCAGCAGGTCCAACGAAAGGCACAACTAAACAAAGATGCGACACGGGCTCGGCACTCGCCCCCTCAACGCCCTCGTGGCCCTGCCCTCCTTCTTTGTCCTGGGCTACTCACAGTCAAGCCTGGGCGGCCTGGTCAAGTTTGATGACTTCAAGCTACACTTTCCCCAATGCACTGACCCAACGATCCAAGGTAGGTTCTCAGACAGACAGAAAAGCACGTGAACAAGAGCATGTCGCTGACTTCTTCAACAAAGGCATCACGGTCTCGTCCTACACGTTGGGGGCTGCCCTTGGCGCGTTTGCCACTTTTTACCTCGGCAACCGCCTCGGTCGACGCAGGTCGGCCATGCTGGGCGCGACGGTGGCAATCGTTGGTCTCGTCCTGCAGGCGTCGTCGTTTGCGCTCGCCCAGCTGATCCTAGGCCGGGTACTCGTCGGCTTGGGCGTCGGCATCCAGTCGGCCACAGTGCCCGTGTGGCAGTCGGAGCTGTCGATTGTCTCGTCAAAGCGAGGGGCCCTCGTCATCTTTGACGGCATCTGCCTCGCCCTGGGCATCGCCTCGGCCGCCTGGGTCAATCTCGGCTTCTCCTTCATCGGCGGCCGCTCGGCCCTGGCCTGGCGCCTGCCCAGCGCCCTGCCCCTGGTCCCGATGCTCGTCTCGCTGGCCGCCTCTGCCCTCGTCCTCGAGTCGCCCCGCTGGCTGCTCAGCGTGCACCGCGAGGAGCGCGCACGCGAGGGCATCGCCACGCTCCTCAACGCAAGGAGCGGCGCCACCCAAGTCGACGAGTACGTGGCGAGCGTGACGCGGGTCCTTGCGCAGGCTCGCGCCGAGCCGTCGCTCTGGAAGCTCGTCAGGCCCGACGACGGCTGCCCGCCCCGGCTCCGGACGAGGGCCGCCCTCGCCGTGGTGACGCAGGCGTTCCAGCAGCTCTCCGGCGGCGGCCTCATCTCCTACTACTCGGGCACCCTCTTTTCCCAGCTCGGCTTCGACGCCACCGAGACGCGCGTCCTCTCGGCCACGGCCCTGACGTTCAAGCTCGTCTGCACCCTCATCCCCTTTCTCCTCATCGAGCGACTCGGCCGAAGGAGGCTGCTCATCGTCTCGGGCGCCGGCATGGCCTCGGTTCTCGTGGTACTCGTCATCACCAGTGCCTACTCGTCGGCGCGTGGTGCCGTCTACGTGTCGACGGCGTGCATCTACCTCTTCAACCTCTTTCTACCCATTGGCTTCCTGGGCGTCAAGTGAGTCAGCTGACCCTCCCCCCCGGCACGAGGGCCCAGCGACTGACGCGACGAACAGCTACCTGTACTGCGCCGAGATTGCGCCCCAGACCTACCGAGCGCCCATCTCGGCCCTCTCGACGGGCGTGCACTGGTGTGGAAACTTCATCGTGGCCATGGTCACACCCGTCGGGTTTGCCAGCCTGTCCTGGGGCTACTACATCATCTTCACCGTCATTGCCTCGGCCATTGTGCCCACCGTCTATTTCTTCTTCCCAGAGACATCGGGCCTGAGCCTCGAGGAGATCGACGATTTCTTTGCCGAGTGCGCCTCGACGCGCAGCGTCGTGCCCACCTTTGCCAGGCTCCGACGCGAGCACACGCCGCCGTCGCGCGTCATGGGCGCCGACGACGCGTGCGACGTTGAGCTCGTCGGCAGCAGCGGCGGCGGCGATGATGTCGATGCAAAGGTGCGGTCCTCGTCGTCCTCGTCGTCTGAGAGAGTGTATGCTTCATTTCCAAAAGTGTAGAGTTGAAATTAAACATAGCCAAAGAAGTCAATTTCGTTTGGGTTGGAGAGGGAGCTTGTGAGAAGACTGATGATCCTGTCAAACTCCGTCTCGGCGCCCTCTGTCGTCGTTGGCGGCTGCAGCTGCACTACACTCTGCACACCCACTTCGTGCCGCCGTCGCTGCTCGAGGTGCGCCACCTGGGCCCTGACGCCCTCGAGCTGGTTGGCCACGCCAGGGCAGAAGTCGGCAATCGAGTCGAGCAGGTCCACGGCCTGGACGATCTGATCGAGCGTGGAGCCCCTTTCGGCCGAGAGCGGCGCGGGCGCCAGGAGCTCCTCGATCAGCAGAGCCACGGCGCGTGAGACGGAAAAGGCGGCGACGGTGAAGCGGTACTGGCCGTAGGCCTGGCGGGCACGCCGTGTGATGCTGAGCGTCGCCTTGGCCGACTGGATGGCTTCCTGACGCAGCCAGGCGCGCGCCACCGTCTGCGCGTTGAGCATCACGCAGGCGTGGTACAGGCAGTGGAGATTGATGACGTGGGGCATGGCCGCGAGGCCCGAGGCCGTCGTCTCCGGCTCGAGTTCGAGGTACGCAGGCAGCGTCTCGCGCCACTGGACCAGGCTGTATTCGTGCTCGGCGGCGAGGCCCGCAGCCTTGCTGGTAGGCGCGTTTTGAGCCCCATACCTCGCCAAGAGCACGCTCTCGACGATCCGGGCCAGCTTACAGGCGTGCGTAAAGCACGAGACGGCCCTCGTGGGGCCTCGTCGCACAGCCGCCTCGCCCTGTAGCTCCACTCCGACGGGCGTCCACTCCTCATGCTCAGTCGCATCGTTGGAGAAGCAGAGCTTCGGGCTCCGGGCGTCAAGCACGAGGGCCGGCGCGCGGCCAAAGTAGAGCCCTAGACACTTGTCCCACAGGTAGCATGCCCAGAAGATGCGCCGTCTCCTCTCTGTCTCCTCTGTCACCGCCTCTGCTGGGCCGCTGCCGGGCGGCTCGCTTTCTCTTCCACACTGGTGCTCCGATCCAGGCTCGGACTCAATGTGCAAGCCCAGATCGATGAGCTGGCGAAACGCCATGCCGCCGTACATCCAGGCAGGCGATGGCCTTGCCGCGCTGTAGGCCACGCCACTCAGGAGCAGCAGGCCCTGGATTGTGGCCACCTTGCTCGGTCGCTGGAGCTCCTCGAGCATGAGCTTCGTCGCCGTCGACTCAAAAATGTCGCACTGCTCGCGGAAGCGACCCGAGGGCAGCGCCAGGTTGAAACGCGATGCGTGGGCCAGGACGGCGTAGAGGAGGAAGGCGCTCTCGTGCAGGTCGCGGGCAGACACAGGCCGATACAGCATCGAGTAAAAAGGATGGACAAAGGACCAGTGGCAGGCCAAGAGATACGAAAAGTCGTCGGCAGAGAGCCCTGCGACGCTCTCGGCCGCCAGCGTGAGGTTCACCGCTCGAACCTGCTCCGAGGCAAAGCCCGTGCTCGGCACAAGCGCCGACGCCGACGTAGGCGCGGCAGGCAGAGGATTTTCCGATGGCTGACAGCCCGCATGCCGATGCAGCTGCTCCTCTAGACGGTCGCAGTAGGCTTGCAGCTTGTCCATGTCGCTGATCGAGGGCGTCTGCGAGTACTCACACCGCTTGCCGAGCCGGAGGCAATGCACGCATTTGGGCCGCCTGCCATCGCACTTGAGCTTGCGTCCGCGGCACGCATCACATGCAAATCCACTCCTCCGCCTCGGCCTCACGACAGAATGGCTGCACCCACGTGCTTCGCCCTTGCGGAGAGGCGACGAAGAAGGCGGCATGCTGCCATCGCTGCCTGTCGTTGCCTGCAGGCCCAGTCGAGCACGCTTCATACTGTGCAATATTTATTGAGATCCGTCGGCCGAAGATCGGAAAGAAGGCGCGACTCGCGTCTCCCGACCATCGCTTCTCACTTTTAATTGAGGGTCACCCATCTAATTCTATTATCAGGGCCAGCCTAGGGGTGACAACGTGCCATGGGGCTATGCCAGAAGCATGTTCTGAGGGGACATGGTCCAGCAGCGAGACACACGGTTGTCGCGATAACGCAGACTACTGGCTTGACTGGCCGCGGACAAAGGCGAGGCCCGAGAAGTTGCCCTCGTCGCGGACAAGGGCCGTCTTGGTCTTTCCCTCGTAGTCAGTCTTCCAGAGCGAGCCCAGCAGGTCGGACACGTAGACGAGGCGCTTCTCTGTGTCCAGCGCCAGACCAATGGCCTCGTGGAAGCGCTCAGCGACGATGAGGCGCCCGTCTGGCTGCTGGGGCTTCCGCTTGGGCTCCAGGGCGGTGCTCACGTCGTACTTGTTCAGCGTGTTGCCAAAGGGCGGGTCGCCGCGGTCCGTCCAGAACAGCAGCTGTTCCTCAGAATCAATCTCCAGGTCGATGGGCTCGGGCATGTGGTCGAACAGCGTCTCGATGTCCGTTCTGGTCTGCGCCGTCAGGCCTGCCGGGACCTCGAGGTTGGCCCGCAGAATGCGACCGACGGAGCCCTTGCTGAGGCCCTTTTGGGTCCAGTAGACGAGCTTCTGCTTGGGGTCCACCGTCACACCCACGCACCAGTCGAGCGCGTCGGTCAGGGGGCGAGGCTTGCCCGGTGCCGCGTCGTACAGCGTCTCGACCTGCGATCCGTCGAGATGGGCGCGCTGCACACGGCCGCCTTCGCGGTCCGCCCAGTAGATCTTGCGTGCGCCCTGGTCAAGGTGGCACTGCTTGGGCGTAAAGATGGCGCCGCTGGGCACGACAACCTTGGCCTCGGTCTCGCCCTTGGCAAGCTTGGAAATGGTGCCGTCGCTGGCCGTGGGCGAGGAACCCATGTTGGTGAAGTACACGTCGCCGGTGGCACTGTCGACCTGGACGCCGTCCGAGCACGTGCGGAGGCCGCCGACAAGGATCTTGACCCCGGTTCCCGCCGTCGTCATGGAGCGCACCTCGCCCTTGACGATGTCGAGGTAGATCAAGTGGTCGTCGGCGTCGGCGTCAGCGTCGGCGTCGACCTCCTTCTTGGGAGGGTGAGGATAGAAACCCTGACCCGTCTTGGCCCCCAGCTCGTTCTTGGCGATCTTGTCGTCGAGCAGATGCATGACCTCGTCGGGAAGACCCTTGCGATTGTGGCGATAGTGTGCCTCGATATCGCGGACGACGTCTTGATGTCTTCCAGATTCAGCTCCAAGCCATTGCAAATGTCAAAAGGCGAACGAAGCAGCTCACCCAGGCCCACGAGGTCCATGGCGTAGAAGGGAGGGTGGGCGAAGCCGAGGCCCTTTTGCAGCAGGCTGTCGATCTGCGCTGGCTCAGCGACGCCCTCGGCGACGACGTAGAGGCACTCGCGCTTGATGGCCGCCCAGACCCGGTTGGCAATCAGGCCGACGGACTCCTTCTTGACCGCATAGGTAAGCAGACCGTGGCGCTGCGACTGCTCGACGAGGAGCGGCAGGATGCCAGCGTCGGTGTACGGGTTGGGCATGATCTCGAGGGGCAGCAGACGGGGCGGCAAGTAGTAGTGCATGTTGATGATCCGCGCCCTGTTGGTGACCTTGTCGATGATCTCGCTGGCTGTGAAGCTGGAGCTGTTCGTCGCAATGATGACCGACTCGGGCGTGGCGGCGTCGAGCTCTCCCAGGACATCGATCTTGAGCTGGCGATTCTCAGGCACTGCAGCTGCGTCAGCAACCAGGAGTCATCAAGCAGGATTGCTTGCTACCTCACCCGCCTCGGTGACGAGCCATGTCGCCTGCAGCGCCTCGCTGCGGTCGGTAAATACCTTGAGCGTGCCCCTCTTGCCGTTGGGGACGACTTCGAGGAGAACGGCGTCGATTTTCTCGTCGATGAACGTCTGTGCGCTCTGAAGCGCCTCCGCATTGGAGTCGCTGTATCTACGGTCAGCAGGGATCGCTGGGGCTGCCTCTGCAGATGCTCACAAGAGGTGCACAGTGCCGCCCTGGGTCAGCCACATGAGGGCGATCCGCCGGCCGAGGGTGCCCGCACCAATGATGGTGTGCGCCAGCCCTTCGATGCTCGACGGCTGTCTGTAGACCATGGTTGTTGGGTTGAACGTGCGCCCATGCTGGCATGCCCCGAGAATGGGTGACGAGGGACCGCGAGGTCGTCTGCTCCACTTTATCTGGCGACGCATAGATAGAATTTCGTGCACCGGGATATTAGCCGGAGATTCGTGGGCCAATCTCACTTGAGACAGCGCTCCCTCACTCCTTCGCGCGGTCGAGTTTAATCTCACAGACGGGTATCTGTCTGCAGAGCCTGGGCTTTAGACAAGAACTTAACTCTGGCTGCTTCATGGGCTCACACAACTGGCTCAAAAAGGTCATGGATGTTCGCAGGCAATGTATGAAGACATGTTCAGCAGGTGAATAGAATACGGACGCTCTAGGCAGTAGTACACCAGACTAAGGTGTGACTTCGCACTTGACCTTCATAAAGTAGTCGACCATCTCGCCGCTGCAGTGCTTGTCTCCTCCGTTCTCGTATGTGCAGGTTCCCTTGGGCTGGCCGTTGACGTAGACGGCGCCCTGGGTGGCGCCGAGCTTTGGCTCGACATCGTTGTACTTGACGAGCGTGATCTCGCCTTGGACTGCAGAGAAAAGGCTGCATCAGTACATGCTCCCACAATTCTGTCAATGGAACACTCACTGCCGTTGAAGCCCGACGGAAGATGCTGAGGCGCTTTTTCATTGCCGTCGTACCCGGCACGGCCATCACTGCCGCATCCGTTAAAGTCGAGCGGAGCTACCGTGTAGTCGGTCCACGACGTGCAGCCTGGCCCCGGGGTGAGGCCGCCCCCAAAGCACTGGGTATAGGTGGCGGCAAAGATGCCAAAGTCGTTGGTGCCACGCCTCTGTTGCTCTTTGACGGGCGCGCTGGAGACAGCGACGGCAGTGGCGAGCAGAAGAACAGAGGTGGTGAGAGCGAATCGCATGGCTGAAGAGATGAATGGACGATATACAGCGCGGAAGACACCGTTCCTTATATACCTGTCACTTTTACGACAGCCGGACGGCGACCTTGTGCACCAAACCAGGAACCAGGAACACGTCGTCATCGTTTGGGCGCCATGAGGTATTTATTCTGATCCAAGTTTTGACGCCCATTTGACGCTGCCCCAGAATATGACAGACACTGCGTTTGCAGGGTGACAAATAATCGCCCACCTCGGTACCTTAGATACACCGCTGTCAGCGTCGTTGTCATCAGGCCAAAAAGGCAAAGTGGGACCACAGAGGCACATTCTTACGCGTGCAGTGGCTGCGTGCGGGATTTAGGCACGAGTCACCGCCAAGAGAATGCTTACGTAAGCCCAGATCTTTATCTCAAAAGTCGAGATCCTCCAGCCTGGGGGCCTCGAACTCTGCAAAAATACCGCAATGGCACCCACAAGGACCCCAACCGAGTCGACGTCGCCCTGGCTCGCCGACGAGGACGAGCGGCTGAAGAGCCTGGTGGAGCAGTACGGCTCGTCGCGGGGCAAGGAGAGCCGGTGGACCGAGGTGGCGGCGCGCATGCCCGGGCGAAGCGTCAAGGCGTGCCGCAAGCGCTGGTTCTATTCCCTCGACCCCTCGGTGAAGCGGAGCAACCGGTGGAAGCCAGAGGAGGACGCGCAGCTGCTTGCGCTCGTCGCTCTCCATGGGAAGAGCTGGGTGCGCGTGGCGCAGGACATGCCGGGGAGGACCGACGACATGTGCTCGGCGCGCTTCTACAACGTCCTCGAGACATCGTCGCGGGAGTGGGGCGCCGACGAGGACGCGACGCTGCTCCTGCTCCACGACGAGCTGGGCAACCGATGGAGCGAGATTGCGCGGCAGCTCGAGGGGCGAAGCGCGCTGGCCTGTCGCAACCGGTGCCGCAAGTTCCACGCGCTGGCGACGCGCACAAAGTCGGGAGACGAGCAAAAGTGGGCGACGGCGGCTGCGGCCGCGGCGGCAACGGCGGCGGCAAATGCCAGCGAATGGCAGTCCTGTGGGCCGAGCGAAGATGCGTCCCGGCGAAACAGCGACCATTCCGTCCTCGCACACGACGTCCTGGACGAGCTCGACGACTTCGACTTTGGCTCGCCCGCGCAACTGGCAAGCACCTCGTCGCAACTGTCGGACCAACAGACCGAGGCACAGAGCGCAGACTGGGCTGCGCTTGAGGCCATCCTGGGCAGGCTCCTCCCCAACCAGGGCGACGCCGATGTTGCGCTTGGCTTTGTTCGCCACCTGAGCTGGCAGTCGTAGTTGTCCGCTGGCTCCATCGTTCCAGCATCATGGACATGCCCGGTGGGCCGCACATCCGTAGTCCATCGTCGCACCCCAGGCTGCCGAGGGGGCCGATCAAGATTCAAATCCTGACGAGCACCGTACGCGGCCCTCGGAGAAGACGCTAGCAGACCGCACCCTGCGTCATCCGAGTCATCTCCTAGCAGAACAAGTGTGTCTTCCTAACCGCTCGCTGGAGAGTCACCCTTTCAGTCAAAGCGTGGGAGGAGTCGCAGCTCTGCGCATTGCTCGTGTAGTGCGGTCTGAGTACGCATTGTAATATATTCAGCTCATTGTGATGTGCGCTTATTGAGGGTGAGACTGGCAGGTGGAACGTCCAGTCACAGCATACAAGGGACTCATAGAGAGGGAGCATCGCTTCGTTACACTATCCGACCACCCTTACGGGGGCACACTAGCTCTCAAACGCACCGAGGTCGGGTGCTTTGCCGTGGTAGGGCAGGCCCACGTCGATGCCAGCGTCTACCAGTGGGCTGTTGGGACGCAGGCGATAATGCAGCAGGTGGGGCAGGCTGCCGTCGGCCTGGCGCGGGGCATCCCAGCCGCGGTGCGACGTGTCTACAAAGTCGGTCTCGCTCGGCACCCCCCTGCCCCGCTCCCACGAGTTCGAGGACGAGCCCGAGTCGGTGCCCGCGATCTTGAGCTTGTTCCTCGGCGACATGGAGAGGTTGTTGCGCAGGATGCCCTGCACGTCTTCCTCGCCTGTGGGCGTGATGACGGTCATGTCAAAGTCGACGCCGTTGCCAAAGGCCGTGTTGCCAAAGAATTCGTTTGCCATCGGATGGTGGTTGGCGTAGAAGCCTGCGGACTTGTTGTCAAAGGCGACGCAGAGGCGCACGGAATGCCTGACTGCATTGGACACGTACCGGGCGTCGTACCCGCCGGCCTTGATGCCGTTGCCGTTGCCCTGGACGACGGGTGTCCTCGTGCCCGGCAGATAGCCCTGATTCCAGGCCCACGACGACTCGATCGTCACGGGCGAATAGGAGTTGATCAGGTCGAAGCCGTCGTCGGAGTTGTCCCACGCACGGCAGCCGCGAAAGACGTTGCCGGGACTGCCTGTGCCGACGTGGGCGCCGAAGCCGTCGGCATTCTGGCCCGCGCCATTGGAGCTGTAGGGGTCGTAGTTGCCATGCGAGTCCGAGTTGACGACGGTGTTGTAGCTGCCGCCCTGGATAAAGAGTCCCGTGCCCATGTTGCTGTGCACGTCCAGCTGCTCGTACACGCCGTGGCTGGCCTTGATCCAGACGCCCCACGACTCGTGGTTCTCGTGGTTGCCCGGCTGCTGCGGCGCACCGGTGATCTCGAGCCCCTTGAGGTGCACCCAGTCGGCGCGCACCTCGACGCCCTTGACCCGGCAGTCGTCTTTTATCAATGCGAAGTCCAGGACGGGCTTCTCGCCCGGATAGGCCCAGTAGCGGATCGGCCGGCCCTCTTGGCCGCTCTTGTTCAAGACGACGCCAGCGACCAGGTCGGTGCGGCTCGCACAGGGCTTTGTTGCGACGTCGAACGCGTACCGTCCACCGCGCAGGTAGACGGTGTCGCCGGCCTGGGCGACGGACTGGGCGTGTGTGATTGTCCTCCATGGTGCGACCTTGGTGCCCGTGGCGTTGTCTGCACCCGACGGCGAGACGAAGAATGTGGCGGGCGCAGCCGTGCCAGTCGCTGGGCGTGCGTGGGCCGAGAGCGGAGCAAGCAGAGGGAGAAGAACGAGGAGGGCGCCGAGACGAGCCAGCAGCGAAGGGCACTGACGCCGGCCGCTGCTCGTCCACGACTGCATCGAGGGGGATTAGGGAGGACGAGGAAGATGGTGGAGAGCAAGCGGTGGTCGGTCAGTCTGCCACACAGCTGGCTGGGCGGGCGCCCGTCGTCTCACTTCAAAGTCAGCCTCAGCGATTGCTTGGCCGTGACGATGGCAAAGTATTCTGGATCACTGTCCTGCCTAGTATACATTACATGCCATTACGTGCTTGCCTTCTCAACGGCCCGGAGACAGGCGCGCACCTCGTGCTGCGCCTTTGCAGCCACGGGCCAGAATCTAGCATACAGAGAGAGCGAGGCCTCGAGAAAGTCGATGCGGCCCCGGAGGCCGCGCCGCTCGTCGGCCTTGGCATTGAGCAGGGCAATGACGCAGCCGTACGAGGCAAGCATGTTGCAGCATGCGATAAAGGGCCAGTGAGGGGGCGCGACGGCCTCTGCCGCGTAGCAGGCCTCAAAGTCGGCGAGCAAGAGGCCCGACATGCGGTGTGCGACGAGTGCGATCCGCGCCACGCTCTGTTCGACGAGCGCGGCATCGGGCCCGCCATCGGCCATGTGCTCGCTCTGGAAGCTGCACGAGCGCAGGTCGAGGGAGAGGTCGGCGAACCAGGCGCGCCGGTGCAGGTGGATGCAGGTGCCGAGCAGCTGGACGGTGGCGTCAAAGAGGAGTGTGCGCCTGGTGGCGGTGCTGCGCGCGCACGTCGCTGTAGTCGTAGCCGTAGCCGTAGCCGTACCCGTAGCCGTAGCCGTAGCCGTAGCCGTAGCCGTACCCGTAGCCGTAGCCGCCGCAGCGTGCGCGCCGACCTTGGCGTCGGCGGCGAGCCAGGCGGCATGGGCACGGGCGGCGAGATGGGAGAGGACGTCGTCGAGCGCGCCGAGGCGCTGGCGGGGCGACGGCTCGGTCAGCGTCTCGCGTGTCGCCTTGCATGCTTCGATGCGGACAGCGTATGCCAGGCCCTCGTTGCTCTGCACACATCTCCATCTTGTCAGCTCTCAGTCCTTGCCCTTACGCAAGAGAGAGACTCACGCCCAGGTCATGGGGATACGCGACGGCGACGGCAACTTCGGGGCCCAGCTTGCTCGTGATCGCCCCACTCGTCGCGGCGCCCATCATGACGTCGGCGGCAAAGAGCTGTCAGTGGGGTGGGGATGGGTCGTCAGCGTGCGATGGCATCTCGGCAGAACAGCAGCCACCCACCTCCCACCATGTCCGCCGGCCGAGCTCGGCAAGCGCGTCGCTCAGCGCCGGGCGGCCCACCTCGTCGAGGCGGTGAAGCCCTTGCTGGAGGGCGATGCGGCAGGCTGCGCCGTGCTGCGTCTCGGCCAGCGCGTAGTCGCCCGCTGCGTACGCGAGGTGGGCCACGAGCAGGCGAGCCAGGATGTCGTCGAGGCTGTCGTCGAGCGTGATGCCTGTCGCTGCAGCAGGTGCGGTAGCGAGAGCACTCTGGCAGCGCTGCCAGAGCTGGACACTCTCGGGCGCCTGCATGCCCACGTAGTAGCTGTGGCCCAGGGCGGCGGCGGCGTCGACGAGCAGCGGGCTTCGCCGGCCGCTGAGCAAGTCCGCCTCCTCTGCCAGGCCTAGGACAGGGACAGAGAGGCCAAAGCTGGCAAAGTAGCGCTCAATGCTGCGGTCAGAGTCAGTCAGCTTTCATGGGCAAGGTCAGTAAGACTGTTGACAGACGCACGCACCCTGTCGCGACGACGTCCTCGTCCCGTCTGCTGCCCATCCGCCGCTTCATCTCCCGCAGCTGCGAGGCGACTGACGACGTCGGCGACGTGCCGGCAAAGGAAGAGGACACAGCCGAGGACCTCGACGAGGACGGGGAGGGCGACGACGAAAAGCACGACGGCTGCGACAGTGGCTCCGACGAGGGCCCTTGCTCGGCGTGCGCATCGAAGAGGGCGTCGAAAATGCCCAGCGACGCTTCGCAGTCAAAGGGATACGCCAGCAGGCTCAAGTCATCCTGCTGCCCTAGCGAGGGCAGCTCACTGGACTCAAAACCCTGCTCCAGGGCTGCCTTGCGCTTGGGCGGCCTTCCGGTGCGGGAGCACGGCTTCCAGGCGCACTGCACCCCGTGCATCGTACACCTCGAGCAGGCCTTTGTCGCCGGCACTACGTCGCTGCCTTCGAGGAGCATGGGGGGAAGCACTCCATCGCACTTGCTCTTTGCCTGCCGGCACGCCAGACACGCCAGCGGGTTGCGTCTCACAGTCGTCTCCATGACTGCGCAATCGCCTAGGCAATGATGTCGTAGCAAAGAGAGATGCAGATGCAGATGAGAATTAAGGCTTTCTGACACGCAACGCAGCCACATAGAGCCAAAGAAAAAGTAGCCGCGGGCTTCGGGTACTTTTTCACTACTACTTTTGACAGCTGCCAATCCTCGGGCCGGGAAAATCATCTCCATTCTTTCTTTTTCTTTCTTTGAGAGCCTGCTACTTCTGCAGGACCAGCACGGCCCAGAAGGCCACTCTGAACACGGCAATGATAATGACGCTGCTCTGGAAGCCTTAGCATGGTTGTAGGACTGCGTGAAAGGCGGGCAACTCACACGATGAAGGCGTAGAGCGTCGTCGAGATGCCCCCAAACCCGAGGGACTCGATGATGTCGCGCCCTTCGACGGCGCACTGGGCTCCCGTGGTCACGAGACGACTGGGAATCGAGCAGGAGCAGGTCTTGTCTGCAAGAGATCCTGCACAGGGAAACACGAGGCCCACGACGTCCTGTTCAGAGGACCAGTCAGCGCGTCGTTGAGGGAAAAGAGGCCAGCTAGAACCCTCACTGTCTTGACGAGGATCTGAAACGCGAAAGTCTGGTAGTCTGCAGGCGCTGTGGGTCAGACATAGCAGCAGTCTGACGACGAAAGATGTAGCTCACCGATGAAGTGGGCCCAGTAGTACCAAAAATCGGGCAGGTTCCTCATGAAGTAGCCCTGGACAGCCATCCAGAAGCCGTTTGCGAACGCGGCGACAGCGAGCGCGGCCACAAAGATGGGCAGGATGGCGGCAATGAGCAGCGACTGCGTCTCGGCCGCGTAGACGCCCAGGAAGAGAAAGGCAAGAAAGCGGAAAAAGTACGAGGCACCCCCGTGCAGACCCACAGACCAGTAGATGAGGACGGCGTAGACGACTGAGCAGACAAAGAGAAAGGGGATGGTGGCCATCGTGTTGGCCACGACGAAGGGAAGTGGCGTGTAAAGACCGTTGCGGCGCTCGCGAAACAGAACCAGGCGCTCTTCGAGAAAAGAAGGGATGCCGGCGACGGACATGAAACCGAGGAAAGCGACGCTATGTGTGGCCGCACAGACAGGTCAGCAAGAAAGGGCGCTCCCAGTGAGTCGCCAAGCCGCTTGAGCTCACCTGAAGAAGTGTACACTCAGCCGGTCGTTGATGTGGCGGTCGTCCTGGGCCATGTTGACCCACACGGTGGCGACGAGGACGCCCATGCCGAGGTACATGCCCATGCGAACACCGTAGGCCAGGAGGTTGCGACGGTAGTTGAGGACTGCGTCAAAGTCAGCGGTGCAACGCATTATCGCCCACCCTTGGACAGCTACGTACAGTTGCGCGAGGTCAGCGTCCAGCTCTGCATCACGAGATCGCTCGGAGCACGGGAGCGCTCCATCTCGAGACCCTTTTCCGACAATTGCGTGTCGGGGCTGTGGCGGCAGGCAGTCTCTGCCGCGTAGAGCGACGCCAGCTTTTCCACCTTGTCTTCGTCATCGCTCGCAGGCACGCTTCCAAAGCTGGTGGAGACGAGCTTGAGCATGTGGTCGGCCGGATTGGTGTGCAGAGGCACTGGGTAGCCCTGGCGCTCAAAGTAGGATCCCACCTGGAGCACGCTGCCGCTGTAGATGACCTTTCCACGTGCGAGGAGGATCGTCGTGTCAAACAGGCTGACTGTCGGGAGTCTGTCAGTCAAGTGATGCCATGTCGGAAATGCAACGCCTCGTATTTTGCTCACAGGTCTCCCAGTTTGGGCTGTGAATCGTCGCCACCACGATCAAGTTTTGGGCTCGGGCCAGGCTCCTGATCGACGAAAGCACCTCAAAAGCGGTGGCACTGTCCAGCCCGCTCGTTGGTTCGTCGAGAAAGAGGACGCGGGGAAAGGAGACGAGGCCATTTCCGATGGTAACCCTCCTCTTCTGCCCTCCGCTGATGCCGCGTTGGACGGGCGTTCCGATCAGGTTGTCGGCGACGGCAGCGAGTCCGAGGCCCTGGAGCAGCGAGTCGACTCGCTCGTCGATGACAGAGCGGGGCTCGTTGGGCATGCTATCTTTGTTTGTGAGTTTGCGTCATCGCGAGTGCTGACAGCAAGGGGGTACCACGCACCTCAGCCTTCCGGAATAGGTGAATGTTTCCCGGATCGTGAGGGCGCCCAAGAGTGCGTCGTCCTGCTCGACGTAGCTCATCTTACCCCTGCCTGCCAGCATGGACACAGTCCCCGCCGTCTTCTCCTTTCTTCCGGCGAGGACATCGAGGAGCGTCGACTTGCCCGCTCCCGAGGGGCCGAGGACTGAGCGTGCTGCCGTCAGTGCTTTATCATAGTCTTCAACAAGGCAAACGGACACACACTGGAGAGCATCTGTCCCGTGCGGCACGATCCATCGACCGCGTCGAGGAGCCTGATGGTGGTGCCCTTTTTGCCCTTGACGGTGTACTCGACGCCCGTCCAAGCCAGGTGGTCCTCGCCTCCGTTCTCAATGTCGGCCATCTTCATTCTCGTCGTCTATCTTCTCAATCTGTATTCTAAGACTGTTGTGCGGTGGACAGCAGCCTTTATATACCCATTGTCTCGCCTCTCAGTACGTTAAAGACACAACGACGGTCACTTTCGTGTCTAGCCGTGGCTATTTAGGCAAAGGAAATGGCCGCGGACCGCGTCTGTGGCGCAAAGAAATATTTCTCCGGTCCATTTTGATCTCAGAGGCGCCCGCGAGCCTGCCTTTCTTTGCAAATCAGTCTCTGTCACACAGTCCTTTCTGCATATATGTGCCCGTAGCATTGCAGACCATTCGGCAGAAAGACCCGAGACTAGGCACAGGATAGAATAGAGAGAGAGAGAGAAGGTCCTCGCCTGGATCACGAAACAGTCACGGTGCTCGATCCCGCGCTGTTGTAGCCCTCGGTGGCGACGATCTGGTAGTCAAAGGTGCCGAGGGGCATGCCGAGCTTGGCCCATGCACTGAAGTGGTTGCCCGTTGTGACGGTGCCGCTAGCGCGCTTCGAGGATCGGATGGACCAGTACTGCTTGAACGTCTGCGTGCCTTCGATGGAGGGCGCATTGGTGCGCGTGCCCTCGTAGACGTCGTACGTGGCGCCGTCGGACGTGAGGGTGCCCATGTGCGTCAGGCTCGACGCCGGGTTGTAGGTGCCGTAGTCTTCGAGGATGTAGTACTCGACGAGCGGGTTGCGCGACCAGCCATAGACGGACAGGTAGCTGTTGCCCTGGGGCCGGTAGTCGGCCTTGAAGGTGATGGCGCGTGCCGAGCCCGGGTTGTAGCCCTTTCCGCCGACGATGTTGCCGTTGCCGGACCACGTCAGGCTGTACTGTCCCGCAGCACCGTTGGTGTAGGTGGCGGTGGCTGTGCCATCGGTGTAGTAGGAGTAGTAGAAGCCGTTGTTGGTGCCCGTCGAGCTCGGAGTGCCGCTGCGGACAGCCAGGTCCTGGCCGTTGCTGCTCGTAGCGGCGGGGGCTGAGGCCACGCCTGCGATGGCCACGGCGCAAGCAAAGAGCGAAGAGAAGGAGACCATTGCAGAGGAAGAGGTGATGGTGAAGGTGAGCCAGCCACCGACCGTTGCACCGCTCCTTTATGAGTGGCTCGCGAGAAGAAGAGAAGCCGCTGATCAGGGTGGGGGGGGTGGGGTGGAGCCGAAGAAGAAGGGGTGATTGCTCTTCTTCGGGAGGAGCGAAGGTTTCACTAGCGGCTTCCTTAGCGTGCTGCAGCTGAGTTCCTGACAAGCTCCAATACATCTAGAGCAGGCTTCGATGGGTGCTTCCATGACCCTCTTCGGGACGGGGGCCGGTCAGGGGGCGGGGTGACTGGAGCTCACAGACCCGCGCAGCTTACCAAGAATTTTCAATGGCGTCGGAGAATGGATGACATGACCGAAAATAAAGTAAAAAGGGGCGGGGGCAAGATCGACCCTGGTCAATCTCGAGTAGTCAACGAGGAGGGCCCTCTCGCGACAAGGGCGTCAAAAGTGGGGTCGCTGTTCGCAGCAGCAGCGATCCCGCCCATGTTCTCATCACATTAGTAGTGACATGGAGCGCCCTTACTGACCCTGTCGCTGAGCTCTTCGGTCATCATCGTCTGCAGACCCGCCTACATCCTTGCAGCAAGTGAAACAACAAGCAGGCGAGACAGCAACGACAGCGGCTGTGACTCAATCCTGGAAGCGACAGCATTGCGACGTCCTGGCAGTGAAGCGACATTTCTAGATCCGCAAAGTCGAATAGGGTGTCTTCCACAAGATGACCTCGCCTCGGCCGAATCGCGTGCGCCAGTGGAGGTGAGGCTAATTTTTAGTGCGTGCGGGGAAGAGACGACGTATTAGCCGGTGCCCTCGGGACGTGGGGTCAGCCGGAGCAGGCTTCGGCCTGTGTCTGCGGTCGAGGAGCCGTCAGATGACGGGCTTCAACACCAACAATGACCGTCTCGACGCTTCCCGAGTGCCCAAAGCAGTGAGTGAGATACTGAAAGACCGTGGTGGCCAAGCGAAGACTGAGTGGAAAGACCGAAAGGTGGGATCTGAACAAGCAGGCAACCACCGTGCCTGGCTCGGAGCAGCCTGGGTACACGCCCATCTATCGCAACGCCGGCGTGCCCGAGCTCGACGCCCAGGAAACCATTTATGACCTCTTTGCTAGCGGCCTCCGCGTCTCTGCCGACCGGCCCTGCCTTGGCCAACGGCCGTGGGACGAAAAGGCAAGCGACTTTGCCCGGCGCTTCGAGTGGCTCACCTACGCCCAGGTCGATGAGCTGAGGACTGCGGTCGGGTCCGGCCTGACGCGGCTGCAGCAGGAAGGCAAGCTGGGCCAGGGTGTGGCCGACACCAACTGGATGATGGGCATCTGGTGCCAGAACCGGCCCGGTGAGTGGACGGACATGGCATGTGTGGAAGAAAAATAAGCAGCTGAGACTCGGGGACTGTCAGAGTCACAAATCATCGACCTGGGCGCCGTCTCGTACTCGCGCATGATTGTCTCGCTGTACGACAGCTACGATCAGGCGACTGCCCTCTTTGTCCTTGCTCACTCCGAGTCGCGCGTCTGCTTCACCACGGCCTCGCACCTGGCCGCGCTGCTGAGCCGGTCCGAGGAGGTGCCGCTGCTCAAGTGCATCGTCCTCCTCGACTCGATCCCGCGCCGGTCGGGCGAGGAGACGCTGGCGAGGCAGTGGGCCGAGACCCGGGGCATCCATCTCGTCTCCTATGCCGGCCTGCTCGAGCTGGGGCGCAAGCACCCCTTCAAGCACAACCCGCCGACGAACAACCGCGACGTGACCACATACTGCTACACGAGCGGCACCACGGTGAGCTCTTTTCATTCTTCTTCTTCACGAGCAACAATCAATGCTGATACTGCACTGCACTGCACTGCTTCCATCAGGGCACCCCAAAAGCGGCCATGGTCACCCATCGCCAGATTGCCACGGCGGCCATCGTGTTTGCCTACTTTGTCACGGGTGACCCGCGCGACGAGCGCACCCTCTCCTACCTGCCCCTGTCGCACATGTACGAGCGCACCGTCGAGGCTGCCTACCTGCGCATGGGTGCCTCAATTGGCTACTTTAGCGGCGATGTGCTCCGGCTCATTGAGGATGCCCAGATCCTGGGGCCGACGCTGTTTGCAGGCGTGCCCCGCGTCTTCAACCGCATCGCAGGCATGATCCAGGCCCAGGCCGACGGGCCCGGGCTCAAGGGCAAGCTGCTGCGCACGGCCATCGCAGCCAAGGTGGCCAACCACGACCAGACTGGGACGGTGCACCATGCGTTCTACGACCGCGTCGTCTTTGCAAAGGTGCGCGCCGTCCTCGGTGGGCGTGTCACGCTGATGCTCTCGGGCAGCGCGCCGATCCGGGCCGAGACGATCAAGCTCCTCCGCGTCTGCTTCAGCTGCGACATCCGCGAGGGCTATGCACAGGTCAGTCTGCCGCCAGAGAGGGTTAGGGCTCTGATGAGCTTGGGCTGACACCTGCACAGACGGAGAATGCCAGCCAGTGCCTCATCATGCTGCCCCACGACACTGTTCTCGGCACGTGTGGCCCGCCATTCATTGGCGTCGAGGTCCGCCTCAAGGACTGCCCCGAGCTGGGCTACACGTCGCAGGACAAGCCCCATCCCCGCGGTGAGATTCTCTCGCGTGGACCGGCCGTGTTTCCCGGCTACGCAAAGGACCCGGCCAAGACGCGCGAGACCATCGACGACGACGGCTGGCTCCACAGCGGCGACGTGGGCTCCGTCGACGACACGGGCCGGTTCCGCATCATCGACCGGGTCAAGAACCTCGTCAAGCTCTCGCAGGGCGAGTACGTGGCCATTGAAAACGTCGAGCAGAAGCTCGCCCACAAGATCATGGCCCAGTTCTGGCTCTATGGCGACGCGCGCGAGGCCCACCTCGTCGCCGTGGGCGTGCCGGACCCAGACGCGTTTGCGCCCTACGTCTCGTCGGTCCTGGGCAAGCAGGTGTCACCCACGGATCTCGCAGCACTCGACAGCGCCTGCTGCGACCCCAAGATCGTCTCAGCCGTCGTCAAGGACATCCACAACACTGGCAGGGCCGCGAGCTTGCGCGGCTTCGAGATCCCAAAGGCCGTCAAGCTGCGCATGGAGCCGTTCAGCATCGAAAACGGCCTCCTGACACCCACGTTCAAGGTCAAGCGCGCAGAGGCCGCAAAGATTCTCGCAGATGACATTGCTGAGCTGTACAGGGCTTCTTCTAACTTGTAGTCCACCCGTGAAACAATGTCATTTCTACTCATACTGACAGCGTGAGAGTGAGCCGGCTTTACTCTGCCTCGCCCACCAGTCTCAGGGAAATGTCCCACAGCTTCTTTTGGTTCTCGGGCTCAAAGGCCCAGGGCGAGTGGCCCGAGGCCCAGAGCGTCTTCTGGTCCCAGACCTGGCGCTGGATGTGGCAGTTGTCGAGCCAGACTCCGCCCACCCCCTCGAGCTCCTTGGCCGTGGCTGCATACACCGTCGTGGCCGCGCCCTGGGGCTGCGACTTGGAGCGCGCCTGAAAGCCCGGGTCGTCGGTGAAGGCCTTGATAGCTTTCGGATCAAAGTCCTTTGCGAGGCCCGTGCCAAAGCTGAATGCTGGCTGCAGCGACACGGCATGCACGCCCGATTTGCCGTACCGCGCCTCGATCTCGTTGGCCATCCACGTGTTCATCGTCTTGGACGCGCCGTAGCCCAGGTAGCCATTGTAGACGCCCTCGCCCTCGAGGTTCATGTTCTCCAGGTCCGCCTTGAAGCGCCGCGATGCATTGGAGCCCACGACGACGACGCGCGAATGAAAGGCACTCGACGTGGCCGCCAGCAGCGCGGGGCGGAGGAGGAGAAAGAGGAGAAAGTGAGCGAGGTGGTTGACGGCGAGGTGCATCTCAAAGCCGTCGGCACTTGTCTCGTGCTTCATTTGGTAGATGCCTGCGTTAGCAACGAAGACGTGGAGCTTGTCTTCGCGCGCCAGGAGCTCTGCGGCTGCCCGGCGGACATCAGCCAGTGACGACTGATCCATCTTGATGAGATGCACTTTGGAGGCGGCGGCACCCAGGTCTCGCTGCGCCTTTTCCAGGTTCCTCGCCGTGACGTAGACCTTTGCGCCCGTCTCGACGAGAGCCTTGGCCGCCTCGCCGCCCAGGCCAGCGGCGCCAGTGACGAGGACGACGCGACCCTGCCACTGTCCGCGCACCCCCTCCTCGTCGATGACCTCCAAGGCCGTTGGTCGGGCGTCGCCCTCTCCCTTTGGGTTGTCGAATGCCTCCTGCCAGGCCTGCTTCATTTTGGCGTTCTGCTTAAGCTTTGATCTTCGGTCTGACCGAGAAGCTGAGATCCCATCTGCACTCTTTTATAGTCTGTCCACCCCTCTGACATGCTGCTCACTCTCTACCGTGCAGTGAGCGGTTGCGTCACGCGATGACCTTGCAGAGCAAAATTAGACTCGAAATTTATGCGGACGGTGGAAGTGATCACCCATGCTCACACTTTGAGTTTTGCGAGCGGCGGCTGTGCCGATGGGGGAATCTGGCATTCCTGCTGGCCTCTCTTGGCCTTCTCCACCCGACGGTTCAGGCCTGCTTGACAAGTCCGTGGACATGTTTGGCAAGAAGGGGCATGCTGTTCCTGAGCACGTGACCGCCGTCGAGTCAGTGAAGTAGTGGCTTACCTTCTTCTTCTTCTCCGGTGCAACACGTCCTCAGGCACAGAAGACGATGTCGACGAGCGACGACGAGGTGCAGGCCCAGCTGGAGCTGCGCTCCGTCCGCGGCAGGGACACGCCGTCGCTCCGGGAGTCGATCGAGGAGCCCAACCTGCCGCCGACTGACTCGGGCTGGCAGGCCTGGACGTTTCTCGCGACGGCCACGACGATGGAGACGCTCATTTGGGGCATGGGCAACGCCTACGGCACGTTTCAGGAGTACCACGAGCGGTCGCCGGACTCGCCGCTGTATGGGAGCAGCCGCGCGTCGATCACGGCGACGGGCACGCTCATCGCCGGCGGCCTCTTCTTCAGCCCGTGGCTCTTCAACGGCTTCCTCTCCTCGTATCCGCACCTCGTCAAGCGCTTCTCCCTCGCCTGCCTCGCCCTCTCGGCCGTGTCGCTGGTCGCCGCCTCGTTCAAGCCGACGGCGATGCGCGCTGCTGCCCTCCAGGGCTTTCTCTCGGGCTGGGCCGGCGGTGCCTACTACACGCCGTGCATGATCTGGCTGCCCCAGTGGTTCGTCGCCCGCCGCAGCCTGGCCACGGGCATCATGTTTGTCGGCTCGGGCATCGGCGGCGTCGTCTGGCCCTTTGCGCTCGACGCGCTGCTGAGCCGCACGGGCTTCTCGGCGACGCTCCGCATCCTCGCCCTGATCCAAGTCCTCGTGGGCGGCCTGGCCTGGACGTTCCAGAAGCCCCGACTGCCCGTCGTCGCACCCGATGCCCGGCAGCGGCGGCGGCGCAGAAACGTCGTCGCCGGCGTGCTGCCTCGCCACGCCACGGTGCTCCACTCGCCCCTGGGCCTCGTCAATGGCGCGTTTCTCTTCTTCCAGGGCGCCGCCTACTGGTCCGTCTCCTTCTACATTGCCCCCTATGCCGCCTCGCTTGGGCTGTCCTCGACTGCATCGACGGGCGTGCTGTCATGCCTCAACGCCGCCTCGGCCGTCTCCTTTGTCGTCATCGGCCAGCTGTGCGACGCCTGGCAGTTTTCGCCCCTCGCCCTCTCGCTCTCGGCCGTGGGCAGCGCCCTCGTCGGCCTGCTCCTCGGCTTTGGCCAGTCGCTGGCGCCGCTGCTCGCGTTTGCGATCCTCTTTGGCCTCGCCAACGGCGGCTACCCCACCTTTTTGGCACCGGCAGCCAAGGAGATGGCTGCGCTGGGCTCGTCGGACCACTCGACGATCTTTGTCGAGTACCTTGCCTGGCGCGGCGCCGCCACCGTCACGGGGCCCCTCATCTCGGCCGGCCTCTACCAGCGCTCGTCGCAGCGCGCCGTCTGGGGCTCCTACGGCCTCGCACCCGTCGTCATCTTTGTCACGACGCTCCTCGCCGCCTCGGCTGGGCTCGCGGCCCTGACGCTGCCCCTCCGTCGCCGGGTCGCCTCATCGCACCGCTGAGGCACCCCTCAGTGCGCATACAATTGTAATGTAATGTATTCCATCGCTTCTTCCCTGCTGTCTCTTCTTGATGGGCACAGTGATGACCCTGACGGTGCTGTCTGTTCGCTGCAATGGCTAGCTTCATTGCTTACAGTCAAGACCCTTGCCAGTACCCATAAAAATATGCATTCCGCGTGAGAGATGATGAAAGACTAGATGACGATGCGGTGAGGGGGAGAAATGGGCTCGTAGTCGTCCTGCTCGTCGTCGGCGTGGGCGCCGCTGAGCGACTCTTCCATCTGCGCGGCATCCATGCCCCGCGCCAGGTCCTCGTCCGTCGACAGCACCTCGAGCCCGGGGACGAGGTCGATGGCGGCAATGATGGCGTACGAGGCGCAAAAGGACCACGTGAGGCCGACGGCAGCCTCGACGGCCTGGATCAGCAGCTGGCGCCAGTGGCCGTCGTGGAGCGCGCCGCCGGCGATGGACGTGGCGCCGTCGTAGGCTGCCACCTCGCGGCTCGCAAAGAAGCCTGTGGCCAGCGTGGCGACGACACCGCCCAGCGCGTGGCTCGCAAACATGTCGGCCGGGTCCACCCAGCGCAGCTTCTGCGTGGCCAGTGTCGACGACTTGAAGCGGAGAAAGACGCGGCAGGCCAGCGCGCCGAGCACGCCCATGACGACGGCGTCCGACATGCCGACGAAGCCGCCGGCGGGCGTGATCATGACGAGGCCCGCAATCATGCCCAGCACGGCGGCGTCGAGCGACATGCGGCCGGACTCGAGGTAGGCGAGGAGCGTCCACGTGGCCGCGCCCGCCGCCGCCGCGGCATTGGTGACGCAAAAGGCCATGACGGCCTTGAAGTTGAGCGCGAGGGCGGTGCCGGCCTCAAAGGGCAGCCAGCAGGACCAGATGAGGACCATGGCACAGAGCATGCTGGGGATGTTGTGGGGCTTGTGCAGCCGGATGTGGCTCGGTGTGCGCTTCGACGAGCGTCGCGAGCGAAAGAGGGGCCGCGAGAGATAGACGCTGAGCGCCGTCGCCGAGGCGCCCGAGCAGATGTGGACGGGCGTGCCGCCGGCAAAGTCGAGGACGCCGAGCGAGGCCAGCGCGCCCGTCTCGGTCCAGACCATGTGTGCGAGGGGGCAGTAGACGAACGTGGCCCAGAGCTGTTTCGTCATGTGAGCCTGTGAAGAAAAGAAGAAGCAGATCGAAGCCCCGACTCACGACGATAAAGGGGACCAGCGAGATGAGCCGGCCCCGCTCGGCCGCCCCACCGACGGCGAGGGCGCACACGGTGGCGCAGAAGATCATCTGGAACGTGCTGAACACAACCTCGGGGATCGTGCCGACGGGCGCCGCTGAGACGTTGCGGTGGAAGAGGTGGCTGGTCACGTTGCCCGCAAAGGCGTTGCCCTCGCCAAAGGCAATCGAGTAGCCCCATGCCCACCCTGGTCGACCAAGAAGACAGTCAGCCATTGTTTTATCTCCTCTATCGGCAAGCAAGCATGGCCGGCTCCTCACACTGCAACGAGACGAAAATGATGGTGAGCAGGGCGGGAAAGTACGAAGCGAGTCCGTTTCGTCGGATCGAGTAGCCGGAAAAGGCGAGGCCGATGGCGGGCACGACGAGCCAGCAGGCGGCGCAGCAAAAGACGATGAAGAGCGTGTCGATGCGATCACACTGCGCCCACAGCGAGAGCGTCGATTCCGCCTCCATCCTTGCTTCTCACTCCCCTGTAGCTTGCAGCTGGTGGAATGAAGACATCCTCCGGGCAAGAAGGGGGGGCAGGCTTGCTTTATCTTGTCTGCCTGTGTGCCCCGGGGGGTTTCGTGGGGCGGCAGCTGCCGATATCTAATCTCGCCAGAGTGGGTCCTTTTTTGCCGCGCGCTTCGCCAGGCGCTAAAACCACCAGAGCATGGCTAAATCTCTGCTTCGACGAGATAAATAGCCGCGCGAGCCGCGGGGCACGCTAGCCCTGCTCGGTCTCAGACAGCAGCAGCCACTTACTAGCTGTTGATGGGCTTCGAATTGCAAGGAGGGTGGGTCATGTGGGGTAGATCAATATGATACAGCAGGGGAAAGCTTGGCAGAGGTCAGAAGAAGGCCACGTGGCAGTCGTCGCCGAGGACGTCAGTCCACCGTACGGGGAAGCCGGTCTCGTCGGTGCGCGCCCAGACGCGCTCAATGACGGTGCGGGCGCCCTTTGCCGCGGCCTCGCAGTGGCCCACGATAGAGAGCGCCTCGCGGAAGGCCACGCGGTCGCGCTCGTCGACGGCGATGCTGGCGCCAATGAAGATGCTGAACAGGTAGGAGCCGCAGCCGACGGCGCGACAGAAGTCGCGCGCGCCCGAGGACAGCCACTGGTCCAGGATGGCCGCGAGGCAGGCACGGCAGCGGCGCTCGAGGGGACCCAGGCGTAGCACGTCGGTGTACAGGAGCGCCTTGGCCGCCTGCCGCATCATCTCGGCGCAGCCAGGCGCACGTCCACGTGACGGACAGACGTCCAGGCGTGCCTCGAGCCGGCTGGCAGCCTCGCGAATCCGGGGCGAGGGCGTCGGGCCAATGTCGCGCGCATCGGCACGCAGCAGCACCACATCGCACAGGCAGCACAAGAGCTCATCGGGACAGCTGAATGGTCTGGAGGACAGAGAGAAAAGTGGTCAGAGAGAGAGACTTTTTCATCCCTCGTGTAGGCTTGACTCGGCCACTCACTCGGATGGGTAGAAGGCGTCGGTTGCCTCGCTGGAACCGCCGCACCGAAGTCTAAAGTAGGGACGGGCACTGCGGGACAGGCTGGCGCAGATGTCGGCCCAGATGAGGGTGCGCAGGCCCATGGTCTCGAGCGAGTGGAGCTTGGACAGGTCGGCGATCCTGCCCAGCCCCCGGCGGGCGACGAGGAGGATGGCCTCGTCGAGCTGCTGGTGATAGGCTTCGATGGAGACGTCGGCCCATGCAAAGATGGCCAGGTTGAGGCGTGCGATGAGGAGCGGGTCCATCGCCCTCGCCTGGCCCAGGTCGACCTCGTCGGATGACTGCGACAGAGAGGGCAAGAAGGGTGGCCCAAGGGGCAGCGAGCACGAGGCCTCCTCGACGGCCTGGCTCGCCATCTGGCGCAGGTGGCTCGCGTGCAGCGACAAGTGCCGGTCCATCCTCGACCGCGATGCCTCCTTGAGCGTGTCAGTCCAGTAGCTCACCGCATCGACGTCCCTGGGCCAGTGGAGCTGGTCGCTCTGGGTGTAGCACGCGGCGACGGCGGCCATCGAGAGCCGCAGCGGGGCATTGACCTCGACCTCGATGGTGAGGCGCCGGACGAGGCCATCGAACAGCGGCGACGCCGACAGCTCGGACGGATGGCTGCCCTCGATCCAGCAGACGACGACCGTTGAGTAATAGCCCACGATGGCCTGGAGCAACGGCTGAGGGAGAGGCGTCTCTGTCGCCGTCGCCGCCGTCGGCGGCATCGGCGTCGTGGGCATCGGCGCAGGCATCGACATGGGCGCAATGGTGGCCAGACATCCATCGCAGAGGTCGTGGCCCGAGAGGAGACAGTCGCCTGTGGCCGAGCAACCGCCACTTCCGCTTCCCGTCTTGCCCGTCGTCGTCGCTGCCTCCATGACCGTAGAAGCGCTGGCTGCTCGTCCATCGGACTGCGAGCTCCTCGAAGGGGAGCCAGCCGACTTGACGTCTGGAAAGCCCAGGCAGAGAAAGCCGGCCGTCTTGCAGCGCAGACAGCCGCCGCCCGTCTCCGCCAGCCGCGCCTCGTCGCACTTTTTCTTGCGCTTTCGACAGGTCCTGTCGTCAGAGGTGTTCAGTCAGTCACGAGGAGATGGTCCTTCATCTGAACACTGTCCCACAGCAAGACGTACAGGCAGCCGGTTCGCACGCGGGGTTTGCGAATCCCCTCGCTGACAAGCATAGTTTGGCGAATGGCTGTCGTCGCCTGTGGGGAAGAGGTAATTCTTGAAAAAGAGAGTAGTGGCATGTGAGCGAGGCACTTTTCTGTGGAGAAGAGAGAATGAGATAGGCGCGCGCCTCGCGCGGCAATGCGACGAGATAAGCTCACTTGACATGGACTGGACTCGCCCTGTCAGTTGAAATTCGGAGTGTGTGAGAGAGAGAGAGACAGTGGCTTCCCGGTTGAATCGTCGCGGATCGATAAGAGCAGGACAGATATATATAACAGGGAAGTGGGGCGATACGGATGGGGTGAGAAGCACGTACAACCCCCAAGATGTCTGATCTGACCGTCGCCGAAAAGCAGGAAAAGGCCGCCGTCGACACGCAGGCCTACCGCAACAGCTCGGTCGAGGGCGATGCCGACAAGACGGTGCTCAAGCACGAGCTGGGCTACGAGCCCGAGGACCACCTGCAGCGCAACCGCAGCCTGCTCACGCTCCTCTTCCAGTCGCTCGCCATTGCCGCCATTCCCTACGGCGAGGGTGGCCCACTGCTGAGCGCAATCTACGGCGGTGGACAGCTGTCCATCTTTCTCGGCTGGATCATCGTCTGCATTCTCAACGAGTGTGTCGCCGTCTCTCTCGCCGAGCTGGCAAGCCGCTGGCCGACGAGCGCGGGCCCCTCCTACTGGTCGTTCCAGCTGCTCGACCCCAAGTCCAACGCCCGTGTCCTGGCGGCCTATGCGACGGGCTGGACGTGGATCATCGGTAACATCACCATTGCGCTTTCCGTCAACTTTGGCTTTGCCAGCCTCATCTCTGCCACTGCCTCGCTCTTCCACCCCGATTGGACCGCGTCGTCGTGGCAGCTGCTCCTCATCTTCTACGCCATCTGCCTCGGCACGCTGCTCGTCTGCGCCCTCTTCAACCGCCACCTGCCCCTGGTAGACACCTTCTGCGCCGCCTTTACCCTCGTCACCATCTTTGTTTGCCTCATCGCCCTGTCTGCCAAGGCCGACGTCGGTCGCCACTCGGCTGCCTATGCACTCGGCCACTACGACAAGAGCCTCGCGGGCTACGGCGGCTTCACCTGGTGCGTCTCTCTCTCTCTGTTTCTCGCTCGTTCTTCTTCCCTGACACGACCCCGCCCAACAGGTTCATTGGTCTCCTGCCTGCGGCCTACACCTTCTCGGCCATTGGCATGATCTCGTCGATGGCCGAGGAGTGCCGCGACGCAGCAGTCAAGCTGCCGCAGGCCATCAGCCTGTGCGTGCCCGTCGGCGGCCTCGCGGGCATCTTTTTCATCCTGCCCATCTGCTTCACCCTGCCCCCGCTCGAAGACATTGTCAACAACTCCGGTGGCCAGGCGCTTCCTTACATCTTTGACAGCGTCATGGGCAGCCCTGGCGGTGGCCTCGGTCTCATCGTTCTCGTCCTCTTTGTCACGGCCTTTTGCTCCATCAGCATCACCGTGGCGGCCTCGCGCGCCACGTGGGCCTTTGCGCGCGACGACGCCATGCCCGGCGCCCGCTGGCTGGGCAAGGTCAACAGCAAGCTGGGTGTGCCGCTGTGGAGCCTGGCGCTCGTCACGCTCGTCCAGATGCTCCTTGGGCTCATCAACCTGGGCAGCACGTCGGCCTTTACGGCGTTTGTGTCCGTCGGTGTGATTGCCCTCAACCTGTCGTATGTGATCCCGATTGCGACGAGCATGGCAAAGGGCCGCACCGAGGTCGCCAAGGCCCGCTTCCGGTGTCCGACGCCCGTTGGCTGGATTGTCAACTCCATTTCCGTCATCTGGATCTTCTTTGAGCTCGTCCTCTTCTCCATGGTGGGTGACAGCAACAGTGTGATGGCAAGCCTGGACTGCAAGACTGACTCTGGCTCTTCCCCTCTGCCAGCCCACGGCGCTGCCCGTCACGGCGACATCGATGAACTACGCGTCGGTCGTCCTTGTTGGCCTGGGCTCCATCGCCCTCGCGTGGTACTTTATCCACGCCCGGCGCAGTGAGTGGCCGTGCATGCACATCTCCCCCATGTAACGCCCTCAGGCTGATCACTTACACCTGCTCACAGCGTACAACGGCCCACCCGAGGCCCAGTCTTAGAGAAAGTATGCAGAATTTGCTTTAGTCTAAATTCTTCTTGTATATCCTGCCGTGGGATTGGAAGTATTGTGTGTCGTGCATGACAGACGGTGTGAGCGTGGTGTGAGCGTGGGGGCTTGATTCTTAAATTGATGCGCGTCATCGTCCGTCTGCTGCCTTCCTGCGACGACGATGTCTCGACTGTCGGACACGGACATTGCGGCGCTGCTCGACCACCTCGGCGTGCGCCAGCCACACCGAGACGTGCTCCTCTCGTGGGGGTCGACGGACTCGGTGCAGGCGCGCCTCGATGCGCTGACGTCGCTGCAGCGCCGCTTCCTAGTCGCCGTGCCGTTCGACGACCTGGACCTGCACTACAGTGCGACGCGCACCGTCTCGCTCGATGTGCAGCACTCGCTGCGCAAGTGTCTCGAGAAGCGCAGGGGCGGCTACTGCATGCAGAACAACGCCCTCTTCCGGGCCGCGCTGCTGGGCCTCGGCGTCGACGTCTATTCGACGGGCGCCCGCGTCAATGCCGTCTTTGAGCCAGGCAACCAGAACCTCGCCGAGGACCAGTGGCTCTACCACGGCTTGTGAGTTTCAACAGTTCTGCTCCTCTGAGAGCCTCGTGTAGCACTAGCACACTGACCTGCACACGCCTAGCGACCACATGGTCAATCTGGTCCGGCTCGGCGACGGCAAGGTGTACCTCGTCGACGTTGGCATCGGCACCTCGTCGACGACGGCGCCCACGCCCCTGGCCACGGCGGCCTCGGGCCCCACGACGATGCTCAACATTGCCCCCGCGGCCCACCTCCGCCTGCGGCTGGGCACCACATCGCAGCACGCAGACCCGGCGCGGGCCAAGCCGATCCAGCTCCTCGACTCGTCGCTCCACGCTGTGGGTGAGGAGCACCACGCAAAGTGGAGGCCCGTCTTTTGCTTCGACGCCGACACCGAGTTCCTGGAGCCCGACTTTGAGATGATGAGCTTCTTCACGTCGACGCATCCCACGCCCTGGTTCAGAAGGGACCCCGTCTGCTCCCGGCTCATTCTCGACGGCGACGAGGCGCCCATCGGCCATGCGACGCTGTTCAAGGACCGCTGGAGCGTGCGCCACGGCGCAGACATCAAGGAGCAGGGCCAGGTGCAGACCGAGGAGGAGCGGTGCCGCGTCCTCAAGGACAAGCTCGGCATCGTGCTGACCGGCGAGGAGAAGGTGGCCATTAGGCAGTATCCCTCTGCACTCAGACATGATGAATAGATGCCATTTCTCAGTGATTGCTTACAACGCAAGGAGGCAATAGGCCTGCTTTGCCCCGTCAGATCTGGTCTGACACGGGTCCTGCCTGTCTGACTGGCTTGGTTGTTGTGTAGATCACTCATCGTCGCACTCTTCCTCCTCGTCTTCTCCTTCATCTTCTCCTTCATCCTCACCGTCATCGCAGTCCTCGTCGTCGCCGCCCTCGTCGCCCTCGCCAGTCTCGGCCGAGCGGTGGTCGTGCTTGATGAGATCGGCAGCGACCTCTGCGAGCGCATACACCTCGGCGGCCAGGTGGCTCGACAGCGCATACGGCACCACGCTCGCATCGACGACGCGCAGGCCATCGATGCCGTGCACGCGGAAGCGGCCATCGACGACGCCGCCCAGCGACTCGTCCATCATGGCGCACGACGACGACGGGTGGTACTCTGTGCCGGCCGTCTTGCGGATGTAGGCCTCGGCGTCGCTGCGGGGGTCGACGTTGTCGCCCTCGATGAGACTCTCGATTCGCTGCGCGAGCGCCGAGTCGCTGCCGGCCTCGAGGGCGCGCTGGAGGCCGAGGACGAGCAGCTTGAGGTCCGACGCGTGGCTGAGGTAGCCCGCGTCGATGTGCGGCTTGTCGAATGGGTCTGAAGAGGCGAGGAAGACGTTGCCGCGCGAGAGGGGCGACTGCAGTGCGACCTGCACCTCGATGACGTGGTTTGGCTGCATGGTGCCGAGCAGCAGCTCGACTGCGCCCTTGGGCCGCTTGCCCCACGTGAGCTTGTCGAGGAGCACCGACGAGGTGCGCTCGTAGCCCGTCTGGACGGCGTTGTTGCCACCGACGACGTGCTTCTGCGACGTGTTGCGGGCGTCGTCGATGAAGGACTGGATCTTGGATTCGTCGTACGCCAGCAGCTCGGGCAGCGAGAGGTAGGCGACGGCACCGTCGACGTAGCTCGCCGTGTGCAGGTTCTCTGACCGGTGCGGGAGGTGGGCGTCGGGTTTGGCCTTGTACGACACCTTTGTGCTGACGTGGTCCTGGAGGTGCTGGCCGACGCCGGGCAGGTCCTTGACGGTCGAGATGTTGTGCTTGGCGAGCTGGTCCGCGGCGCCGATGCCGCTCAGCTGGAGGATCTGGGGCGAGGAGACGGCGCCGGCCGCGAGGATGACCTCACGCTGGGCCGTGACCGTGACCCTGGGCGCATCCTTGGAGGCGGCAAACTCGACGCCGGTGGCACGAGGCGGCTGCTGCGGCTGCTGCTGCTTGTCCTTGCTGTCCTTGCCGCTGCTGCTGAAGAGGACCCGGGTGACGTGCTGGTTGGGCAGCACCCTGAGCCGGCCACTGCGCTCGGCCGAGATGGGGTCCAGGTACGCGGTCCGGCTCGTCGCTCGCGTCCACGACTGGGCGTCGATGGTGCTGGCGGCGACAAATGCGCCGAGATTGTCGCCGTCGTAGGGTGCCTCTGCGCGGGGAGCCACGCCCGTGTCGTTGGCGACCCAGTCGCGCACCGCACGGTACGTGTGGGCTGGGTAGGACAGACACACGGGCCCGCCCCTGGCCAGCGTCTCGCTGGCAAATGCCGTGGCCTTTTGGAGCGCCGCGACGGGCTGGCCCATGTAGTTTTGCGACTTGTGCAGGCCGCGGCGCAGGCTGGCCCAGTCGAGATTCTTTTCCGTGCTGACAAAGTCCGACAGGTGGTCGTGCTCCTTTTCCGAGGCGACGACGTAGTAGAGACCGTTGATGGCTGAACTGCCGCCCAGGACCTTGCCGCGGGGCCAGGCGACGGTGCGCCCGTCGAGGCCGGCCTGCGATGCGGTGCTGAAGGACCAGTCGAGCGACGAGCCGACGGCGCTGTCGTAGTAGGCGTCCTGCGGCACCGCCAGCTTCTCGACGCCGTAGCCCGCGTCGCCGGCCTCGATGACGGCCACGCTCACCCCTTCGTCCTCGGACAGGCGACCTGCGAGGGCCAGCCCCGCGGTGCCACCGCCGACGATGACATAGTCAAATGTGTGGTCGGCCACATCGGCGTACGAGTCGCAGATGGACGTGTGCTTGGGCGTGTGCTTGATCCAGGGCCGCTGGGCCGACGTGCACGAGTCTTCGTGCGCCTCGGCTGCTGCCCGGGGCGACACGCGGTGGTGCCGCCGTGGCTGGACCTGTGGCTCGAGGCTCGACTGGACCTGCGCCACGGTGGCCAAGAGGATCAAGACCAGAAGGCCGAGGGCGGCAGCGCGCTTCATTCTGGCGCCGTTCTCTTCTTGCTGTTCTTCAAAGGAGTGTGTATGTATGCTTCTTCAGAAAGAGGGTGGGTCTCGATCAGACGCTGTGGTCCGTCGTTTGGTCAGTGTGTGGCTGTGTGGGTGGGTGGTGGTGGTGAGGAAAGCGCTCGTGCATCCTTAAGACAAGAGAGACAACGAGCAAAGCCAGCTGCCAAGACCGTAAAGAATCTCGGATGGAAACACTGGACATCCTCGCACAAATTCCCGACGAGATGGGCCCCTGAGTCGCTGCTCCACACCTCCTCTGCGCGCGTGCCCCTGCTGATCCCATTCGCTCACGGACGCAAAGAATGCAGATGGGAGAGGCGCACGCCGAGCCGAGCCGAGCGCGGGTCATCTTCATCTCGTCGCCAGGCCAGGCACGTCTCTCCCAGTTTTTTATTTATTTATTTTTTCGATGATTTTTTTTTAATTTCGCCGTCGAAGGGGCTGCTGCTGCTGCTGCGCCAGGCTGCCTGCATTAGCGGCCGAACGCGATCTCTTGGCTCCGTGGCTTCGTCTTGGCCCCCAGTGCCGTGCTATGTATGTATGCCATTGCGGACAAGAAATACAAAATTGGAAATACAGAACGGCGATTCGATGATACTACACATGCCTGCGGCTCAGCGCGATGCAGCGAGCGCGGCGAGGGCGAGGTCCCAGAAGGCCTTTCCCTCGTCGCGGCGGTCGAGCACGTCGGTGGGCGAAAAGGCGGCGACGACCTGGAGGCTGAGGAGCATGCCCTGGCCCAGGGGCGCGCCAGCGAGCGAGTGGCGGAGGAGTGCCTCGAGCGTGGCGACGATCTCGTCTGTCGAGGGCGCGTGCGCCTGCCGCGGTGGCTCGGGTGAGGATACAGTCGCCGTCGACGAGTCGCTGTCGCTGTCGTCGCCCATTTCTTTGCCATTGCCATTGAGGTCCTGCTCCTGCCTCTGCTCCTGGTGCTGGTCCTGCCTTTGCTCCTGCTCCTGGGAATCAGACCGGGAATGAATCTGGGAATGAGACTGAGAATAAGATTGAGAAGGAGAGTGGCGTGGCTGCGACTGGATCTGAGACGGAGGCTGGCTGCCTTCGTCAAATTGCATCTGAGCCAGGACGTCGTCGATGCCCGACGGCGGCTGGCTGGGCTCCTGGTCTTCGTCGTACATCGAGAGTGCGCGCCGAGGCCGGCTGCCGTTGACAGAAGACTGCACGCTGAGCGGCCTCGCCATCGATCGCCGCCGCCTCTCGGTTCCTGCAGGCTGAGCCTGAGCCTGAGCCTGAGACTGGGCCTGACCCCGCGCCCGAGCCTGGGTTTCGGTCTCGACGCGGCGATGCGTGGCCACTCGGCGCGCCGAGAGATGGGCGACGACGAGGCGCTCGACGACGAGTGCGCAGCGCATCTTCTCGCGCGGGCTCGGGTGCGCCTCGAAGCGGGCGAGCAGCGCGCCGAGGCCGCCGTCGGGGCACGAGGCCAGGACCTGCCTCGCCACCTCATCGCTGTCGTCGTCGTCGTCTGCGTTGTCGCCGTCGTTGGTCGGCTTCGTCGGCGGCTTCTCTTCTTCTTCTTCTTCTTCTTCTTCTTCTTCTTCTTCGTCCTCTTCCTTGATCTCACTCCTGGTAACTCCGTCGCCACAGCTCGCGTCCTGCTGCTGGAGCGGCCTGATGGCTTCGCTGAGAAAGAGGCCAGTGACGAGCAGCTGCACACGCTGCAGAAAGTCCTCGAGGGCCTGCACGCTCCTCGGCCGGGGCTCGGCGCGCTGAAGCATGAGGCTGGAGCAGGCGCCAAAGCCGAGCACGATCTCGTCGCCGTCGTCGCTCTTGCTGTTGTTGTTGTTGTTGTCTTCGTCGCCACCATCCTCTGCGCCATTCGCTGCCAGACTCGCACGCATGTATGGCTGTGCCAGCGCCTGCTCGCGCGCCCACACGGCAGAGCTGGCAAAGAAGCTGGCGGCGTCGCCGGCGATGATGTCGGAGAAGGCGCGGTCGAGGTCGCGGAGGTAGTCGAGGGTGCGCGAGGAGCGCAGGCCCATGTCGTAGATGGCCTGGCGCGCCATCCACGCGCGGCCCGTCTCTTCGTCGCTGGTGCCTGTCCTGGCCTTGGCGGTGGCAGGCCCAGCAGCGAGCAGGTTGTCGAGGGCCGTCTGCCGGGCGCGCCGGACGCCCGTGGCGAGCCGGACCTCGCTCGCATACCACGCGCGGGCGCGCAGCTCGTGCAGGCGCGCATACACGAGCCGGGCGTCGTCGAGGAGCCGTGCGCTGCGTTGGGCGAGACGCCAGCGCTGCTGCTCGCGCACTGTCTTGCGTCGCTCCAGCGCAGCCATCCGCGCGCGCACCGGCTGGGCGACGTGGTGGAGGATGGCAAGCTGGCTGCTCTCGTCGACGAGGGCGCGCGTCTGCTCGAGGAGCGCAGCATCGTCATAGGCAAACGCCTGCCGCGCGGCGCCTGCAGCCATCGCCAGGGCCTGGACGAGGGTGAGGCGGTGCAGGGGCACGCGGTAGGGCCCCCGGACGAGGCGGACGATGCCCCGCCGGATCTCGTCGATGGGCACGCCCTCGTCGAGCGGCGGTGGCTGCTGCGGCTGTTGCGTCAGTGCAGGCGCAGGTGCTATTGATGGCGATGGCGATGGCGACAGCGATGGCTCGATGGCAGCCGGCGAAGCCGTCGTCGCCGCTCCAATCGACCGCCAGGCCGACGGTGGCGCGCGCTGCCTCGACGTAGACACCCTGCGCTGGATGGGCGAGGCAGCAGCAGCAGCAGCGGTCGTCGTTGCCATCGCCGTCGCTGTCGCCGTCGCCGTCGGAGAGGCATGGTCCGGGTCGAGATCAAAGTAGCCGACGCCCGCGGTGCCGGCCAGGCCCTGGTGGAACGGCGAGCTGGGCGGGCTGCCCCAGCTGCTGTCGGCGGCCGAGACGCTGCCGTTGGTGGCCGTGGCTGTCGTGGTGGTGGCGCTGCTGCGGACGCTGAGGACGCTGCCAGATGACGCCGACGAGGGAAACACGCGGCTGTTGGTGCCCCCCGATGACGACGACGACACCGCCCGGGCCTGGGCGCCGCCGCCGCTGCTCGACGGTCTTGGCTGTGGTGTTCGCTGCTGCTGCTGCTGCTGCTGGTGCTGCTGCTGGTGCTGATGGGAAGCCGACACGGACGAGGCTGATGCAGACTTGGCCCTCCGCTTGGCCAGTCTCGCCTCAATCGACGGCAGGCCGACGTCGACGAGCGTCTTCTGCCCCCGCTGGCTGGCGATGAAGAGAGTCGCCTCGTCTTCATCGTCGCCGTCGTCATTGTATTGTGCTGTCTCCCACGCCCAGGCGTGGCGCTGCCTGGTAGACAGAAGCCGGACGAGGCGTCGAGCATCGGTCTTGGACAGGCCAATGGCCGAGAGTGCGCCACTGCTGCTGCTTTCTTCGACCGGCTGCGTCTCGGCCATCGAGAGCTTCATCGAGGGCACCGCCACGCCGCGACGGAGGTGCATGTACGTCGAGCTGCCGTTGCTCGTCTTTGCCGTCGTCGGCGATGCTGACGATGGTGACAGGGGCGATGACGCCGGCACATGCACCTCTGCGCCAAAAGCAGCGACGATGCGCCTGGCTGCGTCGCTGCCCTGGCCGCCGTTGCCAGGACCGCTTTCAGGACCGCTTCCAGGACCGCTTCCAGGACCGCTTCCAGGACCGGCATCCATGGCGGCAGTGATGGCCAGGTAGGCGCGCCGGTGCAGCTCGTCGAGGTCGGCCGCCAGCCGGGGCATCCACACGCCTTCCATCAGCGCTGTGGGCACGCCGTGGGCATCGTCATCGTCGCCGTCGCCACTGCTGCCTGGCCCTGACCCTGACCCTGACCCTGGCCCTGACCCTGACCCGTCTCCGTCCCCGTCGGCGGTGATGCCGACGCCGACGCCGAGCGGCGCGGGCGGCTGGCGGAGCGTGCGTCCGGCGGCGTCGGGCCGCGTGAGGAGGCTGCGCAGCTGCGCAAAGGCGAACCAGCGCACGACGACGACGAGGGCCAGGCGGCGGTGCAGCCCGGCGTGGTTGTCGGCGGCGAAGCGGTGTGTGAGCAGGCGCCGGGAGAGGGCGACGACGAGGGGCACGCGCAGCGGCGTCGAGACTGGCGGTGAGAACACCGACGACGGCGACACCAACGACGGCGACACCAACGACGACGACGACGACGACGACGAATGGAGTGACGCAGGCGCAAGGGCGTCGAGGATGCGCTCGACCCATGCTTCGGTCGCCCTGTCCACGACGGCAGCCTCGGCAGGCGCATGTACAGACGCAGACTCCGACACCGGCAGCCGGACGATCTGCGACTTGCTGAGCGAGGGCGTGCGTGCGTGGGGGTGGCGCTGCGCCTCGCTGGCCACGCGCCGGCGCCGCTCGAGGAGCATCGAGGGTGTGGCCAGGTGGCCGAGGGCGGTGCGCGCGTCGGGCTGGTCGTGCTGCTTGGGAAACGAGGCGCGGGCGTCCTCCTCGTCGACGTTGCACAGCGGCCGTTGCGGCGAGGCGGCCGTCAGGCTGACGACGCGCTGCCGGCCCTTGCCTGGGGGTGACGCAAGCGAGACGCTCCTCTGGAGGGGCTGTGCTGCGGTAGCACTTTTTTTGTCAGCTGGAGCAGCGGCAGGGTTAGCAGCAGCAACAGGCCTCGGCGTCGAGGCGAAGAAGCCGCTCAGCGTCGACGCCGTGCCGTTCCACAGCTGCGAAGCGCTGGTGCCCAGGGCCGAGAGGGGAGAGGCGGCTGGCGGGGTAGGCGAGGCTGGCGAGGCGGGCGACGAGATGGTCCGCTGGCGTGGGTGCGCAGTGGCCGACGGCGGGCCGCTAGCCCTGAGCGTCGAGGGCAGCCGCAGCGTCGAGCCGAGCCCGGCGTCTTCTGCTTTGGCGTGTGCGTCGGACGATAATGACGAGCGCTCACGAACAAAGGCGAGCAGCTCGAGCTCGAGCTTGCGCGTTGGTCGGAGCGGGTCGAATGCGCCGTTGCCGCCCTCGGATGGCGCGACGACCGAGGCCCGCGTCTGGTGCAGGGCGTCGAGCACGGCGAGAATGAGGTCATCGACGTCCTTGCGATTCTGTTCTGCAGACGAAGACGAGAGCGCGGCCACAATGAGCGGCTCGGCCCAGTCGAGCAGCGCTGCCGAACCGCCTGCTGCATCGACGGCAGCGACCAGGAGCGGCAGCAGCGCAGCGCGGTCCTCGAGCAGCGCCTCGACGACGGCCCCATCGGCTGCTGCTGCCAGCGTGCGCTCGAGCACCTTTGCCGCATCGATAGCCCATCGTCTTCCTTTCCTCTTTTTCGCTTGTCTCTGCCTCTTGTTCTGCGCAGCTCGGACGAGGGACGCCTCAAAGGCGCGCTGGGCGCAAACGAGACTGCCAGCGAGCTCGTCGGTGGCCTGGCGCAGCTTCCCCCTTGCCCGTTCGCTCAGCGGTCGCACAGCGCTCACATCCTGCCGCCGCGACGGGCCGGCCTCGATGGCCTGGCTGTCGAGCTCGATGGCGCGGCAGCGGACGCTGAGCTCGGCGCGCAGCGCTTCGAGGCGGGCGAGGCTGCGCTGGCGTGCGCGCGCCTCGTCGATGTCGCCCGCCAGCGCGCCGCCCAGATCGTCCACCTCGGCATGCAGGCCCTCGACGCGCGCAATGCACCACGCCACCTGCGCGAGTGTCGTCGTCATAGCCTGCGCTTCTTCTTCTTCGCCTCCTCCTAGCCTCGTCGTTGCCGTTGTTGGTGAACCCCTAGAGGGGCGCGCGTATGCGGCTCACTAGCCCCGGCAACTTAAAATTTTAAAGCCTGGCCGAGAAGTGCGACGGAAGTTGGATTCGGCGGCACGGGCCATCATCTATCTACCCAGGCCAGTTCTGTTCTCCAGCCACGCCAGCCACGCGTTTAGTCTAAAATACAAGATCAAGTAGTCAGATCGTCGTCGCTCACTTCTTCTTCTTCTTTCTTCTCGCATGGACCAACGATGTTCGCGCTGACCTCGGTGCTGCTGCTGCTCTTGCGGCCGCTGCTGCCGCTGCTGCTGCTGTTGCTCGCTTCGGCAGCAGGTGAAGCACGCGCCCAAGAGGCCTCTCCGCCGGTGCACGTGAGCCTGCGCTCGGGCTGGCCCGCGAGCCCGTTTGTCGTCGAGCTGCTCGAGGCCGCGCACCAGGAGGCCCCGTCGTCGTTCTTTGACATCGTTGCCATCGTTGCCGGGCCCTGGTTCTTCAATGACACCGACGACGGCACGCACGACCTTGCGAGCGCCACGCCGCAACAGGTGTTCAAGGGCGCCAAGCGTGCATTCGACCGCTATGGCGTCCTCCCGGGCGAGGCCACGCGCCGACGGTGGGAGGCCGCCCTCGCGCTCCGGGCCCAGTCGTCCAAGGTGGCCGCCTTTACGCACCTCTACCGCACCAGTGGCCTCGAGCAGCGGTGGGAGGAGGCCATGGCTGCGCGTGACAGCAGCGACGAGTGCCGCAGCTGGGTCGACTGGGACGGCAAGGTGCTCTGCTCGCGCGACGAGCTGCAGCGCCATCTCGACGAGACTGGCTCGACGGCTGTCACTAAGTCGCCGTACCCGGGGCCCGTCGCCTTTGACCACGTGCTCGCCCACCCGCTTGACGAGACCGACGGCGAGCAGGAGCAAGAAGCAGCCACCGCCGTCCTCTACGGCGATCCAGCGTCGTCGAACTTCTTTGGGCTGCACGCGGCCCTGTCCGAGTACGCCCTCGGTGCACGTGCCGAGGTGCCCTTTCGCTACATTCTGCGCTGGCGGCCGCCGCCCCAGTCGTCGACGGGTGGCGCGGCCACGAAGGAGGAGGAGGAGGAGCGCGACTACCTCGCGGGCTTCGGCGCCTCGCTCGACGTCAAGAAGGTCGACTACCTCGTCATCGACGACCGCGCCGTGGCTGCGTCTGGCAGCGAAGACGGCGGCGGCGACAGTAACGATGGCGACGGAAGTACAGCCACAAGACGCGGCGCGGCGACGGAGCGCGAGGCGGCCCGTGCGCAGCTCGACGATCGCCGCTGGCTCGACGCGCAGCTGGGGGGCCCGCCGTCGGACGAGGCCGAGGAGGAGGAAGGAGGCGACGCGGGTCTGCGCGCCGCATACATCGTGGCCAAGAGCAGCGAGCCGCTGCGTGCGCTCCGCCAGCTCAGCCACGACTTCCCGCTCCATGCCGGCGCACTGGCCCGGTCCAGCGCGGCGAGGCCCTCGCGCCGCTTCCTCGACGAGATGCTCGGCCTCCACCAGATGTACCTCCAGCAGGCCACGACCGACGTCTGGCTCAACGGCCGCTCCCTCTCGGCCACGAGCGACGAGGCCGGTGCGGCGAGTGCGCTGACGCTCCTACCCCTCGTGCGCGACGAGCGCCGCCTCCTCGACTCGCTAATCGCACTCAACCTCTCGGCCGAGGCCGCCGTGTCGCTGCTGACCTATGCGCCGCTCCAGCAGCAGCAGCAACAGCCGCAGTCGCAGCAGCAGGTGCATGATGCCTACTTTGATGCCAGCGACCGGCCCGAGGGCGGTGCCGTCGTATCGTGGTGGAATGATGTCGAGGCCGACGAGGCCTATGTGCGCTTCCAGCCCGAGCTGCGTGGCCTGCTCCGGCCCCTGTACCCGGGCTCCTTCCCCACCGTGCGCCGCAACCTGTTCAACGTCGTCCTGCTCATGGACCTGCGCCGCGCCGAGACGTGCCGGTTTCTGGCCGAGAGCGTCTCGCTGGCCACGAAGCGCCTTGCTCTTCACTGGGGCTTTGTGCCCACGGGCCTCGTCGAGCCTGGCGACGAGTCGAGCCAGCTCGCACGCCTCTACTGGCTCGCCATGGAGCGCGGCGGCAGCACCCTCGCCGCCGAGTACCTCGCTCGGCTGGCCAATGCGATGCAGACCCACGTCACCGTCGCGCAGGCACGCGCGCAACTGCAGGCCGTGCTGCTTGCTGCTGCCCATGTTGATGGCAGCGACGAGGAAGAAGAAGCAGCAGCAGTCGAACAGGCCATCGAAGCGGCGCTCGCTCCTGCCAGTGAATGGACCGAGAGAGAAGCAAAGGCACGGCGCTACGCCAAGCGGCTCGGCGCCGTCGTCGCAGACAAAGACCACCGCGGCGATGTGTTTGTCAATGGCCGCCACGTGCCGTTCACCGCCGCCCTGATCCAGCATGTCCACCAGCTCATTGCCGCGCAGGTCCAGGCACTCGCCCCGCTCGTCTACTACGGCACCCTCACCGACGAGGCCGACGTGAGCACGCACTTCTACGACCTCAACACCACCTTTGCCGCGCGCTCGCCCCTCGCCTTTCCCCCACCACAAGCGTCCAACATCTCGGCCGACGCCGTCGATCTCACCCAGGTCGCCGCCCAGCTCGACGACAGCACGCTGCTTCGCCGCTTCTTCTTGCCCAGGCAGGCGACGACGGCGACGACGGCGACAACGACGCCCATTGACACGACGCTCTGGCTCGTGGGCGACCTCGATAGCGACGAGGGCACGTCCCTGCTCCGCGAGACGATCAAGGCGCAGCAGGCGTTGCCCCAGGCCTTCCGGCTCGGCCTCGTCCACGCTGCCCCGTCGCAGTCTTCTCTGGGGACCGTGTCGCGGGCCATCTACGACCAGCTGCAGCGCGATGACGGTGCAGCAAGCGAGGCCCTGCTCGAGGTGCTGAACAGCTCGGTGAGCAGAGGCGACGACAACAAGAACGAAGAGCCAGCGCGGCGCTTCTGGCGGGGACAGGCGCGCTTGGCCCGCCTCTTTGGCGTGGCAAAGTCCAAGTCGCCCTTTGCAATCGTCATCAACGGCCGCATCGTCGCCGGCTTTGACGCTGCCAAGGTCGAGAGCATCGACGTCGAGTCGCTCGTCGCCGTCGAGCGCCAGCGCAGGATCGCGCCCCTCGTCGAGGGCCTCCAGACGCCGGCGATTGCGCAGCACGACGCCGCGCTCGCCGAGCTCGCGCGCGATGCCGACGCCATCACCACCCTCACTTCCATCATCGCCCGCGCCGGTTTTGTCGATGCCGCGTCCGAGGGCCTCTTTGCGCGCGCATCCACGGCGCGCTCGACGGCCATCGACGACGTGCCCACCACCAACGGCCTCACCTCGTTTGAGCTGGGTGCCGACCGTGCCCACGCCCGGCTCCGGCTCACCCTCATGGTCGACCCGCTGTCCAAGGAGGCCCAGCGCTGGGCCGACCTCGTCGAGCACGTGCTCCAGCTCGACGACGCCATCTGGGTCCGCGTCCTCCTCAACCCAGCCGGCGCCTCGAGAGCGGGTGCGGCGACGGACGAGGCAGAAGCAGCGGAGGCGGCGACGACGCTGCGACGCTTCTACCGCGCCAGCAGCCCCGCCAGGCTGGCCTTTGACGGCGACGGCCAGCTGCGGCGGCCCCGCGCCTCGTTCTACGGCATGCCCGCCGACGCGGTGCTGACCATGGCCATCGAGGCGCCCCCGGCCTGGGTCACCATGGCCTCGGTCGCCGTGCACGACCTCGACAACATCCGGCTCAGCGACGTCGCACGGGCCAGCGCAGGAACACGCGCCGTCGTCGCCGCCACGTTCGACGTCAAGCACGTCCTCATCGAGGGCCACGCGCGCGACACGGCCGCCCGCTCCGTGCCACGAGGCCTCGAGCTCGTCCTCGAGACGCTCGACGGCAGCCTCGTCGACGACACCATCGTCATGGCCAACCTGGCCTACCTCCAGCTGCGCGCACCCTCGCCGGGCCTCTACACGCTCCGCATCCGCGGCGCCGGCTCCAAGAGTGCCGAGCTGTACGAGATGGAGAGCGTGGGCAGTGCCGGCTGGAACAGTCCCCCGGTCGGCGGCGGCGGCGGCGGCGGCGGTGAGAGCAGCAGCAGCGATGACGTTGTCACCGTCGACTCGCCCGCGGGGCTCACCATCTACCCGCGCGTCAGGAAGCGCAAGGGCAGGGAGCACGACCGGCTCGTGTTTGACAGCGAGGGCGAGGGCGAGGAAGCTCATGCGATGGGCGCTGGAAGAAGCCCTGCTGCTGCGCAGGGTCTTGTCCCCTTTGCGTGGTCGCTCGTCGCGGACGCGGCCAGGCGCATACAGACATCCTTTTCAGCAGCCACAGCGACAGCCACTTCGAGAAGAAAGGCAGAGACGATCAACGTCTTCACCGTCGCCTCGGGCCACCTCTACGAGCGCATGGCGTCGCTCATGATTCTCTCGGTGCTGCGCCACACGCAGACGCCCTGCAAGTTCTGGTTCATCGAGAACTTCCTCTCGCCCTCGTTCAAGGACTTTGTGCCCCACCTCGCCCGCGAGTACGGCTTCGAGTACGAGATGGTGACGTACGCCTGGCCCCACTGGCTGCGCGCCCAGTCCGAGAAGCAGCGCCAGATCTGGGGCTACAAGGTCCTCTTTCTCGACGTCCTCTTTCCCCTCGACGTCTCGCGCATCATCTTTGTCGACGCCGACCAGATTGTGCGCGCCGACCTGCTCGAGCTCGTGCAGCTCGACATGGGCGGCAAGCCCTACGGATTCCCACCCATGGGCAACGACAGTTACGACATGGACAACTACCGCTTCTGGGAGACGGGCTACTGGAAAAAGTTCCTGCGCGGCCTGCCGTACCCCATCTCGGCCCTCTACGTCGTCGACCTGGACCGGTTCCGGCTCCTCGCGGCGGGCGACCGGCTGCGGGGCCACTACCAGGCCCTGTCGGCCGACAAGGGCAGCCTGAGCAACCTGGACCAGGACCTCGTCGCGAGCCTGATCCACCAGGTGCCCATCTACGGCCTCGCGCGCGAGTGGCTCTGGTGCGAGACGTGGTGCAGCTGGGACTGGCAGGCCCAGGCAAAGAGCATCGACCTGTGCAGCAACCCAAAGACCAAGGAGCCCAAGCTCGACCGCGCCCGCCGCCAGATTCCCGAGTGGACCGCGTACGACGACGAGGTCGCGCGCTTTGCCGAGCGTGTGCGTGCCCAGCAGGCCACGCAGAAAACAACGCAGGGAACAGTGCAACACGACGAGCTGTGACGTGGGCCTCACTCTTTTGTCAAAACTATAGCGCATGATGCGATGAACAATATCCATTAGACAGTTTCTGCTCGCTCGCTTGCTTCTATAGCATGGATGCACAGCATTCTACGAGTCCTTTTCGGCAATCTGAAACTCGACGACAAAGTAGACGGTGCCTGTCTTCTTGTTGCGGCCTGGTATGAGATGGTCAGCATGCGATGCGCGAGTCAGCACAATGACCACCCACAGTAGTAGCGCACCGGCTGGCCGTCCCAGTACCTCGTCACTGTAGAGGCCTCAGTCAGCATGCACACAAGGAGGAGAAAGAGAGAAAGACAGACGCACAGTCAAAGCCCATGCCGCCCGTGTACGGCAGCTCGAGCCGGAGGGTGTTGAAGTCGATGAAGCCATTGGCAAAGTCGGCCGTGACGACATCGGTGGGCGAGTAGCTGAGGCGCTCGCGGTGCGAGGCGTTGCCAAAGAAGCGGGCGCGGTTGTGGTGGGCGTTGGCGTCGGCGTGGCCGCGCAGCGAGCGCAGCGTGCCCAGGTCGGCGATGGCGTCGGCCTCGAGCGACGGCTCGACCTGCGCCACATTGTCGCGCGCAGCCAGCAGCGCAGACGTGTCGTCGTGCACGTAGTCGTCCTCGGCCGAGGGCCCGCCCTGGGGGAACTTGGGCCAGTCGGAAGAGGAGGAGGAGGAGGAAGAATCGGCGGCAGCGATGCGGTCGACCTGGATGCGCGTCATGGTGCAGACGAGGGGCGAAAAGGCCCAGGGCTGGTCGGCGTAGATGTCCTGGCGCAGGCTCGGGTCGATGTACGACACGGCCTTGAGGGCGGCCGACGTGCCCCAGGGCAGCTTGTCGCGGATCGCATGGTCGAACTTGTTGCCGAACTCGACGTCGTCGACGCTGGCCTCCTCCTTGAAGCGGCCTGTGTGAGTCTGTGTTAGTCTTCTAAACTTCCCTTGTCAGGGCTGCGTGAGCCTCACCCTGGATCTGGATCGACCAGGTGCAGCCCTGGGCGTGGCCATTGTCAAAGTAGGCCGAGTCCTTCTTGGCTTCCTTGCCGGCGGGCGCCTGGCCAGTGAAGTTCTTGATGCGGACGGCGACGAGGCCCTCGAACGCGTCTGACGTGAGACGGTGCGGCTCGGTGCTGTTGACCTCGATGACCTCGAGCGAGGCGACGTCTTTTCCCGCCGAGATGCGCAGTGAGGGAGCCATGGTGGAGTGTCTGCCGTGCCTGGTGACCAATCCAAGGGTCCATCTATCTCTCACTTCTTCACTTTTCAAGAGTGGAGGAAGCAGCGGCCCGGTCGGCGTCGGGACTCGGACAGGGCAAGCTCCGTCGATGGACGCGTCTTCCTCATCTCACTGCGTGCTGCATGGCGAGATGCGAGGACAGGCTAGAGGTGGCCTCTTCCTAAGAAGACAGCAAGGAATGCATTCCAGTGTGAAGTAGCACGGTGAAAGCACGGCGATGGAAGCATGCCGACTTCCTCCGCGGGCTTGCGGCCAGACTAGACGGCGGAAGAGAAGGAGCCAGATCTTCCTTCCCGCTTCACTGCGCTAGCTTTCAACACATCGCCGAACGACTTCCGATGGGACGTGCGTCATTTTCTCCATTTTAGCCTCGTTTTTCTGACAACGTCGCTCCTTCCCCACTCTGACCTAACCCCAACGTAAAGTAGGTGCCACTGCGCGAAACGCAGTCGCAGGGAGGGACCCCTTCTTAAGACCAAGAAGCACAGCAGCGACTCATCGAAATATCAGGAACCATGCCGAGCCCCATGCCCGCCGACAAACGCAAGGTGGTCCTCATCACGGGCTGCTCCAGCGGCATTGGCCGTGCGCTCGCGCTCGAATTCGGCCGCGCATCGTCGCTCAAGCCCTCGCTGCGAGCCAAGGGCGCGCCGGGCGAGGCGTCGTACCGTGTCTTTGCCTGCGCCCGCAAGCTCGAGGCGCTGCGCGAGCTGCCGCCCGAGATTGAGCGCGTGCGCATCGACGTGTGCGACGACGCCAGCGTCCAGGCGGCCGTCAAGACCGTCATCGACGAGGCCGGGCACATCGGTGGGTGTGGCGCCATCTCTAGAAAGGCGAAGGAAAGGAACTGATCTCCGCCCAACAGACGTGCTCATCAACAACGCCGGCGTCAACACGGCCGTGGGCCCGTCGTCGGAGGTGCCGCTGGAGAAGTTCCACTCGACGTTTGATGCCAACGTGAGCTTTTTCATTCTTCTTCTTCATTTCTGCGCTGGCGTGAGATGAGACTGACAAACACACCTCCCGCTTTTGCAGTTCTTCGGCCTCATCCGCGTCACCCAGGCCGTGCTGGCGCACATGACGCCGCGCCGCAGCGGCACCATCGTCAACATTGGCAGCACGGCCGCGTACGCCAACATCCCCTTTGGCTCGGCCTACTGCGCGTCCAAGGCCGCCGTGCACAGCTTCTCGGACGCGCTGCGGAGCGAGGTGGCGCCGCTGGGCATCCGCGTCCTCGTCGTCGCACCGGGCGCCATCAAGTCGTCGTTTGGCGACAACTCGACGGGCAACCTCGTTCTGCCCGCCAAGGGCTCCGCGTACGACAACGACGCAGCGCGCGCCATCATCCGCTACCGCGCCGTCTACAGCCAGACGGGCCGCAACACGCCGGCCGAGACGACGGCGCGCGTGATCCGGCGCGAGGTGGACAAGTCGTACGTGCGCACCCACCACTCGCTCCTCGCCCGCCTCCTCGTCGTGCCCTGGCTCCTCAGCCTCGTCTTTGGCGGGCCCCGCGCCTACCTGACCACGGGCGCGCGCAGCCCCCTTGCCCTCCTCCTCTTCTACCTGCCCACCTCGCTCCGCGACCGGGCCGTGGCCATGTACTTTTCCCTCGACAAGCTGCGCCAGTAGTCTCGCTTCTTTCCTCTTTCCTCTTACTCTCTCTCTCCTCTCTCTCTCCCAAAAAGTGATGCGATTATTAAATTTCCCTTTTTCTAAGAAATCGAGCGGCCAGTGCCCTATATGCTACATGCTCACAAACGAGCTCCGCCCGCCCGGGTTCATGAGCGGCGTCATGCCCACCTTGATTCTTCTTGACCGTGCCGCGTTGCTGCTATTGACCGCGCCCACTTGGCTGCTGTTGCTTCCTCGCCGGCCCATCTCGATGCCGGCACCTGCACCGGCACCCATGCCCACACTCGGCAGGCCCAGGCCGACACCGCCGGCGTGGTTGGAGGAACCCGGTTCGTCTACCGCTGCCGCCGCAGACCCCGGGAGCTGGCTCATGGGCAGCCGCGGCGTGTTGGGCGCATTGGAAAAGGCGCCCACGCCGTCGTTGGACGGGCCGCGGCCCATGCTGCTCGACGTGGCGTCGCTGGCGCCCGACGCTGCACGCTGGCCCGCCGCGGCTGTCGTCGCATCGCCAGCACCAGCACCAGCACCAGCACCAGCAGCAGCGAGACCGGCGGCGGGGCCAGACGAGGGCAGCGAGAGAAAGACCTCGGCGCACCATTCGTACCACACGCGGTGGCCGCTGGTGAGGCGCCACATGCTCACGTCCATCTCGGCGCCCGCGGGGCAGTAGAGCGGGTCCTTTTCCAGTCGACATGGTCAGCGTTGGTCAGCGCGTTGTGTTATAGCTGCAGCAGTCTGCACAGGAAGGAACCCACCTTGAAGGGAAAGAAGATGGGGAACCAGCTCAGCATGTCCTGGCTCGCGCGGCCGGCGTCGGGGTGGATGCTGACAAAGACGTCGTCAAACAGCTGGGCCTCAAAGTAGCCGGCGAGGCCGTGGCAGGTGCCCTCGTGTGCGACGTCAAAGGTCAGGTTGCACGAGCGCGCATTGTGGCCGTTGGTCAGGGGCAGGCCGCCTTGGGCGAGGACGTGCTTGGCGCGGCGCTCGTCCTGCGTGTGCTCAAATGCCCAGCAGAGCTGCACGGCCTCGCGTGGCGGCGTCTGCTGCTGCTGCTGCTGTTGTTGCTGAGACAGCGGCGGGGCAGCCAGGCTCGTGTATGCGTCGAGGAGCACCACGTACGGCGTCTCGGCCGCCCTCAGCTCGCGGCCGGCGTCGGCCGAGGAGACGGCAGACGACATCGACAGCGGGCTGCCAGTCATGATCTGGGCGTGGAGCTTGGGCGTCGAGATGGGCGTGAGGTAGCACGAGTAGGCCTGGGGGATCGAGATGCCGTCGGCTGTTGGATGGAGTGCCAGTCAGTCAGTCAGTCAGTCAGTCAAGCCGCGACGAGGCAAGGACAGGTACACACCCTTGAGGAAGCGCATCGCACCGTCGAGGCACTCGGGGCTCAGCTCGTTGTCGCCAAAGCTGCCGAGAAGCTCGCTGACGACAATGTCTGCGCGCTCGCGCTCGTGCTGCGGCGCCGGCAGGGTGCGCATGTCGCCCATGCGCACCTCGACGACGTCGGCGCCCCACTCGGTCTCGGCACGGTCGCGCAGGCCCACGCATGCATGCACGTTTTTCTCGACGGCGACGATGCGGATCGTGCGCCGTGCGCGCTGCGCTGCAGCCAGGCACCGGTCGACGAGTGGGCCCCGACCAGCGCCGACGACCCAGACGGCGACGATGCTGCTGCTGCTGGTAGTGCCGCCACGTGGGAGCGAGACGAGGGCCTGGAAGACGGCCTGCTCGTACAGCTGGTACTTGGCCGGGTCGGCCTCAAAGACGGCGTACGTCTGCGCCTCGAGGTTGTCGAGCAGCGGCTGGAGGGGCGCCTGGAGAAAGTCGTGGTAGCCGCGGGCGCGCACCTGGACGCTCGTCGGTGGGGGCATGGTGCGCTCCACGTGGCGGAGGTACTGCTGGTAGGCGGCCTGGCCGCCGCGCGTGTGGTGTGGTGGGCGGTGCTGAGTGCCGGCGACGACGAGGTTCAGGCCGTCGTTCTTGGCCAGCAGGGTGCGCAGGAGCGACTGGGCGGCCTTGGACAGGACGGGGTAGCCCTTTGCGTTGGCGAGAAAGGACGTGGCAGGGAGCCAGACGGCGCGCACGGGCTCGGCCTGCCAGCGCTGGAGCGCAAACGCAGGTGCCAGGGGCGCACTCACGTCGAGCACAACACCAAGCCGGGCGTGGTAGCGCGCCACCGAGCGCACCACCTCCCACGCCTGCCACGCCCAGTCGTCGTCGTCGGCAGCGCGCATCTGTGCAGGCGGGACTGGCGCCGAAGCTGACGCCGACGCCGATGCCGACGACGACGACAGCCGGGCGGCCATCTGCGCAGCGCGGTAGGGCGAGCTGACGGGGAGGCGGATCGAGAGACGCATGTATGCGCCTGCGGGTGCCGACTCGGTGCCTCGCCGCGTGAGGAGGCCGGCGATGGCACGGGCGTAGTCGACGAGGAAGCGCCGTGACGCCGGCTCGCTCGACGGCGGCGGCAGCACGACGTGGGCGAGGCCAATGTGGGCGGCATAGGCCACCTCCTGGCGCAGGGCAATCTCCGAGTCAAGGCGGATGCCCTCGTCGGCCGAGTCGAGCTCGAGCCAGGGGCTGGCGACGGCGAGGACACCGTCGGACTCGTCGAGCGAAGTGATGTTGACCTCGCCGCGGCGGAAGCTGGGCATGCGGCGCCACTCCTCGGCCTCGCGTGCCGTCGCCTCGTCGATCGTCTCTGTGCTTGTTGTTGCACCAGCACCAGCAGCAGTGGTCGTCGCACTCATTCGAGAACGGCTGCTGGAGCGCGGCAGACCGGTGTCGCCCTCGTAGGGGACGCCCAGCCCGCCGGCACCCGAGGCCTGGGCAACGACCTCCCAGCTGCCGCCCATGGCGCCTGGATCGCCCCGCTTCCACGCGTTCATCGGTTTGGGCGTGGCATCTGGTGCAGACGACGAAGATGAGGAGGAGGACGACGAGGACTGGGCGAGTGACGACGGCGCGAGGCACAGCCGCATCCACCGGTGCCGCCATCGCTCATTTGTCAGCTCAATGGCAATCGACGAGTACCCGCTGCTTCGCGCCACGGCCAGGCTCCGCGAGGGCGGCGGGAGCGAGGCGAGGGCGGCGCCGACGATGCCGTCGACGTCGCTGCTGCCCAGGCCCATGGGCGACGGGCCCGTGGCCGAAGCGAGCGCATTGACGTGCGATGCTTCCGGCAGCGTGTCGAGTCCACCCGGGTGGGGCCGTCTGCGGCTGTTGCTTCCGCTGCTGCTCCCCGCTCCATCACGGTCCATTGCAGCCGCTGCTCCTCCTCCTCCTCCTCCTGCGCCGCCAGGTCTTGCCGTCGACGACGACGAGGAAGAGGCCTCGTCGGAGACAATGTCGGGCCCCCACGAGAGCGACGACGTGGGCACGTGCAGCGTGATGGGGCACGGCGCCCTCGCGCTGCCCTCTGCCGCCGCACCGTCCGAGTCGTCCATTGTTTAAGTCTCGCTTGATGATCTTCTTGACGCTGCGAATGAACAGTACAAGCGACGAGCGAGCGCAAAAAAAGTGTTTCTTTCTGCCCTGAGCGACCGACGGACGCGTCGCAGAGGAACATTCGGGGATACGCACGTGGCTGAGAAAGCGACCCGCACAGACGTCTGTCTCTCTCTGGTCGCTGATTATTATTAGAGTTGGCCGCGGCACCCTTGGCAGAGTGTGCCTCTGAAAGCTGGCGATTGCACAACGATGGCACCGCCAAAGAAGCCGTCCAAGAAGGACGACGTCGAGGCCCTGCTGTCCGACCTCGACAGCCTCGGCACGGGGTCGGGATCAAAAGAGGCCAAGAAGGCAGCAGCGACCGAGGGAGCAGGAGCAGGAGCGGGTGCCAAGGCAAAGGACGATGCGCAGAGCCTGCTCGACGATCTCGACGAGCTCGTCAAGCGGCGCGCGGCCACGCCCAAGCGCACGCCCTCGGCTGCAGCGACGCCCGCAGCAGAGGTGACGCCCAGCGCAACGCCCTCGGGCACCCTCTCGCGGAGCGCCGCTGCCATGGCGGCCTCGGCGGACGGGAGCAAGGAGCAGGCAACGGCACCGTCCGAGCGCGACGTGGCGGCATCGCCATCAGAGGTGCCAGTCACAGACCCATCGACGACGACGGCGGCGGCGACTTCAGTAGCAGGCGCAGGAGCAGGGACAGCCGCAGGCCCAGGAGCAGGGGCAGCCGCAGGCGGGTGGGGCAACTGGTGGAGCAGTGCCCAGAAGCTGGCCGACCAGGCGCGCGCCGAGCTCGAGAAGCGCGCGGCACAGGCAGCGCAGGCGGGCAAGGATCTTGCCTCGGAGGTGCGCCAGTCGGAGGAGGAGGCGCGCCGGCAGGGCATCCCCAGCCTCACGTCCGTCGCCGAGAATGCATCGCAGGCCGTGAGCCGGACAGCCAAGGGGGACCCCTGGTCGCTGGCCCGCAGCATGCTGGGCAGTGGCAGTGGTGATGGCGGCAGTGGTGGCGGAGGAATTCGCAACTTCAACCTGCAGGAGCTCTCGCAGATGGGCAAGCGCGGCTGGATGGACATTGTCAATGCCGTCGCGCCGCCGATTGCACGCCACGAGGTGCTGCAGGTCAGCCTGTCGCACGACATGGTCGGCTACGAGGGCATCGACGACCTCGTCTTCCGTGTCCTCGGCCGCGTCGTCGAGACGCACGCCGCGCAGGACCACGCGCAGGAGGGCAACGAGGGCCCCGGCCAGCAGCAGATCATCGTCAACAAGTCGCGCACCCAGCAGTCGATGGAGGACGAGCGCACCGACGCAGGCACCCACGCCCGCTCGATGAATGCCCTCGACAGCGGCGGCTTTGAACACGCCTGGAAGACGGCCGAGACGAAGCTCGATGCGCTCATCCAGGCCACCTATACCCCGGCCCCGGCGCAGGACACGGCCGCAAAGGACGGCGACAGCAGCAGCAGCAGCAGCAGCGACACGAGCGCCAAGCTGCCCATCACCACGTGCCCGCTCTACATTCGCATCCAGCCCCTCCTCGCCTCGCTGCCCGGCCTCGAGAGCAGCACCGACACACCACGGCACCTCTACTTTGCCGTCGTGCTCAACGACCCCTCCAATGGCCTCGTCCACCGCACCATCTCCAGCCCCGTCCCCGCCGACTGGTTCGATGAAGCCGGCAGCGGCAGCCACTCAGACCGGCCAGGGCCAGGGCCAGGGCCAGGGCCGGAGCCGTGGGCCGAGGAGTTTCTCGTCGAGATCCTCGAGGCGTGCCTGGGCGCCATTGGCCTCGACTATGTGCGGCAGCGCCAGACGTCGCGGACGCGCGTCGCCCAGGAGATCAAGAAGCGCGTCGCCAGCGAGTAGGCTGCTCTGGTACGCAGCCCTTCTGTTCTAAACGGACACATCCAGTCATCAGGGTCAGCACGACGGACGGGCCAGGAGATGAGAGGGCCAGAGACAGATGCCTGAGAAGACGAATGGGTATTGCAGGGATAATCCATCCGAGGGGCGCGCATGATATCTAGATGAACAGTGTGTGGTAGTAATAATGATGATCAATGATGTGCATGAGAGAAGGGCGTGCGTGTGCTGTTTTGAGATTGATTTTGGGGGAAAGGCTGAGAGACCGCAAGCATGTTGCTGGCTAGACAATCGAGGAAGCCGAAGCGTGGTGCTGGTGGATCGAGGCACGCTTGAGCGAGGGAAGCCGCATCGGCGGCGGCGACGGGCTCTGGGCCGGCGCCGGCGGGATGATCCACTGGCCGTTCCTCGAGAGGCCGCTGGCAGAGCCCTGTCGCGCGTGCTGCTGGCCATGGCCCGGTACCTGGCTGCTGACGGGCGACCAGGCGCGCTCGGGCGCAGGTCCATCGAACCAGGCCGCCGAGAGGCGCTTGGCCGACTGCGGCGGCTCGTCGTAGAGCACCGGCGGCGGCGGCGGCGGCGAGCTCATCGTCGTCGTCGTCATCGCAGGGGACATCGTCGACGAGACAAACGAGCTCGAGATCCACGCGCCAATCGCGCTCGACATGGTCGCAGGGCTGGCCGTGCGCAGCATCGCCATGTTCTCGCCCTCGTCGTCGCCGTCTTCACCGCCGTTGGCATACATTTCGTCGCCGGCATCGGCCTCTTCCTCGATGTCGGCCTCGTCGGCGGCCTCGTCGTCCTCATAGACGCCGTCAATGTCGTCGGCCTCATCACCGCCGTCGTGCGGCTGCTGCTGCTGCGCGCGACGTTGCTTGATGTAGCGCTGGAGGAGCATCGGGGCGAGGCTCACGATGCTCATGAGCGCCAGCTTGACCATCATCTCCTTGCTCCACACCTTGGCGGCGATGGCGCGGGCACCGCCTCCCTCGGCCGCGGCTGCGACGAGTGGTTGCGGGCGAGGAGAAGGAGCAGCAATGGCGGCGGCGGCAGCAGCGGCATTGGGCGAGGCAGCGTCAGAGAAGCCGCCGAGGTCGAGCGAGTCGGCGAGGACGGGCGCGGCAGCTGCTGCTGCGCCACTGCCAATGGCCTCGACGACATCGACGAGGAGGTCGCCGACCTGGACGGTGCATGCGTTCCAGGGCACAGAGCCGACGAGGAGCGTGGCCGCATAGGGGAGCAGGGGCACGCGCAGGACGGCACAGGCAATGTTCATGAGGCCGTACGGCACAATGGGCAGCACGCGCAGGACGAGGAGGTAGGACCAGATGCTGCTGCCGCCGTCGATGCCTGCTGCGCGGCCGGCCATCTTGACCTGGAGCGACGAGCGCCGTGCGGGCGGTGCGCCACGGAAGGTTGACGACGACGACGGGTTAAAGAACGACGACGACGAGGGCGAGGAAGAAGCGGCGGCCGTGCGTGGTCGTCGCCTGCGCACGCTGCTTGCCCGACGCGCGACACCCGTGGCGCGGGCCGAGGACGAGGACAGGCCCGAGGAGAGGGCGCCACGCATCTTGTCGAGGGGCTTGTGCAGGCCAGGCATGCTGGCAATCAGCGGCCCCAGGGGCGCCATGAGGAGGTAGCAAAAGACGCCGCCGAGCGAGGTGAGGGCTGAGGTGTAGACGGTGCCCATGACGGTGCCGTACATGGCGCCAAAGACGACGTTCATGATGAGGCTGCCGGGGATGGTAAAGGACTGCTTCCAGGTGAAGAAGTAGCCGAGCACGGCGAGGGTGTGGACAAAGGCACGGGGCGAGGCGCGGCTGTATGCACGCAGGCTGAGGGACATGTCGCGGATCTCGCTCAGCGTCAGCTCGGTGATGTGGCCGGGCAGGACGAGGGGCAGGGTGGAGAGGGCGAGGATGAGGACGAGGGTGGAGCCGACAAAGGCGGTGGCGAGCAGGAGCAGCGCGGGCACGTGGGGCCGCAGCGGGGGCATGGCCGGCGTCGTGAGCGACGAGGCCAGCTTGGCGGCGAGGATCGAGAGGAGGCCGATGAGCGACCGCGGGGCGTTGCTGTCCTGCAGCAGCTGCTGCTGCTGCTGCGACGGCGCCGGACTCGTCGGCGGGCTGATGCAGTCGGCCGGTGCATGGCTGCTGGGCAGCAAACCAGGCGCTGCTCCGCCCTTTGCGACGGGCGAGCTCGACGTGGGCCGGGTGGGCGGGGAGAAGGTGCCGTCGGAAAAGGCGCTGAGGTTCGAGGCAAACAGGGGCGAGGACCGGCCCGAGGCGGCCGACGACGAGGCAGTCGTGCTCATCGCAAGGTGCATGGGTGGCCGCTGTTGCCGGTTGTCTGCTGCTCCTGCTGCCACCGTGGTCGCATTCGCGCCAGTGGCAGCCAGAGCAGCCGCATCGGCCGCGGCCTGTGCTGCGCTCCACTGGTGCCGGTTGGCATGGCTGCCGCCGCCGGTCTGGTACGCACGCTTGCTGGCTGGCTGGTAGTAGTCGTCGGAGGACGACTCGCGCTCGCTCGTCGGCGTCAGCGGGGGGCTGTCGTCGTTGAGGCCATAGAGGCCGTCTGGCCCCGCCTGCCGGGCCGCGGGCATGGCCAGGGGCGCGCCCGTCGCAGCGAGCGAGGCGGCCGAGGCAGTGAGGCCCTGGAAGCGCTCCGTCGAGGCCTGGCCGCCGATGGTGGAGTCGTGCTCGCCGCTCGTCCGTGCCTTTCCCTCTGCGACGGTGGTTGTCATGCTGCTGCTGCTGCTGCTGCTAGGGAGCGCGCCAGAAAAGGACGTGAGAAAGGACCGCAGGTGGTTCGACAGCCGCGGTCTCCTCGGCGATGACGACGACAATGAGGGGGAGGCTGTTGCGCCCGTGTCTGTCATCGCAGAAGAAGGGATCAGCACAGGGGGCGCGTGCGTGCGAGTAGCCCGGCAATCTTCCCACTCACCACTCGGCTGCTCGGATCCCCGGCCAATGGCCTGGAGCGCCGCCGAGCTGCTCCCGCTCCGCACGCGGCTGCCTCGCTTTCCATCGCCGCTGCTGCCGTACTGCTCGACGGTAAAGTCGGGCGTCATCAGGTTTCGACTTCGGTCGGGCAGCTGGTTGTGCACATGCCTGCTGCTGCTGCTGCTGCTATTTGGATCGTTGTAGGCCTGGTGGTAGGCAGCATCGGCACCCACGGAGCGCGTCCTGGATCGCGCCGAGGATGACTTGGCCATCAGGGGCGACGACGAGGAAGCAGCGGCGTCGTGCTCGGCTGTGCCCCTCGCCGTCGACGTCGAGGCCTGACCGTCGAGCCGGGGCGAGACGGGCTGCTGGAAGGCGTGTGCACTGACAAACGAAGGCGCCATCTTGTCTTCTCTCGTCGTCGACCGGAGAAGAAGGTCTTGTGGTCGAGTCGAAGCGGTAGGAAGGAGCAAGTGGAGCGGCGAAGGTCCTTCGTCAGTGCAAGAGAAGGGCAAACGGCACAAACAGGCCGATCCAATCCAGCCGATCAAAAGGGCCCTTTTTTTTCCAATCTCAGCCCAGTGGAGGCTTGGCCAACTCTGCCGATAATCTCGCCGTTAAGGGTCCGTCCTCGTTGTGCTTCAACTGTGAAAGGCGATGCGAGATCGGCAACGTCGTCGTCGTCGTCGCTGCTCTTGTCGTGGTGGTAGTAGTTGTTGTTGTGATGCTTGACGTCGTCTCTCGGGGCTGCCAAGCAAAAGAGCGCCGGGCTTCGACTCCCGCGTAGTTGAGCAGGCCTTCTCTCTTTCCGCGGCCCTTGCAAAGGGCACAACAATTCAGGTCAGACGAGCTGACCGAAGCAAATTTGCAAAATGCGGAAGCCAGTTAAAGAAAATACATTTATGCAGGCATGGAGGTGAATTTTCCTTTTCCCTCTTTGCGTGGTTGCATGCATCAACAGGGCCCATCTGCCCTGGCGGGCCGCGACGCGTCTGGCCCAGTACATTCTAGTGCTGTGCCTTGGCCTGGCCTGGAAAATTGAAATCTAATCAACAGGAATTTGCAGTTGCAAATTGGAAAAAACAAAGCACGGCTAGATCAGACGAGCCTGGCCAGAGGTGGTTTGCGGAACACTGGTTCCGGCCCGCGCACAGGTCGGGTTTCCGCTCAAATCCGACGGAGTTACCAGCCCGCGACCTTGTATTGCACAGCTGCTGCAGTCTGCCCACCCGAGCCGGGGCGAGCGGGGAGGGCTCGCTGTGGCATGCAGACTCAAGAAGCCCGGTCCACGGCGACGGGACATCTGCAAGCCATGCGCCTGTTCCAGAGCGACTTTGCCATCTTCTCTCCACTTTTCGAATCACGTCACGCCCATTGTCAGATTTTCGCAGACTCACGCTGGGTGGTCCGGACATGCTCGCCATATGCTTGACCTATGCCAAGGCTCCAGAAGCGCCAGGTTGTCCTCCAGATTCCTAGTAAGAAGAGGCAGCGAACGAGAATATTGCTCTCGGCCGAGCAGAGGCCATCTCCACGACAGCATGGCGGAGCGCGACGCTTGCTCGACGGATCTGCAGGCCGTACTCTGCATCGCCAGACGAGCGGCTCATGGGCTGGTGCCGTGATGTCATTGACATCAGGCCGTTCAGACACACGAGTGTCTGCTCTGGCAAGAGACGATGGGCTCGGCATACTCTGACATGTGCCTGCAGTTGAGGAGGCGTTGCGCCACTCGATCCATTGCGGAGAGTCAAGTGGCTCTGACGAGGATCGGACATGCGCTCCCACGAGGCGTGACAGCATCCTCATTTCCCCCTTCCTGACCTCGATTGCATCCCCGACCGCTGCATCTGGTTGGTCCGAGCGCGCACTCACGGCGATTCTTCCCTTAGCGTTGTCGTGTGGGTGTGTCGTGGAAGCACTTTAGCTCCTCGCGCACTGTAATTTTAGTGGCCAAATGTTCCATAGACGGCCTGCAAAGAGGCCGGGGATCTAGCTTTCATTGGAATGGAGAATATAAAGCCTACTTCGGACTGGCTGCGACAGGAGGCGCACTGGGTTGCAGCGGCGGGGTGTCTCGAGCCCTCCACCGCTGCGAACCCCGCTGCTCCGTCGAGCACAACGTGTGCGGCTCTCTGACCTCTGCCAGCGACGGCGTCAGCGTCCTTTACCCCCCATCACCCCCTCCCACCACCATGCTTCGTCTCATCACGACCCCTGTCTTGCTCCTTATTGCTGCTGCTCCCCATGCTGCTGCTGCTGCCGCTGCTGCCGTCGCCTCGACGTCCAGTCGACACACGTACTCGCTCGACGGGCACCGCTTCCCGTCGGACTTCATCTACGGCTGCGGCACCTCTGCGTACCAGATCGAGGGCGCCTGGAACGAAGACGGCAAGGGCGTGAGCATCTGGGACAAGTTTGCGCACGACAAGGGCAAGCAGCACATCAAGAATGACGAGACAGGCGACGGTGAGTGTGTGCCCCCTTTGCCCGCACCGTCAAGGCAAGGCCAAGCTGACCTGCTGGGACAACAGTGGCCATGGACTTTTACCACACCTATGCCCGCGACATTCCCCGCTTTGCCGAGAGTCTGGGCACCAACAACTACGACTTCACGCTCGCCTGGACGCGCATCCTGCCCAACGGCGGCACCAAAGCCAAGCCCAACCAGAAGGGCATCGACTTTTACCGGCGCGTCGCCCACGCCACCCATCGCGCCGGCCTCTCGACGAGCTGCACCCTCTACCACTGGGACATGCCCCAGGCGCTCGAGGATGCCTACGGCGGCTGGCTGAGCGAAAAGGTCGTCGACGACTTCCGCCACTATGCGCGCGTGACCATCGGCGCGCTCGGCGACGTGTGCGATCGCTGGATCAGCATGAACGAGCCACGAACATTCTGCACCGAGGGGTGAGTTCCGAAGTCCTGCTCCCTTTCCTCTGTTTTTTCGCTGCTGAAGAGTGGAGTGCCAAACAGCTTCGGGCCCGAGACGGACTCTGCGCCAGGCGTAAAGGGCCCCATCGAGTACCGGTACCGCTGCATGCACCACGCGCTGCTGGCTCACGCTGCGGCGCACGAGGTCTTCAAGGACCTCAAGAAAAAGGGCCGCGCCCGGGGCACGTTTGGCATCAAGATCGACGGCCAGCCGGCCAAGCCGCTGCACAAAAACAAGGAGGCGGACAAGGAGGCGGCCTTGCGCCACATGGAGTTTGTGAGCATGACAGGGATAAAGGCAGGCGCCCGTGTGGATGAGGCTAATGATCAGGAATGGGGGATACAGGAGATTGGCTGGGACCTCGCACCGCTCACGACGGGCGACTATCCCGCGTTGATGCGCCGCGTCATGGGCGATGCGCTGCCGCGCTTCACGCCGGCCCAGTCGACTGCGCTGCGCGACTCGTACGACATCATCTGGTGGGACGTCTACACGTCGACGTACGCCGGCGCGCTCGAGGGAACGTGCGACCGCACGAACGAGGCGTGGCCGGTGTGCGTAGAAGAGACAAACGACGGGCCCGACGGCAAGCCCATCGGCAAGCCCACGGGCTCCTCGTGGAATTTCTTGGTCGACGACACCATCTACCAGGGCATGCGGTACATGCGCGACCGATGGGGCGCCAAGGCCCTCGCCATCGGTGTGTAGTAGCTCCTGACACGAAGACCCTACTTTCTTCCTGATTGAATGCTGACGGTGCTTGTCAAATGTGAAAAGGGGAGAATGGCATGGGCCTGTACCAGCGCGAGCGTCTCTCGCTGGCGCAGCAGCTCAACGACAAGGACCGCATCGAGTGGTACAATTCGACGCTGCACAACGTCAAGCGGCTGCTCGACGAGGAGCCGGCCTTCCCGCTCAAGGCCTTTGTGCCGTGGTCCTGCATGTCGAATCTCGAGTGGAGCGGCGGGTACGAGGTGGGTTTGTATACAAAAAACGCTGACAGGGCAGACGACTGACCAGAGGAGAGGGAACAGATCGACTTTGGCCTCATCTACACGACACCGGGCAAGAACCAGCGGCGAATCCCCAAGGCGAGCGCTCGCTACCTCAGAGAGGTCCTCACCGGCCGTCGCCGCTCGATGGACGTCAACGTCGTGCGCTGATGTCGTGTCCTCTCCCCTCCCTGCTTCATTCATCACAAAGAACAATCTCACACACACTGTCACGGTCACAGTCATCAACACCGACACAGAAAGAAAATTGAAGTTCTCCCTTTCATTTTGCCTCTCCAGAGAATAGTAATCTACAGGGTGTGAGTGTGTGTGTGAGCTTTCATGTGTGCGTGAGGGGGTTAAGTTATCGCTGAGGGGGTGTCGCTCCGTACGCCATCCTCTGCGGCTGGGCTGCCGGCGTGGACCAGGAGGAGTTGGAGGAGGAGCGTTGATAGTAGGGCGCCTGCTGCTGCTGCTGGGGCGTCCAGCCGGTGGGCGGTGGCCGCGGCGAGACGCCATTGACCATGCCCGGCGTCGTTGTGGCATAGCTCTGCGTCGGCCTCGTCGTTGGCGTCGCGGCGGCCGGCTGCTGCTGGCGATAGGCCGGGTGCTGCGACTGCTGCGACTGCTGTTGCTGAGGCTGCTGAGGCTGCTGTGGCTGCTGCTGCTGCTGCTGCTGCTGCTGTGGGTATGGAGACTGACCAGCAGCCGCTTTGGCGGCGCCTTGGCTGCCGGGCGGAGCGGTGGGCAGCTTCTTGGGCGGCGTCGGCTGGGGCCGATCGTGGGGGTGGTCCTTGTCGCTGTATGCGCGCGTCGCAGCCACGCGCTCGAGGAGCTCCCGTCCGCGGTCGCGCGTCGAGCCGAGGCAGGGGGCGCCCTTGTGCTGCGAGGCGGCGACGGCCTTTGCCTCTGCCTCTCTCGTCAGCTGCACCGTCTCGTTGTCGCGGATCGCCGGCGGGCCCCGTCGCGACGAGGACGGCATCGAACGGCGCGACGACGAGCCCGACGTTGATGTTGAGGGCGGCTGCACATAGCTGGCATCGTCGATGATTCCCCAATAGCCCGCTGAGCCGCGGCCATCAACAAGCGCCGGATCGACGAGGGCAGACGACGTCGCGCGGCGCAGCAGCTCTTCGCGCGGCAGCACGAGCGAGCCCTGTGGCGTCCTGGGCCGGCGTGCAACGAGGTGAGCGAGCGACGCGACGAGGGCGCCGGCCACCTCCTGCTCCTCGTGGCTGGGGTGCGACTTGTCGGCGGCTACGGTGGCCCGGGAGTGGTGGCCCTTGTCGCGAGCATCGCGCGAGGCGAGCATGTCGTCGGCAAAGGCGCGCTCGATGCGCTGCTGCTGCATCTCGTCGAGCAGGACCAGCAGCGCCTCGTTGCGTGCAAGGGCCTCGTCGACGTCGGCGGCGGCGCTGTCGTCGAGCTGGCGGTAGAAGCTGCGCAGGAGTCCATCTGCGTCGACGTCGTCGCCAAGGGACGCCACGAGCTCGTCGATGCCTTCTTCTCCCTCTTCTGCGGACCCGAGCTCAAAGGGCGGCGGGGGTGCATCGCGAGCCATGCGCCGCAGCAGCTGCCGGTCCTCATACCGGGACCGCCAGAGCGCACAGCTGGCCGCGAGGCCCATGGTGCCGTCAAAGGAGTCGTATGCGGGCGCAAAGGAGGCATAGGGCCCGTAGTAGAGGTGCGAGACGGGCGTGGCCTTGGCCTCGTTTGCGCGCTCCCGGCGCTGCCTCTCGAACCGGGCGGCGCGCGCGGCGACCTGGGGCTGCGACTTGGCCAGGCGCTGGCCGAGCGTGGGGACAGGCGCGGCAGGCGGCGCAGGATGCACGACGCTGACGAGATTGGCGTGGCCCGTGTCCAGCTCGAGGGCCTCGCTGGGCTGCAGGCTGACGGCGTTGGTGTAGTAGTCGCCGCCGGGCAGGCGCATGTGCAGCGCGTACCGTGCCTCTCGCGGCGGCCGGTCCAGGTCATCAAAGACGCCACCGTCGTCTTCCTCCTCCTCCTTCTTGACCGTGTCGCGCTTGCTAGCAGCCGTCGCAGCAGCCGCAGTAGGAGCCGTACCAGTAGCAGCCGCCGCAACAGCAGCCAGGTCGTCGTCGCGGCGGGCCTGGCGCAGCGAGGCAGCCACCTCGTCGACGACGCCGAGGAGCAGGCCGATCTGCGACAGCGTCCTGCGGTCCGCCTCGACGCGGTCCCTGCCTGGGCCGACGTGGGAGCCCGAGAGGAGGGCGCGGGCCGACTGCGCGCTCACCAGCGGCTCACGCACACGCAGCAGGTGGTTCCGGATCGTCTTGAGCTTCACCTCCTTTGCCCTCACCACGTCTCGCAGCGTCGTCGTCGTCGTCGCCACGTGACCTCCGCCGCCACCACCGCCGCTTCCCCTCGTCGACCGGGCGTCGGGAGCGGGCACCTCGACCTTGGAGGCCATGAGGTCGCCAAAGTAGGCCTCCATGACCGTCGTCAGCTTGTCCCGGACGTCTGCCTCGACGGTGAGGTCGTCCAAGTGCCGCCAGGCGTCGTCGTCGCCGTCCTCTTCCACTTCGCCGACCTTGTTTTTACTCTCGCCCGCCTGCTGCTGACTCAAGCCCTGCAGCGGCTCCACGTCGAGATCGAGGTCGCGGGCAGAAGTCTTGGTGCTGCTCGGCCCCGTCGTCTGCTGCTGCTGGTGCATGTGCTCGCCAGCGCCATTCGAAACCGAAGCCGAAACCGAAGCCGAAGCTGAAGCAAAAGCTGAAGCCGCTTGCTGGCTAGCCTCACCGTGCTTGTGTCCATCCGCTGGATGCGAGTTGTTGCGCGCCGATGAGGGCGGTGAATGCGGCTGCTCGTCGTCGGCCTCACCGCTCCGTCTGCCCGCTAGCCGTGCCCTGCTGCTTCGCGTCGACAGAATCACCTTGCGCGACTTCAGCGGCGGCGACGACGGGCTCCGCTTGGCGTCGTCTGCATTCGTCGTCGTCATCGTCGTCGTCGTCGGACTGCCGTCGGGCGAGGCGGCGCTCCTCTTGCGCTTGTTTGGCGACGGCGACAGCCGGCTGCTGCTGCCCGGCGAGGAGCCAGCACCAGCATTGGGGCTCGTGGTGATGCTGTCCGGATCCGCCGCCGGCACCCTCGCGCGGGCCGATCGACGCAGCATCCTTGCTCCACCTCCGTCTTCCTGTTCCTAGCAGCTCGCCGTTCTCAGAGGAGCTCGGCCGTCGTCGCCTCTGCCTGTGGGTGCGACCGCTTTATCTTCTTGCCGTGTCGCAGGCTGAACTGAAGCGCCAGCTCTGCTCCCGCCGCCGCCGCTGACAGCCTGCCCCGTGACCGTCTCTTAAAGAACAACTGCCCGGCGCCAAGAGCGACCGACGGCCACCTACGTCTACCAAAATCGCAGACGCGTCTCCGTTTCGACCGACCGAGCTTCGCAACAAACAGCCCCTCCTTTATTTTCTTTTTTATTTCCAACCAGACGCGCGTGGGCTCGCTCGCGTTGTGCCAAGTTGGCTCCGAATCCAGAGGGGGGAGGAACACCAAGGCACGCGCGCGGGAGGGAAAGGTGGCGAGGATATGGGGGGCGGTTGAAGCAGGAGACGAGACGGATGCGAATGAGACGAGGGCGATGGGCGTGTGCGTCTGTGGCTCCGTCCATTCGGGCAGGTTTGGTGCGATAGGCCGACTAGACTTCTATTTCCCAATTATCAATAGTGTACAGTCAATAATACAACTCTTGGATTGCCTAGGGCCGCCCTGCCATTTGACCTCCGTCCAAGGACGCTGGCCTCCTGTGCCACGTGTTTCGCTGTCGATTTTTTTTTTTCTTTGGAGTTTTTTTCTTCTCGAAATTTGGCCACGTTGATGGCCAGGGGGCCGCGTCGTCTCCAAACGGAGGAGCCCATCAAGGGCCGCAGCCACCACCGCAGCATAACTCGGAACCCAGCCAGGCCAAATTCCGCGAGGATCCCCGGTGAGTTGCTCCACTACCCCAGAGGGGACCAGCTGCCCATGGGCCTGTATGGCGTCGCGATGGTGGATGGGCGAGGGGGGAGAGGTGTGGGTCAGCAGGCGCATACAGTCACCTCGAGGGTTTCTTCTCGTCGTCATCGCCATCCGCAGACCAACCCCCCTCCCTCTCCCTTTACCGTCGTCGCCATCGCAGTGGGCCGCAGTCGCGAATGTCATCATCAAGCGTTGTCCCCTATTTTTGCATTCGTGTCTGCTTGAGAGGAGTGGAGTGACTGACTGATGTTGCGACAGTGCGTGCAAGGGAGTTGGGCTTATGTCGGCGACGGGCGAGGCAGAGCCGCCGGTGTCGTCGGAGTCCTCCGCAGCAGCAGCAGCAGCAGCAGCAGCAGCAGCAGTGGACGATGCCGGTGCACAGACACAAGAACGGACAGACGACGGCGACAACAACGACGAGAGCAACAACAACAACGTTATCAACAGCAACAATGAAGCGGTGACCACTGGAGAGGCAGGACCGGCGCCGGAGATGTTCTCGGCCGATGCGATTGCGGCCGCCGTCATCGCGGGCGCCGGTCTGGACTCCATCTTTGGTGCGGCCCCCGCCGCCGAAGGGGGTGACCAAGCAAAGGAAGAAGCGACGACCGAGCAGGGAGAGGCGCAGGGCGAGGCGAGCGGCGATGCAGCCCCGGAAGCAGACGCCGACGGTGGCCCGCGGGGCACCAAGCGAAGCCACGACGAGGCCAGCCTCGAGGACCTGGGTGCGACGATGCTGGAGCAGTTCAGCAACGTGCCTGCGACGTCGACCGGCGCTGGCGAGGAGTCGGGCAAGGACGTGTCGTCGACATCGTCCTCGTCGCACAAAGAGCCGCTGAAGCTGCCGCCCGTCGGCGTGCAAAGCTCCTTTGGCCAGCAGCGGAGCGGCGACGGGAATCGGACCGAGAATGCCTTCCAGGCCTCCTCGACGCTTGGCCCGAACGCGACACCCACGCTAGCCTCGACGCCAGCCCGGCTCGATGCTCGCGCTGCCCCACCACGGCCCTCCGTGCCCAGCACGAGCGGCGCAGGCACCGGCACCAGCACCAGCAACGGCACCTCGGTACCGGCATCGAGCGCTGCACCTGCGCCCTGGCTGACGACCTCGGCAACCTCAACGCCCGCCTCTGCCGCGCCTGCGACCACTTCCATTCCGGCTTCGACTGCAGCCTCGTCCTCAGCAGCTCCAGCAGCAGCAGCGCCTCCATCGACAACTCCAGCAGCAGCATCAGCAGCACCAGCACCGGCGTCCACATCAACAGCACCCGCGGCTGCTGCAGCACCGTCCAAGTTCCCCTTCCATGGCTTCGATCTTGCCGCCGTGGCCCAGGCAGCCATGGGCCTCGACGAGCACGGTAACCCGCTGCCGGGCAACGAGGAGTCGCACAAGGCCCTGGCCGAGGCGATGAAGCGCCTGACGTCGTCGCAGAGCGTGTCCCTCTACTCCAACTCGTCCTCGGCCAGCACGTCGTCGTCGACGCCCGCCTCGGCCGCCGCTTCCAGCTTGTACCAGAACGGCGCTGGCGCTGGCGGCGCAAATCGGGCCAACATGGGCTACGAGCGCGACTACCACGACCGCACCGACCGGTCAGGCACGCCGCCGCTGAAGCGCTTCCAGTGCACCATGTGCGAGCGCGCCTTTGCCAGGGCGTACAACCTGCACACCCACATGGCCACCCACGACCCGGACCCGAACCGGTCCAAGCCCTTTCCCTGCCCGTACCCCTCGTGCAAGGCCGACGGCGGCCGGAGCTTCAGCCGCAAGCACGACCTGCAGCGCCATGTGGCCAGCACGCACGAGAATGAGCCGGAGCCCAACATCGAGGCGGCCACCCCTGCCGAGCTGGGCGCCCTGGGCCGGAACCTCAATGGGCTACCACCCCAGGGCGGCCTCGCGTCGCTGGGCCTGGGCACGCCGGGCAGGAAGTTCCGCTGCGACGAGTGTGGCCGTGGCTTTGTCCGCCGCGACGCCCTCAAGCGGCACCAGTGCGGCCGCACAGAGGTCAACCGCGGTGGGCGACACAACCTCGGTGGCCACCACACGGGCACCGACGCCGCCGACGCCGCGGCACGGTCTCTGTACGCGGGCAGCAGCAGCAGCAGCAACCACCACGAGGGAGAGTATGGCTCGCTGTACACCTCGTCTGCCGCCTCTTCGCGGCCGCCTGCTGCAGAGGGCAGCAACGGCAGCAGCAGTACCAGCAGCAACCCCTTTGGACCGGGTGGCATCACGTACGAGAACCTGAGCAAGGAGGTGCAGGACATGGCCATGCAGCTCGTCGCCGATGCGCAGAGCTACCAGCAGCAGCACCACCAGCAGGGCAGCAGCAGCAGCAGCAGCGGTGGCAGTGGCAATGCCGCCAATGGAAGCACCGAGACGCAGGGCGGACAGACAGAAGCGCGGCCCTCGACCACGTCTACGGCCACGGCCACGAGTATCAGCTCGGCAGCAGAGGCCGCTGCTTCGGCCATTCTCAACTCGGCTGCTGCCGCCCAGCAGCAGCAGCAGCAGCAGCAGTCACAGACTTCTCAGCCAACTCAGCCATCTCAGCCATCTCAGCCATCTCAGCCGTCTCAGCCGTCTCAGCCATCTCAGCCGTCTAAGCCATCTCAGCAGCCTCAGCAGCCGCAGCAGCAGCAGCAACAACAACAGAAGCCCCCTGCGCCTCCCAAACCAGACCCCGCCGCAGAAGCAAAAGAGACGACTGTCACGGTCAAGCAGGAGCCCAAGCAGGAGCCTCTGAGCCTCGTCAGCCCGACGTGAACGGCCGCATCCCCGTCCGTGTAACTATACTCCTCTGTACAAGACCGTAGTGGACAAACACCCCTGTATTCGATATCTGGCCTCTATACTAGTAGTAGTAACAGCAGCAGCAGCAGCAAGAAGAATAGATGAGCGATCCTGCGCTGACTAACAGGGATCGCCTCTTTCGTCTTTTTATTTTTCCTTCTCCACACGAAGAAGATCAGACTAAAAATATGAAAGCCTCTGCGCTGCTTCCCCGCCCATCGGTGTCGAGAGAGAGAGAGCACTAACGGTGGGCCTGACCCTGGCAGACCCCGCCTCCCCTCGCTCGTGAAACAATTGAAGAATGCTCTTATCTTGTCAGCTGCTCCCTATCCACATCCGCCTCCTTGCCCATCTCCCTTGTGCACACTACACTACCTAGCCCTTGCCCACGATGCCATCTGTCGAAGGGTGGCTGCGCACGTCGCGGTACCTCAAGAGCCGTCGACCCAGTCCCCGTGTCCTGCTCCTCTCCATCTCGAACCCCCCTCACAACCTGTGTGTTTTTCCATTGTTTACTTGCGCACACGCAGGCTGCCGTGACTGACTCTCTCCTTCTCTCGTCGCACATACTCCAGGCTGAACGGCGATGTGCTCTACGAGCTGTCCAAGGTGCTCAAGATGCTCAGTGCCCAGGAGACGGGCGTCGTCATCCTGACGTCGAACATCGACGACCTCTTCATCTCCCACTACGACGTATCCGAGATTGTCGACCTCGCCTCGCTCGTCCCCGAGGGCTCCCGCATCCCGCCCTCGGTCATCCGCGGCGCCCTCTACGTCGAGAGCTGGCTGCACACCTTTGGCCTCCGGCCGTGGATCCGGCGGAGCACCGTCGCGGGCCTCGCGAACCTCAACTGCTACCACGAGGTGCTGCAGCTGCTGCGCAGCATCCCCCAGGTGACGATTGCTGCCATTGTGAGTGCGGTCCTCAGTCCTTCAGCGCAGAAGAAGAGGAGGACCTGACTTTCTTCCTACAGAACGGCCGCGCGTTTGGCGGCGGCTGCGAGCTGGCCCTCGCGTGCGACTTCCGCTTCATGGTCGACACGCCCGCCGAGGGCATCCCCGGCGAGGCGCGCGGCAGCGGCCTGGGCCAGCCCGAGATCACGCTCGGCCTCATCCCCGGCGGCGGCGGCACGCAGATGCTGGCGCGCATGCTGGGCCCTGCCAAGGCGCTCGAGATCTGCCTCGAAAAGACGCTGCTGACGGCCGAGGAGGCGCGCGATCTTGGCCTCGTCAATGCCCTCTACAGCCGCAAGGAGCTGATGCCAAAGACGTTTGAGTTTGCGGAACGCATGGCGCGGCGTGCACCCGCCGCCGTGGCCGCCATCAAGGACAGCGTCTACGAGGGCGCCTCGCGGCCCATCATGCAGGGCATGCGGCGCGAGAACGGCAACTTTGGCTCCTGGTGCGTTCTTCTCTTCTCTCTGTCTCAGCAAGCGCGGCCTGACCGAAGCTCACTCTCACTTTCCTCGTCTATTAGTGCAATGGAGCCAGAGGCGCTCCTCGCCATGAAAAAGTACCTCGAGCAGCAGGACGACATCCTGGGCGACGACACGCTGCAAAAGTTCCAGCCGCTGCAGGACGGCACGTTCTCAGAGTTCCGCCCCAACTCGGCCTATCTCGAAAGGCAGTGGAGCCGTGTGACACCGCGAACGCCGCGCCAGCCCGTCGAGGAGCTCGTGCAGATCCGGGAGACGGCCCGGGCGAGGATCAAGGAGAGGGCAAAGGAGCGGGCCAAGGCAGCAAAGGCCAAGTAGCCTTGTACTGTACTGTACTGAGCACCTGTTTGTGGCACGGCTGTAGCGCAGATGTAGCAGGGATGTAGCACGGCTCTTTCATGACAATAGCACGGCTTTATCAAGAACAGCAACACGGTTCTATCAGAGTGACATGGCTCTTTTGTGGCGTTTATCTAGCTCTTTATCACGATAATGGCACGGTGCGGCGATAGCACGGCTCAATACAGTGACATGGCTCCATTATGACACTATCATGGCTCTCTTGTGACACAGTTCGTCTGGCTCTTTGTGGCAGCATTATGGCTTGTCCTTGACGCGGCTCTTTCGTGGCGCTAGCACGGCTCTGATACGGCGTGGACATGGCTCTAGTGAGCAAACACGGCTCAAGAAAGGTAGCACGGCTCAGGAGAGGCAACACGGCTCGAGAAGAAACTGGCTCAAGAGAGGTAGCACGGCTCGACAGGGAACACGGCTCAAGAAAGGTAAAACAGCTCGAGAGGTAACACGGCTCAATCTCGGAATCGACGGCTGGCTGTAGCAGGAGTCCCCTCCCATTTTGTTTATTTGGAGAAATGATGAATCATACCGGTACATGCGTGGAAGAAAGAAAGAGGGAGGAGAGCGCAGGTGGGTGGTCGTGACAGGAGAGCGTCTAGGCTGCCTAGTTCATGCGGCGGACGATGCGGTTAATGTCAAACTCTCGGTCACCGGTGTCACCGCCCTCGACGAAGTGGGTGAACTTGCGGTCGGCAAAGCCGCCGTTGGGGTTCGACAGCTTGAACGTCCACAGGAACTGGTTGGCCTCCTTGAAGTGGGGGCCGGCGGTGTAGATCTCGTGGACGAGGTCCTCGACGGAGATGATGCCGTACTTGCCCAGGTTCTCCTCGACGATGGCGTTGTCGCTGAGGGGGAGTCGCTGCCGGTTGACCTTTGCGTAACCTCGCTTGTAGATGAGCTCGCGCACCGTCTTGAGGTTGGGCTCGCCGTAGGTGACGTATGGCTCGACGAGCTGGAGCATCTGCTGCGTCGCCCTAGTCAGCTTGACAAAGACACCGTTGTTGATCTGGAGCAGGCGGAGCAGCTGCAGGATCTTGCGCGGCTTGGGGGCAATGTTGGAGATACCGCGGAGACGGACGACGAAGGCGACCTTGGGCTGCGCAGGCACGTAGAAGTCGCCCTTGGACTTTGCCAGCCGGCGCAGACGGATCTGCTCGCGCTCAACCGACTTGTACTCCTTGGAGTACTGCTCGGCACGCTTGAAGATGACCTGGCGCTTGGCCTTCTTGGCCTGTAGGTGGGCGAGCAGGAGTCAGCATCCATCACCACCCGTGTATGCACGCATATAGTCCCGTCGTCTCCTCCCATCCCATCTCATCTCATCCCATCTCATTCTACGCCATCGCCAGGACGCATCCGGGCAGTCGAGGCCTCACAACCGCGACGAAGCGTCAGACCCGAAAGATGGTTAACGTTTTGACAGCATCGCTCGGAAGCTAGCCAGGTTGTCATGATGTGTGTTTTGCATCTTGCGCTTCGCCTCTCTCTCTCTCTCCTATTCCTCGGCCACCATCCATTCCCACTTTTCCCTCCCCTTCCCCTCAGGCGACGATGGGTAACAAGCTGCCCGTCGATGCTCACCTTGCGGAGCTCACCAGCCTTAGCGAGCTTCTCCTCGCGGGCCTTGGCGTCCGACTTCCTCTTCTTGAGGAGCGTCTCGGGGACGAGGACGTCGTGGGCCGAAGGGACGGTGCTGTTTTCGGTCATGTCGGCGTCAGTCCAACAGCACCCCTTGAAACAGAGCACGCAGACACAGCAGCAACTCACGTCTTGGTCTGGGTAGGCATGGCGATCGGCGGTGTCGTTGATGAGGAGTGGCTCAATCGAACCAAATCTCCAAAAGTTCGCCTTCGCTGCGGCCAGCCGAGGGGCGCGCGCTGCACGTGGCTGGATGAAGAAATTCTGTCCCACGTGGCTTTAAGCTACTATTGCGTTTGCCGTGCCGCTTATTCCATCACAGCGAACCCCCTTCCTGAGGGGATGGGGAAAGGGATCTCGCTGGCAGTGGTGATCTTGCACGCCCAGGGCTGAGAGACATCAGGCGCATGAACAGAACATGAAATGGATAGTGAAATTGCTCAAGCAGCACGACATGGGCCACGAGAGTGAGGGGCGCAGAGTGGTGGGCGCGAGCGGCCAGGCGCGCGGGCGATCCAGCGGGCTGAAGGGCGGTAGGGCGGTGGGCGACACGTGGAAGAAAATAAGCGCCAGCTGGAATGCCCTCGGGGTGACGTGGAGTCGGATCTTCTTGCTAAATAGAAAAAGGTCGAAGCTTTCGCCCTCTCTCTCTCCTTTCCCCAATCGACCACTGTCTCACCACTTCTCTCTCTCTCTTTCTTTTCTTCAAAGAGCAGACAACAGACATGGCCTACCCTAGCCGCGGCGCCTCCCTGGCGCAACGCAGACGGGCACAGCGGGCACACAAGACACCGCTGGCTTCGCGCGTCTCCGTCCTCAGCATCCTCCTCGCCCTCGTCGCCATCTTTGCCTTTGGTGCCGTCTTTCCCTCGTCCTCGTCCTCCCACCCCGCTGGCGGCGTCATGGCCGCCGACGAGAAGCGGAGCGACTACGGGTCTGTCATTGGTATCGACTTGGGCACCACGTACTCGTGTGTCGGCATTCAGCGGCAGGGCCGCGTTGAGATCATCACAAACGACCAGGGTAACCGTATCACGCCGTCCTACGTCGCCTTCGTCGAGGACGAGCGACTGATTGGAGACGCCGCCAAGAACCAGGCCGCACAGAACCCCGAGAACACAGTGTGAGTGGTGGTGATTTCTGCATCGCATGATGAGACCATGATGAGGCTGACTTCTTTATACAAACAGCTTCGATGCTAAGCGGCTCATCGGCCGCAGCTGGAACGACGCTGATGTGAAGAAGGACGCGCGGCACTTCCCCTTCAAGATTGTCGAGAAGGCGGGCAAGCCGGCCATCCAGGTCGATGTGCGTGGCACCAAGCGTGTCTTTACTCCCGAGGAGATCTCGGCCATGGTGCTGCAGAAGATGAAGGAGACGGCCGAGGCCTACCTGGGCCACAAGGTCACCCACGCCGTCGTCACCGTGCCCGCGTACTTCAACGACGCACAGCGCCAGGCGACCAAGGATGCCGGTGTCATTGCTGGCCTGACGGTGCTGCGCATCGTCAACGAGCCCACGGCCGCCGCCATTGCCTACGGCCTCGACAAGAAGGGCGACTCGCAGATCATCGTCTACGACCTCGGTGGTGGTACGTTCGACGTCTCGCTCCTCTCCATCGACGACGGCGTCTTTGAGGTCCTGGCCACTGCCGGTGACACGCACCTCGGTGGTGAGGACTTTGACAACCGCGTCTCCGAGTACATCCTCAAGCAGTTCAAGAAGAAGGAGAGCCTCGATGCGAGCGGCAACAAGCGCTCTGTGGGCAAGCTCAAGCGCGAGGTTGAGCGGGCGAAGCGGACGCTGTCGAGCCAGATGAGCACCAAGATTGAGATCGAGAGCTTCTTCGAGGGCAAGGACCTGTCCGAGACGCTCACCCGTGCCAAGTTTGAGGAGCTCAACGCCGACCTGTTCCGCAAGACGATGAAGCCCGTCGAGCAGGTGCTCAAGGATGCCGGCGTCAAGAAGGAGGACATCGACGACGTCGTCCTCGTCGGTGGCTCCACGCGCATTCCCAAGGTCCAGCAGCTCCTCAAGGACTTCTTTGACGGCAAGGAGCCCTCCAAGGGCATCAACCCCGACGAGGCCGTCGCCTGGGGTGCTGCCGTCCAGGGCGGTGTCCTTGCTGGCGAGGAGGGCGCTGCCGGTATCCTTCTCATCGACGTCAACCCGCTCACGCTCGGTATCGAGACGACGGGCGGCGTCATGACGAAGCTGATCCCCCGCAACACCGTCATTCCCACCAAGAAGTCGCAGATCTTCTCCACGGCAGCCGACAACCAGAATACGGTGCTGATCCAGGTGTACGAGGGCGAGCGTGCGCTCACGTCGCAGAACCACCAGCTGGGCAAGTTTGAGCTCACCGGCATCCCGCCTGCGCCACGTGGCGTGCCCCAGATCGAGGTCACCTTTGAGCTCGACGCCAACGGCATCATGAAGGTCTCGGCTGCCGACAAGGGCACCGGCAAGTCCGAGTCGGTCACCATCAACAACGACAAGGGCCGCCTGTCGGAGGAGGACATTGAGCGCATGGTCAAGGAGGCCGAGGAGTTTGCCGAGCACGACGAGGAGGTGCGCAAGCGCGTCGAGGCCCTCAACAGCCTCCAGAACTTCATTGCCTCGACGAGGCAGACGGTCAACGACAAGGAGGGCCTCGGCGGCAAGCTCGACGCCGACGACAAGAAGCAGATCCAGGAGGCCCTCAAGGAGAGCGAGCAGTGGCTCGAGGAGAACAGTGCCAACGCAGAGGCGGCCGACATTGAGGAGCAGCTCTCGGAGCTCCAGGCGCAGATTGCACCCATCACTGCCAAGGTCTACGGCGACGGTGCCGGTGCCGGTGCCGGTGCGGGCGGCGCAGGTGCTGCCGACGACGACGACGACCTCAAGTGGGGCGGGGGCCACGACGAGCTGTAGTAGACTTGCTCCTTCATCTCATCTCTTCCCTCTCCCACTCTGTCTCTCTTTCCTCTCTCCATACACACACAAAAAGACTTGAATAAATCGTGCGCTCTCTGTATCGCTGTGTCTCGCTGTGTGACTTGCCGCGCGGGAGATGACTTTCCTCGTCTCACTGGCGGAGAATGTTGTTGCGTTTGCCCGTTCTCCCGTGCGCGCCGCACTGAGTGAGACCCACTTGCCTTTCTCCCGTTCGACGCTGCTTTCTTCACCCTGGAGCAGACAGGCAGGCAGGCTGAAGTGTACTCCTATCTACTACGTACGCACTCGGCTCGAGTAGACTGTCGACGCTTGACTGTCGACGCTTGACGCTTGCAGGCGCGGAGGAGGCAGCCATTGCAATATTAATTCCTCGCATCTGGGCTCGCTAGCACGTACTACTGCACAACAGTAGTGAATGAGTACGTCTAGCCTGGCTTGCATGCCGCACCTGCCTCTGCGTGCACGGGTGCGTCGCGGCAGGCGGCCCCGCTGGCCTCCGTCCTCCCGCGCGGCCCAGCAGTATCCATCACGGCGACCATCCATCCCCATCGCGCCCTTTCCTCTCCCCCTTCCCCTCATTCAACAACAAGCAACGAGACCAAAACGATGATACCCTTGCCTTCTTTTTCTTTTCCCCCTCCTCCCCAATTCCCTATCAGACGTGAAGTGACGACGCACACCAGTCGCGACTCGCTGCCGCCGCCGTTCTACCCAACGCCGTCGTCGTTTAAACCGCTGGATCGCACATCACTGCCAGCAGCGTCAATACTGCCGTCGCCATTGCCAACATGGCGCAAAATGCATTCCAGCCCAGCCACCGGCGGGCCAAAATTCACAAAAGAAGAGCAACAGCAGCAGCAGCAGCAGCAGCAATTACCGTGCGGGCATGCGAAGGGCATCGAGTCAGCTGCAGATGCAGACGCGGACGCAGATCTGGACCTGCCTGATGCCGAGACGGTCGTGAGGGAGGCCCTGGCGGAGAGGAGCCGGCGCGCGGCCGACGCGCAGAGGCGCATCGAGCGGCGTGCGGCCATTTCTTGTCGGATCAGATCGGCAAGGCGAGAGAGCGAGTCGTTGTCAAGGGCAAAGGTACCAGGAGCACAAGCACAAGCAGGAGCAGGAGCAGGAGCAGGAGCAGAAGAGCCGGGACCTCCAGCGTCAGCACCAGGAAGGATGCAGTCGTGGATCAGTCTGATCGAGGACGACGACGACGATGACGACAGTAAAATTAGCGACGTTCGACTGCACGAAAGGCGAGAGAGCGTCGTAGCCGTCTACGTCCCCGTCACTGACGCCGAGGACAGCAGCAACCTCGTGGCCCTGTCGCAGGCTCGCTTGGCTTCACTGTGGGACGAATGCGCCGCACAGCTCGGCTGGACGAAGCCTGCCGCCGACGAGCACCGATATATACCCGTGCGTGCGAGCTGGCACGTCGGCTGGCGACACGCCTCGCAGCGCGAGCTCGCGAGCTGGGCCGACGCTGACACGCGCGTGCTCGTCAAGGAGCAGCGGCGCAGGCTCTCGCTAAATCTCGGTGTCAGTGGCGATGGCAAGCAGAAGCGAGCGCAGACCGTGGACGGTGTTATTCTCGAAAGCAAAATGAACAACCAGCAGCAGCCGCCAGCGAAGACTATTGATTGCGTCGCTCGAGCACATTCGCACGATATCGAAAGTCCCGCTAATGAGAAGGACATGGATGCCCATCGCAGCGACGTCGACGGTGGAAAATCAGTTGATGCTGAGATCATTGACTTGTATAAAAACAAAGTGGATGGAGCAACGACGACGCGGTGCGAGCAGACGATAGTACTTGCAAACAACAACGAGCAGCAGCAGTGCTTGGAGCATGGGGCCGCGCAGAACAACAGTCGCAAGCGGAAGAGGAGGAGGAGCGACGACGGCGAGCAGTACTTCGGCGGGTACGGGCAGCTGGAGGAGCGCCTCGTGCCCCTCACTCGACGCCTGGAGGCTCTGGGGTTGGAAAACAAGGAGCTTAGAGAGATGCTCGCCGCTCAGGCCGAGGACCAAGAAAAGCTGCGAAAGCAGACATCGGAAGCGACAGCAGCTGCAGTCGTCGCAGTGGCCGCTCTACAGGAGCAACGTGAGCAGACAAGACCGTACAAGCAGCCCATGGCCAGGGGCATCCTCTTCGACTTTATGGAGCGACACCAGTCCCTCACTGTAGCAGCAGCAGCAGCAGCAGCCAAGGCGGATGAGCCAGATACGAAGAAAAAAGACAGGGAAGCGAAGGTCAGGGACAAGCGCAAGGACAAGGACGGGAGCACGGCCACGACTATGATCCTTGTCGGTGGGCAGCTGCGGCCGTCGTGCTACTTTTCCGCCCAGATCCCAACTGACCGTCTCTTCACCCTCCTCGAGGGAGGACTCGACCTCTTCGAGCGTGCGGAAAATGAGGCGGCCCGGGAACGTAGAGCATACATGTTCAATGCATACAAGGACGTGCTCGTCTCCCGGCTCGGCGACCTCGACGAGGTGCGGAGGAATGCACACCGTCAAAGGGCCTGGGCGGCCTTCGAGGAGCGCAAGAAGTGGGTGGAGATGCATGTGCACGAGGCGCCGCCACCAAACATGCTGTCTCAGGAGGCTTCGGCATGCATGGATGCCTTTCTCGGCATGACACTCGATCTCACCGCGGAGGACTGCAGCCGGCTTGCCGCTGAATTCCGCGTGGATGAAGGCGCAGTAACTGCCTACGCACGGGACAGGATTCACGCAGCTAGGGCCCGTCTCAGCGACATCCGGGCTGCGTGGGAGGAGCAAGCATCGGCGTACGTGCGCCAGAAGCACGCAGGAAATACGGAAAACAGCGGGTGAAAGTGTATAAAGAAGGCAATTAGGATATCACCTTCTCCCGGATATCATCTTCTCTCTGTGTTTGTGACTATGACTATGTGTTTCTCTTTGTGTAACAGTACAGATTGTAAAGAAGTCCACTCGATGGCGCAAAATGGCTACAGCAGCTTGAGATGCTTGGTGACCTGGTCGATGATCTTGACGGGTCCTGGGCCGATGCCGAGCACGGTGCGACTGCCCGCTGCAATCTGCGTGCGGCCGCTGGTTTTCAGAGAGAGAGTCAGCATTTCTTACTCAGAAACAAGGCAGAGGGCAGGACAGACACGCACGCATCGCGGATGCTGCGCGCGCACAGGTTGAGCTCCTTTGCGCGGCGCTCCAGCGCCAGCATCTCGTCCTCGGTGGAGCACTTGAGCGCGACCTTGGCCTGGCCCGAGCGCTCCCACTGGTGCAGCACCTTGGGGTTGGCCTGGGCCAGGGCCTTGTAGCAGGCCAGCGTCGCATGGCTGCACTGCGCTGCAATCTTGCCCTTGTCCATCTTGAGGTCTGTCCGCACGACGAGGACGAGCTTGCACTCCTCGAGCAAGCCTGCCCGCAGCGCATTCATCCTTGCCAGCGCCTCGTCTGTCAGGTCTGTGTCCGTGTCCCCGTCCTCCGACTCCGAGTCCTCGCCTTCGGCGGCGGCCAGGCGGGTGCGCGCGTGCGCGTTGTAGCCAAGCAGGTTGCGGCCCACGCCAAGGTAGTAGCCAATGACGAGCGACGAGATGCAGAGGAGGCCGTATGTCGTCGCCGCTTCTGCCATCATCCGCCGCCTGTCAGCCTGCCTGGTCCCATGATGGATGGGATGCCCCGTCACTGCGTCACACACCAATGCTCGACGAGGTGCTCATTGCCCTCTGCCCTCTTCACTGCGCAATGCTCACGACGGAGGATTCCGAAAGCCACCACCCTCAACCCTCGTGGTGCGTCGGTCCGAACTTCTCTTCGTTGTCGACCGGGGCAAATGAAATTTGACCAACTCTAGCAAGCCCCTCTTGAGGGGTCACGTGATGTACACGTTGTCATCCGCGTTGAACGACGGACGAGATACAGGCGTCGTCTTTAGGTGACGTTACCTGGGCCCTGATGGACAAAGAGAAGGAGCTTTTGGAGAAATGGGGGCCCTACTTATACGTCCAGCTGCCTGAGAAGAGAGTAGCAGGACAACAAAGCACTGCAGAGCGGTGAGTAGCAGGACAACAAAGGCGGCGCGGAGCGGTCCAAATTTAGCAAGCCACCGAGACTTCTAGCCCTGCGCCTGGTCGGGGCCTGTCGGCCGTCGAGGAACGAAACACGTGGCATTTTGGCCCTAGATGGGCCGATTACAACCATTTTCGAATTGTCGAATTCCAAAATGGCGTCCGGTACCGTCCTGGTCACAGTGATTATATAAAGGCGAGACCCTTGGGCCTATCTCACACCTTCTGACTCCCCCAATCACCTCATCTTACCCACTTCACTTGCGCACCGCTACCCATCCAGCCGTCGCCAGTGATTCTCCCAGACATTCTTACGCACTTCACCACATCCTTCCATCAAAGGTGAGTTGTGCTTTTCTGGCTTGCCACCGGGGACCAGAGTGGGTGGATGCGGGGCCTTAGGCCCGCGTGGCGGTGGAGCATGCGCGGCGCGCATGCATTATCTCCTGCCAGCACATCCATCCACCCCTCTCCTTTCCCCATCACCCATCTATTCATCCATCCATCCACTCACACACAAGCTCTTACGCAGTCACAGTAGCCATGCAGATCTTCGTCAAGACCCTCACCGGCAAGACGATCACCCTTGAGGTTGAGTCTTCGGACACCATCGACAACGTCAAAGCCAAGATCCAAGACAAGGAGGGCATTCCCCCGGACCAGCAGAGGCTTATCTTCGCTGGTAAGCAGCTCGAGGACGGACGGACGCTCGCGGACTACAACATCCAGGTACGTGATCTTGCTTTCATCCTTAGTGGCGTTGCAGACTCATACTGACCGTCTGTCTACCTTGCCACGCCACAGAAAGAGTCGACGCTCCACCTCGTCCTGCGCCTGCGTGGTGGTATGCAGATCTTTGTCAAGACCCTTACTGGCAAGACGATCACCCTCGAGGTTGAGTCGTCGGACACCATTGACAACGTCAAGGCCAAGATTCAGGACAAGGAAGGCATCCCTCCGGACCAGCAGCGCTTGATCTTTGCCGGAAAGCAGCTTGAGGATGGCCGGACTCGTGAGTTTGCTCTTCTCTCATCGGATCTCTGAATTTCGTAAGTTGACTCTTGCATGATTACACAGTTGCCGACTACAACATCCAAAAGGAGTCTACCCTTCACCTGGTTCTTCGTCTGCGCGGTGGTATGCAAATCTTTGTCAAGACATTGACTGGCAAGACGATTACCCTCGAAGTTGAAAGCAGCGACACAATTGATAACGTCAAGGCAAAGATTCAAGACAAGGAAGGCATCCCTCCGGACCAGCAGCGACTCATCTTTGCCGGAAAGCAGCTTGAGGACGGCCGCACGCTCGCAGACTACAACATCCAGAAGGAGAGCACCCTTCACCTCGTTCTCCGACTCCGTGGTGGTATGCAGATCTTCGTCAAGACACTTACGGGCAAGACAATCACATTGGAAGTGGAGAGCAGCGACACGATTGACAATGTCAAGGCAAAGATCCAGGACAAAGAGGGCATTCCTCCGGACCAGCAGCGACTCATTTTCGCAGGAAAGCAGCTCGAGGACGGCAGGACACTGGCTGACTACAACATTCAGAAGGAGTCGACGCTCCACCTCGTGCTCCGGCTCCGCGGTGGTATGCAGATCTTTGTCAAGACGCTGACGGGCAAGACCATCACGCTTGAAGTGGAGAGCAGCGACACCATCGACAATGTCAAGGCCAAGATTCAGGACAAGGAGGGCATCCCCCCGGACCAGCAGAGGCTGATCTTTGCCGGCAAGCAGCTCGAAGACGGCAGGACGCTGGCCGACTACAACATCCAGAAGGAGTCGACCCTGCACCTTGTCCTCCGTCTCCGTGGTGGCCAGTAGACTGCCTGCGACAACCTATCGTTACCCCCCTTTGTGTCCCACCTGCTGTTTAGTTACCAGTGATTAGCCAATCAATGCTGTCATCATCTTACCAGTCGTTTAAGCTTACGTTGTCTGAGAATGATCCGCGGCAGTGTCGAAATATCAGCTGGCGTGAACATTTAGACGCTGCTTGCTCCACCGGGCCGCGCGACTCTAAATTTTGCCTCTTTCTTCCTTGCACGCGACGTCTTGACTGCCGCTCCACGAACAGGACACCACGAGATGGAGGCAGGTACGGCGCCGGAAGCCAGGGAGCCTCCTACCCCTGTCGCAGCCGCCGTGCGGACAAAGAAGCGCAGGGGAGCAGTAGCGAGGCGCGGCGAACGCGCGCCGCTGAAGACGAGCGAAAAGATCTGGGTCGCCTCGACGCTGTCGCTCATTCTCTTTCTCGTCGTCTCGCCCCAGCCATTTCTCTTTGCGCCCTACTTTTTCCACCGGCTCGCCTACGAGACGCGGGCCGAGGCGGCGTGGCACCTTGCCAAGTACCTCGTCCCCTTCAATGTCTGTGCTGGGCTGCTGCTGCTCAACTATGCGCTGTGCGTGCGCATGGATCCGGGCAGCGTCCCTGCCGGCTGGCAGCCCCCGGCGCTCGAGGAGGACGAGAAGAAGGAGGCGGCAGAAGGAGTGAAGGAGCGGCCGGCAAAGAGTGGGAACAAGCGGAGATACTGCGGCAAGTGCAAGGCATACAAGCCGCCGCGGGCACACCACTGCAAGACGTGCCGGCGGTGCGTGCTGCGAATGGACCACCACTGCCCCTGGGTGGCCAACTGCGTGGGCCAGCGCAACTATGCCTCCTTTATCCGCTTTCTCTTTCTCGTCGACGTCTGCTGCGCCATGCACCTCGCCGGCCTCTCGCTCCTCGTTCTCGACCACTGGTGGGTGCGCCTCGGCGGGCAGTGGCGCCCGCCGAGCAGCAACGGCGCCATGGTGCTCCTCGTGCTCAACTATGCCGCGTGCGTGCCCACGCTCTGCCTCGTCGGCGTCTTTAGCATCTACCACTTCTACTGCCTCGCCACCAACAGCACCACCATCGAGGGCTGGGAGAAGGACAAGGTCGGGGGCCTGCTCCGACGCGGCCGCCTCCGTGCCGACACGCGCGGCGCCGATTTCCCCTTCGACCTCGGCTCGGCGCTCTCCAATGCCGCCAGCGTCCTGGGCTGGAGCCCGCTGGGGTGGTGCTGGCCGGGCGCGACGCGGGGCGATGGCCTCGTCTGGCGCGTCGGCAGCCATGCCGAGTGGGACGATCAGTACCGCTGGCCGCCGGCGGACCCTTCGGCGGCTGCGGCAGCGGCCAGCAGGAAGGCAGCGGCCGTGACGCCAGAGATGCTCAAGAGCCGCTCCCCCTTCACCTATGGCGGCGATGGCTTCAACCCTGCCCTCACGCCGTCCAACTCCGAGACGCTGCGGCAGAGAAAGGCAGCGCATACAATCGACGCGACGGCAGAGACGACGACAGCAACGACGATGACGACGACGAAGCAGTCGACAACACCGTACGAGACGGGCGTGAGCAGTGTGTCGCCGTGGCATCCCGATTTCCACCGTGAGATCGAGTCGGGCGAGTCGGAGAGCGAGAGCGAGAGCGAAGACGGGCAACAGGGCAGCAGGGTCCGAGTCAGGAGGGGCAGCGAAGGCTACGAGGTCAAGCCCAGGCAATGGGCCATCGACGAGACGCTCGACGACCCCGACGCCGGCGGCTCTGAGGAGGAGCGGGCAGCTTCGGAGGAGGAGGACGGCAACGACAACGACGACGAGTACGGGGAAGAGAGAGATGAGTGGACGAGGGGATACGAGGAGATGGACCGGGAGCAGGCCTGGCTGGCCAGGCAGGAAGAGGAGGAACGGCTCCGCCAGCTGCTCGAGCGCGAGATGCGCGCCCGAGGCGCCACCTACATCCAGTACGACCCCATGATGGACCACGACGACGGGCTTGCCGTCGTCGACGGCGGCCAGCCGCTGCTGCCGTCGCAAGTCATGCAAAGGAGAGCCAGGTGGCAGGAGAAGCAGGGCGGGCCGCCGTCGCCGTCATCATCATCACCACCAGCATAGATAGAGCAGCCTCATTCCAGATAATGTCATCTACTTTGATCAACTCGGTGTCTCTAGCATGTTTGACTATACACTCCAACCATACACTCATAAGGACAGCTCTCAGCTCACTGCATACGGCCGCAATCAAGCAAGAATATGCAGCTGCGATTCTAAAATTGGCAAGCGATCGCCGTGCGCCCGCCAGCCGGCCGAGCAGACCCTGCTGCCGCCTCCGACGTCCACTTACAGTACCACTTGGGCCCTTGGCTGCCTCCGGAGGGAAAAAAAAGAATTCAAAAGAGGGGAAAAAGGAAATGGAAACAAGAGGCTGGGCAAAAACTTTGGCTCATCCTCTGCCGCCAGCCTAAAGGGCAATCAAGAAAACCCTTAAAGCGCGAAATATGGGAAGAGGCAGGACAGGCAGGGCGGCAGGCGGCAGATGTAGAGGGGACATGTGGAAAACGCGCCTCGCTGATGCAGCAGCTCCTCTTTCACTGCCACAGTGCCAAATGAAGAAAGTTTTAAGTCTGTGCAATTTCGAAATTGCCTTTAGCCTTATCCCTCCCCCCTATGTTTCTTGTATTGCTCGCCTCTGCTAAGAAAACCTGCCGCGCAATTCCAGGGGTGGTTGTTATGTGTGTCCTCTAATTATTGGCGATGTTTTGCAGTCGCTCGCTCCTAAGATACGTTTGGTGTGTTTCTTTCTCGCCATCGACCCACTATTGTGCGTCGACCTCTCTTCACCACTACGACTCTCCCTAGGCTCGCTATCTCTCATTCCCTCTCTCGCGCGCTCTTCTCCCTTCCCTCTCCCTCTTCGCCTCCTCCCAACCTCGTCTCTCACTGAATTTTGCCGGCCAGCGCGCTCCGGCTCTCTCACGACGCACGGCACGACCGTGTTGACGACTGCAGGAGGTCGATTGACGGTCGTCTGAGGGCTACTCTTATCTTTCTTTGTGAGTCGAATCGGTCCCGGTGAGGGCGGTCGTAAAGTTCGAGAAAGCTCATTGGAGCTCGGTCCCACCAGACGAATCGGAGCAGTCCCGTAGAGCTTCTCTTGGCAGCGGCGTCCTCATTTAACGACGACGACGACGACGAGGGCGACGACGTCGAGATAAAAGCAAAAGCCGCAGCTTGGTCAAGGCGACGACTGGTTGCCCCACTATGGCCTCACCCGGCGGCTACGGAGGCCACGGGCCTCCACCTTCAGGCGGCCACGGCGGCGGTGCCGTGCCCCCGACAAACCCCTTTGCCGGCTTCCACGACGAGGCGGCGAGCGAGTCGAGCTACCGGAGGGACACGTTTGCATCAGAGGGGAGCGCCGCCGACCTTATCCCTGGTCACGGCTACAACGACGGCGACTCGTTTGAAGGTGGCTACAACAAGGAAGCATACGCATACAGCCAGGAATCCGGCGGCCCTGGTGGCCGGGGAGGGCCACCGCCGATGATGGCCGGCAGCCAGATGAGCAGCCACGGTGGGGGCAGCGGCAACGGCGGCATGGGCGCGGGTGGCTACGGTGCTGCCAGCTATGCGCCCTCGGGCATCTCCAGCCCCTATACCGACTACCCGGGCCAGGGCTACCGGCAGCGAGAACCGTACCCGGCCTGGACGGCTGAGCACCAGATCCCGCTGGCAAAGGAGGAGATCGAGGACATCTTCATCGACCTCGCCAACAAGTTTGGCTTCCAGCGCGACAGCATGCGCAACATGTACGACCACCTCATGATCCTCCTCGACTCGCGCTCCTCGCGCATGTCGCCCACCCAGGCCCTCCTCACGCTCCACGCCGACTACATTGGCGGCGAGCATGCCAATTACCGCAAGTGGTACTTTGCTGCCCAGCTCGACCTCGACGACGCCATTGGCAAGGCCCAGAACCCGGGCCTCGCGCGGGCCGCCAGTCTTGGTGGCAAAAAGACGGGCGCCGCAGCGGCGGCGGCCGCCAAGCTCAACGCCAGCGCAAAGTCGCTCGAGTCGGCCGCCACACGGTGGCGCGAGGCCATGAACCGGATGAGCGACTACGACCGGCTGCGCCAGATTGCCCTCTACCTCCTCTGCTGGGGCGAGGGCGGCCAGGTGCGCTTCGTGCCCGAGTGCCTCTGCTTCATCTTCAAGTGCGCAGACGACTACTACCGCTCGCCCGAGTGCCAGAACCGCATGGAGCCCGTGCCCGAGGGCTTGTATCTGCGTGCCGTCGTCAAGCCCCTCTACCGGTTCTTGCGCGACCAGGTCTTTGAGGTTGTCGACGGCAAGTTTGTCAAGAAGGAAAAGGACCACGACAAGATCATCGGCTACGACGACGTCAACCAGCTCTTCTGGTACCCTGAGGGCATTGGCAGAATCGTGCTCAACGACAAGACGAGGCTCGTCGATGTGCCGGCCAACCAGCGCTTCATGAAGTTTGACAAGATCGACTGGAACCGTGTCTTCTTCAAGACGTACAAGGAGAAGCGCAGGTGAGTGTCTCTAATAGTTGCACGGTTGTTTTCTGGATGCTGATCCCACTGTCGCCGACCACAGCTTCGCCCACGTCCTCGTCAACTTCAACCGCATCTGGATCCTGCACATCTCCGTCTTCTGGTACTACACCGCATTCAACGCACCCATGATCTACGAGCAGACCAAGAACCCCTCGACGGCACAGCTCCTGTCGGCCTCTGCGCTCGGCGGTGCCGTTTCGACGGTTCTCATGATTCTCGCCACCATTGCCGAGTTCTCCTACATCCCCACGACATGGAACAACACGAGCCACCTGATGCGGCGCATGATCTTCCTCCTCATCTGCCTCGGTGTCACCGTCGCACCCGCCGTCTACATCCACGGCTTCAACAAGGAGGGCACCGTCGCAAATATTGTCTCATACTGCCACATTGGCGCCGCCGGCTGCATCACTGCTCTCTTCTCCCTCGTTCCCTCGGGCAGGATGTTTGGTGATCGCGTCGCAGGCAAGGCGCGCAAGTACCTCGCCAACCAGACTTTTACCGCCAGCTACGCACCCCTGCAGGCCAGCCACCGCTTCGTCAGCTGCCTGCTCTGGTGCCTCATCTTTGGCTGCAAGCTCACCGAAAGCTACTTCTTCCTCACCCTCTCCTTCCGTGACCCGCTGGCGGTCATGATCACGATGAAGGTGCAGGCGTGCAGCGACAAGTACTTTGGTGCGGGTCTTTGCGCCAACCAGCCCGCGTTTGCGCTGACGGCCATGACGATTATGGATCTCTGCCTCTTCTTTCTCGACACCTTCCTCTGGTACGTCATCTGGAACTCCGTCTTCAGCATTGCGTGGTCCTTCTCCATGGGCCTCTCAATCTGGACGCCCTGGTCCGATATCTTCCAGCGCCTGCCCAAGCGCATCTACGCCAAGCTTTTGGCCACGGCCGACATGGAGATCAAGTACAAGCCCAAGGTGCTCGTCTCCCAGGTCTGGAACGCCATCATCATCTCCATGTACCGCGAGCACCTCCTCTCCATCGACCACGTGCAGAAGCTCCTCTACCACCAGGTACCCTCGGGCGACGAGGGCAAGCGCACGCTCCGTGCGCCCATGTTCTTCATCAGCCAGACGGACAAGGGCGTCAAGTCCGAGTTCTTCCCCAAGGGTTCCGAGGCCGAGCGCCGCATCAGCTTCTTTGCCCAGTCGCTCACCACGACGCTGCCGGAGCCGCTGCCCATCGACGCGATGCCCACCTTCACCGTCCTGACGCCCCACTACAGCGAGAAGATTCTCCTTTCGCTCCGTGAGATTATCCGCGAAGAGGACCAGAACACGCGCGTGACGCTGCTCGAGTACCTCAAGCAGCTCCACCCCATTGAGTGGGACAACTTCGTCAAGGACACCAAGATTCTCGCCGAGGAGACGAGCGGCCTCGCCGGCTCGTCGCCCTTTGGCGCCGGCGATGGCAGCGACGAAAAGTCGGGGACGAAGGGAAGCAGCACAAAGACGGACGACCTGCCATTCTACTGCATTGGTTTCAAGTCGGCTGCGCCAGAGTACACGCTCCGGACGAGAATCTGGTCCTCGCTGCGTGCCCAGACGCTGTACCGCACCGTGTCGGGCTTCATGAACTACGCCAAGGCGATCAAGCTCCTCTACCGCGTCGAGAACCCCGAGGTGGTGCAGCTGTTTGGCGGCAACACGGAGAAGCTGGAGCGGGAGCTGGAGCGCATGAGCCGCCGCAAGTTCAAGTTTGTCATTTCCATGCAGCGCTACTCCAAGTTCAACAAGGAGGAGCACGAAAACACCGAGTTCCTGCTGCGCGCCTACCCAGACCTCCAGATTGCCTACCTTGACGAAGAGGCGCCCCGCAAGGATGGCGGCGAGTCTCGATGGTTCTCGGCCCTCGTCGACGGCCACTCGGAGATTCTGCCCAACGGCAAGCGGAGGCCCAAATTCCGCATCGAGCTGCCCGGCAACCCGATTCTGGGTGACGGCAAGTCCGACAACCAGAACCACGCCATCGTCTTCCACCGTGGCGAGTACGTGCAGCTGATCGACGCCAACCAGGACAACTACCTCGAAGAATGCCTCAAGATCCGCTCCGTCCTCGGCGAGTTCGAGTCCTTCAACGTCTCGAACCAGAACCCGTACGGCTCGGGCCACCGTGAGCACGCCAAGAGCCCCGTGGCCATTCTCGGTGCGCGCGAGTACATTTTCTCGGAGAACATTGGTATTCTTGGTGACGTTGCTGCCGGCAAGGAGCAGACATTCGGTACCCTCGCCGGTCGTGGTCTTGCCCAGATTGGCGGCAAGCTGCACTATGGTCACCCCGATTTCCTCAATGCTCTCTTCATGACGACGCGCGGTGGTGTCTCCAAGGCACAAAAGGGTCTCCATCTCAACGAGGACATCTACGCCGGTATGAACGCTTTCGGACGTGGTGGACGCATCAAGCACTGCGAGTACTACCAGTGTGGCAAGGGCCGTGACTTGGGCTTTGGCACGATTCTCAACTTCACCACGAAGCTCGGCAACGGTATGGGCGAGCAGATGCTCTCGCGAGAGTACTACTACCTCGGCACCCAGCTGCCCATCGATCGCTTCCTCACCTTCTACTACGGCCACCCGGGTTTCAACATCAACAACATCCTCGTCATCATGTCCGTCCAGATGTTCATGCTCGCCATGGTCTTCATCGGCACCCTCAACGCCGAGCTGAGCATCTGCGAGTCGACAAACTCCGAGTACCAGGTCGGCACTGGCGGCTGCTACTACCTCCAGCCCGTGTTTGAGTGGATCAAGCGGACGATTATCTCCATCTTCCTCGTCTTCATGATTGCTTTCCTGCCCCTCTTCCTCCAGGAGCTCTCGGAGCGCGGCGCGCTTTCGGCCATCGTCCGTCTGTCCAAGCACTTCTTGTCCCTCAGCCCCGTCTTTGAGGTCTTCTCGACGCAAATCTCGAGCCACTCGATCATCAGCAACATGACTTTTGGTGGTGCGCGCTACATTGCCACGGGACGAGGTTTTGCCACGACGAGGCAGAGCTTTGCGCTCCTCTACTCGCGTTTCGCCGGGCCGTCCATCTACTCGGGCATGCGCCTGCTCCTGCTGCTCCTCTACGTCACCCTCACGCTCTGGATCCCGCACCTGATCTACTTCTGGGTCTCGATCCTGGCCCTGTGCATTGCGCCCTTCCTCTTCAACCCGCACCAGTTCTCCATCAGCGACTTTATCATCGACTACCGCGAATTCCTCCGCTGGATGTCGCGCGGCAACAGTCGCAGCCATGCCAACTCGTGGATCGGCTACTGCCGTCTGAGCAGGACAAAGGTCACCGGTTACAAGAAGAAGCGCCTGGGCCACCCCAGCGAGAAGCTGGCCGGAGACGTTCCGAGGGCCAGCTGGCGTACGATCATCTTTGCAGAGTGCCTCGGGCCTTTCATCATGGCCGTCATCTTTGTCGTTGCCTACGCCTTCGTCAAGAGCTTCCACAACCGTGGTGACCCGCCGATGGGCGCCATTGCCAGGATCGCAATCATTGCCCTGGGTCCCATCGTCTGGAATGCCGCCGTGCTCCTGATCCTCTTCATGATCAGCATGTTCCTCGGGCCGGCCCTCAACAACTGCTGCGCCAAGTTCGGATCGGTCATGGCCGCCATTGCCCACATCCTCGCCGTCGTGGGCATCATTGTCGCCTTTGAGTTTCTCTGGTTCCTCGAGCTGTGGAACGCGTCGCACGCCGTTCTGGGCATCATCGCCGTTGTTGCGATTCAGCGCGCCATCTTCAAGATCTTGATCTCGCTCGTCCTCTCGCGTGAGCTCAAGCACGACGAGACCAACCGAGCTTGGTGGACGGGACGATGGTACGGCCGCGGTCTGGGTGGACACGCCTTCAGCCAGCCGGCACGAGAGTTTGTCGTCAAGATCATCGAGGCCTCGCTCTTCTCGGCCGACTTTGTCCAGGCCCACATTCTCCTCTTTGGCCTCTCGCTGCCGCTCCTGATTCCGTTCATGAACAAGATCCACTCGATGATGCTCTTCTGGCTCCGACCCTCGCGGCAGATCCACGCGCCCATCTACAGCCTGCGCGCGCGCAAGCAAAGGCGAAGCATCGTCATCCGCTACGGACTCTTGTTCGTTCTCGCATTCGCCATCTTTGTCTGCCTCATTGCCGTTCCGGCCATCCTCGGCTCGACGATCAACGTCGACTGCGAGTTCTGCAAGACGCTTTAATTCTCCACCAGGGCACTCTCTCTCGCACACACACAGTTGCTCGTCTGTCTCTCTTACGAACTTTTCTTTCTCTCGCCTCCCTGTATCTCTTTTTTGTCTCTTTGGAAAACAGACACACACACACACTCATACACAACACACACAAGACACTCTCTTCAGCACAATCACACCCTCCCAAAACAATAACCGTAGACCTCCCTCTCTTTTCTTCACGCCGCATTTTCTCCCTCTTCTCGCCTGTGTCTCTCTTTCCTAGTCTCTCAAGAATCGCGCCTCGAAACAATCCAATGGACTCTTTCTTCTCTATTGCCTGCCTCTTCTTGTCTTGTCTCGTCTCGTCTGATGATGGTATTGTCTCGCGATGAATGTGAAGAGTCGTCTACAGCTGGGTCGATGATAAACAAATAGTGTGATACACAGTCCTGAAATAAAAGAGAATATAGTGAAGCGTATACTGAGAGAAAACAGTGAGCCGTCTAAAATTTATGGAGCCATCTTTCCCTGCCCATGCCAGTCTCTTCCTCCTTCTACTGTCCCGGTCCGCTTTGAGCCAGGTTGGCGACGGACCGGTCGACGCCGAGGAGCGTCGCGAGGTCTCGCAGGCTCGTCTCGTGCTTCTGCCTCGCCGTCTCGCCCTGTCCGCGGCTGCGGAGGCCCGAAAAGGCCTCCATGGCCATCTCTTCCTTTTCCGCCTGCTTCTGCAGCACCCGATCCTCGACGCTCTCCTTGGAGATCATCTGGAAGACACGAATGTCGCGCTCTTGCCCGATGCGGTGCACGCGGTCGATGGCCTGCTGCTCGATGCTGCTCTGCCACCAGGGATCCATCATGATGACCGTCGAGGCGGCCGTCAGGTTCAGGCCGAGGCTGCCGCACCCCATCGAGATGAGCATCACCGACGGGTTCTGTCCAAAGACGTCATCGGCATCCTTTCGCTCCTTTTGCCGCTTCTTTCCCTTTTCGTTCTTCATGTTGGTCGTCGACGCCGAAGGCGTGGCTTTAATCTGACGGAGGCTGTCGAGGAACGCCGACTTCTGCGATGTCGTCGGCGTCGCCTGCTGGTTCTCGGACCCCTCTTCCTCCTTCTTAGCAGCAGCCTTGGCTTCCTCCTTGGCCCTAATCCTTTGCTGCCGCTTCTCCTCTCGCCGGCGTTCTTGTAGTATGACATTGGTCCGGACCTTGGCAGCCAGGCTGGGAGTGATGGGCTGCGCGAAGCGGTCGCGGACAGCGTCCCTCCTCCACACGTCCATGCCACCGTCGAAGCGGCAGAACTCGACCATCTCGGCCTTGAGCGCCTCAGCAATAAGGTTCAAAAACTTGACAAAGTTGCTGAAGACGAGAACCTTCTCGGTCGGATCGCGCTTCTGCGTCATACGAATGATGTTGAGGCACTCGCGAATCTTGGCCGAGCGCGCTCCATCGATCCCGTCGCTGTCGTCATCGTCATCGTCGTCGTCGTCATAGTCTGCGTCGGGATCCGGCGTGTTCTCCTTTGTCTCGTTCTCGGGCGGCAGTCCAATGAGCTTGTCGACCGGGGGAAGCGGACGGCGGTCCATGGGGCACACGGCGCCCGAGGTGCTGAGGACGGCGACGATGCAGGCCCTGCAAAAGGGATGGGCGCAGTGCGTGATGATCGGGTCCCGGCCCAGCAGCGGCTCCATGCACACGGGGCAGTCGTCGTTCATCTGGACAGCGACGAGGAGCTTCTCCTGGAGCCGCTTGATGTCGTCGCTGCTCAGGTTGGAGCCAGGGACAATGGCATCGGCCTCGGTCCAATCGCGGCTCTCAATGTCCTCGAGCAGGGCGGGTGGCACGAGCCGGCGGCTGCACGAGAGCTGGCGCAGGCGGAGCAGAAAGAGAAAGACGGCGCCGCGGAACTTGGCGAGCTCGCCGCCGGCGATCCAGCCCTCGACGCGGGCGCGGGCAGCCATCTCGCACTTTTCGTAGTAGTCGCGGTCCGACTTCTTCATGGGAATTGTATGCTTGTAAAAGGTGACTTTGGGCAGCTTGATAATGTCGGCGCCCACGGCGTCCTTCATCGACTTGTGGCGGCGGATGACGATGCTCCGCACGACGGCCTTGAGCAGGTGGGCGGCAACTTGGCGGCCGCCTGGGGAGCGCCCCTGCTTGAGCCGGTCCTCGATCTTCTTCTTCCACGCAGTCGAGCCGGCATCGGCAAAGGGGTCTAGGCCGCACCACGAGGCCAGGCTGCCGAGGTCGCGGGTGCTGTTCACGATGGGCGTGCCCGTCAGTGCCCAGCGCCGCTGCGCGGTGATCTCGCAGATGCTGCGGTAGAGGGCCGTCTTGGGGTTGCGGCAGATGTGCGCCTCGTCCAGCACGACTCTGCGCCAGCGCGTGGTCAGCAGCGGCGTCTTGGTCTTTTGTTTCTTGGGCGTCTTGCGGCGCCGCGGGACGTCATTGACGACAAACGAGTCGTCGGAGCCATAGTCGTCGTCTTCGTCGTAGTCTGAGTCGTCTGATGCCTCAAAGTCGTCCGAGTCGAGGTCGCCGCTGTCGTCGTCCATCGACTCTTCGGCAGAGGCGAGAAAGGAGTCGATGGAGGCGCTGCGCTTGCGCGCCTTGCCTTTGTCTGTGCCCTTCTTCTTGTTCTTGGCCTTGGCTTTGCCCTTGCTTTTGCCGTTGGCCTTGCCCTTTTTGTCCACTGCCTCCGAGGAGCTTCCGCCAGCATAATCTTCGTCGTCGTCATCGTCGTCGCCATCGTCCACCCCACCAGAGGCGCCCGACTCAGCTCGTTGCTGCCGTTGCTTATCGCGCTCCTCCCTTGCCTTGCGGCGCTTCTCGATGATCTTGTACTCGGACCGGAGCGTGTCGTACGTGGTAAAGACAAAGTTGTACGTGCCCAGGTGCTCGACGGCACCCTTTTTGCCGCGCATGCGCTTGGCATTGGCGTCGTAGTAGGTGTAGAATTTGACGCGATGAGAGCAGTGCGCCTGTACCTGGCCGGCCTGTTAAAGAAAGTGTCAGTCAGGCACGCATCGCCTCGTCGCAGGCCAAGAGCGAACAACGCACCCAGTTCTGCAGCACCGAGAGGGGACAGATGACGAGCGTCGCCTCGTTGTACTTTTGCTTGTCCTTCTTCGCTGTCGTCCCGTTATGCTTGCTCTCGGCCTCACTCATGGCTCTCGACTTGCCCTTGCCGCTGGACTTGCTGTTGGGCTTGACCTTGCCCTCGCTCTTTGGGTACGGCGGGCTCGCAGACTTGCTCTTCTTGGCCCCCGGCCTGTGCGACGTCTTGGCACTGCGCTTGCGCTTCGCCCCAGCTGCCGAGCCTGCGTTCTTGTTGCTGCGCTGCATGTTCACCTTTGTCTCAGCGTCGCCCTCCTCGCTGCCATCGACCGTGGCCGAGGAGTCGCGCTTCGTGCTCGCCGAGCGGGAGCGCATGTAGGCTCCGTCAGACTCGGGCTCCGTCGCCGACTCGTCTGCGTCGTCGTGCGAGGGCGGCTCTGGCTCCGTCTCCGAGTCCGTCTGCCCGTCCTGGCTCGCGTCCGAGTGCGACTCGTACTCGTCGTCGTCCGAGTCGCCATCCTCCTGGCCTTCACCGACGTCGAGCACGTGCCTCGCCGACTTGTTGTCCTGCCCCTGCTGCTCAACCTTCTTCACGTCGGGCTGGCTGCTGTTCCCCTGTTGGTCCTGGTCTTGGCCATCGTGGACATCGCGGTAGACAACCTTGCGGCCCTTGGGCACGCGGTTGCGGTCTGCGAGGGCGAGTGCGATGACCTGGAGCGTCTTTCCCAGGCCCATGGCGTCGGCATTGATGCCTCCGCGGGGCAGCACGGGCGCCTGGCGCTGCCGCCAGGTGGGGTCGGCGACATTGACATAGTAAGGTCGCCCATTCGCGTCCTTTCGCGTCTTCCACATCGCCACGGGCTCGCGCTCCGTCAGCCGGCGGTGCTCGGCCTTGACCATCCACTGGACGCCCTGGAGCTGGTGGTCGTGGAGGCGGGTCCGGAGCCCGCGCTGGCGCAGGCCCGCCTCGTCCGAGTACAGCGGCAGCCGGCCCACATCGACGCCCTCGTCGCCGTACAGCTGCGCCATGGCGTCGGCGCCGCGGTAGTTGCCCTCGACCATCTGGCCCAGCATCTCGTTGACCGACTCGTTGAGCTCGATGTCGTAGGGCATGTCCTCGACGCCGACGCCCGGCATGTCTGGGTCGTTTGGGTCGGGTGGCGGTTGCTGCACCATGGCTCCGGGCATGGCCAGCCTTATATTACCATCGTCGTCGCCGACGATCTGAATCGGCGCCGCATTGTCTCGGCCTCGACCTCGACCGAGGACCGACGCAAACGAAGAGGGGCCAGGCTGTGGATATGGCTGGCGTGCGTGGCGAGCGGCCGTCGCAGCGTCGCTCTCGAGCTGGGCGAGGAGCATCTGCTGCTGCATCTCAATCTGCCGCTGACGGCCCTCGCGCATCCATACCGGCCCGTCCATTTCCTGGCTCGACGTGCGCTCCTGCTCCAGCTGCTCGTACATCGACCGCGCGGCGCCAATCAGGTCCGACGGCAGGCTGCGCACCCGGTCCCAGATGGCGCCCATCATGTTGGTGTTGCTGCCCTGCACTTCGACGGCAGAGTCGTCCGGCGATGGCCGGTACTCGCTCTCGGTGCCCGACGTGGACGGTGAGCCAGATGGGTCGATGTCGATTGCCCCGCCGCCACCACCGCCGCCACCTCTTCCCCTTCTGATCATCGTCAGCGGGGGCGGCGACGAGGACTGGCGACGGCGCCCCTGCCCTATACCCATGGCAGGCAGGTCATCGACATCTATGCGCATCGTGCCGCTCGGCCTGAAGTCAGCGACGACGAAGCTGTCCTCCTCCTCGTCGTCGCTATCAATGACGATTGCGTCCTGTGTGCACTCGTCAGCTGTCTCTGTATCACCCTCTCTCTCTCTTCAAAATATCTACTTACTTTTGGCAGTCCCCGGCTGAAGGTGGTCCCGCCACCGCCGCCTCGCTCCGGCGTCGGCGACGGCGACGGCGACGGCGAGTCGACGATCAGGATGGCATCGTCGCGCGACTGGCCCAGGCCCGCGCCTCGCTCAATGTCGACCATGCCGATACGCCCCGCCCCAGACCCTCACTGTCGCCTTCGCCTTCGCCTTCGCCTTCGCCTTCGCCTTCGCCTTCGCCTTCGCCTTCACCGTCGGTCCAACGGCCCGTCGGTCTGTGGAAAGCTGAGTTCCAGCGAGACACAATCAGCAAGCAAATGCCTCGAGAGCAAGAGAGAGAGACGGCGGTTGTCGTGTGTGAGTGCCACTGCGCAGCCCTGCGTCTCCGCGAACAAAAAGGGCAAACGGAGAAAAAAAATAAAAAAATAAAAATAAACAGTGGAAATTGGATAACGTCCCCCCCTGCTCACTCACTCAGCACGGGCCTCCGTCTGTCGCGTGAGGAACGCGCTTCAAGAACAATTAAAAGGTGTTGGTCTTTTTATGGCAGTCTTCATTCTCTATTGCTAACAGAATGACGAGGGGTTGGGGATGCGAAAAGAAGAGAGGGAGGAGGAGTAGAGGGGAGGAGGTGCAAGGGTGGATTAGATGTGGGAGAGAGAGAGAGAGAGGGGAAGAGAGCTTCGGCAGGGGAGAGCGAGAGACTCTAGTGTACATTTTGGGAGTGATTCTATTCCGACTTTCCGTTTGCCTTCTTCTGCGACTGGCCCGTCATGGCCTGAACGGCCTGCTTTCCCTTCTTTTGCAGGTACGTCTTCTGGTAGACTGTGTGTGTGGAGTGATGGAGAGTGTCAGACTGCGAGACCGATCAACAACGCAAGGAGCAGGAGCGAGGGGCACGCACAGAGGATAAAGAGGACGAGGTAGCTGGACAGGACGCCCATGCCCGACAGGGCCGCGTACTCGGTGCCCGAGCAGGAGCCAAGTGTGTACTTTTGCATGCCCCACTTGTTGAAGGCCCAGTAGTTGTACGAGGCAAAGAAGACGACAAAGAGGTCGATGACGAACTGGACGATCTGCGAGACCGTCACGGCCTTCTTCCAGGGCACGCGGATGCCCATGCTCGTCAGCGCGTAGTAGGCGTCTGTTGAGGTTCTCGGGTTAGCTCTCCTCTCGCTTTCTGTTCTGTCTAGCAGGCCAGCCGCACTCACACATGAGCACGTGCACGGCGAGGTTGAGCGCAATGACGACCCACGACACCGACGTCTTGCCCTGGAGCTGGGTGAAGCAGAGCAGGGCGGTGGCCGAGTGGTGGTAGACGTGGAGGAAGGCTGGGGGACAAGTCAGCAGAGTGTTCTTTTACTTGAAGAAGAAGGGACACTCACCGAGGGGCTTCTCCTTGAGCACAAGGAAGAGCGTGTCGACGAGCTCCCAGTACTTGCTGCAGGACACAGTCAGCATACAGCAGCAGCAGCAGCAGCAGCAGCAGGACAAGAAAAAACGCCACCCACAAGTAGTAGTTGATGATGTAAAACGTCTCAAGGCGCTGTATGCGGCAGTGCTGTCAGCGTCAAGAACGGCAAAGCAAGGCGAAACAGCAGCAGGAACGCACCATGGTCCAGGCACCCTCGCCGCAGATGGAGTAGAAGGGCCCGTTGCGCCGCATGATCGGCACCACCTCCTCAAGGATGAGGGCGAGCAGCCAGCCGCTGCCGAGGCTGAGGAGGATGTTGTGGATCAGAAAGGGGTACTTGAGCACCCGCGCGTCAATCACGGGCGGGTCCCTCTTGCGCTGCGCCTCGGCCGGGTTGGCCGCGCCCTTTGTCGACTTGGTGTCCGTCGGCGTCCGGCCGGCCTTGACGGCGCGCAGGACAGCGCGCAGGCCAAAGATGGTGGCCAGGTACGCGACGATGACGCCGCCCGCCGTCAGCGCGTCGCTCAGCGGCGTCACTGGCGGTGTCCACCGGAGCACCGTCACGGGCACGTAGGCCTCGAGGGGCGCCAGCAGCCGGGCCGAGGTGTCGTAGATGGGCGAGTGCGAGGGCATGCTTGCCTTGGCCGGGTTCAGTGGTCGGAGTAGTAGTGGTGGTGGTGGGGAAAGAGAAAGTGGCAGAAGCGGGCAATCGAATTGACCGACAACGTTAGTTGATGAGGGGGGAAAGAAAGACAGAAAGAAGCCCGATCCGAGACACAAAAAGGTGCAACCGTGCCCTTGCTTGGGGCGCCTCCTGAATTCCACCCAGAACGCTCGGGTCGGGTTCCCCCCCTCGTCCAGTCCGACCAGGTGCTACTACGTACTGCTACATTACTACTACTACGTCCGGGCCCGCCGCTGCCTCGAGAGAAACGGTGAGACCCTGGGCTTGCTGCCTGCCTGCCTTTCTTTCTTCTGCATTCGGAAAAAAAAAGAAAAAGAAAAAAAAGGGCGAGGGCAAATGCAGGAAAACGAAATACACGCGTTACAAGCCCGCGAAAAAGGAACAAAACTTAGGTACACTAAACTGCCGCTCGCGTTGGGTTGAGGCGCGCGCGCGCGCGAGAAAGCGTTCCGGATAACAAGTCAGCCAGCCACCAACGAGATAAATGAAGCAAAACATCCAGGAGCAAAATGAGAAGTCCAGGAAACAGGGACAAGAAGTTGGTCCTCTCGCTCGCTTGTGTCGCACTCTCCCTCCTCTTTCTAGTGAAAAAGCAACTGCTGTTTCTCTGCAGGTCTGTGTGGATCCTCGTGCAGGCTGGCAAGCGCACGCATGCCTTCTCTCTCTGCTTCCTCGCAATCTTCTCGGTTGCACATAGGAAATCGGGCCAGTAGTGGCCTGCCGAGGGAGGATTCGTTCGCTTCGGGCGGGCGCATCCGTCCGGACGTCTTGTTTCCCAGACTAAACGACCAAAAAAAAGAGCCACGAAAAAAAATAAGAAATAGAGCAAATCATTGGGAGGGGAGAGACCCATGCGAGCGAAGGTTGCTGACATAAGCCGCGCCAGCCCCTCCCCCGCTTAATTTTTGAGCTTTCTTGGAGGCAAGAAGAGACAGACACACGCTCCGACTTCCGACGTTGGATCCTCCCATAGACACCTGCGACGATGGCAGAGGCAGAGGCAGGGGCAGCTCCAGGCACGGGCCGAAAGCAGCCAGAGCGGCCGGGCGCAGCAAAGGGACGAGGCGGGAGGTCAAGGCCGACGGAGCTGAGCGGCTCGCCGCTGGTGGCCATCGCACTCGCCATCGGCGTCCTGGCCGTCGTCGTGCGATCCGGCTGGGTCAATGTCGTCCTCGTCCTCTTTTGCTCCGTGTGCGTTTGATCTCAAAGCTGCGTAGCGAGGATTGTTTCTTTTGCTGACATCCTAGAGCGGCACCCGCAGGCTGCTGCTGCTGAACCCATGGGTGCGCACCTTTCTCGAGCTGCCGCAGATGCCGGGCGTGAAGCTGTCGGCGGACTCGCGGGCCAAGGGTGCCTATTCGCCTTTTGATCCCGCCCGCTTTCTCAACATCGTTGCGCCGTCGCCGTCGCCGTCGTCGTCGCCATCGCCATCGACGGTGGATGCGGCAGACTCATCGGCGGAGAGGAAAGAGAGCACAAGCAAGCCGGCCAAGAAGCCGCCGCTGGACCGGTCCGAGTCCTATGCGGCGCTGCGACGCATGCCCGCACACCTGCGACGGCCGCTGGGCGACCTCGAGGAGCTCGTTGTGCGCGACTTTGTCTGCACCTGGTACGAGTACCACTCGTTTGGCGACAGCTGCCTGCCCAACGAGGCGCGCTACAGCATCGACCACGCCATGGGCAGCATCTATGCGAGCATGGAGCATGCGCGCACCGCCGACGTCGCCTCGGAGCTGCTCCTCACCGCCACGTCGGTCCTGCTGACGACGCTGCGCACCCGCAGGCTGCACCCGGATGCGCCGCCGATCTTTGCGTCGGACAGTGCGCGCATCGCAGCGCTGCGCGAGGCCATCGACCGTGTCTTTGTGCGCCACATGAAGGCCTCGGACGGCCACTGCGACATGCTCCGCGTCCTCCTCCGCGAGATCATCTCCAAGCAGGTCTGGAACGCATTGGGGGGCCTGGGCGAGCGTGAGTGTGGCAACCATCCTCTTCTTCTGCTCCTCCTTCCTGACTGAGTCCATACAAACAGCCGACTTTTTCAACCGCAAGATCGTAGAGTGGGGCCAGAAGAAGGCCGAGAGGGAGGCGGGCTTCGAATCGCCCAGTGCTGCTTCCGCTTCTGCTGCTGCTTCTGCAGCCGCGTCGCCAGTCCCCCCGCGCCATTCGTACTCGTCGCCAGTGGTGCCCTTGGCCAAGGACAGCGCCGATGAAAAAGCAGCCACCGCTGGCCTCCTCTCTCCCCTCGAGTCGCCCACGCATACAGTGCCCCTCTCGCCGACCAAGCGGCTGGCCAGCCCGGCAAGCCCCAGCCCGGGTGCCTCGGCTGCTGCTGCTGGCGGTGGTCCTGCGCGCGGCGCATCGCCATTCACATCGGAGCCCCTCACGACGCAGCCGCGGGCCATGGCAATGCCAAAGACGATGTCCATTCCCTCGTCGTCGTCGTCGGCTGCACCCTCGCCCGCGCTGCCGCCGCCGCCTGTGCCTCGACGACCAACCCCGCTGGACAGGCAGGAGAATGAGGCAGCACCGCCCGCACTGCCACAGCGCAATGGGATGGAGCACCCCTCGCTGGCCAGCCCAAGGAAGCCGGTCCCGTCGCCGTCAAAGGCAGAGGCAGAAGAGCAGCTCGCAGCGAGAGACGAGCGGCGGCCGTCGATGGCCCAGGAGTTTGCTTCGTCGCCCGCCATGCCCATGAATGTGCCTCCGGGCGCACACCAGGGCATGGTCCTCCCCGAGAGCCTGCGACGGAGCATGGCGAGCAGAGACAAAGACGAGGAGCACGATGGCCTCGAGAGCGAAGGCTATCGCCTCTCGGGCGAGGAGTCGCGGAGAAGAGACTCACAGGGATGGCCACCGTCGTCGTCATCGGCATCGTCATCAGCACGGCCCTCGCTCGACATGCAGCGCAGAGAATCGCAGCAGTCGCAGCCCTCGTCGTCGTCGCGGCCCTCGCTGAACATGGCCCGGCTCGAGTCGCCGAGGAACAGCATGTCGAGCCCCTCGCCCTCGTCGTCGTCCTTTTTCGCCTCGTCCAGCACCACCCACAAGCCCCCCTCGAGACCGCCCAGTGCGGCCTCGGGTGGTATACCCCCTGCGCCCGACCTGGCCGATGTCCTGTCGAGCGGTGGTGCTGGTGCTGGAAACAGTGCGAACAGCGGCAGTGGCGCTGGAGACGGGGGCGGCCGGAGCGACTCGGCGAGCATGGCTGCGCTGCGCGACGCGTTCGAGGCCTTTCTCGAGCGCGGCGGCGCCACGTCGCGCTCCCTCTTCTTCTCGCCCCCCTCGGCGGCCACGGTGGCGCCCGGCGAGGGCGAGGCGCTGCTCAAGCTCCACGTGGGCCTGGCCACGATTGCCAAGCTGGTGCCCACGAGCGACGCTGCCGACGGCGAGATCTTCCGCCAGGACGCCGAGTCGATTGTCGCCAAGGCACTAAGGAGCCTGGGTATGGGCGCCGACGACGGCGGTACTGCCAGCCGCACCGTGCGCGACGCCCTCGTCCACGCGGCGCAGCGCCTCGCTGTCGGTGCCGAGCAGGGCGGCCGCGTGCGCGAGGTGCTGCGGCCTGTCGAGCTGACGCTCTGGGCCCGCCTCTCGGGCCTCTACGAGCACTTTTGGAAGGAGACGTGCACGCGAGCGCAGCATGTGCCTCGCACGGCGCCGAGCCCCTCTGCCCATGCGCAGCAGTTTAACACACAGCAGCGCGCCGACGCAGGCCTGCCGCTCCGCTACGACGCCCGACGCGCCAATACCCTCGAGTCAGCAGCCGCCAAGGCACACGGCGTGTCTGGCTCGGCGCCCGGCTCCAAGACGGCGTCGCCGGCAAGGACGAGCCTCGAGCTGCCGTACGAGCCGCGGCGGAAGCAGGCACCGCCGCCGCTGGCGGCCAAGGCTGGCCACGACGGTGCAAGCCTGCAGAGGCCCGGCTCGACGCCCCCCGTCCGCTCCTCGGTGGGTCTCGGTGCTGCCAGCACCAGTGCCAGTGCCAGCGGTACTACTTCCACCGACGAGAAGAGCAGCCGGCCAAAGTCGTGGCTCGCTGATGTGGACGAGGCGTCGAGGAGCAGCGCGCTCATGGGGCCGCCTCCGCCGCCGCCGCCTCGCGCGCAGAAACAAAACGAGGCGCATACATCGTCGTCTTCGGCGTCGAGACAGGACCAGCCCGCTGCTAGCACGAGCGATGGCGCCGCCGCCGCCGCCAATGCGGCCAAGCGACCGGTGCCGTTGCGGCCCGACGAGGTGCAGGCCGGCACACCACTGGCGACGGACGCGATTCCCGCGTCGACGGGGCCCCTCATTGAGATCTCGGTGACCGACGTGTCGCCCAACGCCGAGCGGCCGAACCAGCCGCTGGACGTGCGCACGCTCGAGCTCATGGTCGCCGTCGAGGGCCTCGCTGGCGACGGCGGCGGCTTCGTCTTTATGCGCCAGTGGTCCGAGTTCGAGGCCCTCGACCGTGATCTCCGGACTGCGCAGACAGGCACTAGCCCGACACTGCCGCGAGCACGGGGCAAGACGAGCGTCGAGATCAGCCTCGAGGTGCAGCGCTACCTCGACGAGCTGCTGTCGAGCCCGGCGCTCGTGGCCAGCAAGCCCGTGCAGCACTTTGTCGACAAGACGCGCGCGGGCGCCCCGACGGGCCAGCGCGCCAATGCGCTCCTCAACACGCTCAACCTCACGGGCAGGCACTTTGAGCGTGCGGGCAAAAGCTTTGCGAGTGCCGTCAAGCTGTCGTCGTCTTCCTCGTCAATTCCAGGTGGGAGCAACAACAACAACAACAACGAGCAGAATACCGCCGCGCCCAGGGCGGCAAAGGCCAGCGCCGATGTGCCGTCTACGCCGCCCACCAACGGGAGCGAGGCAGGCGCGGCCTTTGGTGGGCATTACGAAGGAGGAGCACGGCCAACCAAGGCAGCAGCGGCAGCGGCAGCAGCCGCATCGCCGCCCTCGTCGGAGCTGTCGCAGGCCCAGCTCGACAACCTGCTCTCGTCGCTCTTCAGCATCGCCGACGAGGCCTTTAACCTCTCGGGCGGCTGGACCCTGCGCCGGGGCATGCTGCGCATCCTCGAGCAGATTGTCCGCACCCAGTACTGGTCCTCCATCCTCGGCCTCTTCAACGGCCTCGCCGGCGCCCTCTCGTCGGAGAAAATGGGCGGCTGGGCCCAGGACGTGTGCAACCGCTTCTGGCCCGGCGGCAAGTGGCACCTCTCCGACGAGGGGCAGGCCCTGCTTGCGGCGCAGGAGCGGGAGAAGCAGCAGCAGCAGCAGTTGCCTCACCCTCAATCTCAGGCTCAATCTCAGGCTCCACCTCTACCTCAGCCGCAGCAGATCAGGACAGACGAAGACAAGCGGCGGACACATGCAGAGGCACAGCGGATCCTGCTCGGCTATGCGCCCGCCCAGGCCGGCTTCATTCTCGGCCCCGGCGGCAAGCAGGCCACCGAGCGGGCCATGATGCTCATCCACGAGGAGATTTGCAGCGTGCAGACGAGCTTCGACCTCGCCCTCATGCTCGTGCTGAGGCTGTGCGACGTCGTGGCCCGCTGAGTGCCCATCATCGCACGCATGTATAGCAGATTAATTACCATGTGTGAATTTCCATTTCCCATCGTGTGATCTGTGTGGTGTGGCACAGCCTCCACCTGAGAATTGTAGACCGTGCGCTGCTGTGCAGTGCGGTGGGCCGCGCGCAATGTAAAATGCAAAATGCAAAATGCACCTCGACGCCCGCGCGAGCTTCGCTAGCGGCCGGGCCACACGAGACACTTTCCCTCTTCCTGACCAGCGCCACGACATTTACTCTTTCGTGTCGCTTCGAACAAGGCAAGGCCATCACTCATCATGTCGCAGCAGTACTCGTACGGGGGAGGGTATGGAGCAGGCGGAGCAGGGGTTGGGCAGGGCTACGGACAGCCGCCCCACCAAGGAGGAGGAGGAGGAGGAGGAGGAGGCTATGGAGCACCACCCCCGGGACAGGGAGGCTACGGAGCGCCCCCTCCCCACCAGGGCGGAGGCTATGGCGCGCCAGGCGGTGGCTACGGTGCCGGAGCTGGTGCTGGTGCTGCCGGCGGTGGATATGCCCCTTCGTCGTATGGGCCACCCGGCGGCCGTCCGCAGGCGTACACGCCCAACACGGGGCCTCCACCGGGCGCCGACCCCCAGCTCTGGTGAGAGTTGCCTCCACCGTCACAGCACTGTTGGCTGACCTGCGAGAGACGGGTTATGATGCAGGGCCTGGTTCACCGCCGTTGACCGCGACCACAGCGGCAATATCAACCCCGTCGAGCTGCAGCAGGCCCTCGTCAATGGCGACTGGACCCCGTTTGAGCTCGACACCGTCAAGCTGCTCATGACCATCTTTGACGTCGACCGCTCGGGCAGCATCACCTTCAACGAGGTGTGTTTTTCCGTCTCATACTCCTCTTCCCAATCTGACTGGCTGGCTGACAAGGAATCGCCCCCCCCCCCCCCCCAGTTCGCCGGCCTCTGGAAGTACATCCAGGACTGGCAGGGCGTCTTTCGCCACTTTGACGCCGACCGGAGCGGCAGCATCGACCAGACGGAGCTCTCGCGCGCGCTCGCCAACTTCGGCTACAACCTCAACCCGCGCCTGCTGCACATTGTCGTGGCCAAGTTCAGTGAGTGTCTTCAGTACTTGTAGGCGTGGTCGAGGTCGGTGAAAGGAAGGCGAGCGTGGAGGGGCATCGAGTGCGAGGCTTCTTTGCTTTTGTTTCTCTTCCTCCTCCGCCTTCTGACGTGCGAGCACACACCCCTTGCTCATTCCAAAAGTCCCTGCTCCTGCCTCTGCCCCGTCGTCGTACAACACAGGTACGCCCCGCGGCGGCGTCACTTTCGATCGGTGAGCTCAGAGAGCCCTTAGTGGGCGCATGTCCTCGTTGCAATCTCGTGCGTGCTCACATGTATCCAAACAGCTTCGTCCGGTGCTGCGTCGTCATCAAGACGCTGACGGACAACTTTGCGCGCAAGGACGTGCAGCGGACGGGCCATGTGACGCTCAGCTACGACGAGTGGGTGTTGCCCTCTATCTGACTCGCCTCGTGGCTGCCTGACTGATTTGGCCCTCGCACAGGTTCATGGAGCTCTGCCTCTCGGCGCCTTGAGCGGGACACACTGCCTCACCGGCTCACCCTCCCAGCATCCCCACTGTATCCTGTCTTGTCATCATAAAAAGAGACGTGGTCGCCCGAAGAATATGAGAAAATAAGAGAAGTGAAGAGTAGAGGAGAGGCGCAGCCTGATCGATCAGTCCTCTCGCATTTCCTTGCTGGCCTGCGTCTTGGCCGCGTGCAGCTCGGTGATGCTCTCGCGGAAGCTCCACTGCTCGGCAAAGTAGCGCCGCACCTCGTCGCGCCGCGCGGCCCGGTGCGAGGCGTGCATGCGGGCGAGGAGCCACACCGTGAGGCCGAGGCCTGTGATGAAAGACGTGCTTGAGTCAATTCTTGGTTCCATAGCTACCAAAGCACAACAGCAGTTGCTCTCGACTGACTGAGGAGGATGGCGAGGCCCACGAGGACGAAGCAAAGCGGCGAGAGGTGCAGGCCCGCGTCGGTCGCGGGCCGATCGCACGTCTGCGACGCCTTGTCGCAATTAAACTAGTGCCGAGTCTTGTTCAGCCACTGTTTACGATCTGGAAAAAGAGAGAGAGAGAGTTGGCTCACCGTCAGGCACTCTCGATTCCTCGCGCAGGCGTCTCCCACAGCGCGCTGGCGCACGCAGACGGGCGGGGTCTGCTCGGCGGCGCAATAGAGGCCCGCCTGGCAGTCGTCGCGCGTGACGACTTCGACGACGGGCTGCGGGCTGTGGCCGTCGTAGCCGAGGTACTGCGTGTGCTCGAGCTGGCACACGGCGGCGAGGGGAGAGGCGGCGAGGCGGCAGATCTGCAAGAGGCAGAGGGTCGTGGTGTTGTAGCTGCTGTCGCTTGGTGGAGCACAGGAGTCTAGGAGGGCAAGAATAGTAGACGGTGAGACAAAAGAGAGGGAAAGTTGATGGAAAGGAAGGTGGCGCACCGTCGCGGTTCAGCTCGCAGGCATCACCGAGGGCGATGTGCGGCAGGCAGACCGACTCGTCGTTAGGGCAGTACTGACAGGAGGGCTTGCGGCGTTAGAGAGAAGCAAGTTGTGGCACGCCTGACAAGCTCACGGTCAGACCGTCGTCGCACATCCTCGGCAGATCGGCCGTCTCGACACCGTGATAGCCCCATGGATACTCGTCGCGCCTGCATCCCTTGGGCACACAGCTGCCGCTACTTTCCACTTCCTTGCCTCCTCCTCCTCCTCCCGCTTCTTTCGCGGGAGGAGCCTGGAGAGGCGCAGCGAGGGGCCGGCACCACTCGCGTGGCCCGCAGTCGGAGCGGAAGCAGTGCGTGAGCTGGTCCAGCACCGAGCGGCGCGGGTCGCAGGGTGCGCCGAGCGAGGGCAGGAGCAGCTGCGACATGATGTTTCGATAACTTTGTAAGGGAGGAGCAAGAGGACAGGGAGGAGCCAGCAGACGACATTTTCGCAGAGCGGCTGCTGCAGTGCGACTGCTAGCTTTTGATTATCTGTCTCACTGGACACTCAGATGGACAAGAAGCAGGTACGGGATCGGCAAAGGGGCGTGCCAGCCAGACGCCGACGCCTGACATGCACGCATGGCTAGTTAGTAGTAGCACATCAGTCCAGCTTAAACGCACATACACGCTCTGGCTACCATGATCATTGCGTCCGCCGGGCCACGAGCCACCCGGCATCGATCATTTCGACCCAGACGACGATCTGGACGCATTAGCTATCAGCAAGAGAGAACAGCTAGCTCGGGCAATGTGGTGCGCAAAGAGGCCGATGATGCAAGGAGTACATTGAGGGGCTGCTGCCAGAGAAATAAGCTCGGTTCGCTGATCTACGACGGCTGCTAGTGCGCTATTGCTACTGCCTGCTACTACTACTAGCTGCACTACTGCTTGGCGGGCCGGGTCAGATAGACGGACGCCTTATCACGTAACCCAAAAATAAAAGTAAAAAAATGTTGAAACGCACGACTAAAAAAACGCACGGCCTCCCTTGTCACATTAGATCGCTTCCCCATCATCTACATCTACGCACCCCCGGCGCCCTTGAGACTGTGTTTCAAGTGTGCGTGTACGTCACCGACAGCAGAGCCGGACAGGACGAGGCAGAGGCCTGCCAACCTGTGGATAGACAAGAGCAGAGCAGACGAAAGCAGAGCAGAGCAACGGAGGACATGTGCCCGCCAAGCGATCCGAGGCTGTAGAAGGCCGGCCCCTCGCTCAACCCCCCCGTGTCCCCTTTCTCGCTACTAGGCGCCGCTAGCGGCCCCTCTGCTCAACACATGGCGTCCGCCTCACCCAGCAGGCCGCTCTCGCAGCGGCTCTCGCAGCATCCCCTCGCCGAGGCGGCCACATATCCCACGCTCGACGACCCGTTCATAGACCCCGATGCCGAGGAGGGGGAGGAGGGGGAGGAGGGGGAGGAGGAGGCCGACGCCGCTGTGGCCCCAACGGAGCCAGATCGGGCGCCTCAGAGGCCTGATCTGGACACAAGCGATTCCACAGCCGTGAGTGAGATGCAGCAACAAGATCAACAGCCGCCGTCGCCGCTGCTGGAGCCCGTCGAGCCGAGGATGTATTCGACCGTGTCCAGCCTGGGCTCGCGCGGCCTCCGGTCTGCCGAGCCGTCACCGATGGTCAGGCCCTCGCTTACTGCCTCGGCTATCGCGCCACACCCGCTGTCGGCCGCCAGCCCTGTGCAGCTGCCCCAGACCGACGACTCGCTGAGCCACGTCGAGGCTGCCGTGCAGCCCGACGACGAGGAAGCGCAGCAGCAAGGCGATGGCGAGGAAGAGCGACAAAAGCAAGACGACATCGGCGACATCGACGACAGCAACAACGACAAGACGGCGGGGCACGCAGAGACGCACGCACTCATGCAGATGCTCAGCGTCGTCGGCAGCCGCTTCCTCGAGGCCGAGCAGGCCGGCATGCTCCCTGGCGATCTCGAAGAGGCAGGCGACGACGAGGCGCCAGTCAGCACCGCGAGTGCCGTCGAAGAGGAGGACCGCGAGGGCAACGAGGAGGCAGAGGCAGAGGCAGAGGCAGACGAGGGCCAAGCAGACGACGAGGAGGCGCGGCCGCTGCCCTCAATACGCGGCTTTCGCTCCGTCCTGGCCGCCAAGGTGGGCGCATACGTCTTTGACGACGAGCGCGAAGACACGCCCCGTGCCAGCAACACACCCCTCGAGGGCTCCCTCGTCGCGCGGCGCCAGGCACGGGCCACAGCCCGGCAGCAGCAGCGTACAGCAGCCTCGGCACTCGCTTCCTCGTCGTCCTCTCCCTCGCCGTCGCCGTCGTCGTCTGCCTCGCTCGATGCCTCGGCCACCGGTCTCGGCGTGTCCATCCATGCCCTCTCGATGGCCTTTGGCGACGGCGGCGGCGCCGGCCGCACACCCGACGACGAGCACGACGAGGCGGATGGAGAGGAGGAAGACGACGAGGAGGGAGATCAGAGGGAGTCAGGCGGCGCGCTACATGCGCAGCGCGAGCAGCTGTCGCGCAAGCTGCAGGACATCTTTGGCCTCGACGCGAGCGAGGACGTTGTGTCGTGCCACGCCTGCTGGCTCTTTCGCCGCGTGCTGCTGCAGGGCCACATGTATGTGACACGGAGCTTCGTCTGCTTCTATGCCTACCTGCCCTCGCGCGAGGACCGAGTGCTGAAGGCGGGGCCGCTGCGCAAGCGTACCAAGCGCACCCACCGCTTCAGCCGCCACTGGGCCGTCGTCCGCGGCCGTTCGCTCAGCTGGTACGAGAGCGAGCGCGACCCGTATTTCCCCCAGGACCACATCGACCTCCGCAACGTGACCGCCGTCGAGAGTGCTGCAAGTGCCGAGAGCGAGCGCCGGTTTCGCGTCCACACGCCCTACCGCGTCTTTCTCTTTGAGGCTGCCTCGGCGCAGGGCAAGGACGAGTGGGTGGCCATCCTCCGCAAGGCCGTCTTTCGCACCCAGAACGAGGGCGAGAGCGTGCGCATCAGCATCCCCCTCGAGGCCATCGTCGACATTGACGGCAGCGACAACAGCGGTGGTGGTGCCGATCAACAGCACGGCAGCGTCGGTGTCGGCGTCGGTGCCGGGGGCATCGGCGGCCAGGGCCAGGACATGATCACCGTCAAGGTCGTCGGTGCTTCTCCTTCTTCTTCCTCCAGACCGAGAGAAGGCGACCTCGACGAGGCAGAAGAGGACCAGGACGAAGACTTTGCCATCGACGAGTACATCTTCCTCCAGCTCGCCGAGCAGTCTGACTTTGTGGCCCGCATGCGGCGTCGGCTCATCGAGTATGCCGCCGAGCTCAGGCGCGGCGGCGACGACGACGCCGCTGCGGCTGCGGCTGCGGCTGCTGCTGCTGGGCCCAGCACAGATTCATCATCGACGACGCATCCACACTCGGCCGTCGAGACGCTGAGCAGGCCACGCATGCGGGTGCGCGACTCGACCAACAGCTTCTCGTCTCTTGGTGGCGGTGGTCTTGGCGGCGTCGCAGTCGACATTCCCGCAAAGACAGCAGCCACAGCCATGTCACGGACGCCACGGTCGTCGCTGTCCAGAGACGAGGGCCCGCTGTCGAGCTCGGCAGCGACACTCAGAACCACGCCCCTCTCGGCCTCGCAGCACAACTACCCGCCCTCGCCCTCGTCACGACCGCGGCCCAGTGTCAGCAACTCGGTCATCCTGGCCCAGGCGCGCGCAGAGGGCCGCTGGACCGTGCCCCAGTGGGTCCGCGACGCCTCGACAAAGGTCCTCGCCACCACGGCCGGCGGCGGTGCCGACGCCTGGTCCGCCATCTCGGGCCGCCTGCCCCGGAGACCGGTCAAGGAGACGTGGTCCTCGCAGCCCGGTGGCGGCGGCGGCGGCGGCGACGACGACCGGCGCCGCGCCGCCTCGTCCTCCTCGCGCCGATCGGCAGGCGGCGCCAGTGGCAGTGGGAGCGGCAGCCGGTCGCGACACGTGTCAAGCTCGGTCGAGGAGCTCAGCTCGGGCAACCAGAGCCACAGCCACAGCCACAGCGGCGGCGAGACAGATGCGATGGCCCAGTCGGGCGAGCTGAGCAATTCCTCCTACTCGATTCTCGACAACGGCGACTTCGTCGGCGACGACGACGACGGCCACCAGGCTGAGCTCGACAATGACGATGAGGCGATCCAGGCCCAGTTCCGCCAGTGCTTTGCACTCCCTGCCCACGAAGCCCTCGTCTGGCACACGAGCGCGAGTCTGTACCGGGTCCTGCCCGTCGTCGGCCGTCTGTTCATATCAACCAACTACGTCTGCTTCCGCTCCTCGCGCCTCGCCTCCAAGACCATGGGCCGGACGCTGATGATCCTGCCTATCAAGGAGATTGTCTCGGCGGCGCGCAACACTGCCTACCGGTACGGCCACCACGGCCTGGTCATCATGGTCCGCGGCCACGAAGAGTGAGTTGTTGTGTGCCGACCACATTTTGTCCCTATGTATGCGCTGACCTCTCCCACCATCACATAGACTCTTTCTTGAATTTGCCTCTCCAGAGAGGCGCGGGCACTGCCTCTCGCTCCTCGACACCCAGATCGAAGCCGCAAGAAGGACAAGGGCGAGCGAGGTCAGGCGATCGCATTCGCAGAGCCGTCGCGAGGCCGTCATGCTCACCGACCTGGTCGACCGCCTGGACCTCAACCCGTCACAGGAATACGACCAGGATCAAGAACAGCAGCAGTTGCAGCAGCAGCAGCAGCAGCACAGTCTCTCGCCCGAGACGATGCCCTCGGCCATCTTCAAGTCGTCGACGTCGGATGCCCTGCTCGACTTCAAGCCGGCCAAGCCGCTCCACTTTACCTTCCTTACCATTGGCTCCCGCGGCGACGTGCAACCGTACATTGCCCTGGCAAAGGGGCTCATGGACGAGGGACACAGTGTCAGGATTGCCACGCACCGCGAGTTCGGCTCGTGGATCGCCCGGCACGGCATCGAGTTCAAGGAGGTAGGCGGCGACCCGGCCGAGCTGATGCGCATCTGCGTTGAGAACGGCACTTTTACCATGTCCTTTCTCCGCGAGGGCGTCACAAAGTTCCGCGGCTGGCTCGACGACCTGCTCGTGTCGTGCTGGAACGCGTGCCAGGGCACCGACGTCATCGTCGAGAGCCCCAGTGCCATTGCGGGCATCCACATTGCCGAGTCGCTCGAGGTGCCCTACTACCGGAGCTTCACCATGCCCTGGAGCCGCACGAGGGCCTACCCGCACGCCTTTGCCGTGCCCGGCCACAAGGCGGGCGGGAACTACAACTACATGTCCTACGTCATCTTTGACCAGGTCTTTTGGCGCGCCGCCGCGGGGCAGATCAACTCGTGGAGACGCAAGGTGCTGCAGCTCAAGCCGACGAACCTGGACCGGATGGAGCAGCACAAGGTGCCGTTCCTGTACAACTTTAGCCCCAGCCTGGTGCCCAAGCCTCTCGACTGGTATGACTGGATCCACGTCACCGGCTTCTGGTTCCTCGACAACCCCGACGTGGCGACTGGCAAGACATGGACGCCGCCCGCAGACCTCGTCGCCTTCATTGAATCGGCGCGCGGTAAGGGCAAGAAGCTCGTCTACATCGGCTGGGGCTCCATTGTCGTCTCCGACGCAGAGGCCATGACGAGATGTGTCGTCGAGGCGGTCCATCGCAGCGGCGTCTGCGCCATTCTCTCCAAGGGCTGGTCCGACCGCCTGTCGCATCGCTCTTCTTCTGCAACAGCCGTCAATGTCGGCGCCTCATCGTCAGCGGTGGAGGCAACGGCGACGGCGACGTCCGTGCTTTCGCCGCCCATCATCGAAGAGGACATCTTCCAGGTCAATTCGGTGCCCCACGACTGGCTCTTTCCACGCATCGACGCGGCCTGCCACCACGGAGGCGCGGGTACGCTGGGTGCCTCGCTGCGGGCGGGCATCCCCACGATTGTCAAGCCCTACTTTGGCGACCAGTTTTTCTGGGGCCAGCAGGTCGAGGCCCTTGGCGTCGGCAGCTTCGTCCGCGAGCTCACGGCCGACAGCCTGGCAAAGGCCTTGTACAAAGCCACGCACGACGCCAAGACGATTGAGCGGGCCAGGCAGCTGGGCAGCGAGATTGGCCGCGAGGACGGCGTCGCCAATGCCATCAAGGCCATCTACCGCGACATGGACTATGCCCGGAGCAGAATCAGGACCGATGGCAGGCTCGATGGCGCGGCTGTTCAGCAGCAGCAAGAGCAACAGGAAAGAGTGGCAAAGGGCAGACTGGCTGGGTTGCAGCTTCCGGCCTTGCCGGCCTTGCCGTTCCTGGGAGCGGGCGAGAAGACGGCGACCTCGAGCAGTGCAGGAATAGCAACGGCGACGAGCGCCCCTCTCACGCAGGAGTCCCTTCGGACGATTCAGCAGCAACAGCAGAGCTCCTTGGCATCCGGACAGTCTCTTCCACCAGACACTATTGTGACAACGACGACGACGACGGGGGACGCGCACGCTGGCCCTTCCTCCATGCCCGCCCAGCACCTCCTCTCGCCCAGCCTGACGGATGCTGAGACGAGGAGCGAAGACGACTGGTCCGTCGTCAGCGGCAGCGAGCCATCCGAGGACCATCCTCGTCACTGACCCTTCTCTTACTTCACAAAACCACCATTTCTACTGAACCGTTTGTATTTTTTTTCTCTCTCCCGTTCGTCTTTTCGCTTCTTTTTTCCACCTTCTGTCCTACTTCACTCTTTTGTGGTGTAAAAGTATTCAATTGGTTCATGCGGTGTCTCTTCTGTCTCCATTGGGTGGCTAATGCTGTTGAGGTAAAGTGATCAAGGTATCGCTGCTTTGAGGGAACGGGTCACGTCTGGGTTGAGTGTGGTGGTACTGTCGTTGTCTATCAAATCGTGCCTTGACGAAGCGCAAGAAAATTGAGCCTGGTGTCTCTTCTGTCTCCGTCGCGTGGCTATGGTGTTGAGCTGAAGTGATGAAGGTCGCTCTTTTGCGGTTACGAGCTGTGTCGAATGTGGAATGGTAGTGTTAAGAATACAAAGAAAGGGGTGGAAGTCGTTGTCGTCTTTCAAATGGTGCCTTGGCGAAGCGCAAGGAGGTTGAGCTTAGTGGTGAGCTCCGTCTCGAGTCTGGTTGGCAGTCTCGTAGAGCTGTTGGGTGTCTAAACGCAGTGACGCTGCGTCGTGCTACTACTTTTCAACATCGGAGGTGACAGAGGCGAGTTTGTCGTCGTCGTCGTCGCCGCCCCTCACATTTCGCAGCACCGCTTGTTGATAGTGGTATCTGAGGAGCACGTCGAGAGGACGCTCTCTATGACTGACTTCTCGCGCTTGGTACTGTACATGCGGCAGCCATGGAATTCGCCCGGTTTGGTGAAGTCGGTAACGGCGTAGTCGTTGTCGGGATCGATGGAAATTAAACGGTAATGGTAAAGAGTGTGTGCACTGGGAGTGAGAAGAATTGCATTTGACACAGGGTCGAGCTTTGCGTCTTCCAAGGGCACTCCCATGTCGGTGGCAATGCTTTCGAAGCCCTTCTGGTTCACCTTTGTTGATGTTCAGTGCAAATCAGAGGGGCGACAGCGCGGTGCTACTCACGGCATCGAAAAGGGCAACTGGAAGAATATGAGCGGCACCGAACAGAACAGGTTCCTCATCGGATACCAGTCTGCCGGTGATGACACAGCGCTCGTCACGCTTGCGCACGCGACGCAGAAAGCTGGACTTCTGTCGACAAAGTGCGACTGAGCCCTCAGCCATGGCCAAGAATCCTTCCATCAACACTTACGCGGCCGTCCGAGGTGTTGAGATTGGGAGAAGTCTTTTGTCGCTCGTAGTGAGTGTTTGACAGATAGACCTCGACGTGCTTAAGTTCTTTTGAGAGGTTAGGGTGGGTCATGCTCGGCAGAAAGCCCGCAAGGGTACAGTAGTGTGGGAGCTCACTCTCTCGGTTTAAAACGACATAGTTGCCCGTAGGCAGCACCTGTTCAGGATCTTGGGTCAGAACGTCGACGTCGGAGATGATGTCCCCGTCGCTGGGGTCAACATTGTCTGTCGCGATGGGATAGATGCCCCATTCGCTTTCAGCAACGAAAATGCATAAGTCAAGCCACTTTCGGAACTGGCCGATCTTTACGTTGCCATGCTGCCAGAATCCTGCAAAAGAAAGGATTGGCTGTCGTGTTGGGAAGCGCATCAATCGGATCATTTCCTCACCTGCTATCTCTTTTGAATGCACCGAACCTATCGAATCCCCCGCGGTATCCTTTGTCATGAACACGGAGACGTTGCGGATGCGACGGGACATCTTGGACTGGTCGAACAGATGGTGGTTGATGAAACAAGGGTAAAGGCATTTCTACCTGAAAAGTGAGGCTCTTTCACCGCTTGCCTTCCTGAGTTGTATTGCACAATGGATTGTATATTTCTGTCATGCCGAGCGCGTCCTCTGTCTCGTTTATTGATGGACGGGGCAGTTCTGATCACCAATCGACAAAGACGACGACGCCTTCGAGATGAGGTCGAAGAGCGCCCCTTTCACGCAGGAGTCCCTGCGGACGATTGAGCAGCAGCAGAGCGCATCGGCAATCGGACAGCCAAATCCAGCAGACACTGTCGTGCCAACGATGACGGGAGTCGCGCACGCTGGCCCTCCTTCCAGGCCCGCCCAGCACCTCCTCTTGCCCAGCTTGACAGACGCCGAGACCAGAAGCGAGAACAACTACTTCTTCGTCAGCAGCAGCGAGCCGTCCGAGGACCAGCCTCGTTACTGACCCTTCCTTTTTCCTCTCAAAACACCATCTCCCCTGAGCCGGTTGAATTTTTTTCTTCTCTTACGTTCTTCATCGTCTTCTCTTCCCTTCTTCCCCACCATCCAACTTCATTCTTTTGTGATGTAAAAGTAATCTGATATGTCGTGCCATATCCCTCCTCTGTCCATCTAGTGGCTATGATATTGAGATAGAGTGATGAAGGTCGCTGCTTTGGGATTACGAGCCGTGTCGAATGTGGAACGCTACTGTTAAGAATACAAAATGGAAGGTCGCTGTCGTCTATCAAATGGTGCCTTGGCGAAACGCGAGGATGTTGAGCTTTGAGGCGAGCTCTGTCTCGAGCCTGGCTTTGCCATTGGCAGTCTTGTGGAACTTTGGGTTGTCCAAACGCACTGAGTGTACATCGTACCAATCCACTTCCTCGCCCGAGTCACTGTCGGGGCTCTCGAGCTCGTCTGCACCGGCGCTGCCCCTTACGTTTCGTAGCACAGCTTGGTAAAAGTGGTACCTGAGGAGCTCGTCGAGTGGACGCTCGCTGTGACCGACCTCTCGCGCATGGTACATGTGGCGGCCATTAAAATGGCCCGCTTTACTGAAGTCGGTCACCATGTAATCGTTGTCGGGGTTGATGGAGATGTAATGGCCATCGAAGAGAGTATGTGCGAAGGGATCAAGAAGCATCCCGTTTTGAACAGAGTCAATCTTTGCGTCCCCCATGCGTAGTCCTGTGTCGGTGACGAGACTTTCGAAGCCATTTTTACGCCACTGATCTGATATTCAGAGTGTTGATCAGAGGGTCGACAAAGTGCTGTTACTCACGAGATCAAGGTGGGCGATAGGAAAGATATGAGCGGCATGGAACACAGATCCGTCAAAACCAGACACCAAAACGCCAGTGATGACACAGCGGCCGTCACGTTCCAGCACGCGATCCTTGAAAGAAGATCCCTATCGACAGATTCGGTTGAGCCCTTTAGCCAAGACCAAAAATCTTTTCGCTCTTACTCACTTTGCCGTGCGAGGATGATCCGCTGTGGGAAACCGTTCTTTGATGGTAGGTAGTGGTTGTCAGAGACACAACAACGTGCCTGAGCGCTTTGGATATTCTCCTCAGTTCAAAGCTACCCATTCACCCCTGAGATACGGAGAGGTAGCTCACTCTCTCGGTTTAAAACAACGTAGTGGCCCGTGGGCAGCACCTGTTCAGGATCTTGGCCCAGAACGTCGATGTCGGAGATAATGTCGCCGTCGCTGGGGTCAACATTGTCTGCCGCGATGGGATAGATGCCCCAGTCGCTTTCATTAACGACAATGCATAAGTCAAGCCACCTTCGGAATTCGCCAATCTTTAGGTCGCCATGCTGCCAGAATCCTGCAAATAAAGGTTGGCTAACGTGTTGGGAAGCCACCACTCTGACCAATTTCCTCACCTGCTACTTCTTTCGACTTCTCCTTTTTTGTCAATTCCCCAGCGAACAACTTGGTCATGAACACGGAGACGTTGCGGCTGCGACGGGCCATCTTTTACTGGGCCAAGCAGATGATGATTGGTGAGCAAGGCGCGAGGCACTTCTTTATTTAGTGAGTACCTCACAAAATTAGGCTGCCGACACGTGGCATTTGTCTCGTCTCGTTCAATGGTGGGCGAGCATTCCTGATCACAAATCAACGACGACGACGGACGCCGAGAAGAGGACACGCAAACTCGGACGATGTCTCTCGCACGCCAGATCCGCAACGCCCGCGTGGCCGGCCTGAAAAAGTACTGGCGGGACCTGCAGTACATTGGCGACGCCAAGGCGGGCACCTTTGTCGGCGCCGACGCCCTTGGTAACAAGTTCTACGAGGACCTCAACGAGCAGCCCGGCCGGCACCGCTGGGTCGACTATGCGGGCCACGACAGCAACGCGTACGCCATCGAGCCCGTCTGGCACAGCTGGCTGCACCACATCAAGCAGGATCCGCCCAACAAGGACCCCATCGTTGCCGCCAGCCGAAAGACGTGGGAGATTGTGAGTCGCAATGTCCGTCGTGTGTTCCATGGGTCATTTCTTCTTTTCGAAGAAGAAGAAGCGGATCAGCGAGAATGGGGGGACCAAGGGACTACTTAGCGACCCGGTCCATGATTCTCGGGAGGGGGTGGTCATCTCTCATCGAGCAGGCTGCTCTCTCTTCGTCAGGCTGCCATCCGATAGCAACGCAATTTTTGACTACCCGGCCTCGTATCTGCCCGTCTCCAGGCAAATATCCACCTGAGGCGGGTTCGTTTAGCAGTGCCCACATCTTTTTCCTTTCTTTCTGTCTCCCTTGTCTTCACACAAGCGGCTGAGCTGACTTTGCGTCTCGCAGGAACCACGGGACAGCGTGACGGGCACCCGAGCATCGTTCAGGACCTATTCTACGACAAAGTCGCCAAAGATTGTGAGCTTTTTCTGGGATCGTCTTGTTTCCCGGGAAAAGTGAGACTGATTGCAGAGTTGCGGTGCAGAACGCCTGGGAGCCAACAATTGCTTCTCGACAATAGATGTTGGCAGCCACACTCCCACTCGATGCTCTAATGAATTCTCATTTCCTTTCATTATAAAACCCCTCGTTCTCCCTTGTCCTGTTTCCACGCATCATTCTAGTGGCTGCCTCACAGCGGCCCAGCGAGACGTTGCAAGGTTTTACTTGGAGAGAGCGGACTGGAGGGCAGTGTACACCTCGACCTCGATCTCGGCCTCTGCCTTGTCCTCTGCCGAGCCCGATCCCGAGGCGACCCTCTGAGCCTCTGCGAGCGCGGACCGAACAGCCTGTGTGATGAAGAAGAAAGGCATGAGACCTAGATGCTCAATCTGAGTCAGTGCAGACACGCACCTCTGGCGAGAACTTGTCGAGGTCGTAAGCCTCAATGGCGTTGATCGTCAGCTTGTTGTTGGGGTGGACGGTCGCAAAGCCGCCCGAGACTACAAAAGAGACAAACAAGGGTCAGCAAGATCCGCAAAAGCGACCAGTCTCAAGTGGCAAAAGACCAGCACGCACCGAACCACTTCTTGACGCCCGACTGCTCGACGACCTCGAGAAGACCAGGGGCGAGCTGCTCGATGCTGGGAACGTGGGCGGCGAGGATACCCATGTCTCCCGACGTCGCGGCAATGTTGACCTGCGTGACCTCGCCCTGGTACAGGGCCTGTGGGAGAGAGAGTAAGCGGTCAGATCAGTCGACAGGATCGCAGGAAAAATGGACGAGGAGACGACGCACCTCGTGGGGAAGGACAAGGCTCAGCTGGAGCTTGTCCGAGACGGCCTCGGCATACCCTCGACGGAACATCTGCGTCCTGGCCAGGCCGCTCGTGGCTGCGAGCGCGGGGCGGGCAGCGGCACCAGCAGCAGCCGTGCGGAGAGCGGGCATGGCCGCGCGAGAGGCGATGTTGAAGGCCATGATGTCACTTGTCTGGAGCTGAAGAAGAAGAGGAAGAAGATCTGTCGAGGACTGATGATCGGCGAGCTGGTGATGGCCATCGCTCGCCCGAAACGAGCCGGCTAAAGAACACGTGTTTTATTGCTGCACGTGTCCGTCAATGGCTCCGCCATCATTTTTCCCTGCTAGGCTGCGACTCATTTCCAGCCTTTGCTTAGGCTCTTTCCTAGTGTGCGCCTATAGAAGAGATGTGCCGCTCGAAGGAACTCTTGTTAAGGCAAAGAGATCTTTGTTTATTCGAAATCAAGGGAGGTCACTGTAGCGCTGGATAGCATCAAGCTTCTTCAGCACTCTTCTCCCTCAACCTTTTTATGACAGCGGATAACCAAGATAGGGAGTGATAGCACAAATTTGCCTATTTACGCCACTATGGCTGATCGCTACCAAGAAAAAGAATAGAAGTCAGTACCGTTGTCGAGGCCTCTTGATGCGAGGGTCATCGTATGGGCGGTGATACAATGGGCCTCGGCCATCGGAATAGAACGTTCCCCAGTCGCTGCTGCTCTCGTGACCTCGCTTGTATGGCTGATACAGCTCCTCAGAGGTACGAAGAAGAGGTGAGGAGGATCCAGAGACAGCACAATTCCTGTCGTGTTTGCTTGCAGGGTTCCATTGGACCTGGGGCGAGACATGTTGAGAACGAGGTTGAGCCTCACGGTCGGGCCTCGGAAAGCCTTGTCTGCGTGGCGTAGCCTTTTGCTCCTCATGTTGACGAGGTCTTTCGGGAGTTGGAGAAGTAGAGGCGTAGTAATACCGACGTCGATCGGGAGCCGGCGTCCAAGGAGCTCGAGCTAGTTCGCTTCTGCATGCAAGCATCGCCGGCTTTGGGCCCTCTGCCGATGTGACGCACTGCGAGCTTTGCTGATATTCGTCTCGTCGAGTATCCGATACCGGTTGTTGTGGCTGATCAAAAACTTGCCCCATCCTTGCGCCTCCCCATGGTTGTAAGGTGTAGCACAATGGGAGGACCGGGACGAAGACGTCTTTCCTCGACGCAAACGAAATGCTGAATTGACCTGCCTCAAAAACGACGGCCAGGGCGTTGTCTCCATACCTCATGTCGGAGCCAAGTACAAAGCCGTTCCTGACGCAACTATCAGGAAGGACCTTGAAGACGAGGTATTTCGTGAAGGAGACCTCTTGGACCTTGATTCCCGTCGACAAAGCACGCTGCATGCCAATAAATGTCACATCGACACCAACCTCTTCTCCCACCGCTCCGATGCATCCTGGGCAGAAGCGTTGAATAACACGTTCAAAAATGCTTAATGCTACGGCGCTCCGACTGGCTAACCTGTTGATGCAAAGGCGCAGTGCGACGGGACACGAGCCGATGAATACATCCACGGGCTGGTCGCCGCTGAAGTTGCGGAACAACGGCCCTTCACTGTCAGTCTCTGCTGATTTAGCCTCTCCCTTTGCGTCTTTGACGGTATGGCTTGGAGGGGCCCGCGGTGAAAGAAGGGCGGCCGTTGCATAGTCGTTGCCCCATATGTCAAATGAGGACAGATTGGGCCGGATGGGAATCAGGGTGCTGGCATGCGTCTTGAACTGTACGTGGCCGCCAGAAGCCTCGTAATGGTATCCTCTGGGGTACCATTGGTCGCCGAGGCAAAAGCCGTTTACACAGTGTTCATCAGGGTAGATGAGAAAGTGGAGCCGCTTTGTGAACGTTTGAGGCGAACCATCGACCGAGGAGGTACCTCGAAAGGTGACATCGAACTCGCACCAGTCCCAGTGGCCATTCCCCTTGCGGACGAGATTGCACTCCTCTGCCAGTGGCTCAATGGCTTTGGCGAATACAGTCAAGGGCAGTTTCCCTTTGAAGTTGCGCTCACCAAGGGTCAAACGCAACGGCATAGCGCACGAGCCAATGTAGGCGTCAATGGGGAGGTCCTTGATGAAATTGTGGAAAATCAAACGCTTTCCGTCTCCAGCACTGTCGAGCGACGATGGTTGTACTGCGCCGCCATCATTTACGGGTAGTTGGGGTGAAGAAGGGAGGTACTCCCTTTCCTCTTCCTCCTCTTCCGCCTCCCCCGCCTCTTCCAGCTGCTCATTGTCCTCGTTCTGTGCTGGTCGAGTGGCTGGCGGCTCATCTTGTCTAAAGCGACTTTTGCTGGCCGCCTCTGCAGGTTCCTCGTTCTCTTCTTGGTCTGTTTCCTCGTCGACCTGCCCCGTTGCGCTCGCTTTGATATCGTGAGATAAACCATGAGCTTCTTCTTCGAGCTGCTCTGTTGCAAGCGCGGCATCCTGCTGTGTGCTCTTTCCTCCTTCTCCTGGCTCCAAATGTACTCGATTGAGTTGCCTCTCATCCACTTCTTCTCCTTCTCGAAGGAGGGGCGAAGGAGTGGGTGCCTGGGCCTGCGTGTCTTGAGCTTTGCGGGTTTTCGGAAAGCCATCTGGTCGGCGGCCGTGCCAGGCGAGAGGCATGTCGTCCTCGGAGTCTGACGACGACGGATCTTCGTGTGATTCTATCCCAGTCATCGCTTTTTCTACATCGAAATGGCACGTCTGCCTCTCGTCCAGCGCTGAATGGGGGATATCTTGAGGTTCAATCTCGTGCTGACGGTCGAAGGTCTCTATCATCGGCCCTCTGTTCAAGGTCTTGACCTCTTCTTCGCACCACGCCCCCGCTTTCTCCATCGGTGTCGCCTCTGGTATGGCTGTTGGTGTGGCCGGTGAGGTCGTCAAGGCCGACACGGAGCTTCGTCTTGAACATGGCGCTTTCTCGTCATCGGCCGCATCCTCGCCCATTTTGGACCTTACAGCTGGCGAGAGGGAAGGAGCACCGTCGTCATCGTCGTCGCGCAGCGCGTATTCGTTTGTCTCCGTTGCAGTCTCGGCCAGCGCTGAGACGGCCACACACAGCCATTTTGGCAGGTCGTCCTCGTGCTGCCTGACAACGGTCGCAAAGGCCAAGACAGCTTTGCTGAGCTTTGTCGACCTGTCCTTCTCGTCGTTGTGGATCGTGCGTGCGATAATGCCCTTGACATCCTCTCGCGACGACGACGGCGGCGACAATGACGGGCATCCATTGTGATTTAAAGCAGACGATCCACGGCTGCAGCGAATGTCGACGCAGGCGCCCTGGAAGGCGGGCGTTGGAGTAATCCGCACTGCGCTGCGTTCGAGGTCCTCGAGACGCTTGACCGTCGCGAGCAGCAGCTGCTCCATGCTTTCGAGCGTCTGCATGGTGGTATCTATAAGCCTCCGTACACGTATGTGGACGGTGAGAAGTGGACGGAGGGGAGGGGACAGCGGAGGAGAGGGCATACAGCGGTCGCCCCCGCTGCTCTTGAGAAGGGGAGAGCAGGAGTGCAACGCTTCAGCAGACAACAAAGGGAGATTCAAGAAAGTGAAAGCGAACTCGCCGCGGCACGGCAGTGGCCTGTGGCCGTTCTCATCTCCTCCCACCAAGTCGCAGGTCGCTGTCGGTGAGTTTGATTCGCCGGCTGCAGCTTCTTCGCCGTTGCACCGAGCTGCCAGCCTCAAGCCACAAAAATGACACTGTAGTTGGGCTGATTTTCGTGCGCTTCTTTCTCTAGCGCCAATTTAATGACTACTTGGCGGGGGCGGCGGACAAAGGGTCCGTGACGTGCACTTGAACAGAAAACAATAGCAGATGCGAGGTGAAAAAAAGCGGACAAAGGGAAGATCCGAGCGCAAGTGGAGTTTAGCAGAAGGAGAGCAGCGGCGGCAGATGGTCGTGTCAGCGGTCTCATCAACAGCAGCACAGACCAACGAGCTGATTGGCTGGGTGACATGAGTACTTTAAGAAAGCGAGCGCTCTTCTCTCCTTCGTCTACATCACTCCAATTGCACACACTGAAATCCACCCACCAGCAAGCAGAGAGCCCTGATGCCCGCGTCTCAATCTGTCCTGTGCGACGCAGCGTCGCCCTCTGCCAATCCCCTGCGCCACTTTGCGGAAACCATTGGCCAGATGACGCATGCGCTCGAGACAGAGATGGCACATACCCAGGCTCAGCTCCGCGGCAGCATCGAGGACTGCTGCGGCCGCATTTCCTCGCTCGAGCGCGCGCACGAGGCCAACAGGCCTGCTCTGGCACAGCTCGATTCGCTCCAAGAGGGCGCGGCGTCGGTGGAGCGGAGGATGCGCATCATCGAGACGGCCCAGATCCAACTGCAGGAGACGTGCGACTCGCTGAGGAGCGAGGCCAAGCGGCACTTTGTCGAAGGACGCAGGCGTCTCGATGCAATGGATACAAAGCTCGCTCAAGCATCGTCAGCAGCGGCAACATCTACGAGCAGCAAAGACGAGGAAAAGGCCCGCGCGACGAAGCTGCTCGAATTGCTGAAGCCCCAGCTGTCGAGCATCGTCGCCCACACCGTGATTCATGTCCTCGGCGAGATGCAGGCGCCCCGTACCGCCACTGGCCAGCAGGACAGCAACATGGTCTCGCCCTCGGCCAGCTCGATCTTTTCGAGCTGCCGCACGGCAAGCGATGCTGCTGACAGCCCCACAAAGGAGCCTGCGCCGCAACTCGACCTGCAGCAGCGCCTCGCACTCGAGCGCCTCATCCACCACTCGGACCGCCTCGTCAAGGACGGCGGCATGCGGTACCAGCCGATCCTCTCGGCGCCCGTCTTTGGTGCCACGTCGACGTTCCAGCGCCGCGGTTCCGGGGCGCAAGCTCCCTCTCCCTCTCCCACCTTTCGTCCTCCCCATTCGGCCCGGGCATCGTCACCAACACCGTCCGCAACCGCGTCGCAGGCGTCGCGAGCGGCATCGTGCCAGGCAACTACGAGCAGCAAGCCACCGTGGGCCAACAGTCTGTGGTACAACCCGTCGGTGCAGCCTGAACAAGCACCGACGCAGGCACCAGCCCAGACACCGCCTCCTCCGCAGACGCAATCGCAATCGCAATCGCAATCGCAACTGCAGACGGTGAGGACGCTCCAGGTCTCTGCATCGAACGTGGCCGTGACGACTCCGGCAGGGGCAAAGAATGGAGCCATGGCCGCCTTGAAGAAAGAAGCCAACGAAGCACAGAGCGCCAACGTCGTCTCTGCGATCCAGGATCTCGTCTCTCAGGTGCATCTGGGCGACGGTACCCGGCCCCGGTCCAGCTCCAGGTCCAGCAGTGGTCAAGCTAGTGCGGCCACTGGCTCTGCTAGTGACCACTCGAACGACACTGCAAACACTACCCCCGCCGAGGTGTCGAGCAGTGTCACGCCAAGCACTGTTTTTAGGCCAGCTGCGACTGATCCTGCCCTTACCACCTCGCGTGCTTCAGCCAATGCAGCCAGCGTCGCCTCGAGCAGGCCCACACCCAGCAGCGCCTCGAACAGGCCCACACCCAGCAGCGATACAGCGACCGGCTCGAGGGGCGCCGCGGGCGTTGACGGGGTCGCTACCACGGCGCAAGCTCCTGCAAAGCACATTCTGCCTGCACCGAAGAGCAATGCTCCCCCCTCCTCTGCTGCTAGTAGAATTCCGGGCATCCCCGCCGATTCGACGAGACCAAATTCGAAGAAGAGCAGCGCTGTCGCCAGCAAGGAGAACAGCGCAAATCCCACGCAGACGACAAGTTCCAATGTGGTAGACTTGGTTTCACCTGAGACCGCTCCTACTGCTTCTCAAACGCAGACTTCCAGTAATACTCAGTCACCTTCCTCTCAAGTTTCGCCCATTCAACGTCCAGACACGACGCCGGCAGCTGCGACAAAGAGCCCACCGACACGTTGTGAGCTACGACAGGAGACTTCAGCAACGACGTCTCCGACCGTCACTCGCGCCAGCAGCGCTGAGAAGTCTGCTGAGCACGTCGCCGGCCCACGGAGTGAGCCACCGCGCGCCACAGAGGGGGCCTCGACTCACGGACAAGAGACCACTGGCGGAAGAGAGGACAATGACAGCGGTGACGGCGGCGACGCCAGAAGTCACTCCCCGAGGATGCATACGAGCACGTCAAGAGAGGTGGCCAGAAGAGCCATGGACCATCTCTTCGATCCAGATTTTTTGCCCGAGAGAGCACCCTGGTATCGCAGGTGCCTGTATGCGTCGCGGCACTTCTCCGATGTCCCCGTCCTGGCCTATTTAGACCTGTCCAAGTCGCCCCTGATTGTCAATGTCAACCAGACGACGAACGTGACGAGAATCTCGCGCACGCTGGCCGACATTCTTCGAGAGCATGCTCGGCGGGGGCTGGGCACCAACGAGCCACCTGTGTTCAGTGAAGAGGGAGACTTGTGCAGCATGGTGCTCCAGATCCCTGGGCGAGACGTGCACACCGGCGACGTCGACTTTGTCATCCGGATGTTCCACTTTCTTATCGTCCCAGACGCCAGACTCGTCAAGGACATTGTCATTGGCAAGGACCAGCTCGGCAGAAACTGCCTCACACACAAGCCCAGGGGCCAGCTCTTGTTTACGTCCAGGTCTGGGTCCGAGATTATGGTCACTCAGACAAAAAAAGCATACCCTCCTGCTGCCAGACGGTGCAACACCACCACCCATTACGAGCGTGCTGCTGCCGAAGGGCACCGTGAGCATCCGCGTGAGCAGCAGTCGACCATGACCGCATATACGGACGCCCGTGAACCTTCACCACGACGCTGGCCCGACCCGGCGCAGCAGCAGCAGCAGCAGCAGCACATGCACCGTTATTCGCCACCGGAGACGGCCGACAGCAACCAGGGCACACACGGTGCGTCCAGAAAGCACGCGCGTGACGAAGAGGGCGAGGACGGCGGCGAAGCGGCTCCCTTTCGACCGGCCCCGCCCGTGAGACAGAGGACCGCACCGACAGCAGCCGCGTACGAGCACGGGTCGGGAAGCCCACCGGATGCTTCGAGGGGCGGCGTGTCTCTCCGAGAGCGTCTGGCGCCTGCACCCATCCCATCCCTTCTCGAGCGCATCTCGTGAGGCCGTCACTGGAGCCTTGGTGCTCGACCAGCGCCCTTCTTCTACCATCGAGGTTTACAAAGGTAAGTGCGCTGTATTTCCATCCATGTATATAGTGTCTTCTGCCCTGCCGTAGCTCCTGTGCCGTTAATATTCTCCCTGATGAATGGGCCTACACCTGCTGCTTCTCTCTTTCTCCCATCTCACTCTCTTCTTCGTATGCCACACAAGAAAGGGATGTGGAAACTGTCGCTCGTCATGAAAAGAATGAAAGAACGTGGGCCATTAGTACAAGCAGGGGGCGACGATCGTCTACAAGCCTGCGGGCAGCATCATGTCCTTGCCGACCTTGTCGCCGGCCTCGAACTCATCGACCTCTGCGCCATCTTCATCGTCGTCATCCTCTGCGTCCTCGTCGTCGTCGTCCTCGCTCATCTCTTCATCATCCTCGTCCTCGTCCAGCGCGGCGCCGTTCTTGCCCTCGCCCCTCTGCGCAGCCGCCGCCGAGGCCCGCTTCTTCTTCTTTGCCCGCACAAACTCCTTGCGGTCCTCGTCGCTCAGTGCGAGGTCGTCGACGCGCTCTGTCGCTGCCTCCCACACGGCAAGGGGCACGAGGCGGAACTTTGCGTCCTTGATCATGAGGTGCTTTAGGATCTGGGCCTGTGCGCGCATTGACCTTGTTATGAGCTTCACACAGAAGAGTAAATGAAAGGAGATGAAGCACTCACGTTCTCGGGCGACAGCTTCTGGCCGGCGGTGGAGACCTGGTAGGGCTGGAGGAGCGTCGGCACACCCCGCTTGAGCTCGGTGGGCATGCCCAGCTTGCGCAGCTGCGGCTCCAGCGGCGCCGGCAGCGTCTCGGGCGGGTCGAGCGCCATCTGGACAGGGCCTGCCGTCGGAAGTGTGTACTTGTTCGTCAGCATTTTATGTTCTTCTACCATTCTAACGTGCGAGAATTGCTCACCGGCTGGCAGGAGCACATCCTGTGTGGCTGTATGCCCACTCCTGGCAAAGTCCTCTCGTTCATGGTCCTTGCACCAGTCCAGCACCTCGTCGCGGGCGCTGTCGGTGAAGAGGAGGCCGACGCTGCCATTGAGCCGCGCCGTGAGGCCACTGAGGCCAGTCCGGAGCTCCTCCTCGGGCGTAGCACCCAGCGCACGCGCCACGACGCGGTTCTTGCCATAGATGATCTGCGAGCCGTTGCTCTTCCAGAGGGCGCGCACCTCGTGCAGGTGCGCCGCCCGCATGTTGCGGCAGCCAAAGAGGACCACTGTCGGGTGCGCCTGCGCCGCCTCGCGCACCACGTCCATATGCGACGCCTTGCGGTCCCGCGTGTTACGCTTCGGCACCCGCGTGAGTGCCACGACCTTGTTTCGCTTTGCTCGTGGCATCTTTCCGTCCTGTCTACCTATGGTCGATGAGAGAGTTGGACGAGCAGGCAGGGCCCAAATTAATCGAAACTTTTTTTTTTTTGGACAGAGAGCGCGCTTTCTTCCATTTTGCAAAATTTTGGATTAGGTAAGCTGGAGGACAGGAAGTCCTTTCTTGACAGATTCGTCTCAGAAATAAGGCTATTTAGAGCGCGTCTTGCGGATCTAAGCATGACCATGCGCACCGCAGAGCGCAAGTAGTAGCAGCTTCGGCGACGATGGCTTCCATGGCTCGCACACTGCCAAGACACACGGCGGGTACGACTGCGGCGTCGTGCGAGGTGTGCCGCACCCGCAAGAAGCGGTGCGACCGGCAGGTGCCGCGGTGCAGCTACTGCCGCTCGAGCGGGTCGGCGTGCGTCTACCGCTCCCCGCTCGTGCGTGGGCCCCGGCCGGGTTGGCAGCACGAGTGCCTTGTGCGCGCCCTCGATGCCGAAGAGGCGCTGCGACAGCTCCTGAGCATCGAAAATGTGAGGCAGGAGGTGGCCAAGCGGCGCGGCAGGTCATTCGGACCCAGGCGCTCTTCCTCCGAGAGAGCAAGTGGGGATCAGAAGAAGATCGCTGAGCGGTGGAAGCAGAGGCCGCTAGGCAGCACGTGGGACGAGGTGCTTCACTTTGCGCAGGAGCAGGAGCAGGAGCAGGAGCAGGAGCAGGAGCAGGAGCAGGAGCAGGAGCAGGAGCAGGAGCAGGAGCAGGAGCAGGAGCTACCGGACGAAGAGGAGACGGCGAGCGCCGATCTGGACTACGTATCCACGAAAGATGATCGACTTCCTGCCACACTTTCACACCAACGCCGAGCGGAAAGCCTCTCTATTGCTCTCCCACCGCCGCCCAGCAAACAGCTTCTGCACAGGCAAGGCACGGAGATCATTGAAGACGATGATTTCTGGTAGTGTGCATCATGCATTCGGCCCTAGGTGATTGTGTCAAACGCTTCTTCAAGCGACAGTCAATTCTATACCATGAATGCCAGAACCTACGGCGATGTCTGCCCAGTATCGCTTCGAGCATCGAAGACGCCTTGATTCTTCTATCTGTTTTTTACTTATTTACCACAGCCCCTCTTGCAATTCGGATCTCGCTCTCTGGCCTACCCTTGATCGAGCTCAGTGCAGCTGTTGTGATTCCTGCCAGAGAATTTGAAAGCCGTCATGCGCGATTTCAAGCGCGGTGAAAAGATTCACCGACGACGCCTGGTCGCGACTGAAGAGGAGCTCATGCAGTGAAGTCTGACTCTTCTCTGCAGGAAAGGCAGCCTCATCCCCCGATTGATCCTTGCTGTCCATGTGCGCATTTCGCTCACAGTGGTCCACGCCGTCTGCCGCTACAAGAGAAGGCGGAAACAGAAGAAGCAACGGCGATGATGGCGCCAGAAAGAACGCGAGATGCAGGTGGAGGCGGAGCAAACGCGAGGCCGTGCGAGCATTTCTCTTCGTCGCGCTGCGACGACGACGACGATGCGACGCCGCGGCCGAGCGCGCCCATGGACCGGTACGCCGAGCGAGGAAGCCTGCAGGCGGTGCCCGATGCAGCGGACGGAAGAGGCAATACTCAAACGTGGAGGAAGACACCGTCGACTCACTTTGTCGGCTCTTCGTCGGGCATCTATTTCAACAAGACGGTCCTCTCCTCGTTTGCGCCCTCGAGCAGCGCATCAACCACGGGCGCATTCGACCAGGTCTTTGTCCTGAGCGAGGACGACCCCAGCTCGAAACAAGCATCGAGAATAGAGGAGGCTGACACACGGCCTGAGTCGTTGCTGCCATTTCTGCGCGGGAATGCCGCACCTCTGCCGACACTCGGGCGAGGAGTGGCCTGCGCCAGGCGCTACTTTAAAACGTGGCACCACCTCCTGCCAATGATCGATGGCAAGGCCTTTCTCGCCGATCTGCGCTGTCTCCTGTCGCCTTTCGACACCCTCGATCGTGACTCCATAGACAGGCGCGCGCGCCTCAGCGCGTCCTACGCATACACAGCCACCGTCCGCGCCGTCTTGAGCCTGGCCCAGACCACAGTTGACGGGCCGAGCGACTGGTCATCGAGGGAACTAGCAGGGCTGTCCCTTACCAGCGCAGGACAGGTCCTGTGCTACCTGCCGCACCTCATCGCCGCCTCGCACCACGACAACCTCGGCGCGATCCAGGCCATGCTCGCCCTCGAGCTCTACCTCGTCGTCACCTTCCGCCTGCGCGCAGCCCACCAGCTCGGCGCCATCGCCGTCCGCCTGGGCCAGGACGCCGGCCTGCACCGCTGTCCGAGCCGGTACGCCATCTTTGCCAAGAACCCTGCGTCGATTGTGATGCGCAAGCGAATCTGGTTCTCCCTCGTCAGCCTCGACCGCTTCACGACGCAGCAGCTCGGCATGCCGTTTGCCGTCCACGAGGACGACTTTGACGTGTGTCCGATTTTGTCTGTCGAGAGGCATGCGCCGCCTCCTTCTTCGTCTTTGTCTTATCATTGGACGACCACCAAGACTCAGGACGATGAAGTCGAAGCGATGCGGCAGGAAGCCAAGTGCGCTACGCTGCAGTCCTTTGCCAGTCTGCAGCGCCTGAATGCGAGGTGCGCTGAAATCTTTAATCAGAACATCGATCATAGAAACGTCGATGGTAAGTCGCCAAGTCTCTTTTGGTAGCGAGGAGCCGTGGGCTGAGTGAAGAGTGTGCGACCAGACTCACAGGTAGCGTCGCTGCGCATTGATCTCGAGCGATGGTGGAATGAGCTGCGCTTGGGCGACGACGTCGACGACGTCGTCGATAAACAGCGACCAGCGCAGGGATCTGCTGTGGAAGAACAATCCTCCTTCTTTCGCGTGGGCTACCACCAGGCGCTGCTCAATCTCGAGAGACCCACATTGAGCCAACAGCCAGGGCTTCCTGCATTTCGGCTCGCAATGCAGTCGGCCATTCGGTCCGCGTGCGAGATTGTCAAGCAGCTCCACCGTGAGCTGTCTCCGGGTTCCGCTCCTTCTCGATCTGGCACCCCCTCGCTCGCGACGCGCTGGCCAGGCTTCGTCAGTGCTGCCTACCTCTCTGCGCTTGTGCTGGCCTATGCGGCACGCAACGACGAGTTCGATCGCGACCTGGCCACGCGCTACCTGAACGCTGCCGTCGCTATTCTAGATGCCTTTGGAAGACGATGGAAGGGGGCAAAGTCGCATGCCTCGGTGGCCAAGGTGCTCCTCGAGCATGTTGGGACCTGGTCTGGATCAGCATCTTCTAGGGCCAGGAAGAGGCCGTTGTCCGCGGCGGAGGTAAAAGAACAAGAGGATCAGAAGAGCGAACACAGAAAGACACGAAAGCGAGAGGCGGGAGAGAAGCAGGCCGGCTTAGTCGCGAGACGGCGGCAAACAGCTGCAAAAGCTACTGCGGCAGCAGTGGGGCCATCTCTTGTGTCGCCACCTGCGGTACCATCAGCAGCAGCACCAGCAGCACCAGCAGCAGTGGCAGCAACAGATGCAATAAAAGATACACCGACAGAATCACAAATGCCGGCACATGGTGACGGCGATGCGCCCCCTTCTCTCTACCTTCACCCCGAGCACCAGCATCTCGATTGTTCTCTTAATAGCAACACAAGCAGCGCCTCAACGACCTTCGATCACGCAACTCTTCTAATTCCCAGCTCCCTTTTTCCCGAACCGTCACAAATGCAGGGCGGAGCAGCAAACGACTTCGCCTTGGATCCTTTCTCATACCCTGACGCTTCTTCCCTTTTCGCCTGCCTTGACACTTCTGACCCGTCCTGGGACGCTCTTCTGGCGCAGGCGACGCAGTTCTTGTCTCCTTTGTCAGAGTAGACGAACTATATCTACCACTTGTTCCTGCGTGCGGATAATAGAATCTTTTCAGCAGGGGCGCCATTGAGCAGGCAAAAAGACTTTATCTGCGGTGAAAGGCGTGTACAGTCTCCCTTGTTTCTCTGAGTGGGTGGTGTACCAACGTGATCTACCTGCTTCTGCTCGGCCCTTGTCGCAGCGTTCTCCACGCCCTGCTCGCCACCAAAGTTGCAAAATTGGAACAGTGCTGGTGTCACGCTCACGACGCGCGACAATGTAAAAACCACGTGCTGCCTGTCAAAAGAAAAGTGGGATCTCGAAATCCGAGTCGCAAGCTGAGCTTCGACCATCACCTCCAATCGTCCTCTTTCATTTGGTCATTCCGCCCCTGTCGTCCGAGAAGTTTTTGCTCGCCATTGGACAATCAGGGCGGCATACCCCTTCCTTCTTCTAAGCTATTCCTTCTTCCTCCCTCCTATTCCCCTGCTCTGCCCTTTTTGTCTCTGCGCCTTTGTTGTGCTTCCTACCTTTTTCTCAGCAATTTGCAGCCTTCTCTTTGCACCCCACCGGACACCTCTTCCCCCGTAAAAAGAGCTGAAGTTCTTTACTCTTGCCCAACATGGCGTCGGCTTCCGTCTACTACCGCTTCAAGTCCCAAAAGGAGCCGTCGCGCATCACCTTTGACGGCACGGGCATCAGCGTCTGGGACCTCAAGCGCGAAATCATCCTGCAGAACAAGATGGGAAAGGGCATCGACTTTGACCTGGCCGTGTACAATCAGGACACTGAAGATGGTGGGTATCTGGTGTGTCTACAGGGGGACATGGGCTCATGCTGACCTTCTGTGCCCGACAGAGTACAAGGACGACAACTTCTTCATCCCAAGGTCGTCGCAGGTCATAGTCCGCCGGTTGCCACCCTCGAAACCGGGCCGGGGCACCGCGGCCAACTACATCGCCGATCTCCAGGCAGCCGCTGCGGCCAATGCGATGGCGGCAGATGTCAGAGCGGCGGGCATTCCTGCTGGCGCACCGGGAGCAGCTGCAGGCAGCGCTGGGCCCATGGACCGGCGAGGGCCGATGTACCGGGGCCAGATGAGCATGCGTTTCGACGGCAGAGATGCCAGCGTTTCGGCCACACCAGGGCCGTCGTCTGCAGCACCAGCGCCCGTTCAGGCGCTGTCGACGGACCAGGATGGAGATGAGGCGGCCAGGATTGCGGCCATGTTCCAGGCCACGACGGAGCAGTGGGACGAGACGCAGGAGCGCATGGCTCACGCCACCTATCGCGAGCGCGGCGGCGCTCCTCGAAGAGGCGGTCCGCCTCGACCGATGACTGGCCAGCACCACGCTGCCGCCCAACACCAGGTCTCGGACCGCCCCCCGCCGATCGGCTACACCTGCTTTCGCTGCTACAAAAAGGGCCACTGGATCCATGACTGCCCGACCAATGACGACCGCGAGTTTGACAACAAGCCCCGGCTGAAGCGGACGACGGGCATTCCCAAGAGCATGCTCAAGACCGTCGAGGCGCCCACCGATGAGATGCGCAGCCAAGGCCTGATGATTACCCCCGATGGAAGCTACGTCATTGCTCAGGTCGATGAGGCCGAGTGGGAGCGGAATAGAGCCCAGGCAAAGGTCCTGACGCGTTCCGACGTGTACCAGAGCGTGCCCTCGGACTCATCGTTGGCTTGTCCGCTCTGCTCCAAGGTGATTCGGGATGCCGTCAAGACGCCATGCTGCTCGACGACGTTTTGCGAAGAGTGCATCCAGACGCACCTCCTGGACAATGACTTTACGTGCGCAGAGTGCGAGAAGCGCATCGCTGACCTTGGCGAGCTGCAGAGGGACGACGAGAAGCGGAAGGCGGTGCGGGAGTACATCGACAGCGAGATTGAGAAGAGTGAGAGGAAAGCCGAAGACATGGAGCGGGAGAAGGAGGAAAAGGAAAACGGCGGGGTCGCCAAGAGCGAGGAGGAGGGCAATGGTGTCGATGGCGGAGATCAAGATGAGCAGGACGCTGGAAAGGAGGGGACGGACGGCGAGGTCAAGAAGGAAGATGGCGAAGAGGACAAGAAACCGGTGCAGCCCCACGGCCTTCCGCAGAAGCCGGCCGAGGCGAGCATGGGACAATCGAGCGAGAACAACGAGGGCGAGGATGAAGGAAACAGCCAGGGCGACGACAAGGCGCAGCAACAGTGGAATCCGAGGGCTGCTCAGCAGATCATGATGATGCTCATGAACCCTCAACTGCCGCCACCGATGCGCATGCAGCTCCAGATGCAGCTCCAGATCATGCGCGCACAATTCCTTCAGGTCACGGGCACCAACAACCAAGGCGCCAAGAAGGAGCAGGGGGCCATGTCGAACGGGAACGGTGGTGGCAATCCGTTTGCAGGTCAGCACATGGGCGGCTTCGGTGCTATGGGTATGCCACCCATGCCTATGGGCGGCATGGGGATGGGAATGGGCATGATGGGGATGGGCATGAACGGTATGAACGGCATGGGTGGCATGGGCATGGGTGGCATGAACCCTTGGGCTTCGTTCCAGCAGGCCAATGCCAATGGGAATGGCGGGCAGGGACATTTCAATCCTCGAGTGCCCCCTCCCACAAACGAGGAGAGCGCCTACATGCGCCTGCCTGTCAATCAAAAGTGAGTGACCATGCTCTTCTGCAGCACCACGTTCGGGAGAAGAGGAACATACTGACATCTCGTTGTTTCTCAGCAAACGAGTCCAGGGTCAGAAGAGGGAGCGGCCCACGGACTTTTTGGAACTGGGCGCATCCGACAAGCAACCTCGGTATTAGTTGACTCCCTCTCTCGCATCTGTACTTGTATCCAGGACTCTTTGTGTCATCATCAGATGGACAGACTTGGTCAATATTGCATCTTCAATCGTTCTTCACGACCTCTCCCGTTGTGACCGTGCTCACTTGCGTTCTCGTCGATTCATCATCTAACGTTGATCATCATTATTGGATTGGATCTGAGCTGAACGAAGAGGGAGGGTGCGATTTGTACATGATGTTTCTTGTGTGGATGAAGATGAGAAGAGGGGTAATTGAAAAATTTGACAAAGTGACCGAGACATGCCGTGAAACGTGGACTGATGATATGAGAATTGGGGCAGACGAGAGAGAGAGAGTCTGAGTGTGTCTCTCGATTGATGCGAGGGTGATGGGGAGGCGAGCCAGCTACAGTTCCTCTTCCTGATCCATGGGTCGAGAATGAAGGTGGTGCTGGGTCGGAGGCTGGTGTTGGTGATGCTGGGCTGTTGAATAGCCAAACGAGGAGGAGGAAGAGCCACGATGCACGCCGACGAGCCAGCCAACCTCGTGCTCGAGTCGGCTCTTGAGCGCATTCAGCGTCGACCGCATCGCCTTGGCCGGATCGTCCACAGAGGCTTCTGCGTCGCCCTGCTGCGGCGTCACGAGCGCGTTGAGCGACCCGATCCATCCTCGCACCATTTCAGCGCCAAACATCTTGCCCTCTTCGTTGACGGCTTTGGCCACTCGCTCAAAAAGCCGCGTCCACTGCAAGGCCAGTTGGGGAAGGAGCTGATTGACGATGCTGTTCGGCGAGGAAATGGCCATGGTGTGGGTAGGCAGCATCTGGCTCAGTTGCTTGACCGCCTCGCAGCTGCCAATGCGGAACAATGGCCCGGGCTGCTGCCGGTCGAGGGCAAACATCGAAGCCGTTCTTGGAACGGCCGGTAATGCTTCAAGAATGCGAAGCGCCCTGACGGTGACGAGATGAAGAAAGTTGAAGGTGGTCGAGACATGCGGCCGCTCCCGCTTGCTCGATCCTTCTCCCGTTGATGACGGTGTCGAGGGCAGGTCTTCGTCGACAAAGAGGGGAAGAAAGCCCTGAGCGGTGTGGACAAATTCGGCCACAGGGCTCCTGAGCCGTCCCCAAGCGAACTCGGCTCGGACCTCATGCTGGCCCGCACTCGGCAAGGCCGCTCTGATGGCCTTCTCTGCCTCGTCGAGCGCCGGCTCGATCGAGTCGAGCGATGGCGAGGGCAGAAGCGAGACGATCTGGTCCCTGAGCCCGGGATCGGAGCTGCTTTGAAGGAGCTTGTGGAAGAGAGATAAGAGCGATGGCTTGTCCAGGGTGGCTGTATGACGTCGACAGTCAGCATGGTGCGCTCATTTGCAGCACAGTGCAAACATAAACTCACCAAGAATTCGGCCAACATCCACACGATCGGCCATCGAAGTCTGTCTGCCGGTACCGCTTTCGCTCGGCGCAGATTTGCTTGAGGTGGTGCTGCTGGCTGGGAGAGACGGACTTTGGCGTGTCGCTCCCTCGTCGAGGCTCATGAGACCGACAGCGCCAAGACCAGCTCGCATGCGCTTGGGAAGTGTCTGCCGGGAGCTGGCCATGGGTCGGTTCGACAGCGGGCTCCCGCTCTTCTCGCGCGAGGGTCCCGCCGTATCCATCTCACTGTCGCTATCTCCATCGTCATCGTCCCGCCGCCGCTTGGCCTCCGATCGTCTCGATGTGCTGGGCACAGACTGGTAGGCTGGCGAGGCAAAGCGTGCTGAAGAGGGCGAGAAGTGAGAGGTCGGCGTAGCCGTCGATGGTTGACCCCATTGCTGGTGCAGCGCAGAAGATTGCGGCGTCGAGGAGCCAGACGAGCCAAAGCCAAAACCGAAGCTCAGCGGTGTTGGTCCATGGTGGACGGGCGTCGCCTGAAAGGGGATCTGGTGAGATGCTTGCGTGTTTGGCGCCAGGGACGTAGAAGAATACGAGGATGAGGAGCCGTCAGGCTGGAGGTGGGTGGCTGGGGAGTCGTGCGAAGCGTGGCGGTGGAGCGAGGAGGGGGTCGGTGGGGTAGAAGCCAGTGGAGGCATGGCGATGATCGGTGATCCGTAGTGGTATACCATCGTCTGCTGTCGTAGACGGCACAAGGTAACCTCAGGCGAGAGGGGCGGCCGACGATGAGCTGGCCCGCCTCTCGTTGGGAGTGCAGACTGACTGGTTGGTGGTGAGGGAGCCGCTTGGGTTTACAGGGCGCGCGGCTCCAGGCAAAAAATTCAGAGCAACACGTGAAATTCAGATGCTCGGCTCCTCGCACGGTCATTGGCCTTTGTCAGGACCAGTCATGGCAATGCTAATGGTAATAGTGGTACATATGAGTTGGTTGTTCCTGGCCCTATCGTGGCCCCTGCTGTCTGTCCACCTCGTCCCATCCTCGCGTATGATAACTGTTGGTGTACTTGTACGGGTCCCATGCGCCACTGCGTGTGATGTCTGTGTGAAACAAGTCGTCCCGTGAGTCCGAAAGACTGGTGTATGCGCGCTGATTAAGCTCCATGTCTGGGAGCGGGTGGCCCTTGAAGACGTAAATGCCGTGGTGAGCAAGCGAGTCCATCTTGAGGCGCCAACAAGGACCTACGTTGTAGATGGGCAGCCTGTAGCTGTCGAAGAGCGCTGTCCGATAGTTGACCCATCGCCTGACTCTCTTCCCCTCGTCCTCCTCGTCGCTAATTGTAATCTCCCCTTCCTCTTTCACTTCACCCTTTGGAATGACGTCCCTTTCCTCCTTTGCTCCTTCCTGCGATGCATCACCCACTCCGTTTGCGCCTTTGGGCTCTGCTTCTCGCTTCGCCTCTATTCCCTTCGCCTCCACCGTGGTTTCGCTCAGCTGTGGGATATCCTCGAATCCCTGTAGTGGCCGCGCCTCGATCCAAGCGCTGTCCCCCTCGTACAGTGCCCACAACCTCTTCAGCGGATTGGTACCGTCGCTCGAGGCCCAGCCCGGCGGGTAGCCCCAGCGGAGCATCATGTATAGAAACGGCAGCTCGTCGCGCTCGGCATCGACGACTCCGAGCGCCCGCTGGAGCTCCGTGCTCGCCATGCCGGGCTGGAACGTGTCGAGCCATCGTAGACGCTCTGTCCGCCAGCGCTCTAGGAGGTAGAAGCGCTCGGCAAAGTCGCGCGGCGGCTGGCCGTACGATCTTGTTGCTCGCGCGTCCGCTGCAGCGATTCTTGTTGGCCCGCCTACTGCCGGGTTGCTCTTGTTGTCGTCATCGTCGTTGCCATCGTCGTCGTCGGGGGTGGCGGGCCGGCGCGCAGCCTCGAAAAAGGCACGATTCTTGCGAATCGTCGCCTGGTGGAGCGGGCGCGGACAGGCGCGCAAGCTGTGCTCGAGCGACTCGCAATTGAAGCAGCCAGACTGCGTCGATGGCTCAGCCGCCGCCGCCGCCGCCGCCGTCGCCGAAGAAGCTGCGCCGAGCAGCGAGGAGCCGCACGGGCGCTCAAAGAGGTGGTAGGCTGCTGCCTCGAGCGACTGGTCTGGGTCAAAGTACGCCGCATCGGTGGGGTTGGCGTCGACGATGAACGATACCTCCTCGCCTTCTTCCTCGTCCGAGCTCATATCCATGTCGACCACACCATCCGACTCGCACGCTTCGTCAATGCCCCGGCCACCCTTGCTCTCGCCCTTAGCCTCGCCCTCACCCCCGCCACGGCCGTGCCCCTCGCCATGGCGTCGTTGCATTGGTACGTCTCCCTCAAGGTGCAAGGACCATCGCGCTGAGGCAAGAAAGAAGACACAAGTGGAGGGGCGACTGCGCTTTGTTTTTAGACTGCCTTGAGCGCATATTCTGAGACGTGAACGGATCTCTAGGCGCGAGCAGACGACGAACAATCAAGCCCCCTTTCCTCATTCTCTCGACACGCAAGTTGTTCAGACCCCATCTATGTCTGTATTGTATGAATGATGATCTACATTGTCCCATTGTGATTGCAGCTTGCATGCATCAGTCGCTGTCCTCCTCTTGTGCCCCCTCGTCGTCGTCGTCTTCCTCCTCTTCCTCCTCTTCATCGTCCTCCTCGTCCTCATCCTCTTCCTCCAGCACAAACTTCTCGTTCTTGGCACTCGTGTCGGGCAGCACGACGACACCAGCCCCAACATCGCAGTCGCGCAAATTGCACCGTGCGCCCACACTGGCGCCGTTGCACACAATGACATTTTCCAGCTTGGCGCCCTCGCCCACGGAGCAGCCGTCGACGAGGATGGAGCTGCTGATGCGCGCGTTGCGGCCCACCTCGACGCGCGCACCCACGACGGACCGCTTGATGCTTGCGCGGTCCAACAGGCGGGCCTGAGGCGCGACGAGCGAGTCCGGCGAGACCTGCGCCGTGTCGGACGACGAGGCGGCGGCAGACCCAGCAGTCGAGCTCGGACCGTCATCGGCAGATGGAGGTGCGAGTACCTGGGGAATGGCAAAGGTCGAAGATGCCGCCGTCGTCGCAGAAGAGGAAAGGGCCTTGAGGAGCTGCAAGTTCATCACAATCAGTCTGTGCTGACAATTACACAGCTCACTCGCTCGCTCAGCGCTCACTCACCCATCGGTTGCACTCGAGGAACGTGGGGATGGTGTTTGCCCGCGCAACGAACCGGGGCAGGCCCGTCTCTGGATCGACATCGGCCACTGCTGACGGATCTGCTCCCGGCGCCGTGCTCCCACGCGCGCCGCCGCCGAGCTTCGTCACGACGGCATAGCACCGCACCTTGCCCTCGGCAGCGGGCGCCGACAGCGTCGTGCTCCGCTTGATCGACTCGTGCCGTAGCGTCTGGCTGCCCTGCCTCGCCAGCGTCTCGAGGTCCACCACATCGTCGCCGCGTCTCGCCTGGGCCTCGGCGTTGTTGTTGTCGTCGTCGTCGTCGTCGTCGTCGCTGGCCAGGGCGCCGATGCCGGCCTTTTCAGCAAAGCCCTTCATCCACGAAGCCTTGGCAAGCAGCGGGACGACGTGCTCGCGCAGGCTCGTCAGCTCGCGCCGCGCCTCGAGCAGCGGCAGCACCTGGTGGCGATTGAGGATGTATGCGTGGGCATCGAGCAGGCCCGTCGAGAGGCGCAGGTGTGGGTGGCGCGCCAGGAGCGAGTTGCGCAGCGAGACATCCATCGTCGCGTCGGGCTCGTCCTCGAGCAGCACCAGCGCCTGGCCCGCGGCTGCTTTGGCTGTGTCTGTGTCTGCAGGCACGAAGCCGGCGAGGAGCCGCGGTGGCCCGTCCTTTTCGCGCTCCTTGCCCGTCCCTTCGCCGGCATTGCGCTCGTAGAGGGCACAGCAGAGCGTCGGCACGCCCTGGGCGCTGGCCTGCGCCGACACATACGCATCGATGAGCGTTCGCAGCGGGAGTGACGGGCTCAGCAGGTCCACGGGCAGCACCAGGGGGTCGGCCTGGGGTAAGCTAATAGGTCAGTGGGTTGTCATCAGAAGGAGAAAAGACCAACACGCACCTCGAGCCTGCCGATAGTGTCGAGCCACCGCAGTAGCTCTGCGGTGCCGGGCACGGCTGTCCGCGGAAAGGGTCTTCTCCTCGTTGTCGATGAAGACTCCTCCTTTGCATCGTCGGTCGACGATGCCTGTGCGAGCGCGCCGTCGAAGGGCCCCAACGGCAAGAGCTCGACCCTGATGGCAGCGCTGTCCACCGCCTGGCCCGACGGCACCTTGCCCTTTGCGAGCCCTTCCCAGACGTAGATGTTGCTCCCCGACGCCGCAGTCGCCCGCTCTTCCTTTTTCTTTTTTCCCTCCATCGACGACGGGACAGGCGGCGGCACGAGGCGGACGCCGGCGAGGGCGCGCGAGATGGCGCCGTGGTGCGCGCTGGGCGCCAGCACAATGGCGTGCGAGAAGCCGGCGCTGAGCACATTCTGGAGCGCATACGCAATCAGTGGCCGGTTCGCTAGGGGTACAAGGGCCTTTGGCAGCGGTGCGGCCCGGTTCTTTTGCGAGGCATCGGCTGACGCCGCGGAGCCTTCGACGCCGCCGCCGTTGCCCGTTCCACTACCACTGCCACTGCCACTGCCACTGGCGATGCCGCTGCCATTGGGCACCCGGATGGGACGGATGGGAAGCGACCCCTCGCAGATCGGATAAAGGTTTGACCCATGGCCGCAGATGATGACGGGCACGAGCGGTGCAGGCATCGTCCTCGTCTTTACTTCTGTCTGTCTTGGTTGTGGTTTCTTCTGTCCTCTAGCTCTCTCTCTCTCTCGGCGAGTCTTGTTCAGATGCCTCGAGAGTGTTGCAAAAAGTCAAGGACCGAGTCTTCTCAAACACGTGTTGGCTCCTCTTTTTTTCTCTGGCTCAGAGCGTAAATTCTTGAAATTCCAAAATTTTGGTTCCAGGAAGCCTCCGTCGTTTGTCGTTGTTCTCTCACTAGACACATCTTCTCGTCGTCGGACGACGGAATCTTGAGAGGAAGCGAATAATGGCAACGCCACGACAGCGCCGCAAAGCGCGGTCAGGCACGCACGCAGGGCCCTCGGCGCGCACGAAGCGGTCGATGCAGAAGCGCCTCGTGCGCGCGCCCGAGCTCAAGGGCGCCGATGTGCTCAAGAAGAATTGGGACCCCAAGCGGACGCTGCGCCAGAACTACGAGCGGCTCGGCCTCGTCGGCGACTTGCGCCTCAACGATGCCGGCGGCGCCGGTGGTAGTGGCAGTGGGATCAAGAGGAAAGAAAGGCCGGCGGACCAGATTCCGAGGAGCAAGCGCGGGGCGCTGGGGAGCACAATGGCGAGGATTGTGCGCGATGAGGAGGGCAATGTCGTCGATGTCGTCGAGGACCGGCCGCGGCGGGCGCAGACTGTCTGGGGCCAGGCGTTGAACAGCGACGAGGAAGACGAAGACGAGGATGAAGAGGATGAAGAGGATGGAGAGGATGGAGAGGACGGTCGAGACGAGGAAAGGGAGGAGGCCGAGGAAGAAGAGGAAGAAGACGAGGGCCAGGTGGTCAAGAAGCTGCAGGAGCTGGCCGACGCAAAGACGCCCGTTCCCCGCTTCACGTCCGTCGCAGAGCGCACCTGGCTCCAGCGCCTCGTCGACAAGTTCGGCGACGACGTCGAGCAGATGGCGCGCGACAAGACGGACAATGTGTGGCAAAAGACTGCCGGTGACATCAAAAAGGCGTGAGTAGAGGTACCCATCTGGTTGTGGACTGGCGAACTGATCTTGGATTTCTTCATCCCAGCATCCGCAAGGCGGGCGGCATAGAGGCACTCAAGGCGTCTTGAGCGAGGGGAAAGCCATGTGATGAGGTTGATTCATTGTAATACTATCTGCTGCTTGTCTGTTATTGCTACAATTGTGCCTTCTTCATCAGAGCGATGCCGAGGCCTGCTTCTGCCTCAGCTGTCCTATCTCATCCTCGAGATTCTTGCGCAGTTCTCGCAGACGCTTCAGGTCTGCCTTGATCAATGTAGGAGATTTGTTGACCTTGCCGTTGCTCCCATCGCTGCCTTGTGGGGCCGCCGAGGCAGCGCCGTTGAGACCGACGTGTGCACCGTTGGCGACCGCGGCGACGGTGCCATTCTTTGGCCTTTGGAACACCTCTGGCTCTCCGTAGTCGAGCTCGCCGTCGCCGAGGTCCTTTTGGACCTCTTCTCGCACGACACTGCCAGTGAAGCTCGTCGGCAGGCCCATCTTTGCCATGGCATCAGCCGCGACAACGGCTGCCCGTGGAGGTGGTGGCGGCGGCGGCTGCAGCGGCAGAGCTACGACTGCCTCCTGACCGTTCCAGTTGGGCGTCTTTCCAAACTGCATCGGCAGATCCGGATGCAGCTGTGCAGGCTCGTCCACTGCAACGTCGTCGTCGTCTTCCTCGCCCTTCTTCTCCCGCGCGAGCTGGGCGCGTCCCATGGCAACAAATTGCTTGTATGCGTCACTGTACATGCTCGCTGCGACATTGACCTCTTTGTCTTGCGCTTCTCCTCCAACGTCGCCCACTTCGGCGTTGAGAACAGTGCGGAGATAAAGGTCCTGGCAGTTGACACTAGTCAAGCGGACGCCTGCTGGCACGGGCTCGTTGCGCTGCGAGGGACAGGGTACTTGCTCAAACTTCTGCTTTGAGACGACCACCGCCACGTCCTTCTTGGTCGCCGGCTTTTCCTTGGGCCCTTTTGCTTCGATAGCCTCGTCCTCGTCATCTGCTTCTGATTCAGACTCTGACTCGGACTCGGACTCAGAGTCCGAGTCCGAGTCCGAGTGGTGCGATGGAGCCTTTGGTGGGGGTACGATACCAAAGCTGCCCCCACCAGGCGGCAGGAGGTGCTCGTCGAGGTGCTGCCATCCATTCCCCTGAGGAGCAGGTCGACTGTGCTGTGTCCTCGTTGCCGCCGCTGCCGCCGCCTTCTTGTCCACCATCCAGCCCCTGGCTGTATCGTCCTCATCGACCTCCTCGCCCCTCTGCCTCTTCTCTGCCCTCTCCTTTGCCTCGGCAAAAGTGACCTCCCGCTCTTCCGCCCTGCGCTTCAGCAGCTTCTCCCGCTTCGCTCGGTTTGCTCGCTTCGTGCGAGATGTGCCGTTGCCTGGCGCGACCCAGCCGCCAGGAGGTGTGTCAAGGCGCTGTCGCGTCGATGTATTTGCGTGGCTCCCGTGATTTGTACCATTTTCTTTCCCGGTGAGCCGTGGCTCTTGCTTGCTTGACTCTTCGTCAGACGATGATGATTCGCTCGAGGAGTCGCCTGACGATTCGCTTGAGTCGCTCGATGAGGACGATGAGGATGAAGAGGACGCTTCGCTCGAGGAAGAAGACGACTCCGACTCTGACGACGAATCGTCTGAGACAGATGACGCCGACGAGGAGCGGGCGATTGATGCCACTGTGACTGCGTCTATGTTTGATGTCGAGGCGGCCGCCTTTTGCCTCTGGGCCATCTGCCGTCTGCGCTCCTCGAACGCAGTCATCGCTGCGGCTGCGCCACCACCTGCTGCACTGGGAGCTGACAAGGGCATCATCGAGAGGCCTGGAAGAGCAGATACTCCCGTCGGTGGCCTGGGAAAGTCATCTTCCTCGTCCTCTTGTGCGTCAAGGCGCTGTTTCTTCTTGGCTGGCTTGTCCATGGCGATCTCGCTCTTCATCAGAGCAGCGATCCTGGCCGCTTGAGCCATGAGGGGCTTCTCCTCGTCCCCGCCTTCATCTCCGTCTCCGCTCTCTGCACTGCCCAGCTGGTCACTCATTTCTCCGTCGCCATTCTCCTCTTTGGCAGCATGCTTGAGACGCCTTCGCTGCCGGTTCCTCTTCTGCGTCCGCCGGCTCCCTTCGCCGCACGAGCTTGGTTCCTGTGAGCCTAAAGACGAGCGCTGCCTTTCCCCTTGCTCCGACGCTGTCACCCTGCAAATGATTGCCGGATCCCTGGTCAGTTTCTTCAGCATTCGTCAAGAAGGCAGCGCAGACCGGACTCACTCCACGATGTCGTCGTCGCGCAGCACATCGCCCACGACGCCGTCGTCGACGATCTCGTAGCCCTGCAGGAGCAAGGTGATATCTTCTGTCCGCAGCTCTCGATCGCCTCCAGGGAAACCGCCGATGATGCTTGCGATTCGCGCCTTGAGCGACGCGATCGGCGCGCTGGGCACACACGGCAGCAGGAACTGGCGGCGCGGAGCAGCAGCAGGAGAGCCGTACCCCGTCGTGGTCGCGATGCGCAGCCGTAGCGGCTGCTCGCGCGTCGCATAGTCTGTCGAGAAGGACATGCCCCGGGCCAGCGCCGACGTCGACTGCTCCTGGCTGCTGCGAGACGGACCAGCAACGGGCCATCCTGGCGAGGCCGTCATCCCCTCGTTCTCTGGTGACCTAGCAAGGTAAAAAACCCAAAAAGAAAGTCGAAATAAAAAGGACGAAGATGCAAGACTGACTGGGAAAAAAATCCAAAGGTGGAGCAACACGTGACGGATCGCGTTTGTGGAATTTCAGAGACAGTGAGCGTTTGGTGTTGATCTCGCCACGCTCTATCTCTTTAACATCGATATCCGCCGACAGGACTAGCTACTTTGCCTTCGCATCCAAGGACAGGACACAGGGCATGCCGGCCAAGCAGGAGGAGCGCATCGCGCTGACCTCTGCACGGGACCTCCATGCCTACTTTGCCCAGATTGGCGCGTCGCTGCAGGAGCCCGAGACCGAGGACTCGTGGCAGCGCCTCGACAGGGCCCTCGCCCGCCTCGAGGTCGTGACCAAGTCGGGCGGATACAAGTACGAGGACTTTGTTGTGCTGTTCAAGGGCATTGCAAACCCCATCATCAGCTCGGTGAGTTCTCTTCTAGTCTGAAATGGTCATCAAATGCACTGACCCCAGCAAACAAAGCTGCTCTCGGAGAGGACCAAGCTCTCGGGCACGGCGGCCGACGTCGTCAACTCGGTGGCCCCGCGTCTGGCCGAGCGCTTCGAGAGCCTCGTGCCCATCTTTGTCCCCACGCTGCTCCAGATCTGTGCGCGCACCAACAAGGTTGCGCTGGCACGGGCGAAAAAATGCCTGCTGCTCATCGCAAAGCACTGCCGCCTGCCCTCGCTGCTGCCGCTCTTGCGCGAAGGGGCCAGGGACAAGGCACAGACGCTGCGCATCGTCGCAGTCGAGTGTACGCTACTGCTGCTCGAGTCTCAGGAGAGCAAGGAGAGAATCGGGAAGCGCGTCGCCGATGTCGAGACGATCATCAGGGGCGCTGCGACAGACAGCAACCCAGAGGTGCGCCAGTGGAGCAAAAAGGTCTTTGAGCTGTACGTGGCCCGGTGGCCAGAACGTGTGGAGCAGTGAGTGGTGACCGATGTGCTTGGAGTAGGAGCCTCACTGGCTGACTTCGGCGGCAGACTCACGGCCGCATTTACACCTACGATTCGCCGGTACCTTTCCCTGCCCAAGACTGGGCCATACAAGCCGCCGGCCTCGTTCTTCAGTGTGGAAGCTGGCAAAGAGGAGGCTGTGACGATTATGGAGCCTCGGGCGAGGCCAGCGGAAGTCGCATCGAGCAAAGTGGCAGTCAAGCCAGCAAGAGTGCGGCTTGCACCTCCATCCTCGTCCCACGATGAGCCTGTCGCAGCGCGGAGCTCAAAGGCAATCGCCGAAGTGCAGCCCTCGTCGTCCTCTTTGCGCTCTGCTCCGCATGCACCACTGTCCTCGTCGGCCAGCTCGACCGCGTCGCGTCCGCTCGCAGCCACTGCGCACGTCAAGACGAGCTTCTCGGTCGCCTCGGGGCTCAATGTAGCCTCACTGACCACTGCCTTTACGATGCCCCACGCGAGGGCCAACAGCCACACGGCGCCGCACGACTCGATGCGCAGCGCCGTAGCCTCGGTGCCGGGGCAGCGGGAGCGACCGCGCGTGGTGCAGACAAAGAGCTCGTCGTCATCGAGCGACCCTCGTTCTTGCGAGGATCATGCGATGGGAAGCGAGCATGCACGAATGACGATGGCAGACGAGGAGAAGCAGCGACGAAGGCGAGAGCGGCGAGAGGCTGCTGCTGCTGCTGCTGCTGCGACAGAAACAGAGTCGAGAGAGACAGCCGAAGAGGAACCTCGAGAGAGCAGACCGCGGCATCCGAGCGACAGCGTTGCCGCTCGTCTGGCAAAGGAGCAAGCAGAGATGCGCCAGCGATGGGCACAGCACACCTCGTCGACGACGCCGATGCCAAGCAGCAGCAGAGCGGACAGTATGCTGCCTCATTCGAGTCTGAGCCCGACGGTCACGTTCTCGGTCGCGACGGCCAAGAAGAGCGCGCATAAAAAGGCCGCCAGGGTCCTCATTGCTGGTCCCCCGCCGTCCAGCAGCGCTCCTCATACGATTCGACGGCCCGAACCGGCGCTCCAGCAGCAGCAGCAGCAGCAGCAGCAGCAGCAAGTCGACGATGAGGACCTTGAAAATCGACCGATTCCAATGCTCAAGTTTGACAATGTCGATGTGCCTATGCAGACAGCGGCAAAGAAGCCCGATCAACAGGCCGATGTGTTCGGGACGAGACCGGCAGCAGCCTCGATTGCGAGTCGCAAGCCGCTGACGGCATTGACCAAGCGCAGGGTCAGCTCGACGGCAAAGAAGATGGGCGCGCGGCAGCGATTGCTGGGTCCGTCGGCCAAGATTGTTGCGGGCAAGCGGGCAGCGCCGCTGGCTGCGCTCAGAGAGAAGGCGGTGGCAGCCAAGAAACGAGAGGGTGCGGCAGGATCGTTATCATCCGCTGGCCCTGTTGCGACTAGCGCGCGTGCTGAGGCTGGGCAAGTGCAAACGCAGTCATCCAGCGCAACTCAGATTCCGCACGCTGCTGCTGCTGCCTCCTCAAAGGCACCGGCCAAGTCATCAGCTTCGACAACGGCGGCATCTCCAAACAAGCGTCCGGTTGTCGAGAGGAAAGCGCCCATCAGTGCAGCTGCCGCGCAGACCGCATCTGGTGCGACGAGGCCAGTCTCTCGCACCGTCCCGTCCTCGTCGGCAGCCAGCAGCAGCAGCAGCAGCAGTGCTGCAAGTGCCCACGTCACGCGCAAACCTCCTTCTGGAACGGCTGCTACAACAACAAGAGCTGCAGCAGTGAAGAAAGTCGCTCCTTCGTCGGTACCATCAACACGAGGGCCCGCACCTCCGCATGAAGCCGCTCCGGCTCCTCGGGCGGCCTTCTCGACTGCAGCACCGCGCGCTGCGACGGCGACTTCTGGCCCAAGCAAGGCCATCACCGCTCGCATGCGGCCGCCCCTTTCAAATACAGTCAAGCCGGCATCCCGGCCAGGCCCGCCATCTTCGGCAACGGGTACAGCCTCCGCCACGGCGGGTGTCGCGCGCAAAGTTTCGGCGGGAACGACGAGCAGCCGCCTCATGCAGGGCACGGCTTCTTCCAATGCGAGAGCCAAGGCGCCCGTGCCGGCTGCAGCGGTCGTCAGGAAAGTGGTCAAGAGCAACGTGAGCCAGCCGGTGGTAGGTGCGAGTGCGAATGCAAGTGGGCCCGAGGCGAAGGGAGCCGAAGCCCCTGTGGCTGCCGTTGAAGTGAAGGAGTCGAAGAGGGTGGAGGAGGAAGTTCTGGAGAGTGAGGAGATCGACGTGTCGGTCGATCAGGATGGAGAGCAGGACGAGCAGGAGGAAAAGACAAAGTCGAGTGAGGTCAAGACCAATGAGCAGATCCTTAGTGAGCCAACTGCGCAACAAGAGACAAAGGCAGCGCTCGACGTCCAGCTGCCGGAAAAGGACAAAGAGAGCCCCTCACCTGCCACGGTAGAGAATGCCGAGAAAACGTCAGTAGGAACCGACGAGGAGCAACGCCACACGGGCAAGGGTACCCACGAAGAGATTGCAGAGATTCACGAGGAAGAAGCCAGTTCCTCGGGCGACGAGAAGCCCTCAGGAGAGCAAGAAAGCACGCCGGTCTCTGAGAAGCTCACTGAGCCTGGCGAAGACACGGTTGGACCCCATCCCTCCGATGACATCTGTCCAAATCCTGCCGACGTCACTGCTGGACCATCAGACGAGGAAGAAGAAGAAGAAGAGCAGCAGGAAGCTACTTGGGAGAATGGCGCATCGAACGAGACTGAGGGAGATGTCGACGAAGAGGAAGACGAGTCGATGGTGATGGCTGGCTCCTCGTCGGATCCACCCGTCGAGACTTCAGATGCGCCGTCAGAGGAAGCTGCCGAGGAAGAACAGGTTCTTGATGGAGAGTCAGGGGCTGAACGTGGAACTCATTTGGAAGAGGTTGTTGAGGAGGACCATTGCGACGATGTCGACTCGGCAAAGGACGAGGGCGCAGAGCCATTCGATCGACCCGCGGTAGTAGAGACAGCGGCAGCAGACCAGGACGAGGAGCCTTCCGAAGATGAGGACGGCACGGAATCATTATGCACAGTCCACTCTAGTTCTGCATTGGCGGCCGCTCCCCTCGTCGAGGCGGAGCAAGAGCAAGGCACGCTGGCGCCAGCTTCGCCCCAAAAGACGGCTCGGTGGCCCTTCGGTGCCGTCGACGCAAATGTCAGTACGAGCATTATCTCGCCGGCAAAGTCTATCACAGGCGAGGTCCCACTATCTCTATTCTCAAAGAGACAGCCGCTCCCTTTCACTCAGGATGAGGGAGAAGAGACAGAGGAGGAAGCAGGAGTGGGAGGAGCAGAAGAGGAGGAGATAGCGATCGGCGACGACAGTGTCCAACTCGTCAGGTCTCCTGTACGCCCAAAGGCGCCCATCGAGACTCACGAGGAGGCTACCGCGATGGAGAACAGCAGCAAGGTGCGGACACGAAATAGGACCGTGGACGACAGCCAAGCACCAATACGCATGACGCGAAGCCGTGCCGCCTCGAATCGGGCTTAGCTTCTTTCCCTTCCCAAGCATTATTTAGGTTTTCTCTAGTGACTGATACCCTTTCGTTCCCTTTATCCTATGTCATCAACAGTGTATGGTTTCGAGGCCCAGATCCAAAGTTGCAAAGGAAATCTTTTCTCTACGGGAGCAAAACGGGACTGAGTGTTTACTTCTTGTCCTTACCCTCTTCCTTTGGCTTGGGAGGCGTAAGCTTGTACTCCTTTGGACGGTAGCTCTCACCCGTCCCGACCTGCTCCCAAGGCGATCTGTTTGAAGAAAGTGTCAGCATCGCAAGGCAGGCCAAAACTTGGAAAGAATTGGAAAGGGAAGACGACTGACTGTGCCTCGAAGTTTCGGAAAGCCTGCGTGAGCTGCAATGGCTCCGTAACGACGCGCTTGCGCTCTTCATCGTAGCGGACCTCGGTGTAGCCAGTCAGAGGGAAGTCCTTTCGCAGTGGGTGTCCCTCGAAGCCTGATCTCAGGCAGTCAGCACTCGGGCTCCTGTCCATCATCGTAAATGCAGCCTCCAACTCACCGTAGTCGGTCAGGATTCGGCGGAGGTCATTGTGTCCCGCAAAGAAGACGCCGTACATGTCGTAAATCTCCCGCTCGTACCTGTCAATCCGTTTAGCGTTAGCACTGGGGATGCATAAGTACTAGAATCCAGACTCACCAATCCGCGCTGTTGTAGACGGCGGTAGCGCTCGGGACCGGCGTCACCTCGTCGGCGTACGTCTTGACGCGGATCCTGGCATTGTAGCGGACGCTGAGGAGGTGGTAGACGACCTCGAAGCGCTGCGATCGGGTCGGGTAGTCTGCCCCGCTGATGTCCATGCACGCCTTGAACTGCGTCTGGGTATGGTCGCGCAGGAACGTCAGGACGGGGATGACGGATTGCGGGGCAATGTAGAGCGTCAGCTCGTCTTTGACGACGCTGAACTGTTGGATGAACTTGGGCAGGCCTTTGAAGAAATGGGAGCTGTGTCAGCAGGAGCGAGACGGGGCAAAAAACTGCAAGGAGCAGAGACGCACAGGAGACGAGGTAGCTGCCGTAGTCGTGCAGTGGGCCCTGGATTGCGGCATAGTGCTCCACGGGGTTCATGCCCGCAGGCTCAGGGTAGGGCGAGGCAGGGTTGACTGTGATAGGCGGGAGAGATTAGCCATTGCGCCAGTATGCTCGGAGGGAAGAAGAGAGGTCTCACCTCGGTCGCCGGCATGGCCCTGCTTCGCGACGGCTCTGCTCGCCGTGCTCGACAGCCCCCGGGCAGCGGCAGGAGCAGCCGTGATGGCCCTGGCCGTCGTGAAGAGCCCTGCTCTCGAAGAGACCAGTCGCCCAGCCGTAGTCCTCGCAGCAGCTGCCATTCTCTGTGATGATGAGAAGTTCAGGCGACGACCAATCATCTCGTCGCGACGAGCAGAGATCCGGCTCGTGCTTAGAAATTCCACGTGGGACTAAATCGCCGTTGTAGCACACGCACAAACAGTGCAGGCAAGCTTCTGACTAGTCTAAGAATTGATTGGGTATGATTGCAGAGCCTTGAAAAAGCATCACGTCCACTCCTTGCTGGCCTCTCTCAGTGTTTCTAAGAAGTCGAGCATCTGCTCCTCGTTCTCCTCTCGTCTGGCTTCCTGCTCCTGGACGTGCTCGATTGCATCAATGATGCCAAAGACGCGCTTCGCCTCGGACCGCATCCTGAGCACCTCGCGCCGAAGGAGATTCTTGCGCTTGGCTACCTTGCGGTACTCTGTCGTGAGGTGGTGCCGCTCGATGGACTTTTGTGAAAGAGCGGTGAAGTTGGCGGCCGTGTGCCTCTCCACCTTGTCGAAGGCCGCCTTGACGTCACGATTCGCCTGCAGCGTCTTTCGATGCTGCGATCGGCCCAAGACAGTTTTGAATCCTTGGGCGATGATCGAGTGGATGATGTCTGCATCGTTGATCATGGTCTTGTGGCTGAGTGACATGCCCGTGGCCAAGGTGATTGTCTTCTGCAGCTCCTTCCTCCTCGCCTTCATCTCTTCCTCCGTCATTGGTCTCAAGTCCTCGTAGGTGCCTGCCATAGCGGGCTGTCCGTTCGGGTTCAGCGTCAAGCCTCTGGCGTCTGTCTTTGCCATGGTCGCCTTGCTCTTCCTTGCTCGCTGCTCCATAACAGTCATGTCCCCTTCTCCCTCGTCCTCTTCTTCCAGCTCAGCCTCGTGGCGGCGAAGTTCGGCTTCAACTGACAGCCTTCGTCGTTTGCCTGCCGACTTTTGAGACGGCACCGCACCAGGGCTGGCCTGCCGTCGACCTCTACGCCGTTCTGCTGCAAATCGAGCAGAGGTCGTGCCGGGCGACTCGTCCAGCGGCCGGGCCCGCGGCGGCTGAAGCTGGTACAAGTCTTCCTCGTCCTGCTCTCTGATCGATGGCATCGACGTCCCATCGTCGTACTGTGCCCCTCCCCCGTCATCGTAGTCGGCGAAACCCTGTTGTGCACTGATGTAGCTCGGATCGACGCCTTGTGCGCCAAAGTCGTACACATCGCTGCTCCGTGCCCCGCTGCGAAGTGGTCCACTGGAGACTCTGCCCCGTCCTCCTGCCACGCCTACGTGGCTGGGTGTGTCGGCGAAGCTGGCTGGATTGTTGTCGAGGTAGTAGAGCTGGCTGTGGCTGTCGTCGTAGAGGCTCGAAGTGGCCGAACGCGCGACTGAGGCATCGGGTGGCAGCTGGAACTGAAACGAGCGATCCATGACGGGCAGGTCGCCACGACCACGCATCCGCATTTGCCTACGCATCTCGATGGCATCTCCCACCGACTGTGGCGGCCTTCCCTGCACCATTTGGCTAGCTCGATTCTGCTTGGACGGGCTCACGAACGGCTGTCGCCTTCGTGGGGGCGATGAAAAGGCAGCGGACTGCCTTGATGATGCTGGTCCTCGAAGATTGGGATCGATGTTGGACATGTCAAACACTCCATCTCCGCCTATGTCCGTCGTCATCGAGGTTGGCATGGCCAGCGACGACGGACGGCGGTAGGCCTGCTGCTGCTGCGTTGGCGTGTCATTGAAGGACATCGGCGACGACGACTGGTCACCGAACAGCATCGACATGGCGGGCGACTCCTGCAGCATTCTCCTCCTGGCTTGCTCGGCCATCTGTGCTGCCGACGATCGGCGCGTCCCCGAGTAGGCCGCCGAGCCAGAGGGAGGGTTGTATCTGCCACTACTGCCTCCTCCTGGCGGCTGGAGGAGAGGCGTGGGTGAGTACGGGTTGAAGCCAAACTCGCGCGGGATGGGCTGCTGCGTCGCCGCACCCCGCATTCGCTCCAGCCGACGGCTCTGCACCTGCCCCTCGAAGCGCCCGGATGGCGCGGGGCCGCCCCTGCCGCCCCTTCTCGACGACGACATCGGCGTGCTGCTGCTGCTGCTGCTGCTACTGCTAGCTTGGGTGTTGGTTGTTGTCTTCCGTCGCGTCGCGCTTCCAGCTGCCGGCCCTCGACATTTATTTCGTCTTTATTTAGGCTTCCGGCCGAATCTCCACAAAAGGGACGGACGCCTAGCACTACGTACTATTGCTGCTTACCACTACTACCTCTGACACCGATTGACAGGCACACGGACGACATAGACGGTGGGCAGGAAGGCAATGACGGGTCAGGCCAGCGGCGGCCCGCTTCTCTACTTTGAGATCCTCTGGGTCGTCCTGTCGACATTCAACTATGGCTTTGGCATTTCCGAGCTGAACCCGCTTCAGGGCGTCCTCTCCTGCCCGCCCCGCACCACGGACGCGCGCCTTCCAGCCTGCCTGGACCTCACCTCGTCGCAATTTGGCTATGTCACGGCGGCCTTTACCCTCGGCGGTTTTTTAGCAAGCCTGGTACTCTCGCCGCTCCGGACCACGCTGCTTCCTTCCCTCTTTGGCCGCGCAAAGCAGGCCCTCGTCCTAGCTGCCGCGCTCGCCGTCATTGGGGGCGCAACGCAGGCAGCGAGCACCTCCTGGTCCATCCTCGCCCTCGGCCGCTTCTTCATGGGTCTCGGGTCAGGTATGGCCATTGTCATTGTGCCAAGCTATCTAAAGTGAGATTTTCTTCTCCTCTGGCGTCTGCATGTCGACCTTAGCTTACCCTATTCAGTGACATCTCCCCGCCGGCCCTCAGGGGCTCGATCGGCGTATTGAACCAGCTCTCGATCGTCACAGGCATTCTCTCTGCCCAGGGGCTAGGTGTCTCTCCGCTCGGAGAGAATCCCTCGTCGTCAGCTGAGAACAGCAGCAGCAGCAGCAGCGGGCCCTGGCGAGCGGTGCCGCTCATCTCGGCATCGGTGGCCCTGCTCCAGATCCTCCTCGCCCCTCTGGCGCTTGACTCGCCCTCGGATGTGGATGAGCAGAGCGCAGTGCGGATTCGGTCGAGGCTCTGGGCCGTTCATGTTGCCCGTGGAAGAGCAGCGGCAGGGGAAGGAGAGGGCGAGGAAGAGGAGCAAGCCGCGCTTCTGGCCCAGGAGCCTGACGCAGACACCTCGAGTGTGTCCACTCACGCCGAAGAGCCGTCGCAGCCCGTGACGATGCTCACCCTGGTTCGTCTCCTCGTTGCGCCCTCGACCGTCTCTGCGGTCCCTGCTTCCAAGAAGGCACCCTTGCGCAAGGGTGTGGCCCTCATCGCATTTACCCAGCTCGCCCAGCAGCTGAGCGGTGTCAATGCGGTCCTCTACTACTCGACGGGCATTCTCTCCGACGTCTTTCACTCCCCGTCTTCGCCGACGACGGAAGCTGGTTCCGACTCAGCACTGGCCAAGAAGATTGCGCTGGGAATCACACTCGTCAATGCGCTTATGACCTTCCCGCCCATCTACCTGATCCGCGAGTCGCGCCTGGGCCGCAAGAAGCTGCTCCTGCTCTCGTCGGGCCTCATGTCGCTCAGCAGCCTGCTCCTCTGCCTCGGCATCACGCGCCACGGCAGCCTGCTGAGCGCCGCCAGCCTCGTCGTCTTTGTCGCTGCCTTTTCCGCCGGACTCGGGCCGATTCCCTTTCTCATCCTCCCCGAGCTCGTCGCGAGTCCGACAGCGGCCGATGCGCCGACGCGCGCCGCTGCAGCCTCGTTTGGCATCGCTCTCAACTGGCTCGCCAACGTCGCACTCGCCAGCCTCTTTTTACCGCTCCGCCAGCTCGCCACGCGCTTCGACGGCCAGACGGGCGGCTCCGTCTTTCTGCTCTTCACCCTCATCAATGCCGCCACGGCGTGGGGCGTCTCGAGCTTCTACGCCTACCACGGCGCTGAGCAGGACGACGACGACAACGACGTCGGCAGGCACAGCCGTCCTGACTGATCGCCTTCGACGATATCGAAGTCACAGGTTTGGCGACGACTCTGTCAAGCAGAGCAACCAGATTCGGCATCCTTCGGGCCTGTCCTGTTATTCTTGTGCTTTGCTTTGGTATATAGAAAGGCAATCTAGGGTTTGCTCGTATGTGCTAGAACCATCCTCGTGCAGTAAGACATAGGTAAAGAGAAAGAAACACACGGGGAAGTCCGCCCAAAAAGAAAGAAAAGACACGCAAAATAGGGCTTGTTGTTGACGCATGAAGAAAGACAGAGAGAGAGCAAAAGAGAAAGATATAATGTGTGTGTATGTGTGTATGGTCATACGAATGGGGGAAAGGTTGAAAATGAGAGCGGAAAAGAAGCGAGAGGTGCTTTTGTCGATACTGGGTCCTGTCACGGGGGGAGAGACGATGCGCTCCAAGGATTGAGTGTCACCGAGCGACTTGGGTAAATGTGTCAAGGGAGAGGAGAGAGGGCGGGCTACCGTGAAGAAGGAGGAAAGCGTGAGCCTGTGGTTTTACCAAAAAAAAATCGGTGTGCAGCAGTACCCACTATCAGAGTAAACGTCGTCTCGTGAGAAGGGGAAGCGATGTGGGAGGCGTGGAGGGGGATTGGCAGGGGAAGGGACCATTCAGAAGGCAGTCCCACCGCCATTTTCATTCATCGTTTGCATCGGATATGAGTCTTTTGCCGACGGCGCCAGCCCAGGGCCGGCTCCGGACAATGCACCAGCCGACGTCGTCTTTGGGAGATCGTTCTGCTGGAACTGAGCCTTGTAAGCGCGCATATACTCCTGCGATGCGCTTGGACCGTGTCCGACGGGAGAGGCACCATTGGGATCGCCCCTCCGCGTATAGCCAGAAGGTGCCGGCGCAGCCGACGTCGATGCCGAGGCTGGCCCCGAAGCGGCCGTTTGATGCATGCTGCCATTGATGAAGCCCTTGTCCCACGTTCCATTCTCGTGCGCCGCCGGTGAGGGCGCTCCGCTATTTCCACCGTACACGGCATCGCCCATACTTGGTCGGCCTGCAAAACTGCTGGACGGCCCAGCAAAGGTACCTGACCCTGGCCCATGTCCATTGATGGGCGTGCCCTTGAACGACGAAGTGGCGCTGGCAACACCTGTCCCGACACCGGCTCCGCGTGATGTGCCACCGCCGCCCTGACCCATCTCGGCCAGCGGCTGGTCTGCCAGCGTGTAAGCGATGCTCGACGCCTGCGACATGCTTTCGCCGTCGTCGCGATCCCCTCGATCCCCCTGCCGTTGGGCTCGATCCCGCCGGCTGTGTCTAAAGTACGATTTCCGAACCTGTTTAAGATGATCAAATGGAAGGAAGCTGTTGCAATTGCATCCCGCTCTCATGAGTCAGGAGGATGAGTCAAAAGAAAAAGTCAGACTCACTGCTCCTCCATTTGCCGCAACTCCGGCGTCAGGGTGGCAATGTCCCGCCGCTCGTCTCGCTTCTTTGCCTTGAGCGGATTGTCCTCGAGCAGCAGCTCCTCGAGCTCGTGGGTGGCGTCGAAGTTTGCCTTTTTGTTGTCTGGCTCAAACGGCGGCGTCACCTCTTTGTTCTCAAGGGCCTGCCAGTCCATACCAGCAAACCACGGATGGGCCTTGAAGTCGTCTATCCCCGCCTTGCAGCCCAATCTCTTCTTCGTATCTCTCTCTAGCAGGCCCCGAATGCAGCTGGTGGCCTGCTGCGACACGATTGTGCCCACATTTTCGGGAAAGCTGCACTTGTCGAACAGGATAGAGTTCGTTAGGCCCGAATTTGTCCGGCCTCGGAAGGGCCGCCGCCCGAAGAGGAGCTCGTAGGTCATGACGCCCAGTGACCACCAGTCGACGCTGGAGAGATAACCGCGCTTGGCGAGCACTTCGGGAGCCATGTAAGCCATACTGCCCGCCACACTCGTCAGCGGTCTCCGATGGGAAAAATGGACGGCGATGTTAAAGTCAGTGAGATGGGCGTGGCCCTTTTCGTCGAGGAGAACGTTGTCGGGTTTCAAGTCCCGGTGGACGATCTGTAGCTTGTGGAGATAGTCGAGACCAATGGCTAGCTCGGCGACGTAGAAGCGTACGACGTCCTCCTTCATGTTGCCGCTCCGATCGAGGTGAAATCGCAAGTCGCCACCTAACATCAGGTCTAGTACCATGAAGAGGTTCTCGTCGTCTTGGAATGCATACTGTTTTTGATGACTTTCTCAGCGACAGCCTGGCTCCTTCTCTTCGCAATAGAATCTCGCAGCAACACTCACTCTGAGATTACAGATGAAGTTGGACTCGATCTCCTCGAGAAGCCTTCTCTCCTGGATGATGTTGGATACTGCCCGCATCTTCACGCATTTCGCCTTGTTGATGTATTTGAGCGCATACAGAGCCTGGACAGGACAAGCCTCAGCGCTTGGTTCACATCACGCATAGCAAAGGAAGAGAGCATGAGGATGAGGAGACGCACCTTGGTCTGTTTGTGCTGCACCACTCGCACTTTTCCGAAGGCACCTTTCCCCACCGCCCGCAAGAGGTAGAAGTGGTAGAGGTCCACCGGCCCATCGAAATCAATGACCTGAGCAGGGCCAACTTTTGGTCAGCAAAGTTTCCCTAGATACGAGCGCAGTAAGGGTTTATACGGACCTCTGCTTTGCAACAAAGGGCACCCATCTTGGTGGACCCTCGTCATGCAGGGGATTGAGGGAAGAGGCGGCCAAGGACTCTGTCGTCCAACGAGTGGTCCCAAGGCTTCTTGAGATGGGCAAAGAAGGGCGGAGTCCCGAGGATACGCTTCAAATCCCTCGGCGGAGCATCAGAAGGTCGCGCCTCGTCTTCTCGTTCTCGGGCGGGACTCGATTCTGACAAATTGGCCCAACAAATGCTGCGGGCAACGGAGGAAGAGAGCCGCCGTCGAACGACGTCGGGGCGCAATCTCGGAAACGACCTCTTGCTGATAACTGAATTGAGGTGGAAAGATGGACGAGGGGGAGGGAAAAGGTAATCATTGTCAGCCAGTCAGCCTCTGCTATCGACTCGTGTGTTACCGACACCAATGCCATGAATGAACGAGGAGCAACGAGCCAGTCTGTGACCGCTGGCAATTTCCGAGCCATTGCTCTATCCAGTCCGCCCCAACACTCCCACCAAACGAAAGTCGTGCAGGGGAGCAAACGGCATCATTTCAAGCCTCCAAGCTCTTTCGCCCCTGGAGAAAGCCGAATGTTTCCCCGTGAAGCGGCGCGCACTTTTGTGTGCAGAGGGCCGGCCCGAACTGCGCACCAATTACTCACGATGGTCACTGCTCTCGACTCGTGGGCACGGCGTCCTGACGGAGAAATTCGTGTTCCCGTCACACGTCGTATCCCTTTCTTTGCGTCTATGATGCCTGGCTATGCTGATGCCGTTGGACGCAAGTGCCAAGCGGCCTAGCACGTCGCGCGATCCAAGCGAGTTTTTGTCACGTCGTTGGGCGGCAGACTAAGCCAGACGCACACTTCGCCTCTTTGTCGTGGGTCGGCTATCCCCCACAAACTCGCCAGCGCAGGACGATGAAGGCTGTAGAAGAGCTAAAAAGGTCAAGAGGAAGGAAGAGGGCGCACTAGCCGTGAGAGAGGAAAAGAGAGGGAGGATGGGAATGAGACTGGGGAACGAGACGCAGTTCTATCGGTTGGTGGCCACGGCTCGCTCCCAATTTTCCCACTACTAAATCGTAGCTTATAAGCAAGACAGCGGGGGGGAATAATAATAGAGTCCAGATTATATTCTGAATTGGAAGTCGTTGAGCGCTTGATTCAAAGTTTAAAATTATGAGCCGAATTTAGAACTTTGTCGGCCGAGCGTGCGAGAGGATGACATTGTGCGTGCGCGCCAGTGGAATGCACCACTTCTCTCTTGTTCTGGCATAGGCAGCAAGCAGATGGCGACAGATCGACGGCGAGAGAATGGCTTTTTGCAGATCGACGGTGAGAGTATGGCTATTTGCAACAAGAAGGTGTCAAAAGAGAAAAGCAAGAGAAATATAGGACGGAGTAGCAGCACAAGAGAAAATAGTCGTACAAGAAATGACAAGGTATGCTGTCGGCCTGATGGTCGGCCCAAATATTGCAAGTTACATATGAATGTAGGAGAGAACAAGAAGGAGGAAGAAAGAAGAAAGAAAGATGAAAGGGGAGCAGACGAAGCCAGTAGAGACAGAGAGACTGAAAGCTTGAAGATTGCAATGGGACCGCTGTGACTGTGGGGAGGCGAAGCCCCTTAGCAAGCCACGCCGCTCAGCTCGGCTCGGCTCGAGGCTGGGGTCGCGCGGGTGTAGGGATGGCGCTTGACAAGGTGCGCTGGCCCTGCGGTGCTGTTTGGCGAAGAGCCAGAAGTATTGCCCCCGCTCGTGGCAAGCGTAACGCTTCCATTCCTGCTCATTTGAGCAGAATACATGTTGGTGCGATCGCTGTGCTTGTCGTTTGACTTGGGGGGCCTCAAGTCGTCATTTCTCAACGGAGGGAGTGCATCTTCAACGCGCCAAGCAAACTGATTCCCGTTGGAAGCAGACCGCCCGTTTGGTGCTGCGCCTGCCGGCATTGCAGTCGACGTCGACGATGAAGGACGAGGAGGGCCATAGGCTGATCCTCGGGCCGAGACGGGCGCTCGGAAGAAGCGGCCATCAGAGCCCGAGTCCCACAGAGCCGCCCTGAGCATCGATGGCTCGGCATGCGTGGCGTCGTTGCCGAGCTTTAGGAGGGAAGCAACGATGTACGCACGGTGCAGCGTGTGACTCTGGTACAGATCAGCACCAAAGCCCCCGCCCAGGTGCAGCCGGACAGAATAGAAGTCATACATGCCCGATCGTTGTCGAAGGCGCATGGTCTCCTGAAGAAAAACGGTACCAGGAGCAGGTGACATGAGGAGCGCGGGAGAGAGCGTTGAAACAGTCTCGAGATCCACGGGAACGCTTCGAGGCTCGACGCCGACAGGGTCGATCAGTCCGAGCCAAAGCTGCTCCAGCAGATTCGACTCGGAGGGGTGGACGAAGTCGAAGAGAGAGCGGTCGACGACTTCCGACGGATGGACACCCAAGAGGGCTAAGCTTTCGATGCTGCAGCGAGCGCACTGCAAACTAGTCGAAAGAACAAGTGAGATGATTGGCGAAGAAGCGGCTGCCGCTTCCATCTCCCTCGGTGATCCAGAGTGGAACGGTGCCGGAGGTGGGGGCACGGGCGCACCCTGGTGGTGTGGCGCCCACAACCCGTTCGTCGAAGACAGGCTACGATTGCGATTGGAACTGGAGTAAGACGACTGAGAGGATGCTGAGACAGGGGGAAGAGGATCGGCGGCATCGCTTGTCGGTATGGGCGACATGACCATGACTCTCTCGTGGGTGGGCGAAATGAACGATGTAGAGCTTGGTTCAGACTTGGGGGATCGACGCATCGTCGACGTGGAAGAGCCCGATGAGAAGGAGGTGCGCATGTGTGAGGCCGAGCCAGGAACGCCAGAGAGGCTGGCTACTGAAGACGTGCTGCCATCACCGTTGGTCAACGTGCTCAAAGAAGTCCCAGATGACGAGGCGGCTTCCCGGTCGCGGAGACGAGGCCTTCCCCTCTTCTTGTGCTGTAGAAGAAGTTCTCATGAGCACAGCAGGAAGCGAAGAATGGGGGAAGGGGGATGCGAAAGGGCGCGCGACTACCCACCTGAACGTCGATGCATGTATCCGTTTTTCCGAGGTTCACGCACCGTCGACAAGGCCTGCTGACATCGCACGCCAGATGGGCTCGTTTACAATTGAGGCAGGCCGAAGGCACATGCGTCTTGGCGAGCTTCCGAGGCTGTAGGTCTTCTTCGGCTGTCTCTTCTACCTGCCGGCTTGCTGCAAGTGGGGCGCGGTGCGTGTAAGCTTCATCGCGATACGGACGAGAGTAGTCCGAAGAGAACGTCATAGAAGACTGCTGTTGTTGATAATGCTGTGCTTGCAAGTGTGGCTGCGACTGTGATTGCGATTGCGAGTGTGTCCGAGACTGTGACTGCGGCGGTGATAGAGTCGGCGCGTCACTGGGTTGATAAGAGAAGCGATCAAAAGAGCTGACACCGCCATCGGCACGGGGCCCGCCGTGTAGCGACTGATATTCATGGTGCGATCTTGTAGAGAGAGACGGAGAAGTCGGTGAAGGGCCGAACGCACCAAGAGGCGGTAGTGCCTGCCTCGATGTGAGGAGAAATTTGGACGTGGGCTCAGGTAATTGAGGTGGGTGAGGGGCGGTCGGACGCGATGAGGTCCTCATGTGATCGTCCCAGTACGATGAGCCGCTGTGGCTGCGATAGCGAGACGATGAAGACGACGAAGAGGGTGAGAAGTAGTCTTGGCCCGATTGCTGCTGCTGCTGCTGTTGCTGATGCTGACGCGCGGCGGACGGCGATACAGGGAACGACGGCGACACCAGTGGAGCCAGATGCCTGTCGAAGCCGTCGCCTAACGAAGGCAGATTAGCAGGCGGCCTCATTCGATCGACACTAGGTAGTCCGCTTCGCTGATCTACTCCTGTTCCTCCCCCTACTCCTCCTCCCCCGCCGCCGGCTTCCCTCGCACTATCAAGGGGTGGAAGTCGATGCCACGACATATCTCCACCTATCGGCCGCTCTTCTTCTACTACTAAGAAGAGGCTGAGAAAAGAAGTGGAAATTCGAGGCTATGATCCGATTCGATGATGAGGCGGCTGCAATGACCTCGTTGGCGGACACATGCGCGATAAAGGATGTAACGATCGATGCGAGCGGACAAAGAAGGCTTGGGCGATTGACTGGTGGTCGAACGGTGCAGATGTACACGAGGGGGAAAGGATGAGGGGTGGCAACAAATGCAGATGGTAAACGTAATAGCGGACCAACGGTGATGATGCGGAGCCTTAAATTGGGGCCAAGGCTGGACTTCTACCTAGTCGAAGAAGGTTGGGCGGTCGGAGTGCAGGGGAGAGGGGGAAAGCCCGAGATATCAGCAAATTGAGACAGAGGATCGGGAATTTGCTGTGAGTCCTCCTGTTCCCGTGAGATTCCTGCTGTCGTATTGACCCTTTTGCGCTGTATTGGTCGATCGCGACAGTTACTGTTTGTGAGAGAGGGTCTAGAGAAGAGGAGAGGGCTGAAGTGCTGAGTGTAAGTTTGGCCGAGCGTCCACCAAGGTTATCCGCCGGAGCTACGCGCACGGGCGCACGGGTGTTTCAGCGAAGCAGCACTGAAGGCTGGGAAGAGAGACACTCTCTCTCAGAGAACAATCGTTGGGAACAGGAAGCCCGGGGAAGAGAGGAGAGGGTAGGAAAAGAGAGAAAAAAAATTGTCCGCCTGACAAGGTCCCGTCTCCTGTCGCCTTGCCCTGATTCTGAATCAAGGCTTGTCCAGGCCAGGTGTGTTCACTGCATTGCAACCTAAGACTAGCCGATCTGCTGCCCCATTGCGTTTGTCCGTTCCCCACTGCTCTGGTCAAGCAAAGGAATAGCGGTACACTAGCGTATCGGAGTAAGTCTGGAGATAGCGACGTAATACTTGCATCCGGCCAAATCCAAAAAGGTGAAAACATTGAACCTTCGGATCCTTCCCACTGTGGTACGTTGCTTGTCAGGCATGGATCGTCGGGCAATTGACGAGTTCGACAACAGTCGTTCAGGCAGTGCGCTACTTTTTCCCAGATCAATTTATTGGCGAATACTAAACCGGTATGGCGATAGAGCTGCCCGGGGAGCAGGGTAAGGGTGAGCAAGGACGTGCGAAAAGTTGATTGAATACGTATTTGATGAAATCGAGATTGATGCACAACAATTGGATTCCCAGGCAACGACATTTCGGCAGTTTTTTTCTCTTTCTGCATCAGCTGATCTTACAATTAGATTGTGGCACCCAACATTATTCTTGTCCTTCGTTCAAGACACGGGAAGGAGCAGGGCCTGTTGCTGGCTGCTCAGCGCTGTCTTGGCGACGAAGCTAAGCAACCCCTGCACCCGATCGTCATGCTCCTTTCTGTCATCCTCTGCGTTGTAAGAAGGGCTAGGCCGGAGGATGGATTCGGGCGGAGCGACTGTCGGACATTAAGGGAGGCCGATGAATATAATGGTCACACGGTCCCTGTGATCGGGACCTGCCTTTTACCAGAAGGAGTCGCGTATTGAAACATAATTAAAAAAATCTAAATAATCTCCTTTCCGTTCCCTGCAGCGGTACGAATCTTTCCTACTCGGACCTGCGCAAAGTCTCTAGTTGTGCATCGAGACCATAGCAGTCATTTTCAAATTACTTCGACCCCGGACTTTCAAATTCACTTCTCCGCTGGTCGCCTACCAAGAGCACCCTCCGTCTTGCTGACCCATGATGATCGCGCGATGCATTAATCCATCAGGCTTCCAGAAGGATGTCATATTAATTTGGCCCGATGTCATTTCACCACACAGCCGTCCACTCCTCTCTCACATATCAGCGTTGTTTGCTCTACCTTTTCATAACTCAACAGTGTGATGCGCTTTAGCTATCAAACGCAGGATACTGCCAAGGCGGGAACCCCACTCTCGACATCGCACCTCGTGCTTCTCCATTCTCTTCCGCTCGCTCGAAGCTGCAATTCGACCAGACAGGCACCAAGTATTTGCTAAGCAATGATAGGAAGAAAGAATAACAGGCTAGGCTAGGACCCGCCCGCATCTCTGAGTCTGCGACAGAACGGGATTTTACACATGCATGTGCGTGCTGAGGGCCCAAGCGCCGAAGCGCGACGACCATGTGCCGCATTGCAGGAACAGCAATTAGGCCGCCCGTCACGTGTCGCGCAATTAGGCATCTTCGGAGGTTTCTGTCTCGCTTGGGGTGCGTCCGCGGGATCCACTCTATTAATCAAATGCCCGCTCATTAACAAATGAGAGCTAGTGTAGTAGTAATAAAGTGGTAGTAGCTAGCTAGCTCTTGTCCCGTTGCCTCTGCACCTCTGCTTGTGCAGAACCTTTGTTTCCGATGGCAGTACGTTGCGCGGGGGATGGCTCGGTGCATAAATGACGACGAAGCTTGGAATTGTGATGAGCTGTTTTGCTTGGCAGGAGCGCTATTTATCCGCCTCACTTGTCAACTGGTCGACCCCACCGTCATTGATTGGGCCAAGTTGACACCCCACCGTCTTTGATTGAGCCATAGGGCAGTTCTCAGTGGTACGCCTCGACCGCTTCTCTAGTGGATTTCTCCGAGCGAAGCGAAGAAAGGCACCACAATCATAGCTCGTGATCATAATTCTCCGTTATATGAGATACTGGCCGTAGATCGGTGCATGATACTACTGCGGGCGTTGCCAATCTCCGGCGTAGCCTGTCTTAGACCGCCCAGCGCCGGAACAACGAGGCGAAATTACACGACCGTCTGCCGGCATCTTCTTCGCTGAAGAAGGGTTGTTTTTCGTTCAATGCGTCCGACCGGCGAGCAAATCGGAACGCTTATGATGGTTTTGCCGCGAGGCCAATGATGCCAACTTGGGCAGTGCATGATGTATTTCTCTCCGCGCCCGGCGTTCTTCGGATCTGCCCGCTTAACGGGATGTCTGAATACAAGGTTGCATTTGCGACAAAATACACGCTCGTGAGGAACATTTGGTGAACCTTAATAAAATGACGAGAGGGTCGATCATCTCGGCTATAGTGAAACGAATAAATCCTTCACGACACGCAGCAAGCGATGACAGTACGACAGGTCGGTCTGTGGTTGTCTCACCGGCGGGATAGCAGGGGACTCATCTACCCCTGTCGACAGGGAGACACGATCGGTGCTACTACTCACTAGCAAGCTACTATCATTGTCATTACCATGCAGGTGCTGGCTCCTCTTATCGCATATACCCACGCAACTGCTTCACTATATGACCTAGTAGCCTTACTTGGCTCGGAACTACTTGGACCGAGCGTCGAGCTTTGATCGGGCCGGTCAATAATGTCCTTCTCCTTCAACGGACGTTACGCATTGTTCTGCCGGTGTACTGTACAGTACATGTGACAAGGAAGGTTTAAGGGGTGGGTTAAAACACATGCAAAGGCGCTAAGCAGCAGCGGGGAAATTGCTCGAGGGCAAAACGCGACCCAACGAGGTTGATCGAGTCGTTTAGGCTGCCTCCCGAAGACCCGCACGCCCTTTGACTGCTACTTCAGCTAGCTTGCCATGAGATGCGGGTCAACACAGAGACCCAAGGCCAGCGCTCGAGGGTCGTGGTGCCTCGAGATCAGCGAGATCTTGAGGCAGGAAGTTGTGTCGACCCCGCTCGACGGACAATAAAGGCATATTCTTTAATTGGGTATCAGATTTAGTCTAATCCGCTGTCGGCCTGACTCTGCTTTTTGCAGGACTCGTCACTCTTCTTCCAAACGCTACTACTACTACTACTGCTACTTTACTGCGCTGGATATCGATGAAAAAAATCTTTTCGATATAAGCTACAGAAATTGCTTTGCACCATATCTCATCATTTATCTCTGGCGCGGAAGATACGGTGGGTGCTAGAATCATGAAGAATTCCAGCCAGGCTCATATATGGCTGCGTAACCATGACTTGGTCAAAGGGGGAACATACAGCACAGCACAGCAGATGCCGAGGCTGCGGGCTCAAAGACGTACGGCTGCTTGTTCTATGGAACCAGCGAGATGGAGCGAGGGGAGTCAGACGGGCGAGGCAATCGGTGGAAGAAAGCTGCCTGTCTGTCCTTTTTTCTACGGTTTTCATCATCTTTTAGTTTTATTTTCTTATGGCTTGTTTAAAGACCGGTTAAGCGCGCCGACGTAGTAGTAGTGTAGTAGTCATAGTAGTGCAATTGGAGGTGCATCGCAACGCAGTGTCTCGATCCAATAGTGGCCTTCCTGGACAATCGGCCTAGCTTCTGCTTGACGCCCTTAATCCTGCGATCCAACCCACCCTGGGCTCCTTTATCTGGACACAAAGTCTTCTTTGCGGACAGGCGAGAGGTTTGGGACGACTGCCTTCGCATCACCACGTCGGAGCAGGAAATTCAAAAAGTGGCGCTTAAAGGGCGAACGGAGCGCGAAGTTATCACGTCTGCAGCAAATCTGCCGACTCACCGAAGCCTTTGACGACAAACGACGACGCACATACAGGCCATACACGCACCCGCACACCAAAAAAAAGGGCGGCCGACAACATAGAACTTTGTCGCCTCACTAAGACACGAACGCTGGGCAACGACTTGATTGCCGACGTGTGAAGAGGCGGAAACCTGGCTCTCTCGCTCGTTGCTCCTCGACTCCGCCCAATTCGGCTCCGGGAAACGCTGACGAGCTGGCAGTCACCTCTCTCTGCAGCGCCAGGGCGACGACAACGGCTACAGCAAGCGTAGTTGGGACATCAGCTGGAGCAGCAGCCCCAAAAACGACGACAAAAGGGTGGAAGACGAAGGCATTACATACTCTCCTCTCATGACGACTCTCGAGGCTTCAGCTCCTACCCTCCTTTGACCCCATCTTCCCGACTTTTTCTTCGCATTCAGCAAGACGTTCCTTCTTTTGCGACGACCACACCGCGCCTCGCCTACGAGCATTAACGACCGCAGCCAAGTCGAACTCCGTCGACGAATACTTTCGCCGCTTATCATCCGACCTGGCGCCACTCGGATAACAGCATTCGACTGACACTGGCGCCAGAGACAGAGGGGAATTTAGAGGGAAAAAAAAAGGGGGCGTGGGTGAACCAGAGATTGCCCGCTCCGTCTTAGACCGTTCACGTCCACGCCCACGCCATTTGGAGGAGTTGAGAGCGGCGTCGGTCTGGAGGGCGGCGAAGGAAAGTGGTGCTTGCTCAACAGACTTCGGAACCCTTTCGAGCGGCTGCCTTGCCCAGCGTTGTGCGACTGCAGCCTCCGAGCAGGCATCAAACTCCGCCCCGATTCTCCGACCCTATCAGCCTGGCCCGCCCGCCCCGCCTGAGGTTGGAGGAGCGGTTACCGATTCAAGGAAGGAGGAAAAAAAGGGGAGGGGAAACAAGAGGACGAGATTAAAGCTTGGGTGCCCGAAGTCCGTCGGCGCCATTGCCCCTCATCAGTCTCATCACTCCGGCACAGCAAAGTCAACGACACTGGGCTGAAGCCAAAGAGCAGACGTTCAGCCTCGACACCCCCGCTTTGCTGGTCCCTTTACTGGTGCTACTGGCATCCACGTCGCTGTGCCTGGTTCCGTCGTTGCCGAAATTCGACTTCCACAACGCACGTCAGCGCTCAATTTGCCGGAGCAGTCCTTGGTGCTCTGAACCCGCGCTTGCAGAGGTGAGGTATTTTAAGCAGCGGCAGCAGAAGCGGAATCAGCCGGACGAACTGCAACGGCGCTGCTAGGTGGGGGAGACACACAGCACCGACGACCCTCCCTTTCTCGTTGGTCGGGCAGCCTCGTCGAGTGACGTATCCTCTCCTCGTCCCCCTCCTCCCTCCTCCTTCCCCCTCCTACCTTGCCGCGTGCTGCCGGTTCTTTCGTCCTGGCGCTTTGTCTCCTCTTCTACGGCCCCGTCTCGCCCATTGAACCGATCGGGTGTTGCGGCCAGAGAGCCTTTACGCGGCATCTCGAAGCTCACTTTGGGCCGGCATCCTTGTCGCCACTACGAACGCACGAAGCGCGCAGGGCAAAAACCCAGAGAGACGATAACAGGGAAGGGCGTAGACAGTTGTTCGACGTATCTTTTGGCTCTCTAGGTCGCCGTCGACCCCCAAGCCAATCGACTAGCCGGTTAGCCAGGCAAACAATATCGGAACAGACGACGAAAAGAGGCATAGGCCGCGTAAACGTACTGCCAAGCTGGTGTCTTTCAACGCTGCGCTCTAGTCCCGGTCTTGTCTCGGTCGCCGGTCACCCGACAAGGGACACTTTGACCAACTTCGCTCCGAGTGACTGCCTTGTCGTTGCATACGGCCGTCACTTCGAAACGATATGCAACCGACCGGCAACTGGGGAGCGCCTGGAAGCAGCGTCCCGTCTGATTTGCAGCCTGTCATGTCCTTTGGCAACCAAGGCACATCGCAGCAACAGCAACGGCAACAGCAACAGCAGCAACAGCAGCAGCAGCAACAACAACAACAACAACAACAATCTCAACAACATCAAGAACAACAACACTTCTTCGCTCAATCACAACAAGAGCAGCAGCAGCAGCAGGCCCCTCCGGCACAACATCAACAGCATTCATACCAAAATCAGCAACACGAACTGCAAATTCACCCCCATTCGTCTGACCCAACACGCCCAGGCCAGCCGCCGCCGCCGCATGTAGAACATTTCCAGCAACAACAAGGCTCATTCAACGACCAAAGCAGCGCATTCATGCCGCAATCTGGCGGTTTCATTGCAGACACGCATTCTGCCTATGGGTTGAACCAGCCCGCGCCAGCACCGTCTTCGTCGTCGTCTTCGTCGCTCAGCCGCGCCTTTGAAAACTTCAATGCGCAAACTTTTCATCCCCCTCCCCAACAACAGCATCACCAACAATCTCAACAGCAGCACCAACTTCAACAGGCCTCGCCCTTTCCGTCGGGCAACAACCACTCGTTCAGCGGTGGAGGACAAAGTTTCGACGCCCCGACCTATGGCGCGCGATCTCACGATGCGGCTATGACGTCGGATCACCCACGCGGCTCCTATGACTTCTCACAGGTCATGGGTGTGCATTCTGTGCATCCGCAGCAGCAGCAGCGACCCCATCAGTCCAGTCTGCATCATCAGCATTCGTCCTCTGCCTTGGCCGCGTTTGGGCAACCGTCCCTCGACGCAGCGGCGAACGTCAGCAGCGATGTCAACGGACCTTCCACCCTAAAGTTGCCCGACTTTGACTCCTTCGGCATTGTCCGGTCGACCACCGGCGGCAGCAGTACTGCCAGCTACGGCAGCGGCGCCGATCATTCGTTCACCACGTCCTCTTCGGCAAATTCGTTGGCTGCCGGCCAGGGCTTGGAGGCGTCGCCATCGTCGTCGTCGTCTCAGCGCATGCCGGCGTCACACTACAGCGATTCGGCGCTGAACCAGTCGCAGCAGCTAGCGGCACCATCGCTCAACCGGTCCAGGAAACCAGCCGCTCTCGACTTTGGTCCCGGGCCCTCATTGTCACGCAACTTGGGCTCTGGTTCAGGCCCATCGCTCCAACTGCGTCACCAGGGCAGCAGCAACCAAGGAGGTGCCGCTCATCACGATGCTTGGCTCGAGGCGACGGCCGGTGCTGACGCCATCACGCCTCAAGCTCCCAATAGCCGAGTGGCACAGAGCCAGCCAATGGCTCCACTGACGCTGCACAACTCTGGGGAGTCGACCACCTTCTACGCACCCATGGACGTAAGCGGTCGGGAGTCATCAGGCGAAGGGTCAGGGAACCAGTATGTTTCTGCTGCCAACGTACAGCAGCGCGCGTCATCGTCATCTTCCTCGTCGTCGTCGTCGCACCACCAGATTCAAGGATTGATGCCCTCCTCCTCCTCATTGGAGCAGCTCTCTTCGCTCCAGGTTCAAATACCCCGCTCTCCATCAGACCTGCAACACCGTCACCAAGCCTCGAGCAACTCCTCGCCAATGGCAGCGCCAGGTCCCTTTGCTGTGCAGATGCAGCAACAGCAGCAACAGCAGCAGCAGCACTACCAGCAGCAGCAGCAGCAGCAGCAGCAGCAGCATGGACTCATGGGTAGCTTCAAGGGAAAACCTTACGAGAGAGGCCCGATGCGGCCCATGTCCAGTGCCAGCACGGCGAGCTATGCAAGCAATAGCAGCGGTGGCAGCAATCGGTCTATGATCATGCAACGGACCAGCAGTGCGGGCGAGATCCAATCATACGAATCCTCGCCCGACGACGCATTTATTGCTGCTTTCAACCAGCCAAGTAATTCTCAGCAGTGGCTTGGATCTCCTCAGCAATTCCAAGGAAACAGCCCACAGCAGCAGAGGAGGATCTCGACGCCTCAGAGGCTCCAGCAGGTGCGCGAGACGACGTCTTCGAGCCCGCAACATCCCTTTGCGACGTCGAGCCAGTTGCAGCAACAGCAGCAGCAAGGGTCCCCCATGGGCTTTGACGCCGGTGGCTTTAGTGACCATCGTCTGTCAGCGGCGTTGGCGGCCGCTGCGCAAATCAATACTGCCGGCGGCCCTGGCAACGGTGGCATGCAAGCCTCGCCCAGGGAAGGCAACAGCACGCCCACGATCATGGAGGAGGAGGAAGATATGGCGACGACGCTCAGGACAGCCCACCAACCGCCGTTTGCGGCCGAAGACATTCCTGAATTGCACCTCCAATTTGACAATCTGGCCCAGCAGCCGTTGCATGTCCAGCAGCAGGAACTCGCACGCATGCAGCTGCAGCAGCAGCAGCAGCAGCAGCAGCAGCAACAGCAACAGCATCATCAAGCGCATGGTCTTCGGCACAGTCAAAGTATGCCTCAGCAGGTCATGGTCCCTCGCTACGCCGATGGGGGACCGGCAGCAGTTCTGCGAAGGCATCGACCGCACGTCAGGCCGAGCGTGTACCAGCAGTACAGTTCGTTGCAATTTGGCAACGAGCCTATGCGCGACCTGGGCGACTGCACACCCTTTATCGAGTAAGTTTCAGCTCTTGGTCAAGCATGTTGCCGTGCAAAGAAGTGAGAGTGAGGGAAAGTCAGCTGACATAGCGTACGACGACGGCAGCGAGATCATCGGCAACTACCTTGCGACGCCGAGCCGGCTGGGCCTGGGCGAGAGAACGGTGCTGGTGATGACGAGCAAAGTGGCGCAGAAGAGCTACGGGCAAGAGAAGCGCTTTCTCTGCCCACCACCGATGGTTTTGCTCGTTGGCAGCAGCTGGTGGAGCGCTGCGGGCCAAGATGGTTCCGCGCGGTCCGGTGGCGCGGGACCATTCCCTTCGCCCGTGGCCTCGAAGGAGGAAATGACGGTGCTGACACCGCCCAAGCTGACGATTACCATTAGCGGCGAGGCCGTGACCCAGGAGGGCAGCCTCGAATGGGCGTCGAGCACGGGCAGGCTCATTGACGTCGGTAATTCATCGTCGGAGATGGCCATCTCTGGTCGATCCATTGCAAGGCATCTCTACATAACGGACATTGACGAAAAGAGGCGGCATTGTGAGGCCCTTGTTAAGATATCTGTGCCTGGCGAGACACAGTCGGATCGACGCACACTCGGCACGTTCTCGAGCAAGCCCATCAAGATCATCAGCAAGCCTAGCAAGAAGCGACAGAGCTCGCGTAACTCGGAGCGTGAGTTTAACCAGACTACCTTCTCTTCTTTGTCCAGATCAGAGCACTGATACTTGTCATGGTAGTGTGCGTCAATCACGGATCGACGATCTCGCTCTTCCACCGGCTGAGATCGCAGACGGTCTCGACTCGGTATTTGTGCGTTTCAGGCGCTCCCACGTGGTTCAAGGGATCCGACGGCGAGCCCTTTCTCAAGTCGGACCGGACAGGCATGCTTCCCAATCGAAGCGAGCCGCCGTCTTGCTTTGTTGCCAAGACGACGAGCTGGGACCCCTTCATTGTCTACCTCGTTGATCCACACGTGTCGTCCAAGGCTAGGCCTGACTCTTCGTCCCAGTCGCCATGTCCCGGCTACCCGCCCTTGCCCGTCAATGCGCTGCCGTACAACCCTGCGCAGCCAACGCCGCTATACTACAACCAGCCTGTGGTTCTTCAATGTCTCAACACGGCTGTTGTTAGCCCCATCATGGTGATTCGCAAGGTCGAGCGAGGCACCACCATTGTGGGAGGCGGACAGCAGCCCATCTCGCCCACGACCGGCAAATTCGACCCGTCGGCAGAGGCTTGGGGCGATCCCGTGTCTCAGTTGCACAAGATCGCCTTTGAGATCATCGAGGACCCTAATACGCCAGCGCCGACGCCAACGTCTGAGTCCGGCGAGATGCAATCTCCCGGCGAGAGTGGCCACTTCCTAGGATGTCTCAACGAGCACGTCGGACTGCGCAGACCCTCGGCATCGCGGCAGTGGGTGGCCAGCGCCATGAGTGGGCCTCCAACGCCTACAACTCCTATCACGCCCATGAATGTATCCGGTGCCCCGTCTAACGAGAACGAAGCGCTCAAAATGACGGCATCGCCTCCTACCAGCCCAACGGCGGCTGCGGCGGCGTACGCCGCTGCACAGACTAGGTTCTCGCTCGGTCAGGGGCCACGAGGGGCCATGATTCCTCCATCGGCATCTTCATCGAGTAGCGGGCCCGGAGGATTCAGCTTCAGCGCCTATCACCAGCAACAGCAAAATCAGCACCACCTTCAACTGCATCAGCAACAGCAGCAGCAGCAACATCAACAGCAGCAGCAACAGCAACAGCAGCAACAGCAGCAAGAAGAAGAACTCATGGATTCAACCGAGTCCAATGATGGTGGTAAGGTCAAGCGTCCTCGGAGAGTCTCGTCATCGGTCGTGGTGCAAAAGGACCGAGCTGGAGCATTGGCCTCCAAAAATCGCCGTCGTGGCCAGTCGATGTCGGTACTAGGAATGCAGCAGCAAATGCTTAGTCAAGGTGCTGCTGGCTCTGCTTCAGGACCGTCTTCGGCGATGCAGCATGCTCAACAGCACAATCATCAAGGCAACGCGGGCGGCGGCAACTTTGCGAGCTCCGAGCTGCTCCGCCGAACGAGCAGCTTTGCCAACAGCCTTTCGGCCTCGGAGACCTCTTCTCTGGGTGCGCCTCCCGGGTCACTCTGGACCGTCGATGTCAACGACTCAGACATTTGGACAATTGTCGGAACTGATATCGCGCGGCATACCTTTTATCTTCCGCCGAAGCTCGTTGGCGGCTTCCATGCCAGGGTGCCAAACAAGGACCAGTCGATTGGCCACCTCATCAACGTACCCGCTCCTGCAAAGGAGATTACGCCTGTGCCAGTCCTGACGTCGTATAACACCAGCACAGCAAAGGGCTCCAGTGGAGGAGGTGCCGACAAAGGAGCGAACAGCAACCAACAAGGCCTCGTTACCCTCTTTGGCGAGAACCTTTCGCAAGACCTGTTTGTCTACTTTGGCGACTGGCGATGCGCCCAGATGAAGCTGCAAAGCAGCACGACGATGCTCTGTGCTCCACCGCCGCACCTCGATGAAGGTGGCGTTCCCCGTGGCAGGATGCCCATTCTGCTCGTCCGAACCGACGGCGTCATTTTCCCGACGTCAGTCATCTATGAATGCTGAGGAGGACCATGGACAATGATCGAATTGCTTCCCTGACCTCCTCTTGTCTTTCTTCTGTTTTTTTTTTCTTCGTCTTCTTTCCAACCTGCTTTACGTATCATTGGTTTGAGCCTTTGTTCTCAACTCTCACTCGCTCGTTGCTCATTATATTTCAATCTCTTGCCTCTCACTCTTCGTGTAACTCTCTGTCTCATGCGTTTCCAAATCAAGGGGTTCATCATCTGAAAGGTCGTCTGATAGCCAATGAGCAGAGAGAGGGGATAATGATAGTACACGTTGGAGCACGAAACGAGGTCGAGATAAGAGACAAGAGGGAGAAGACTTTAGAAGTAAGGACCAGTCTACTCTAGGCCGGAGTCTTGGGTGAATTCCAGGTGTTGTTTGAGGTCGCTTTCGGTCACCGTGGGTCTGACCTGTTGAATTGCGCGCACAAAGTCGCTCATGACCAGCGGCGGCTCGAGCAGATCAGCGCCGTCCACGGTTTCCCACGACATTTCCTGCGCAGCAGCGTCGCCCGGTGAGCAGGGCGTCAGGTACTCCTTCATGATGCCCTCTTCGGGCTGAGCACCGTCTGCGCCCTGCGAGGCCTTCAGGGGCGCCATGACCTTCTTGAAGTGCGTCGCAGAGAGGACCTTGCGAACGGGCTGCATGAGCGCGTCGCGGACGAGGACGGAAATGTCGGAGCCGGTGTAACCGTCGGTCTTGATTGCCAGCTCACGGTAGTCCTTGGGCCCCAGGAGGCACGGAGTGCTTCCGACCTGGAGCTCAAACATGCGTTGTCGTGCCTCGAGTTCGGGCAGAGGTATGTAGATTCTCTTTTCAAAGCGGCGCTTGATGGCCAGATCGAGTTGCCAGGGAATGTTTGTGGCGCCCAAAACGAGAACGCCACCTTCGCCGTTGCCAACGCCATCCATCTGGACTAGGAACTCAGTCTTGATGCGCCGGCTGGCCTCGGACTCGCCCTCGCCACGAGTGCCACAGAGCGAATCGACCTCATCGATGAAGATGATAGAGGGTTTCGCCTCGCGAGCCATGGCAAACAGATTCTTGACCAGACGCTCGCTCTCACCCATCCACTTGCTCACAAGGTCACTTGATGAGACGCTGAAGAAGGTGCTCTTGGCTTCCGTGGCGACAGCCTTGGCCAGGAAACTCTTGCCCGTGCCCGGGGGACCGTAGAGAAGGATCCCCTTCCAAGGCGTGCGCTTGCCCGTGAAGAGCTGCGGGAACTTGATGGGCAAGATCACGGCCTCCTTGAGCGAATCCTTTGCCGTCTGCAGGCCGGCAACATCGTCCCAGCTGACATTAGGCGTCTCGGAAAGAATGGCACTTGAGAGGCCAGCCCGCAGCCTCTTTGTCTCTGCATCCTGGTCGTCGCCGCCTTCGCCATCCTTCTTTGGCCCTGCGCCTGCGCCAACTCCCTTCTCGGACCCATTCGCGCCTATCGCGTTTCTGCCGCCCTTGTCATCCTTGCTCTGCGCCAGATGCTGCTTGAGCTTTTCGGCCCGGTCGAGGTACTCTGTGAACTTGTTTCGGATCAGCTCCTTGAGCTTGTCGTTCTTTTCGTCTGCCAGTCACAAGCGCTCCTGACGTTAGCTCAATAAGATCAGGATCAAAAGACAGGGACAGGCATCTGCTCACACTTCAGAGCAAGAAGGAAGAAGTCGAGGCTGTTTTGGTAGAGCTTGTAGGCCTCCTGGTAGTTCTGCTTGGTGTCCTGCTCGATGGCCTCCTTGACGATGCCAATGGCCTTGTCGAGGAAGTTGGAGTTGGCCATGGCTCGGCGCGGCTCGACGTCGGCGTCAAGGTTGCTGAGCTAGTCAATCGATTGTGAAGCGGTCGGTGGAGTGGCTGGCTACCCAGCCGATCTGCCAAGAGGTCGAGACCAAGTGACACTTTCCATGACCGATATGACACGTCAATGCCTTTGATACACGTGATTCAGCTACTGAGTGCACGCCCGAAATTTTTTTTGGCTTCATTGCGAGAACTTTTTTTTTGCCGTTCAGAAGAGCGATCACGGCGTCAAGCACCCAACAATCAACAATGGCCAAGGGCAAGAGCAAGACTCGGCCCCAGTCGACATCGCTCCTGTCGGCGCCAGCAGATGTCACTAGTACCTCTACGTCCAACGTGGTCTCTAGCTTCTCGCCTGATGGGAGGCTTTTTGCCTTCTTGACGCAGGCCATCGACCGGCATCGGTTGCGCATCTACACATCGGCAGAAGGATCAGGCGCGGGGTCCGACGCATCTCTACTGGTTGACTATGTGCTCCCTGAGGCCCGATGCGAGTGCATCAGCTGGGGAAAGCTTCCTGGCTCGAGCAAAGGGCATAAGGACGACGAAACGAGCAAGCGAAGAAGAAAGAGCAAGGGCGACCTCTCTTCGTCGGACGTGAACGGCAGCAGCAGCAGTGGCAGCTCTTCGCAGGTGGTCCTTGCGCTCGGTCTATCGACGGGCGCAATTCACCTCTTCTCTCCGACACAAGGACGAGTGATCAGGATTCTCCACGACGAAGCCATCTCGGCCTCGTCTGCTACCTCCTCGTCGATCACCTCTGTCGACTTTGATTCCGACTTGGGCCTCGTCGTGGGCTGCGCTGCCGATGGCCAGATTCGGACCTGGAACTTGACAGAGTTGCTCGCGGACAAGGCCAACGCCCCCGTCGACAGGATCCGACCAGACGCCTCGACACCGGTACGGACGCTGGCCTTTCTCTCGACTCGAAAGCTGGCCGTGGCGCACCACTCTATCCAGGTGCTTTCTGGCCCGGACAGCAAAAAAGCAGCGCTAGCCTCATTTACTGGGCATGCTTCCAACATCACTCACCTTGTCTCCATTCCTGGAGATGCGCCGAGATTTGTTAGCGCTGCGGACGGTGATCGCATCGTCAATGTATGGGGAATGCCGCCCCAAGGGCAGAAGGAGGCGCGACCCATTGCGACATTAGCTCTCGACTCGACGGTTCGGCAGCTTGCTGCTTACCCGTCGTCATCTGTCGATGCAGTTCTTGTCGTGGTGACGAGCACTGGGGCACTAAGACTGTACGACATTCCCGCTTCGTTGGGCGAGCAGGCCAGCAACGGCTCGGCGGCAGGCGCTCGACCGCGGAAGAGCGCGGCGGGTGTGTCGACACTTCGTAAGCTGTCCGAGATCAGGCTCCTGGCCCGAAAAGACGATCAGGAGAGCTTCCCCATCCTTGACGCCTCCTTTAGCAGCGTAGAGGAGGGTAAATTGTCGATTGCGAGGGTCATCAAGGGCGCAAAGGTGTCCCTTCTCACCACTTTGTGCAAAGATCCGACGACAGGAACTTTCCTTCCTCAGGTCGATGTGCTGAGGCAAGCTGGGACAGGAAATTTGGCAAACTTCGATGATGGCTCCCAAACGATCCAGGGTGGCGGAGCGCAGGCTATGCAAAAATACGCTGAGCCCGAGGTCTCTTCTTCAGCTTCGAGGAAACGCGCAGCTCAAGGTTCGTCCGTCATCAGTGGCAATGGAATGCTCGCCGAGGCGGCCGCTTCGACGACGGCAGATGATCAGGCAAATCTTGATGCAAATCTTGAGGATCTCGAGGGTCCTACGCTGGGATCCAGGCTCAAGGGCCTCGACAGTCGAAGAGTGAACGGCACGTCCAAACCGTCTCGTGGTAGCGACGAAGAAGATGAGGAAGACAGAGACAGCGACGAAGAAGATGACGCTGAGCTTCAACGCCGCGCGCCTCTCCCTCAGGGCTCGCTGTCTCTGGCCCAGACGCTCGTCCAGGCCCTGCATTCGTCCGATTCGTCGCTCTTGTCATCCTGCCTGGCGCACTCGGACCCCAATGTGATCCGACAGACGGTGCGGAGGATTTCTGGCCCGCTCGCTGTTCGACTGCTCGAGAATTGTGTCGATCGGATGTCGGCGGGAGGAAAGAAGAGCAAGGGAGCGCTGGCGGCATCGAACTCTAGGGGCATCATTGAATGGGTCCGGGCAACGCTGACGGCGCACACCAGCTATCTTATGTCTGTGAGTACCAATGATTTCCGTCGCATTGGAAAGAGATGGAGTTTTGAAAGTTGACTTTGAATTTGCTAGCTTCCGGACCTCGTCCATCGACTTGCACAGCTGCACTCGATGCTATCGCATCGTCTCTCGTCGCACGAGCGGCTTCTTCTCCTGCACGGCCGTCTCGAACTGGTCCTCTCTCAGATTGAGATGCGGACGGCCTATGCAGCGGAACAGCGCGTGGCGCAAGGCACCGCCAAGAGCATCTCGGGCGTCAAGACCAAAGGTCGAGGCACCGCTGCTGCTGCGCCCGCTGCGGCCGAGAAGCGGAAGGAGAGGAGATGGGTCGAAGCAAGCGAAGACGAGGATGAAGATGAGGATGAGGACATGGATGAAGATGACGTTGCCGAAGGCGACGAGGTCGATGTGGCCAGAGAAGAGGGCAGCGACGACGGTGACGATGGCGAGATTCAGGACATTGGGCTCGGCATGGGCGACGAGACGGGCGTAACGAGCCTCGACTCGGCAGACGAAGAAGAAGAAGACAACAACGAGGACGACGATGAAGAGATGGACGACGCTGAGGAAGAGGACGAGAGCGAGCTGGAAGAAGATAGCGACGAGGACGAGGAGGATGAGGAAGACAGCGATGATGAGAGGAGTAGCGGGCTGAAGGCAAAGTCCAAGGGTCTCGTCGATGACGAAGCGGAGGAGAGCGATGATGATGACGAGGATTCAGAAGAGGAGGAAGGCTGAGGGTTGAATGCCAAGCGTTTATCTCCTTTATATCGCAAAAGTTGTCTCACCAAACACCACATTCACCAGTCCGGAGCAAGAACCGCATGTTGTCTCCATCTACTTTAAAGATAATTCTTTGATCATCATCAAGCTGCGACGACTGATCGTGATTATTCTCCTCAATGTGCTTTACAACACAAATGACAGTTGATGTGACAAGGCGCAGTCAAGGTAGTCGTAGAGGCCCATGCATAGAAGAGAGGAGAAAACAAGAGAGACAGATGGGGAGAGAAAACGTTCCGAGGAAAGTGAAAAGACACAGGAAAAGGGATGAGCGAGGGTGCGACTAGAAGCGAGGCTGGTTGTGAGGCGAGGAGACCTGCTGTGACTGTCGAGCAGATGCCGATGCCGTAGAGGAGGACGAGACGCCTTGACTGTGATACGCTCCCTGCTGTTGCTGGTGGCCAGGCGAAGGCAGTCGATTGTTGTTCGAGCTATAGCGACGGTGGTCCAGGCCTGCAAATGCATCAGCACCACCGCTGCCGCCCGCGAGCGCCGCAGCGTGGCTCGACGGTGAGAGCGCTGTATTGGGTGGTAGGATGCTCCCAGGCACAAGACCGGCATACATCGTTGACGGTCCGATACCACCTGCACTTCCTTGCTGCGGGCTTGCCGCCGACAGAGGAGCGCCTGCCGATGTGGGGCTCATCATGACTGCCATCGAATGACGATTCGACGACGATGATGGCCCACCACTCTGATGTGGCTGCTGCTGATGCTGGTACTGAGTCGGTTTGAGTGATGGCATGAGCTGAGCAATGCCTGTGTCGTAAGGATCAAATGACAGCCCAGCATTGCCATAGAGTCCACTTGCAGTTGTTGCTGACGCTGGCTGCTGCTGCGTAGGCTGGTATCGCGCCGCTTGCGCTCCAGCAGCCGAGGAAGACGAGGAGGCGCCCGAATAGGCTACAGGCGGTGCAGCAATGTGCGAAGTGGGCGACTGCGTCGAAAGCTGCCTCAGGGAAGCCGAAGACGCCATCGAAGTATCGTGTGGGTTCACCAACCTCCGATTGTCATGGCTGTCGACGACGACGGAGAACATCGAAGGGGAGGTGACACTGCCACCCGACTTGGGCGACGCATGGTACGATGAGTGCCTATTTGACGATGCTTGATAGGAGGGTGATGTGGCTGTTGCGGACCATTGAGGTTGGCCCCATCCTCCTGCGGCAGGCGGGCTCATCTCGGCCTGCTGTTGCAGCATCTCGAGATTCTGGTAGCTCGTCGACGAAGTTTTCCCGCCAGCTTGACCTTGCTGAACAGGCGGGCGCTGCTGTTGCTGCTGCTGCTGCGGTTGAGCTCCGTTTTGCTGGCGTCTCTCCCATTCTCGCAACGACTCTTCGCGGTTGAGCACCGGCGTCACCGACTGACCAGCACCCGTATTCGAATCCAAGCCCATCCGAGCCATTTTTGGAGGAATGATGTCCATCCTCGTCAGCGTGTTGCTCCGGCTCCGATTCTGCGTCTGCGCATAAGCCCCGCTAGATGCTGCATTCGGACCTCGGCCTCCACCGTCGCCATAGTGGGGAGGAGACATGGTCGCGTGCATCTGCGCCGCGTGTGCGTGAGCCTGCGCGGCATGTTGAGCTTGGACCTGCGCCTGGGCCTTTGCCACCGCCTGGGCCTGTGCTTGCGCCTCGGCTTGTTGTGCCTGAGCTTGGGCCGCCGCAGCCTCCTCGCGCGCATACGGGTTGTTGACGGCAGGCAGCTGCGCTTGTCTTGCCTGATGGACTGAATTGTACGTTTGCTGCTGAGCCAGGTGCTGATTGTAGGCTGCAGCATCGTGGTAAGCGCGCCCTGATGATCGTGGTGCAGTCTGTGGAAGCCCGCCATATGGATGTTTGGTCGTGGTGTCTTCATTGGTCAGAGCCTTGCTGCTGCGGGAAGAGCTGATACCAGCAGTGGGCGATGTCGGGGGCGGCTTGAACGGCTGCGTGAACTTTTCGCCAGTGATGAAAGGATGCAGCTTGGCCTGTTGGGGCGTCCAGCGCTGGCTGGGATCCATGTGCAGGAGCCCAGAGACAAAATCGACAAACGAAGTCCGATTTGCCATCTCCTTTTGCACGTCTGTGCTCTTGCCACTCTTTCTCGCCAGAGGATACGTCTTGATAATGTCCGGCAGCGTTGTGGCCTCAAAGTATCGCTTTGACGGCTGTTCCTGAACGTTGTGCTCTCTCGAATACTGCTCCAAGGATTTGAGCCGATAATTCCGACGTCCGTAATCGTCGGTGTAGACGCTGAAAAATTCGCCCGTTTGTTTGCCATTCTCGAGCATGAAAGCCGGGGGTAAACCGAGCATCTCGACAATGCGGCAGACCTGGTTGTACTCGGACGTGCCTGGAAACAGCGGCAGACCCAGAAAGAGCTCGACAGCAATGCAACCCAGCGACCACATGTCGATGGCCGAGTTGTAAGGCAACCCAAGCAAGACCTCCGGTGAGCGGTAGAAGCGCGATTGGATGTAGGTGTACACCGTCTGTCGTTCATGACATGCCGACCCAAAATCGACAAGTTTGATGCTTGGCGTTTGCAGCCTGATGTGTAATAGTTCATCAGCAGAAAGCTTCGTTGAAAAGAAAAGATAGGAAGAGCGCAACTCACGTCTTGAGAAGAATATTCTCAGGCTTCAAGTCGCAGTGGATCAGCCGGGCCTCGTTGAGAACGGTGAGAGCGTCGAGAAGCTGGGTGGTAAAGACTTTGACGAGGCTGGTGCTGAGACCTCGGAAAGAGTTCTGCTTGATGAGCTCGTAGAGGTTCGACGACAAAAGCTCAAAGACGAGGCATAGATGTTTCGCGTGGATGAAAGTGTCGCGCAAGCGCAGGATATGATGCTCGTCATTCGGATCCCAGCTTCCATTGAGCTGGCAAAGAAGAAGAAAAGAATGAGCGTCTGCATGAGATGATGAGAAGAGGCGAGAACTCACCATTTCGAGAATCGTGACCTCCATCATACTCTGGTTGAAGTAGGCAGGCTTATTCTTGATGACTTTCACAGCCACAATCTCGTGCGTCTTCATGTTCTGGCACTTGACCACTTGCCCGAAAGTGCCCTGACCAAGAATGTCGAGAATGAGGTACCGGTTGCCCTCCTCGGCCCCGAGCCAATCGTTGACGTAGAGAATGTAATCACTGTCCTCGTTGTCGTGCCCATCATTATGCATAGGCTTGCTTGGCTTGGTCAACACTCTTCTGGGGTTGAATGAAAGCTCGTAGAAGAAAGAGGGGTTGACGAGGTGGTAGGTGTGGTGGAGATAGGCCGTCATGGCTTTGAGCGGCTGTTTTGGAAATATGTATCTCAGCATCACTTCAAGAGGAGGAAAGGCATTCGTAACTGGCTACTTACGCTGACGTATCCGCCCGTAGGGTCCGCTCTTCTCCCCTTGCCCTGCTGAGCCAGGTCTGTGTTGGTCTTGAGATCCGAAAGATCTCGCACTCTCCTGAAGCCCTCTGCAGGTCGAATGGCAGGACGGACTTTGGCGGGATGCGGCTGTGCGCTCCAGTCGTATCCTGCTCCCGACTCGACGCCAGAGGGTGTGAGTGTGGTCCGCCTTTCTCTCCGCTGCTGCTCGCCAGGCTCTACGCTCATCCGACCTGCGTCATTGTGGCTCCCGTAGCCCATCGGCGCCCCACCAACGGAGATCTGTCCTTGCTGGTACGGTGACGATAATCGCCCCGTCGGCGCACCGGCATTGCTGGTATAGAGGGGCAACGAGTCGCCCATAAGCTGAGACCCATTGCCGGACTCGACCGGAGGCCGCGACCCAGCGTATTGGCGACCCGGCGAGAGACGATGCGAAGGACTCAACGATGTAGGAAGATCCATGTATGCACTGCGAGACGCGCCTGGATTGTTCGAAGTTGATGGTGCGTAGGATGACGACGATGATGGATCGGCAAACATGCTTACGGGACGATTGGATGAATGCGGCGCGTACGACGATGTTCCGGTCTGCAAGCCTGTGGGTGATCGCGGCCCTCTTCCTCCTGCGTGCTGCCCGCTGTAGGACGGTGTATCGACAATCATCGAGGCCCGTTGTGGGCTGTAGGGACTATTCATGAAGTTGCCGCTCGGAATGTGTGTGTTGATCGTCGGCAGAAGGCTTCCTCCTGACGAAGAAGGGCCACCACGAGGAGGCTGAGGGGCATACGAAGACGTGGAGCCACCATCAGAAACAGAAACCTCTCTTCGATCTCGTGACCGGTACGGGCTAGAAGAGTCGATGGGGTGCGGCTGTGTTGGCGACGTTGGACTGTAGACAGAATTCTGCAGTTGCTGATAGGCGGCATGGCCGAGTGATTGACTTCGTCCCAGTGTTGTCTGCGTCGAAGAAGGGCTCGAGGCCGAGTGAGGTGATAATTGGCTTAATCGCGGCGAGACATAGGCCGGCAGGTGCGAGTAGCTGGTGCCGTCGAAGCCCATCGATGGTAATTGACCGCCAGCAGTCGCTGAAGGGCCGGGAGGCAGCGGCGAGTAGGCGTTGTTCTGCCGCTGCTGGTGCTGCATCGTTGGTGATCTAGCCTTGGATGGGGAGCTATTATAAGCGCCCGGCGGCAAGGTGGGAGCTCCAGCATGCGCCATCGGCACACCCTGTTGTCCTGGTCCTCCGCTCGCGGCTCTCTGAACGCCAGGGTCAACGGTACCCATGTTTATGACGTGCTGCTGTTGCTGAGATGACAGCGGCGGAGGTGGCTGGTGTTGCTGCTGGTGATGATGTTGCTGTGACTGGCCGTGCGCTCTGCCACTCAGGTCTTCAGCAAAGCCACCTCCATAGCTCGACCCAGGTCTTGCCATGCCGCCCGATGCGCCAGCCCCGGCAAGGACCAAGCTGGGCTGAAAGCACCGAAAGGGAGGCGGCGAAGAGGTCGAAGCCGCAAAAGCGAGGTCGTGAACCGACACGGACTTGGACACTACCAAGCCCTTCTCAGAAACGTCGTCGGTCGAGGTGGCCTCAACAGGACGCTGTTACCTCTCGCGCTCGCTCGGGCGCTGCGCTTGGCGCCGACGGGCTGGGCGTCGGCTATCGCCTCTGATCTTCGAAGTACGTCTTGGCGGCCGTCACTCGTTCCAGAGGAAACAGGGGTTTCGGATGGGTTTACAGGTCCGTCGAGGATGAAGAATGGGACGTGACGCCTTTCGGGGGTGATGACCCGGTCAGCGCCAAAGACGTGTCTTGTCTTGGGTCAGTTGTTCTGCAGGAGGTGGGAATGTCGCCTCGAAGCCTCGTCGTCCTGTGCACACAAGTCGTTGTCGCCGTAAAAGTGTCGCGTTGTGATGAAAGGGTGCCTCGTCGCAGCTCCCGTCCATACAACCTTACTTTGGCTAGCTCTCTCTCGTCTTTCCAACCAACTTGAGACGATTGCTACCGCTTTGTCCGTCCACCCAGGCGCCTCGTGCTCCTGTGCCGCCACGAGAGCGAAAATGCGAAACGCGTCCGTGCGTGAGTAACAAACAATTAAGTTCAATATTTGGAACGCTCAGTCACTATACGCCTCACGACAATGGACGAGGACGACGAAGAGGCCTTGGCTCCGGGGGAAGGTGAGGTCGGACTCGAGGAGCCGCACATGGAGCAAGAGCGGAATAGAGAAGACGAGGAACATGAGGAAGAAGAGGATCAAGATAGGCATGAGCGGCTTCTGCAGGCAGAGGCTCGTCCCATCATTCGTCTCGAGGAGGATGTCGTGAATCGGATCGCGGCTGGCGAGATCATTCACCGGCCCGCGAACGCCCTCAAGGAGCTCATCGAAAACAGCCTCGATGCCGGTGCGACGCTGATCAAAATCGTCCTGAAAGAAGGCGGTCTCAAAACGCTCCAGATCCAGGACAATGGTTGCGGGGTCAAGGTACGTAACCTGACGCTTCCTTTCTAGCGATTTGATTTCCTGATTATTTCGGTGACAGGCCTCGGATCTGCCTCTACTTTGCGAGCGCTTCGCCACCTCGAAACTCAGAGACTTCTCCGACTTGAGCCGAATGACGACATTTGGATTCCGTGGCGAGGCACTTGCCAGCATCAGCTATGTCAGTGCAGCCATGACCGTTGTTAGCAAGACAAAGGACAGCGACTGCGCATACCGGTGAGACCAGAACGAGCTCTCTGCCTTTAGCGTCCGGCGCTGACTACGAGCATAGTGCATCATATGCCGAAGGAACCCTCGTTCCTCCGAAGCCCGGCCAGTCGGCAACACCCAAACCATGCGCAGGCACCGACGGAACCCAGATTATGGCAGAGGACCTTTTTTACAATGTACCCCAGCGCCGAAGGGCTCTCAAGAGTGCTGCCGACGAGTACAACCGATGTCTCGATGTTGCTTCTAAGTACGCTGTTCACTATGGAGGCCGAGGTGTAGGATTTGTCTGCAAAAAGGTCAGTCGGTCGCCCTTTGTGCAAGTCGAACTTCCTCTTGTTGACTAAATGAATTTGGGGTGAGAAGGCGACTTCCCACGTCACGGATCTCAGCACACCGGCGTCGGATGCAGCGACCACGCTTGACACGATTCGATTGCTCTACGGCAGCAGTATCGCAAGGGAGCTCGTACGGCTGAAGCCACGGCGCGTCTCGTCGCTAGGCTTTTCCGTCGAGGGCTGGCTCAGCGGTGCCAATTACTCGACAAAGAGGACCACATTTCTCCTTTTTATTAATCACCGTCTCGTCGACTGTGCCCCGCTCAAGCGCTCATTCGAGGCCTTGTACGGCTCGCTGCTTCCTAAAGGGGGGCATCCCTGGATCTATTTAAGCCTGGAGATTGACACGGAGAAGGTGGACGTCAACGTCCACCCCACCAAAAGAGAAGTTCGCTTCCTCGACGAAGACGACATCATTGAGGCAGTCTGCGAGCATGCCCAGGACTGTCTTGCGGGTGCCAACTCCAGTCGCAACTTCCAGCTCACTCAAGCTATCTTGCCAGGAGCATCGATACCCGAAGGGAGAAAGGATGGGGCGCAAGCACCGGTCATTTCCAGAAGCAGCGGCTATCCACAGCATACGGTGCGCGTCGACGCCAGAGCACAGACGCTAGACTCTATGGGTGCCTTTACACAGATCGAGCCCAGTAACGAGCCGGCCTCTTTACCCTACCGTGGACTTCCTGAAGGTGAATCACAGAAGCAACAGCAACAGCCGCCAGCGACAGCGACGGCGAGGCGAAAGATTGCTGAGAGCGAGTGCACCCTGGCAAGTGTTCGAAAGATGCGCGAGCGAATCTCAAAGGCTCGGCATCAGGGCCTGACGGACGTCTTTCAAAACCACACGTTTGTCGGTGTCGTGGATACTGCCAAGTCGCTCTCTCTGCTCCAACATCGTAAAGAGCTCTACATTTTCGATCACGCTCAGATTATGTGAGTAGTAGTACCTCGACATCTTGTCATTGATGCAACTGACTCAGTGATGAGCTCACAGCGAAGATTTTGCATACCAACTTGCTATACGGCAATTCGGCAACCTCGCCCGGGTCCGACTGTCACCACCACCCAGCCTGGCCGACCTGTTGCGCACTGCTCTCCTCGTTGAAGCCAGTCAACCACAGCCAGGTCGTGGGGATCTCTCAGACGACGACATTATCGTGAGGGTAACGGAGAAACTCGTTTCAAGGGCCGACATGCTCGAAGAGTACTTTTCTATCAAGGTCGACGGCGAGGAGCAGACTTTGGAAACGTTACCAGCATTGATCCCCGGACATTCAACTATCGTGCTGGAGAGGCTGCCCACGCTCATGCTGCGCTTGGGAAGCGAGGTCGACTGGGAGCGCGAGCGCGAGTGCTTCGAGGGCATCGCCAAGGAGCTGGCCTTGCTGCATGTCCCCATGTTTGAAGGAGAATCAGAAGAGGGTCAAGAGCCTGAGTCAAAGGATCCGGGCGCAGATCTGGAGAAGTTGACAAGGGTCATGACCCAGGCGTGGCTACCCTCCATGCGCTGCTACCAGCCATCAAAGGACCTCATTGCAAACAAAGCCGTGGTACAGGTTGCCAGCCTTCCGTCACTGTATTCTGTTTTCGAGCGTTGTTAGCAATGTCGTCCACTCTGTATGCATATGTAAACGTTTGTAATCTTCACTGGTCATTGTTTATATCTGCTGATGCCTTCTTTAGTCTAAGGCCTGACTTGTAGTCTTCCGCAGACAACGATTGTGAAAAGGGCATTTCATTCACGTCAATTAAAGGCACAGTGCTTTTCGACAAGCCGATCACCTCGTCCTGATGATGCCCGCCGCGACGAGCTTGTTAATTTTCTCCCGGACAGCTGCAAATTCGCAGTGCGTCAGCCTCTCGATTTTCTTCTTCCTCCTTTGACGCTCAGAGAAGACTCACTTGGGTTGCTCATGTGGTCGGTAAGAGCCTTCGGGTCGCTGTGGAATGGACAAGGGTGGTTAGTAAACCACCTCCAGCAACTCGATCAACAATGATCTACACACCTTTGGGCCTGCTGCAGGATGGACTGCATGACTGGGTCCTGCATGATCTTTGCCACCTCGGGATCCCGCATCGCCCTCTGAAGCGTCTCCTCGTCCGTCTCTGTATTCCGCTGCGTGGCGAGGGCCTGCATGACCTTGCTCGTCTGCTGCTGGATTTCGCGCGTGTTGGCGTTGCCGTGCCCTCCATCAATGTCAGCCGCACGCTGGATGGCCTCAAGAGACTTGGTGTAGTCCTTCATGCTGAAGAGGACGTTGGACTTGCGAATGTGGCCCTTGACAAAGTTGGCATCGATGCCGATGGCCGTCTCGCAATCCTTGAGGGCCTCTGGCAGAGCGACGAGCTTGGTGTATGCGCTGGCCCGGTTCGTGTAGCCCCTCGGGTCCGATGGATTGCGCTTGATGCTCTCCGTGTACGCCGTCACGCTACCAACAAAGTCGCCCTTCTTGTACAGGTCATTTCCCTTGTTGCGCTCCTCCTCGCTCTTGGCTGGATCGATGTACGCCTGCGTCTCCCTCTCCTTGCGCGTCTTTTCCGCCGCGCGCAGTTTCGCCAGGATCTCGGGTGTGCGGTGCTCCGTCAGCGACTTCTCATAGAAGTTGATGGCCTTTTCCAGGTCATCGAGCTTGTCATAGGCAGATCCGATCCTTCCAAAGGCCTTTGCCACGAGCTTGTAGTCTGCTCGCATGCTCCGCCCCTCCTCGACCGCCTTCTCGCACGTCTTGATGCACTCCTGGTAGTTGCCCTGCTCAAAGTAGCACGCTGCCAGGTTGTTGAGGTAGGTGATGTCCTTCGGATTGAGCTCCCAAGCCTTCTTGTAGTGCTCGATTGCTGGCTCGAAGTCACGCTTGAGATATCGCTCATTTCCCTTGGCCTTCTCAGCATCGCCAGCTTCCTTCGCCTTCTTGTCATCGGCTTCCTCGGCAGCAGGCTCTTCGTTGGCCTCCTCCATGGGCGTGTCCTCAGAGGCAGCGGCGGGCGCAGGCGCGGTCTTCGAGGATGAAATGCCGGCAGAAGAGGAGCTCTGCTCCGGTTGCTGAGGTCTAGTTTGCTTCTCAATCTCCTCGCGCTTGCTCTCGAGGTTCTCAGGGAGGTCATTGCTGCCTTCTGGCCTCTCGAACGCTTGCAGGTCGATGCCCATCAAGACGCCCATGACCGAGATCATCCTCGGGTCCTGGAAGGCCGACATGGCATTGTTGGGGTTTGCCTTGATTTCATTGAGCTTGGCCATGAACGAAGGGTCTGCTAGCAGCGGGGCCGTCTTGGGGTTGGCGGCAAGCTTCTGCATCATCTGCGGGTCCTGGAAGATCTTTCCCATGCCCGCGCCAGGGCCGTCCGACTCGGCGGCTCGTTGGACATCCTCGAGACCCTTTTTGAGAGCTGCATCGGTGGGTGCAGCTTTGAGACCCTCCTCGTAGGCGGTAATGGCTTCGTCAAACTTTCTCAGGCCGTGTAGCGCGCCACCTTTTCGTCCGTAGCCCTTTGCAAAAGTGGGATTCGCCTTGATGGTCTGTCGAGTGGAGAACAGCTCGATGAGCTGAAGAAAACACAGTAGAGAAGACTTTGAGCACTGCTCACCTCATCAGCATCCTCCAAGGCCTTTTCGTACTGCTTGAGGCCGCTGTAGCACGCGCTCCGGTTGGAGTAAAGAACATGGACAGAGTCCTCGGGACCCTTTGCGGCGGCGATTGCATCGGTGTAGTGCTGGATTGCCGCTTCGTAGTCCTTGGCCGCAAAGGCAGTGTTTCCCTTTGCCTTGAGTTCAGCGACAGACATCTTTGCCTAGCTTTGCAGGTAGCTGGTGGGAGAGGGATGTTGTGCAGTTGGGGGTGCATCGACGAGGGCCGAAGGTTAGGGAAGAAGTCTGGAACCTTGTACGCGCTCGGCCGATAAGCGGTCGGAAATCGGAGACGAATCTCGCACTCTCATGCACCAGCGCTCAGACCACCTCCCACCTGGAGGAGCTCATCCCATCTTGGCCCCCATTCAGCCCAGGCCAATCAAGATGACCGAGGGAGAAGCAGCTGTGGACGGCCGTAAGCATGGATCGATCGAGGTCTCGGCCAAGAAGTGGAAGAAAAGGGACATGGAAAAGATGGCCCCGCGCACGGAAGAGCAGCTCAAGTCTAAGCTAGACAAGGCCGGTGGAATGACTCTCGAGCTCGTTGCGAAAGACGGCGATGGCAAGACTATCAAAGCAATGCCTTTGGAAATGAAGCATTTCGGGACGGGAAGTGTAGGCTACACTATAAGCGAGAGTCTGCACCTGACTCTAAAGACTGGCGAAGACGAGGACGGACAGCCGCTGTCGCTGTTCTGCACATCAAATTGTGGGTCACCGTCATCTTTGATCAGCATTTGACTGCGCTGACAACCTGTTAATTTAGGCACAGTGATTGGATCGAAGCCCAAAGAGAGCGAGGCAGGAGAAGGATCGCAGTCGGCAAGCAAGAAGAGATCCAAGAAAGAGGCAAAAGAAGTCGTAAATGATGATGAGAATGACAACGATTAGGTCTGTAATCAAGAGCGCTTGTAGGCTTCTTCACACACAAAACACGTTGTAGAGTAATGATGACTGTTGATCAGGAGTGTACGTGACACGGATTGCGAGATGAGATGCAAAGAAAGACATCAGAATTGCTCAGTTCAACAGGAGGTATGTAGTGTATGATTGAAGGTTAACAAAGCCAGCGAAGAAGGACTTGCTAGACTAGAAGGAGGGTGGAGAACATCTCGAACAAACATGATTAAAAGGACCGGTACGTGGAATGGCGTAGCTTTGATCCTATTTGCAAGAATGATGATGGAGCAGTGGTGGCTCGTATGAAGCGAACTTATCCAAAGTGTGTGGGCCTCCTCCTCTCAACCGCCAGAGACTGGTGGAATGAGGCCCACCTCTTCTCCTCCTTTCAGCACCAACTTCTCGATGTCCTCCTCGTCAACCATGGCCTGATCTACGCTCCACTTGGAGCGCCTGATAACACCCTCCAGCGCGTCTGCATCGCCTTTGCTTCCCGTTTCGCGGCGTTTCTCGACGAGCGCGTTGCCCAGCTTCAGGAGATTGAACGAGTCGCTAGGCACCTCTACACTTTCCGAGCGTGCACCTGCCGCGTCTTTGGCGGCAGCAAAGAAGAGGACTTTGATGGGCTTCCTGTCACTGTCAGGCACTTTGTGATCCCCATTGATGCCGTTCACGGCAGCCATCGAGCCAGCAGCAGCCGTGCCTGCCCCGATAGCAGCTGCCGAGCCAGCTGCCGTTCCTTCAGAGACTGTTGGCTTGTCGCCTGCTTCCAAGCTGGCTTGGCGGTTGATGTCCTTGGATCCCCTCCGCTTTTCCTCGCCTGACACCTTACGCTTGCTCTCGCCTGAACTTCGAGGGTGGAATGGCTTTGTGATGTCCTGCCACGCCTTTGAGTCGTGCATCTTGTCACGCAGGTGTTTGATCTCCTGCTCCATCGAAGGCTTCTTCTTTTGCCCTTGTTTGCCCTCGGTCTCGGCCTGGCTCTCTCGCGAGGCGGCTGCAATCTGGAGGGGTGTGCCGCCAGCGACGCCAGCGGCAAGAGCTGCATGAGCGCTGACGTTGCTGAACGTCCGGTCTAGCGGGTTGGAAGTGATGGAGTCCGCAGGCGTCTTGTACGACTCCATGGGCGTCTGAGGCACTGCGAGGGTGTCGTCGTTGCTCGAATCATCGACGTTGCCATTGCTCGTAGCATCGGCGATGCCATTGCTCGTGGCGTCTGCCGTGCGCTTCTCAGAGGAGTCGATGGCCTGCTGCCTGGCTTCATCTGGATTCGCGCCCTTTTCGCCATTGGGACTGGAAGGCTTGCTACCTGGGAACAGGCCCGCAAGCGCCTCGCGGTCCTTTGCGTTGAAGGGACTGGTCTCGTCATCGCCGCCTCGGATAACCCACTCCGATGCGCCGATCTCGGAGTTGCAGTTCTTTGTGAAGCGTGCCAGCATCGCCCGTCTCCTCTGTTGGCAAAGCTCCACCAGCTGGGGCCAATAGGCATCGTGGTTGTACTTTGCGTCGAGCTCGCCGCCAAAGTCGTCGGCCAGCTGCTCGAGGGGCACCTCGGACTTGATGGCCTCGTCGAACTTGCACTTGCTCTTCGTCACGGGGTCGATGAATGCTTGGATTGCATTCCAGAACATCTTGAAGACCCACGGCACGTTGATGCACATTGCGACGCCTAACCGCTCGACGTAGCTTGAGCAAGGGCGTGATCGTTAGTCAGGACGATGCCGAAGAGGATGAGAGGTGGGAGGAGAGAGGAGAGGAAAGACTCACCGGTTCTGAAGAATGTCAAGCATCAGCTTGGCGTTTGCAATACTTGTCGGATTTCGGCTACGGTGCTCGAAGTTGATGAGAAGTGCCAGCTGCTCGACACCGGGAGGCATGAGATCGATGGCCGCCTCGAGGATCCAGACGGCGTACTGCATCTGCCTCGGCGACTCCTTTGTATCGTTTCGATGCGGGTGCATGTAGTGCAGCGGCCTCGCGCTGTTGTCGTATCCGAGAACAGTCTCTTTGCCGCTCTTTGCCTCCTTTGCCATTTCATCTGCATCGAGCGAGTCAACGCCAAACTCTCTGCGCCAGGCTACTGTCTCGACGAGCCTTCGCTGTGCGACGGCCACATCCCACTTGGACGCCCTCAGATAGCGGAGGATGCTCTCCCTCGTCAGCATCCTGCATTTCTCCCATTCCGATGCCGGCTCCCTCCTCTTGTCGTCCACACGCAGTGAGACGGGGTAGTCGGCCAGGTTGGTAAAGTACTTGAGCGCCTGCTCGTACTTTGCCGTCTGCTCATCGGTCAGCGGCGCTGGCGGACTCGGTCGACACCCCGGAACGGGCGTGGGAAAGACGCCAGAGAAGCTGTGGAGCACTTTTGGCTCGACGGCCGCATCGTACTTGCCACCACCACCTCCGCCGATGAATGAGTTGCGGACGCCGCTGCCGACCTTTGCGCCGCGAAAGGAGACGGTGTTGTACGCCTTGGAAAACATCGAGGGCCGTGCTGCCGATGTCGAGTCTCGCTTTGTCGTCGTCGAGCCGCTGTTGCGGGACCAGGTCCTGGACGGCTCCTTCTGAAGCGACATGATATATGTATTGTGTCCTCGTCGGCCTTGCGTCTCCCGATCTTTTTTTTTTCTCTTTTTTTTTTTTTTTTGGGTGATGCTTTATGTGCACCGTGCCTCGGAGAGCAATGGAAAGAGAAAAAAAAAGACCCGGTGTGGATCCGCGCAGACCCGCTCGGAGATCCCTGGCCGAGAGAGCGGGGCGGGGAGATGTCAGGCCGAATGACAGCCTATTGGTGGAACCCACAGGAGAGCGTAAAGCAGGGAGAGATGACAGGCCCGGAGCTCGCCGACAGGATGACTTGAGGTGTGGAAACGGTAGAACGGAGGAAATGACCCGCGGAGCTTGCGTTTTTCTAAGACCACGGACAAAGGCAGGAATTTCTCAACTGCTCGAGACACACGTCGGATCTCGGGAATCGACTGCTTGCTCTGATCCTTTGCGCTACACTCTCACTTGCTCTCCCTTTGCGAGATGTGAGACGATCTTGGAGAAGCTGAAGGTGATGATACTGTGGTGTAGCCTGCCAGCAAAGATGCTGGCGATAAGGTGTAGGGGGTACCGACAAAACTTTTACTTTAATTTTCCACTCTGGGCCAAGCGTAGCGCGGGCTCCGTCTTTCCACGGCACTCCACCTCCGTATGACGCCTGGTCTCGCCTCAACCCCGATGTACCAGACTGCGAGGCACCTTTCTCTTGTGCACTAACCTGACCACAAAGAGAGCCAAGAAGTCCAGCGATTCATCACCTTTCCTTACCATTTCTTTTTCTCTTTTTCTTTGGCTTATACAGTGCGATCGCTGCGCCCCTGGGAGCTTTCTTAGCTCAGGGTTCAGACGACGTCATATTTAATCCATGGATGAATTTGGTCTAGCATGGCGGACCCAGCCGCCGCCCGATTGGCACCAATGCCTTGTAGAATGACCCGGTAAGCTGGATCCTAGCATGAGCCGGCTCTACTCTTGCGATGCGATTAAGGCAGCCAGGGCCCTCCTCTCCATGAGGTATGCGGATGGCTAGTCAACAGGCTTGCCATCCTGTCCTTCCGCGCACGCATATTTAAGCTCAAGGCGCAGGCGGGACAGGTATTTCCTCCTGGGCCGAGGACGGTCTTGCACTGAAATGATCTAAAGGACCAAAGACTTAAAGGGTAGCAGACCACCATGCGATTCGGGTGATTGTGAGGCCCCGTCGACATGTTGAGGAATCGGGGCACGATGTCATCAGGCTGGGGGGCACGTTTTCAGAGCGAAAAGTCTAAAGGGCTGGGCGAACGGAATTAAGAGTTAGTGCTCATCTTGCATGAGTGGTGCCTGGGTGCCTTGAAAGTCGGTGGGTTGCCGCTCCTTCAATCTCGGCCATCAATCATCATAGAGCATGCCCATGATGCCGACATCGACAACCACAGCGGATGGTCATGTGAAAAGGGTCAAGGCGACACGGAGGAGGGCGCAATTGTCGTGCGATCGATGTCGGCTCATCAAGCGCAAAGTGAGACCATGTATCCTTCCGCTTCTTCGAAGCCCTCCTGGTTGAGCTGACATCCGCGACTGCGACAGTGCAATCGCGAAAAGCCGTGCGCACGATGTGTACGAGATACCGAGGAGTGCTCTTTTGAACGAGCAGAACGGACGAAAGCGCCTATGTGGAAGCGGCCTATTTCGCACAAGGTCCCTAGCGAAGCACTCGCCGACCAAGCACAGTCCATAAAGGACCAGGATAGCCCGGCGGGAAGCGCAGCGAGCAGCCATGCGTCAAGCAGCCGCGTCTCGAGCAACATCACTTCGAGCAGCCAAACAAGCTACAGCGTCCACGGCCACTCAGATGACTTCGACGCCGAGTCGCTCCGCCGCCTCGTTTCCCACCCTGTCTTTCTGGAGCGGGTCATGAACATCTATTTTCGTGAAATAGAATGGACCTGCGACCTCTTGGATGGCACCCGCATCCACCGTCTCACGTCCGAGTACCACGATCCAGCCAACACTTTTCCTGCCATGTGGGCCGAGGTCCAGTCCCTTGCCTTTGGTATCACCTCCCTCGTCGCTCAGCAATGCCCCACCGACATTGAGTCGGTGCTAGTTGGTCTCGACAACGAGGCTCGACAAGGATTCTTCACGGCAGACTCAGTCGCTCAGGCAGCCCATCAGGCGGCTTCAGCAGCCCTGACTAGCCTTGGAACGACGACGGAACCGCGCTTCTGGTCTGCCGAGGTGCTGGCGACGACGTTTTTCTTGCGCAACTTTGAGAAAAACGAAGGCCGGATGCAGAGCCTCATCGACAATGGCGCGACGGACGTGGCACGCTTCTTGCGCACCGACTACGCTCGCCAGGGCACTTCAGGCGAGATCAGAACATGGCAGGAGGAGCATGACTTGCTTGCCTATCGTGTCTTTTGGGCCTACTTTCACAACGACAGGTGAGCCGTGAGCCTTGTCTTGGGTACGACTTGAGTCTGACGAAGCGCTCTCCTATCCCATCTCGCATACCAGGGTTGGCTCGATGTATGCGGGGTCACCTTACCTGATCCAGCCTCAGTACCTTGACGTATGCTTGAGGGACCCGATGGGTCACATCTCGGCCCTGGAGCTCTGCAATCCAGATGGGGGACAGAGGCCATGTTCCTGCTCGCACATTGCCTCCTCGTTGGAACATACGGCAGTAGCCAGGGGACCCACTTTGACGGCGTACAAGGGCGCTAATTCGCGTCTCTCTGCGATCATCGGGCGTTACTTCGATCGCTTAGGTGCCTGCAGGAGTAGCAGCTTCCAGTGGCCCTACGATGCCGAGCGCATGGCGATGGACCTCGATGCAGACCTCATGTGCTTCGAAGCAAGCGTAGCCCAGCTCCCTTCTGCCATGTTTCGAATGGGGCAAAAGGAAGTCCTGTCGCTCTGCGTCGCTGCGCTGCGCGGAGACGTCGCCAAGCGGCTCTGCGATGCCTTTGCGGCCAATCTTTTGTCCCGCGAGAAGGCGCTTCTTCCCGAGGCGGTCGATTGGATGCTCCAGCGGCGCAGCCTCGACACAGCCAAGGCACTGATCCTACGTGCGGTAGACGTGCCCCGGACATCGTCGTTGGGCGCCCGGGTCAGCTGGGTCTTTTTCCCAAAGTTTGTACATCGACATACCATGGATCTGCTTGTGGCTGCGAGACGCTGGACGGCACGGCAGCACGATGCAGAAGGCACGGCCTATCTACTCGACTGTCTCCGTCATGCTATTATGGGACGCAACTTTCTGGTTTTGCTCACGAGGAGAAGTGAGCTGCCAGCTGCCAAGAGGCTCGTCGACGAGGTCTGCGCGCACACCCTCGAAGTACTTGGCACCTGGATCGACGGAGGCGAGAGAGAAGAGGAAGATGATCAGCGCCAGCGCAGGCTTACGGTGCGTAACGCCGAGGTTATCGTGAACGACGCAGCGTTGATGGCAGACATCGAGGCGCGCTTGCCCGCACCATTGCCCCCCAACCTCGAAAATTTGGACTTCAATCTCGACGAGACGCTCGCCAGCCTGTTTGCGGACCTGCCTGCGCTCGAACAGCTCTTTGGCTTCGGCGCGGCGGCCCCTGTTCAGTAGCGCTGTGCTCGTCCACTTCGTCGAGCAGCTTGGTGTCCATATGAGCGACAGGGAGTGTACAGCTCGCAAGCCTAGCCTTGCCTGAGTGATACTCTCAGCCAGCCACGCTGTCATACTCGATCGAGCAGCCTTGCATGAGAGAGCAAAGTCCGGACTTACGGATCATTGATTTCGAACGTATCCAACAATGATGCTAGCAACCGACAAAATGATGGATGGCGTGGGCAACTGCGTGCCATCCAGCACACTCTCCTTCCTCTTTTCGATAGCTTATAGGCCGTCTCGTGTTGATGTCAGAGTCTGTATGCTACTTTTGATATTTTGCGAGGAGCCCCATGGGTCATCTCATCACAGGACATCAATCGTGAGAAAGATTGGGCCTACCGACGAATCTGCAATGTAAGCCTTTTTTCCTTAACGCCGCGATGGGAAGGAATAGATCTCGGCCGAAGAGGGTGTTATGGGCGCGCGTATAATGTCGATGCCGAACGCCTGCATTACTCTTGTTCAGGCCTCAAGCCAGGATTTCACCTAACTTTGCAGGCTTCCTTCTCCAGATTACATCCGCACCGTTTCTCGTGAGCGATGACGGATCTGACTCTGGGGATATGGCGCCGGATGCACCAACATCTCATTCTCGCTGTTTCGGACCCGGGCGCACAGCTGACGCTCAATGATGCGTCCGTCGCGCCCCTGTTCGAGCCGCCGGTTGGCGTGGCCCACTTCGATCGAGGCAGCAACCTCTCTTTCGAGACCACCGACAAGTTGCAGAAGCAGCATGCGGGACGAGGAGGCGCAAAGCATGGAGTCATGGGTGCCTTGGACAAGCTTTGTCGGAACAAGGAGGGCTGGGGCCCCGTCGCGCAACAACGAGATTTGGATTTCACCCCGTGCTTCCAGGATGCGGCCCTGACGATTGCGCCTGCCCTCCTCTTGGCGCTTTGTGCGGGGAACGTCTTGGTCAAGCTCGCTAAGCAAGAGCCGCGAGTCCTGACAAAGGCTAGCAAGACGATTCTCAACGTAAAGAACATTCTTCTGGGTATCGCTGCTCTGTGCGCTGCGCTTTCTGTGTCACTTCAGTACGGCACGCTCAAGCACCCGCTCAAAAACATCTCCTTCTGGGCCAGCATCGCCCTCTTCGTCAGCTATGCGCTTGCGCTTCCCGTCCAGCATTTCAATCACACGCGCGAACGGCGCTCCTCTACGGTTCTTCTCTTCTTCTGGCTCTTCCACCTCGTTGCCAATGTGGTTCGGCTCAGGACGATGGCCAGCTACCCTTCTCCACCGATCTCGGAGATGATCCTCGAATTTGCACTTCTCGCTGCACGAACAACCCTGGTCTTGGTCGTATTCGCCCTTGAGTGCGCTGGTGTAGAGGTTGGACAAGAGAAGCCGTCGACCAAGCCAAGCGGCAACGGCGCCTTGCCCACATCCGCCATCGCCAGCGCCCGCCCTAGGCCGCAAACAAGTGAAAGCGGCTTCAGTGTCATGAGCGACTCGAGCTACGACCCTGTGGACGCAGAGAAAGAGTGTCCCGAAAATGTTGCCAATATCTTCTCCCGTCTGTCATTCCACTGGATGCAGCCACTGATGTCGGTGAGTCTTGTGCAGCCTCTCTGTTGTTTTCCAAGCTGACTTTCGTCCACCAGCTCGGAGCAAAGAAATTCTTGACAGAGGAAGATATGTGGTCTTTGCCTCCTGGCGAAGATGCCGAGAACCTGGGCAGGCGCTTTGAAAAGTACTACCAGCTCAAGCGCACAAAGGACGGCAAGCCTCGCTTCTGGCTTACCCTTGCCTATGCGTACGGAGGTCCGTTCCTCTTTGCCGCTATTCTCAAGGCAGCTCAAGATGCCCTCGCTTTCGCCTCGCCGCAGATCCTTCGTCGGCTGCTCCAATTCGTCCAGACATGGGAGACCAAGCACCCCGAGCCGGCTCTGCATGGCTTCTTCTTTTCGGGCCTCCTTTTCGTTGTTGCCCTGGTCCAGACGGCTTTTCTCCATGCCTATTTCCAGCGTTGCTTCACCACAGGAATGCGAGTCCGGGCCGGTCTGGTGAGCGCCATTTTCAAAAAGAGCTTGCGTCTCTCCAACGAGGATAGAGGCGGCCGTGCCACGGGCGACATTGTCAACCTGATGAGCGTCGATGCGACCAGGCTCCAGGATCTCTGCACATACGGCCACATCGCCTGGAGTGCCCTGTTCCAGATGACGCTGGCTTTTGTCTCGCTCTACAACCTCTTGGGCTGGCCCTCATTTGTCGGCGTGGCGATCATGGTTGTCTCGATCCCTCTCAACACCATCCTCGCTCGATACATGCGCATGCTGGCCGAGAGGACAATGAAGGTCAAGGATCGCAGGACGCGATTGATGAATGAGATCCTGACCAACATCAAGAGTATCAAGCTCTTTGCTTGGGAAGAAGCTTTCACCGCCAAGCTCTACGATGTGCGCAACAACGATGAGCTGTCACTCCTGAAAAAGAGTGGCTCGGTCAACGCTCTCTTCAACTTCTTCTGGACTGCCATCCCCTTTTTCGTCTCGCTGGCCACCTTCATCACATACACCCTCACCAACGACAAACCTCTCACGGCCGACGTCATCTTCCCGGCTTTGAGCCTGTACCAGCTCCTTTCGTTCCCCCTGGCCATGCTCGCAGGCATTGTAGCCGCCATCATCCAGGCGCTTGTCTCTGCTCGACGCCTTTCTGAATTCTTCGACGCGGGCGAGCTTGATGCTGACGCGCGCAAGGTCATTATCCCCGCCAATCCCATCGACCCTCTCTTGCCTGACAGCAATGGCGACACTGCCGACGCCGAAGGGGATGGTAGCCTAGTCGAGCTAGAGGGAGCCGAATTCAAGTGGTCTCGCTCGCAGCCCGTGCCCACGCTTCAGGACATTGATGTCAAGGTGCAAAAAGGCGAACTTCTTGCCATTCTTGGACGCGTCGGCGATGGGAAGAGCTCCTTGCTCTCTGCGATCCTGGGAGAGATGTACAGATCCGACGGCAAGTGCATCGTCAGGGGCAGGACAGCCTACTTCAGCCAAGGAGGATGGTGCATGGGCGCGACTGTCCGCGACAACATTCTCTTTGGCCTCAGATACGAGCCGGACTTCTATCAACGCGTTGTCCAGGCCTGTGCCCTCGAACCAGACTTGCAAATCTTGCCCGACGGTGACCTGACTGAGGTCGGCGAGAAGGGTGTCTCGCTCAGTGGCGGCCAAAAGGCCCGTGTTGCCCTCGCCCGTGCCTGCTATGCGCGTGCCGACATCTACCTCCTCGATGATCCTCTGGCTGCCGTCGATGCCCACGTTGGAGCTCACATCTTCAAGCACGTCATCGGGCCGGAAGGTCTGCTGAAGAGCAAAGCCAGGCTCTTGACAACCAACACCGTTGCCTTCTTGCCCCAAGCCGATCAGATTGTCTCGCTCCGTCGTGGAGTCTTCCTTCAGGAGAGGGGTACCTACGAGCAGGTCATGGCTGCCAGGGGAGATATTTACAACCTCATCAACGGTCTGGGCAAGCAGGCTGCCAGGCGAGAAAATGAAGCTCAGGAGCAGCAGCAGCAGGACGATCACGAGGTCGTCGACTATGACAACCACCTCGCCCATGGTCACATTAGCGAAGAGGCATTGAAGGAGACAAAACTTCATCGTCGTCTGAGCACGGCGTCGATGAAGCGACCAAAGACCATGAGCAAGGCGCAGGTGAAGAAGGACACGCTTCGACAACTCCGGGAGACGACACAGCAAAAGGAGAAGAGCTCGCAGGGAAGCGTCAGCATGGACGTCTATCGTGCATATGCGTCGAGTGCAAGTTACTGGGGCGTTTTCCTCTATTTCTTGGCCTCCATCACATTCCAGGTCCTTCAAGTATTGCGCGATGTCGTGCTCAAACAGTGGGGTACGCACAACTCTCAGACCGGTGGCTCCCCTGCCGACACGCGATTCTACCTCACCCTCTACGGCGCCTTGGGCATCGCTGCCGCTGTCTCGATCTGCATTGCGCCTTTCATCCTTTACTCCTGGCTGGCCATCTCCACGGCCAGAAAATTTCACGACGACATGTTCCGTAGTGTGCTACGCGCTCCGCTCCAGTGGTTCGAGACCATCCCGACTGGTCGTCTGCTGAACCTCTTTTCGCGCGACGTCAACGTCATCGACGAGGTTCTTCCCCGCGTCCTTCACGGCTTTTTCCGAACGATGATCATTGTCGCCGGAGTCATGGTGGTTGTCACCGTGTCCGTACCACCATTTATCATCGCCATCCCCCCGCTGTGGTTCATGTACCGTGCTGTTCAGCGCTACTATCTCGCCACATCGCGAGAGCTCAAGCGTCTCGACGCCGTGAGCAAGAGCCCGATCTTCCAATGGTTCCAGGAAAGCCTTGGAGGGCTCAGCACGATCCGCGCCTATGGTCAGGAGACGCGCTTCATCGCCACTAGCGAGGCTCGAGTCGATCGTAACCAGCAATGCTACTTCCCCGCCGTGAGCTGCAACCGCTGGCTGGCCGTGCGCATCGAGGCCATGGGTTCGGCCATCATCCTCATCGCTTCCATGCTGGCCGTCGCCCTCGTCACAAATGGAGGCCACATGGACTCGGGCCTACTCGGCCTTATGATGTCGCAGGCCCTCTCGACGACGCAGACGCTCAACTGGGTCGTCCGATCCGCTTCAGAGGTGGAACAAAATATTGTCTCTGTTGAGCGAGTCATGAGCTACAGCGAGGTGCCGTCCGAGGCTCCTTACGAGGTCGAGCCGGCCCAGAGGCCTCCGCGCAACTGGCCGTCTGAGGGAAGGATTGAAGTGCAGGGTTACTCGACTCGGTATCGCAAGGAGCTGGGCCTCGTACTCAAGGACCTCAACCTTGCTATTGAGCCGAGTGAGCGGATCGGCGTTGTAGGAAGGACTGGCGCGGGCAAATCGAGTCTCACCCTGGCCCTGTTCCGCATCATCGAGGCAAGCAAAGGCAGCATCTTCATTGATGGCGTTGACTGTGCAAAGATTGGCCTCAAGGACCTCCGCTCGGCCATTGCCATCATCCCGCAAGACCCGCAGCTGTGGGAGGGTACCCTGCGCGACAATCTCGACCCGACGGGCAAGTCCACCGATGAGGAGCTCTGGAAGAGCCTGGCACAGGCCCGTCTCACCGACCACACCAAGAGTGTCGGTGGGCTCGAAGCGCCGTTGACCGAAGGTGCGAGCAACTTTTCGGCCGGCCAGAGACAGCTCTTGTGCGTGGCAAGGGCCTTGTTGCGACGGAGCAAGATTCTTGTGCTCGATGAGGCCACGAGCAGCGTCGATCTCGACACCGACGACCAGATCCAGCAGGTCGTCCGAAAGGAATTCAAGGGGACAACCATTACGATTGCCCATCGATTGAACACCATTCTCGACTCGACGCGCGTCCTTGTCCTCAAGGATGGAGAAGTGGCCGAATTTGACAAGCCGGACGTCTTGCTCGAAAAGAAGACGTCCATCTTCTTCTCGATGGCCCTTGAAGCAGGGCTGGCCAAGGTCTGATGATAACCCGCATTACGCTCTCACTCTATCTTTTCTCCTTTTGTCCTTCACCACCTAATATTTGGCGGCAGATGCAGGCAGAAGAGCCCTGCTAGCTCAGTTTCGGTTACTTTGTCGCGGCTGACGTAGATAAAATGAAATCAATTGCACACATTGCCTTAGACCTTTTTCTCCTCTCTACGCTATGGTTTCCAGTATTATACATGCAAACAAGAGGTTGTCTGTCTAGTCGAGGAGCTCAGCCTTGGCGATCTCATACACCATCCGCCGCCGAAGATAGAGCATGTTGCCCTGACTGAAGTTCCACTCCTCGTCTTCATCTTCCCCAGCATCTCCCGTTGTCTGTCTCTCTGCGGCCTGCTTTCGAATAGTCTCGACTGTCAGAGGCGGCGGCTGCTCCGTGACTGGATCGCGTCTGCTGAGTTGCTCGAGCGTCATTGTCGCAAAGACGCCGCAATCGCTGCCGTTCGCCTGCTGCGGGCTCTCTTCCGAAAAGTGGTCCGTCCACGAATCGTCGAGGAAGAGATCGTCCGCAGAAGATTTTCCCTTCTTGTCGCAGTATTCGGCAGCAAGGTATTGCCTGAGCTTGCGGAAGAAGGTGGAGCCAGTCGCGTGTGATGTGGCCATCGAGTCATAGAGCTCGAACCTCCGCCGACGAAGATTGATGGCGGCGCAGATCCAGTGCGTATCGTTCATGTTGATCGGGATGAGGACGAGATCCTTCTTGAAGATGTCTACCCTCCTTGTCCACTTCGATACGCCCGCATAGCCTTGCGAGCTGAACTTTTGCCAGAAATATGAGTTGAAGATGTGCACGTCCCAGAATGCTCGCCACTTCTTGCTCTGCTTGACCAGCGCCACGTCCTTTTCGCTTGGCGTCCCTACCGCCTTGGAAGCTTCCTCGATCCTCTTCCTAGCCTCGAGCACCTCTTTTCGTCTTGTCACCGCCAGGTCGCTCCGAAGTTGAATGAGTCTCATGTAGAAATTGATGACTTCATCGTTCAGCCAGGTGCTGGGACGGAGCTTCTGGATGTCGTGGTCTCTGACGCCTGCACCCGGGATCGCAGAGATCTGGCCTTGTTTTCTCAACGTCTGCTCCACAAGCCGCTCCCTTTCCTCACCAAGCGTTGGAGGGAGAGGTTGGCGACCGAGGATTCCACGAAGCCGCCTGAGTCTCTCTTTCTCTCGACGGTCGAGTTCAGCGAGCTTCTTGCTCTCGTGTCGGCTCGTCCGGAGGGCCGATCGGGCGCGCTGTTCTCCTTGAGACAGTAGCCTTCGCAAAGCAGCGGTTCGGAATTCAATGTCCCTGTCCTCGTCGCTGCCTTCAATCAAGGCTTGCTGCCGCTGCTTTCGACGAAGCTCGTCCCCATACGACAGCATCTCGTCAATATCGAGACCCTTCTTCCCGTGCATCAACCGCTTGGCCTGGACCTTGAGCGAGGCAAAGACCTGTAATTTGGCCTTCACCATGTCCCTCGCCCTTGTCTTGGACTGCGCCGAGCCGATCGGATCTTTCTTACGATACCGATGCGGCGACATGTGCATGGAAAAGGAGGCCGAAGACGTTGCAGGTAGTGAGCGTCGTCCTGCTCCCGATGCGCTGCGATGCTCCATCATAACCTGTTCGCCCAAGTCGCTGATGACCTTTTGAGCCTCGCTTTGCTGATGGTCACGTTGGCGTGCCAGAGGCCCGTGACTGAAGAGTCCGCTGGACACTCGGCGTAACGGCATTGCCTTGGCGTCGCTCGTCGTGTGGAATTCCGGAAGACGAGGCGCAGTAGGCGAATCGGCTCGAGGAGGAGAATCTGACGTGAGATCAATGACTCCTTCACTGACGGCGATGGGCGTTTCCTCGTATACAGCGGGGACCACCACTTCGTCTAAAAGCTCAGAAAGCTCGGGCTGGATCGGCTCGCTCGTGCTTGCTTGAGCACGAATGGGAATGAGCACAACCTCCTCGCTCTCATCTACGTCTTCTTCTTCTTCCTCTTCCTCTTCCTCTTTGTCAGCCTCTTCCTCAACTTCCTCTTGTTCCTCGTCTCCCTCCTCCTCTGCCTCTTCTTCGTCTTCACTGTTCTCCTCAATGACGTCTCCATAAACCAAATGGGAAGAGCTAAGCAGTGGGTAGTCGACCGACTCGACGGCGAGCGAGGCTTCTCGGTCCTGCCGAGGTGTACTGACTTCGTGGACCGCAGAGTGGGAGATTGCTGCTCCTTCGTCGAGGTCATCGTGAAGCGTTTCGATGATGGACACTTGGACTTGCTCGTCTCGTTCCTCTTCCTCGTCATCCAGTCCGGCCTCCTCCTCTCCGTCATTGCCCTCCTCCCCGAGAATAGCCTCTTGTCGCTCCTCTTCATCAGCACTCCGTTCTTGCACGATCTCGGCCTCATCTGATCCGAGAGCGCCGACAAAATGGTTCTCCTTGTCTTCGTCGTCGTCGTTCTCCGCCTCGTTGCCATGCTCTGGCTCCTCGATCTGCTCATCTGAGCTCTCCTGCTCCGACTCATATTTCCTCCCTTGCTCTTCCTCCTCTTCGTCCAATGCTTCTCGAGGCACCTTAATCGTCGCGCCTGACACCAGCGCGTTGCCAAATTGCTCCATTTCTGGCAGCTCCGTCTCCTCTTTCGGTTCCTCTTCGTGAGCGGGGGCCGAACTTGGGATGGAATCTTCTTCTTCTGCCTTCTCATATACGTCATCAGGATGAGTCGACTGGCTTCCCCGAACCGGATCCTGCACCTCATCTGCCTTGGTCGCGGCGTTCGTCTCCTGCAGCGTGTCCTCAACGCTTTCTTGGACCGTGTCATCTCCCAAGCTGTCCTTGACCGTGTCTTCCAGGCTGCTCGCTTTGACGGTCGAGCCCTGCGTTGCGTTGGGCTCCTCTTGCTCCTTGCTCCCAGCGCCTCGTCTTGGTCGACGCGCAGCGAGTGGTGGTGTCGGTTCCTTCTCTTCCTCCTCCTCCTCGTCACCACCATTCTCAACGATGTTCACTTGTCCATCGATGGGTAACGAAGTGGATGGCGCTTCTTTGACGCTGTCGGCATGATCGCCAGCGTCTGCAGCATCAGCATCCGAAGTTGCGTCAGTGCCATCGACAGGAGGCGCCGCGGCGGCCGCTCCGTTGAGGTTGAGACGCCTGCTCCTTTTCACAGGAGTTGATCGGGCTTGTCCTCCTCTTCGAGATGGCGTTTGCCGTGTCGCAGCGACTTGCTGGTCTTCTTCTTCTTCACCTTGCTTGGTCGGAGAAGCAGACTGGCGCCGGCCAGAGCGTCGCTGAGGCGTCTGGATCGCTGGACTCGGTCGTCTTGCCCTGCTTTTATTCTTCTTGCCCTGGGTTGGAGACTCCTCGACGCTCGGCTTCTCTTCAGCTTCGTCGTTGGCAAGCTCGTCAGGGGCTTCCATGGCATCCGTGACCGAGCCGTTCCCGTTACTCGGACCAGGCATGCTGCTACTGCTGCTGTTTTCAAGGCCACCGTCCAGAAGTTCAATCATTCTGGCCGACTCTTCGAGCGAAAGGTGCCCTTGGTCCGCTGCCTCCTCCTCTTTCTTCTTCCCTTTCCCTCTCTGCCTCCGCCCTCGACCCTTTTTCGCACCTGCTGGTGACTTGTTTCCCGACTGAGCCTCATCAGCATCAGCATCGAAACCGATCTCTCTCCTCGCAACGCCGATTGTGCCGACGAGTTCATCACTGCCCAGCCCCGCCTCGTCCACCTGCTTCGTCACTGCGTCCATCTTCTTTCTCTTTTTGGGAGGCGACCTCGAATCCTGGCTCTCTGAAGCCGTGATGGCTGCTGGCGACGCTGAAGCGCCGTTGCGAGCGGGCGAGAAGATGGAGCTGACGCGTTTGAAGAGGGACGTCGAGGACGACTGGGATGCCGGGGACGATGAGTCGCCTCTATGGCCCAGCCCGTCCGACACGTCGCCGTCTCGAGCGGTGGTACGCTGCTCTCCGCTGCTACTCGACGACGGCGCTGAAGAGGAAGACGAGAAGAATGAAAGACGAGACGCAAACGACCGCTTCTTGGGATTTTGCGACGCTGACGCTGCTGCTGCTGCTGCTGCTGCTGCGTCCCTAGGCGTCTCTTCGACGGACGATGTGGTCGCTTCGTCTGGATCGTGCCGCGGTCGAGAGCCGTTGCGCTGCCGCTTGCGGGCCCTCGAACTCATCGCTGAACTAAACCGCTTCCTTGCTCTGCTGCTCGCGTCCCCCAAACGAGGACCGCTGCTGGAGCTCAGGAAGAAAGAAGGGGGTTGGTAGGAGCGCGCTATCCTGGGCGTTTGCGGCGATGTATATTTGCTCTCTTCGCGATGGGCGACCCACACGTGGGTGTGGAGGGCAAAGAAAGGTCCGGCTTTCTTTCTGTTCTCCTCAGTTAGTTGCTAGCTCCAAGGTGGCTTGTTCCAAAACTTTCAAGGAGGATGGACCCAGGGCCGTTGCAAACGCTTAAAGCAACCGTCTCGGCACTGAGCGATGCTGACCTCGGGAAAGGGGGAGACAATCTTGGGGACCTCTTGCCCGTCAAGACGAGGCAGTCGTCGGGAGACGTGTCGGGGATAGAGACCGAGGTGGTGTGCACGGCCTACGCAGACCGGATCCTCGTCCTCGTCACCCAGGTTGGAAAGCTTGGCTGCTTGGTGAGCGTGCAGATGAGCGAAAGAAAAGACACACATGTGCTGGTGCTAACCTGGGATCTCGCACCGCAGATGCAGGCCAATGTCGTCAATCCCACATCGTCGACGCTGCAGTCGTCGCTCTCCACGATGGGCAGACGCTATGATGTCGATCTGGACCTCGAGGAGGAAGAGGCAGCTGGGATGAGCGAAGCGGCAGAAGGTGGCGGAGCACAGAACAACGACCTGGACCTCAGCAATGTGAATCTGACAACGCTCTTCGGCACACCGCCCCCCGCGCTGGCGGACCTGTATCCACTGTATGCGATGCACATTGCCAAGTACATCGTGGGTGCAGGAGGAGCAGCAAGCGGGCACGCAGAAGAGCGGCCCATTGTCGTTGGTCTGGCGCTCAAGACTACGAGCAAGGGAGCAGAGGCACAAACCAGGAACGGCCTCGACGACAACGACGACGACGAGGATCTGGAGGTGGTTGGACAAGGGGAAAAGGCGAGATTTGACGGCATCATGGATCTTATCTCTAGAGCACGGGTCTGGTGACCGTCAAGTGTAGAGCATAATGGACTGTTTTGCTTGTACAATGGGCATGGCACAGCTGTATCTTCTTGTTGTTGTTGTGAGCTCCGACTTCTTCCTTTCGAGAGACCTCTTTGGAAGCAAAGCGTTCCCATTTTTATTTTTATTTTTATTTTTTGCAAGGGTGGCCTGAGCGTCGTCGCCAATCCTACACGTGAAGTCAGGCCGTGTGCTCCATCCCACAACGCCCTCGCGGACAGGAGAAGCACGAAAAGAGAAACGAGAGAAGAGGTGGAGAGCGTGCACACCGACCATTGCAGCAGCAGGAGAGGCCTCCGACAACCCACAAAGCAAGGCGGAGGGAGGGTGCTCATGCAAGCGCCTACTGCTCGTGCGCTTCCGAGTCTCCGCTGAGCACCGGCACGCAAGCCAGACATGGCCTCGGGGCCGGGTGGCAGCAGCAGCAGCACCACTAGCAGCACCAGCAGCAATCAGCAGGTCAGTTTCGTGCGCTCTCCTTGCCTTCCCGCTCTGTGTCTTGTCTCGCTGCGCATACAGACGTTAGCCACTGACCCCGCTCCTCTAGCAGCTCCTCGAGGAACTCTGGGCGAAGCTCGACGTCGAGATCAAGGTCCGCGATGGCGCCGAGAACCTGCTCCACGTCTTTGCGGCGGAGCACGACGGCGGCGGGCTTGCGTCTACGTCTTCGTCGCCCGCACAGCAACAACAGCAGCAGCAACAGGGTTTAGCAGGGCAACAGGAGCCCAACGGATCGTTCAGCAGTAGCAGTACCAGCAGCACAGGCAGCACGAGCACAGGCACCAGTGGCGCCAACCGCGAGGCGCTCAAGAGGCAAGTCGAGAAGGAGCTCGAGGGTGCACGAGTCAGAATTGCACTTCTGCAGACGCAGATCGAGACGCTCGTCGAGCATACCGAGACGCTGGACTTTGGTGGGTGGTGCAATGGGAGCATGTATTGCAAGGGCGGGAAGCTGACACAGACTGTGAGAGCAGCTGCGTCGCCCTCGGCAGCTACCGATGCGTCGGACCTCGGCAACGGCTTTACTTCGCTAGTACTGCAGCCGGTGGCGCACAGTGGGGAGGCAACGCCCACCGAGGGATGCGCGACTCAAGGTCTGGCTTCACGGAGTCTTGCAGAGCATATGCACGCTAGCCCCGCGAGCTCGCCAACCTCGACACCAACCCGACCACAGCGATCGACCTCTGGTGGTGCAGTAGCAGGGCCTGGTGCCAACGGAGGGGGCCTGGGCATAGGTCTCGATCCCACGGCGGCGGCATCACCGCCAGCGCCACCTGGTCCACCGCTGCCGCCGTTTCTTCTTCGAGGAGGCACAGCGAAGGGCGATACGGAGACCGGTGCACTGGGCGTCGACACAGGCCAGCAGCAGCACCCACCGTCGCTGCACAGGACGCAACAACTTCAGCAACAGCAGCAGCAGCAGCAGCAGCAGCAGCAACAACAACTTCAGCAGCAACAGCAGCAAAGCCACAAGGCGAGCCATCTGTCGGCAGAGAATGCCTTTGCCGTGCGAAGCCACGCCTTGGCTCTCATGCACACCCTCCGTTCCCTCCAGGGAAGACCACCGTCGGGGCTGACTTCCGAAGCGACGGCGGCAGCGGCTTCAGCTCGCCCCGCCATGGGTCCTCCAGTGACGCCATCGATGACGAGGACGGCCCAGCGATCGCGAGCAGCTGCCTTGGCAAGTGGCAGGCCTGCCCACGTCCGCACCCCGAGCCATGCTGGCGGGCTAGGAGACCTGCCGAGACGGCGCATCGAGACCATCTCTCGGCTCGTCACGGCGCTCAACAAGAATGCCAGAGTGCGGTACGAGATGCCGGCCGAGGAGCTCGTCTCCTGCGCATTCCCGTGCCTCGCTGACCAGGCCGGCAAGGAGGTCAGGGCATCGGCGTACCGGCTCATCAGGCATGCCCTGGTGCGACCGCCGTGGAGCCTCGTCAGGACATGCCGAGCAAGGGGCCTGGATCTCTACCTCGTTCGCTCCTTTCTCAGAGACTCGAGATTCGACGTGGAAAAGGAGCAGGCGCTCAAGCTCGTCCGCGCCATCATGGAGTGCGGCGTTGGCAGCCTGCCCGACCAGGGAGATCTCGTCAGCCTGTCGGTGATCAGAGCCCTGATTGCGGGGGCAGAGCACAGCGAGGAGAACCTCAAGCGTCTCTACGTCGAGACGCTGGCCGAGCTGGCCGTCTACGATCTGCCGCTCCTCATTCGCGGCGGCGGTCTGCGCACGGTTCTGCAGGCCCTCCAGGATGGCCAGCCCGAGTTGGCACCCTCGCTCATGTCGCTGCTCCTCGTCTTGGCCGACTCGCCCCATACGCGCTCCTTCTTTCGACCCGGCTTTGACCTCGAGGCTGCGCTCTCGGGCTTGACGGATGTGCCCACGCAGACTGGCGCCGTGTACGAAGAGATGCTGAGGAGCACCGCCATGACTGTCTCTGTCATGCTTCGATCCTGGACTGGCCTCCTCTACCTGTGCATGCACGACAAGCGCGCCATCCGCTCTGTGGTCCTGGCCCTGCGCGTGAATGGTGTCGAGGTGCAGGACAAGATCATGGACACGCTCTACGACCTCTTGACCATTCGAACGGCCACCACTTCCAACCTCTCTACCGCTCGACAATCAGCTTCCAACTCGTCAACCTCCCTTGTCAACAGCACAACATCGGCAAAAGACTCGTCGAATCGCCACCAGCGATACCCGCCCGAAGGCTCTCAATGGGTCACTGGCGATGCCCTGGGTGGCAAGCTGAACCTCTACGACCACTACCTCGCCCTGGTCCTCATCATCTTTATCGATGCGGGCTTGGTGGATGCCCTGGTCCACATCCTCGAGCATCAGGGAAGCAGCGACGTGACGCGAAAGGCGACGCTCGTCATGGGTCAGGTCCTCCAAGTGGCCAACCGAGTCCTGCCGAGGGACTACACGGTCAAGGTCCACTCCTTGCCCCATCTTTTTTCGCTCGCCTCCAAATTTGACCACAGCCAGAGCGAGGACCGGCAGAGGGCTACATCGGCATTGGCGGCTATCGATGGCTACCAGCGCGACAGGGCGAGGTCGGTTGGTACTGGCGACCAGAATGCAGGCGGGCTCAGATCGAGATTGAATGGCCGGACAGGAGGCAACGCAGCAGCGATGGCGGCCACGACGACGTCCGCGGCGGCCGCAGCCACTGCAGCTTATGTTGATGGAGCAGGCTCCTCTCTCAATGGCTCAAACAATGCCACGCTGACGGGAACGGGTGCTGGACTAGGCGCAGGAGGGGCAGGTCCGGGCTACGGCATGGCGCCTGGCTCTGCCACGCTCACGCCAGCAGGCCTCGCGGATGTGGACAACGGCCTGTTTGAAGGAGGCGCCAGCACGATTGGAATGACAGGCGCATCGACTTCGCCAGGACCCTCTGCGACCAATGGCAATGTTCCAGGCTCATCGCCGACGAACAACGGCTCGGTCCATCGCGAGCGGTCAAACTCGATGGAGGACGCGATTCGGCGGGGTCAGAGACAGGTCGAGAACACAAAGCTTCGAACGGCGATGCAGGTCGACGACAACACTTTCCGACAGATGCTTCTCGAGACGCAGGTACTGAGCACAAAGGACTATACCAAGTGGAGCTACGAAACGTTAAGCACCCTGTTCGAAGGCACACTCTTCAACGCAAAGAGGCTCGAGGAGGCCATGCGCGGATCCAAATTCGTGCGCAGGTTCCTCGCCTTTTACCACCCATTTACCATGCGCTTTCCGACGGTGCCCAAGACGGCCAACAACCTGAGGTACACAAAGCTGGGATGCATGACGATCAATGTTCTCCTGTCGCACCAGGAGGGCATCCGGTTCCTGGGCGAGGATAAGCTGTTGCGCGAGATCCGAGATTGCCTCGAGCAGCTCCTACCGAACTCTTCGGCATCGATTGTTGCTGCGGCGATGAGGCCGGTCATGTCCAAGGAGAGCATCGAGACGACGCTGACGAGCGGCTATTTCGACATGCTCGGCGTCATGACGAGGTCCAGCGAGGGTGTGGGTCTGCTGGGGCGCTTTCGCATCTTCTCGGCCTTGCATCGCCTCATTGATCTGCCGGGGCGCGACGACCTTGTCCGGCTCGTCATCAAGCATTTTGACTTTACCGTCGAGGGGCACGGACGTGTGCTCTTGGCCAAGATTGCGACGGCGACTTCGAAACCGATGCGGCTCTTGGCGACCCGATCCATTGCCGCTATGATCATCCAGGCAGCACTCGGAGGCGGAGTCGGCGCCAGCGGTGCCTCAGCAAAAGCTGGTGGTGGTTCCGCCTCCTCGGCGGGCACGGCCGCTGCGGTGGGCAGTGGTGCTGACGACAGCGAGGGGCCAAGCGACTGGCTCGTCAAAATGCTCGTTACGCAGCTCTATGACATCTCCAGAGAGGTCCGAGAGCAGGCCGCCAAAGCCCTCCTCGACGTCTGCACCACGTCAAGGAGTGTGCTAGAGACTGTCGTCTCGATGCGGCCGACGCTGGACCACCTGGGAGAGACGTCGCACCCGCTCCTGCTCACTTTTCTGTCCACATCAAAGGGCATGCAGTACCTCTTGCAGAGCGACTACATCGATCGAGAGATGGACGAATGGTTTAACGAGCGCAACCAGCGCTACGTCGTTCAGCTCGAGATCCTCCTTGCCCGAGGCTTTCACATTGACAGGAGCCGGGACGACGCGGCCCTGGCCTCCATCTTTGATGGGACTGTTCCCGCGCATTTCTATGGGGAGCTGGCAAAGACGAAGGAAGGTTGCGACATTCTTGCCAAGAAGGGCCACTTTGTCGAATTTGCCCATTTCATCCGACAGCACGGCCTGGAGGACAGCGATGCCGAGGTGCTTGCGAAGCTCAAGAGTGTGCTGTGGGCCGTGGGCAACATCGGGGCGACAGAGGGCGGATTTCCGTTCCTCGAAGCCGAAGATGTCGTGGAGATGATCGTCTTCATCGCAGAGAACTCCGAGGTGCTTTCGATCCGTGGCACCTGTTTCTTTGTCCTCGGGCTTGTCTCGTCGACGCAGAGAGGGGCAGAGATGCTTCACGATTTTGGATGGCAGTCGTGCCAGCAATCGCTTGGTCATTGCTCTGCGCCACGTACGTCGCGTCAGCGAGCACAGACCGGTCCCGACGTCGTGGGATCTGCGCACTATGAGGAGGTCACCGCTGTTTGCTTGCCTCTGGACGTTGACGCCTTTGTGACGATCCCGCCGTGGAAGGTGAAGGCGAGTCTCGATCTGTCGTACCTCGACCTGATTGCCCCAGAGACACGAGCCGAGCGGCATATCATGGAGTCGATTTCGAACCTGGGCAACTCAATCCTGGCCAACAAGGCCTCGCGGACGCTGGCCAAGCTCAAGCAGCGCCACAAGCGAAGGTTCCTCGATGACCCGAGGCTGTTTGCGAGGGCGCTGGATCTGCTCGATAGCCACCATCTGAGGCAGCCGGTCAGACGGTACATCTGGGAGCTGTTTGAGGTCCGCTTGGATCAGGCCACCGTCGACGGGATCCTCGATGCGAAGAAAAGACTGGTGGAGAGGTCCCATCACTCTGCAAGGCGGCACCACGGAAGCGAGTCCAAGAGGACGCAGCATGCTCATGTTCGGGCTGCTTCCTCGGGCGGAACACCATTGGCATCGAGCCCGCTTACTGGTGCGACGCGACAGCTGGGTGCAACGCTTCGAGGGAGCGGTGCTGATCTGCCAAAGACGCACAAGAAGAGGACACTGTCCACGGCGGCCGCGGCGGCGAGAGCTCCACCTTCTCCGTCTATGGCGGCTGGAAGCTTGCTTCAGCCCTCGCCGATGGAGCAGGCAGGCGAAGCTGCCACGGGTGCTGCAGAGGGATCCGTCAGTTCCGCTGATGCTGCGACGAGAAAGAGATCCGGAGACGAGGTGCTGCCCACTGGAGACCTTCATGATGAGGATGAAGGCGATGTGCTCGATGATGACGAGTCGTCCTCCGAGGATGATGAGGAACGACAAGATGTCGTCGAGGGCGCCGTCGAGGAAGATTCGTCCACGTCTAAGTCGTCCAACGAGGAGGAGGAAGAGGACGATGATGCGGGAGGAAATCTGCAGCAACTCGCCTTCAACCAAGATTTGAAAGCCAAAACGACGACAGAAGTCGACGCCTCAGCGGCTGCAGAGAATAAATTGCAGCTGCCCGTTACCAGGCCCAGGAGGGCCGCCACGACTGATGGAACAAAGCTGACATCGACCTCGTCTCAGCACTCGGAGGGAAACGACGCACTGGCAGCCCTCCAGGCCAAGCAGAGGAAGAGGGGCTTGACGACAGACGCTCCCCAGCCATCGCCGAGAGGAATGGGCCACCTGCCGAAGCTTCACCTTGAACCGAAGCGCAGAGTCATCGGTGGCTTTGCAAGCCCCTTGACGCCCCCCGTCGACACATTCAACTCCAACACACAGCCCTTCTTCTGAGAGGGAGAAGGTATACCATTTGACTTCAGCGAAGTCGCCATTCTCACGTCAGGCAACGTGCCTTTCCCATCTTTCCTTTGAATGCCCCTCTCTTTCATCCTGAAAGGTCCTTTCTGCCTCTTGTGTGCTCCTGCTACATTTCCACAAAATGCCTCGATATCCTTTCTCCCCCTCATCTTCACTTTTGGAGGCTTCGCTCGCCATTGTAACACTGTACAAGTACTTTCCCAAGTCGATCACTTTCGCCCCATACTCAAATTTGCAGATTGCATTGAAGAAAAGGATCTTGGCCGTTCTCTAAGAGGAGAAAGATGCATTTTGGGGGGCGGGAATGTTGATGTTGTCGACGAAAGAACGGCAGCGAGAAGAAAGGAGAGAAGAATGTGTGATTACAGAGATTGGAGAGAGAGAGAGAGAGGTTGTAGAAACACAAGGATGGTTGGGGGGATGCAGAGAGGTCGGAGAAGCAAGGCAGTTCAAACCTCGACGTTGGCCAGCTTGGCGTTGGCTTCGTCGATGTCCGCGTCGTCGTTCTGATCGGCCTTGCCGTCGTCCGATCTGGCCTGCTCCCAATTCTTGAAGTACTTGTCCATGTCGAACTCGTCTCCGGCCCCATCCTCGTCCTCTGCTGCGAACATGTCAGGGTTCAGCGTGAACATCTCACGGCCGCTCAGACCAGCCAGCTTGTTGGCCTGGGCCTGTTGTTTCTTCTTGTTCTCGATGGCTTCCTCCTCGGCTTGCTTCTTGTCCACCCGCTGCTTTTTCCATGTAGCGAAAGTCTCGGCTGTCACAGGTGTGAGATTCGATCCAAGCTGGTGCCTGGCTGTCTCGAGGAACTCTTCCAGCGAGATCTCGTTTGCTTTTTCCGCTTCCTCCTTCTCCCGCTTCTGTGACTGGAGCACGAAGCCCGGAGGAAGTCTGTGCTTGTACATGCACTTCTCTCCGCCATTGGGGCACTCCCAGAACCAGCCGTATTTCCCATCCTCGACAGCTTGCAGGAAGAACTTGCAGACCTTGTCCGTAGTGCTCTTTGGGTTGCCGTGCTTGCTCAAAATGACGCTGTCCAGCTTTGCCCGGTCCCACTTGTCCATCGTGTCGTCCTTCTTGTCGTCGCCCTCTCCCCCATTGGCCGACCCATTGGCAGCATTCGCATCGCCCTCTCGCATGTCCGTGTACAAGTCCTTCTTCTCCGTCTTTCTCGATGCCTCATCCTTGTGCGCAAACTTGCATTTGCCCCCTTTGTCGCAGATGCCCGCCTTCCAAAAGGCGCATGTAATCGTCTTTGGGTCCACGCCAAAGGGAACCCGCGGCTGCGCAATGGCAAACGACGGGTCTTCTTTTCGTGCCTTCTCGGCCTCGGCCTTGAGCCGCTTCTCATCCTCCTTCTTCTTCTCCTTGGCCAGCTGCTCCCGAGACTTGCCCGCTTGCTGCTGTTGCTGTTGGATGGTCTTTATTTGCTGTTGCGCCTTTCCGCCCTTCTTATTCTTCATGCCGAATGTCTAGTAGCACGAGGTCAAATGTCAAAAGTGAGTCGGCTGCTCTCGATGCTAATGGTCTGCGGGCCAGCTCACCTTGTCGACGGCCACCTTTGCGGGGGCGCCGCCGCCACCTCCCTTCTTCGGCGGCATATTGGCTCCTGTGCTCTATATCGTCGAACAATCACAATGCCTCTGTGAGGCTCTCTCCGGATTTGAAACGCCGAGGAAAGGTCGCTTGAATGTTGTCCAGTATGATGAGGTCGCCTGCTCGAACGCTCGGCCCTTGGCAGCTGTCTGCGATCGCAGAGGTGATGGTGATCAAATGTTCTTCACACAAACCAACCTCCATTTTTTCTCTTCCTAACGACACACCTCGCGCGAGCGAGCGAACTTGATTTTGTATTCAAATTTTGCCTCGCCAGTATCTCATTACAAGGCCGCAGAGTGCTTGTATTAAGGAGTCACGTGTGCATCTCGCTCGCACGGTCTGAGAAACGCGCTCTCTTCTGAGAAGGCGCGCTACGACCACCATCCACATCCTACGTCTACCTTTCCTTACCCGACGCTGTGAGCTGGTCCGCGACACATCGACGACCGGCTTGTTCAGGTGAGTGAGTACTTTCACATATGCGGACACGATCCTAACTTCTACCTCTTCACAGACATTCGAAGCATATAGAGCTTCCCATCCACCACATTCAGTACTGTGGAAGTGTGCGCAAAAAAGGGCCGACGATTGTCGAAGAAGCCAACCCGACTCTAGGCCCTGGATTCATCTCGCAAAATGGCAAAGGAAGGAGGCTCAAAGTCAAGCAGGTTGTGAGTTTAATCATCCATGCCCGCAAGTAACGATACGCTGATATACTGCGTGGCCCACGTCCAGCTCTCCCGACGATGTCGTGCTCGGAAAAGTAAAGGGCTACCCTTCTTGGCCAGCGATCGTGCGTAGATCGTCTCTGTCTTGGTCAGGTTCCACTCGCTCATTGTTTCTTCCACAGGTCGTCGACGCAGCAAATGTGCCCAAGAGTGTCGTGAAACAGAAGACGCCCGGAACTGTCATTGTGCGCTTCTTTCCCGATGCCGACTAGTGAGTTGCAACTCTCTGCTGCCTTTTCTATTCCCTTTCCGGAGCTGAAAGACCTTGAAACAGCTCTTTCAACAAGCCATCGGAGCTTCGACTTTTGGACAAGCGCGAAATCGATGCATATCTCGGCGACCCGCCTAAGAAGGGCAGTGACAAGCTGATCAAGGCGTACAAGATCGCGCAGAACCCCGCCGAGTGGAATGACGAGCAAAATGAGATCGTACGAGAGGCCGAAGAGGATGCCGAGGAGCAGCAGGATGAGCTCGAGGGGGACGATGGGGAGGAGGAAGAGGCAGAAGTGGTGGAGGAGAAGAAGAAGAGCAGCAACAGCAAGAATGGAAACAAGAAGAAGGCGCCGCCGTCAACAGAGAACAGCAGTGATATTAAGAAACGGAAGCTGGGCAATGGGGAAGCAAAGAGCACCGCAACGCCTTCCAAAGAGGACCCTAACACGAGCGTCGGAGATGTCACAGTCGATGCCGAAGGTGACGGTGAAGAAAAAGGTGAGTGTCTCCCTTCTCGAACGACAGAGATGGGCACAAGGCTGATCATATACTTCTAAAGACCCCAACTTCGACAGGCTTCATGCCATCCGTCATGCGCTTCAGAGAGCATTCGTGCGCGGCCCCATCGATTCAGACGTGAGTCCATCCCTTTTCGCCAGTGTTGGTGAACCGCAGACTGATTTTGCCATGCAGAGCATGCCCGCCTACTCCCAGACCCTTACCGAGGCAGAGAAATTCGATGGCATCAATGCTCGGATTTTGGTGCAAACGAAGGTGCACAAAGTCCTCAAAAAGATGTTGCAACTGGAGAAGGGTGCAATCCCCCGAGATGTCGAATTCAAAATCTCCGAGAGGTCCAAGGTGCTCCTAGACAAATGGCAGGTGAGAAAAGAATGACGAGGTGGCAAGATGGACGACTAGCTAACTTGCCACTTTTCGAATCACAGGAAGTCATCGCCGGCGCGAAGAAACCGGAGGCGGAAGGGACGGCGGCTGGCACGGACGCTTGAATGAATGGCTGTTTTGGATCTCATCCGCTCGAATATGGCTCAAAATGGAGCCAGATGAAAGCAAGCTTCTCGGATCTCTGTCTCTCACCCCTAGCCCAGTCATCTGCGGGCTTCTCTATTTGTTATATGGTTCCTCTCTCGCCTTCGCTCCCCCTCCTTTCCCCTTCTCTCTTCGTTACTCGATTGTTGTACTTTTTCCAAAACTCTATAAATCTGTCTCAACAACCACCTCTTTCTTTCCTTTCTTTTGATGTCTCATCTGTACCTCCAAAGAGACAAAGAACCTTTCTGACTGAAAGAGACAATTTTGAGGGGGCCAATGGAATGTGAAGTGTACGAGATATGATATAGTCGATGGTTGGGGCTTAGGGGACACTACGTACAGGGTAGCCAATCCGGGATATGAAATGAATCGATCGTGACCAGTACAACGACAGAAAGAGAGAAGGGCCAAGAGAAAAAGGTCAGAATGCTTCATCGTCGCGTGTCGTCGTCATTGTCGTCGCAGTCATGGCAGCTGGTGCCTTGCTCAGCTCCAGACTGCCCGCAAGGTCCAGCCTTGGAAAGTTCATTTTCTCCTCCGAGAGTAGTCCCTCGCCGTACACGAGCAGACGAACAAGCTGGGGCAATTTCGGTTCCTTTCCCTGTGATTGGCTCGTGAGAATCGCGGCATTGAGTTCGCCAGCAGTCTTGAGCCGCTGGGCGGGTGTGAGGAGCTCGACGAGACTGGGCGGAGCTTCGAGGGTAGCATTCTTCTTCGAGCTGGACGTGGTGCCATTCGATGGCGCACTGGCTGCTGCGGCAGGGGAGGAGAGCTTGGGAATGTCAAAGGCCAGCAGAGCCATGGTCCGTTCCAGCTCGGGCAATAGGTCCGGGTGCTCCTCAGCTCGGGGTGCTAGCTCCTCCGCAGCAAAGTGCAGAGCCTCGTTGATGTTGTTAGATCGGATGAGCTCGATGAGTCGTTGCTGCTGGAGGTGGAAGAAGAGGAGGGGATTCGTGTCGAGGATCTATAGGCAGCTCTGACGTCAGTATGCAGGATCTCTCAGACAGAGGTCGAAGCAACGTCTCAGAAGTTTATGGAACATAATCCGCAAGTTTGGACATGAAAGAGGAATGACCTTGCCCCTCCTCGAATAGATTCGAGCAAAGGCAAGACCACTACTCTTCAGCCCTCCTCGGCGTGGTGCATGTATAGAGTCATCCTTGGAAGGTGTGCAGCGACAGAAACTCACCTCTGGATCCAGTTCATTTACTCTCCCGATAGCATCCTCAACGTCTCCCCTCTGGATGGCACTCCGAATAATCATTCGGTTCTCGATGCTCTCCAGGTCGACTTGAGGGCTCATGCCAGTCTCGACTGAGAACCTCTGGGCAGCATCCTTGTATCCTTCAATGACGAGGTAGTCCATCACGAGGCGATTCAGGTCCCTGCGGTAACGAACGTTCGGTCAGCGCTTCCTCCTTAGACAACAATGAGAAAAGCATAGGGAAGAAGGCGTTCAGTGGGCAAAAGTAAAAGAGGTTGTCGATCTCATGTGGTGTTCGGAGAGATTCCCACTTTGCGTATTGGTCTCATCATTCAGACGGAGCGGCCTCGTTGCAACTCACTCTTTGCTGACGGGCACCTCGTTGAGCTTTTTCTCCCACTCCTTTTGGGAGAGCGTCGGCCGTTGTTTCGTGGTCTGCACGCGTACCTGATCAGCACTGGATCCTTTCCCGCCAAAAGCATGGAAAGGCACAGTCTCACCATCTTGCTTGCTGCTTTGCTCCCGCCTCTTCTCGTCGATCGAATGAGCGGGAGAGAGGTAGGGTGAAAGAAAGGAGAGGGATGAGCGACCAAAAAACGAAAAAGACATTCTGCTTGTTTGACCTTTTCCTTTCCACGTGTCGTTCCTAACAGACTAACCGGCCGAGGGGCCGTGCATAGTGTAAGTTGGCAGCCAGTGTTCTTCCTCCCCCTCTCCTTTTGACGATCGTTCACCTTATCTCTGGTTGCCACGCCCCTTGTTTATCATTCCTCATTGGTGAGCACAGAGGTGCCGGAGTGGCCTCAATGGTCGTGATGCTGACAGGTAAGATCAGGTACATTTGCGGACAGATACAAATTTCACCATGGCCGAACGAGTCGCAGACGAGGAGCTTCGCCCGACAAGTGAGTTAGTTGGGCAGTATGCTCGGTCACGAGCCATGAGCTGACCCATGATCTAGCTACGGAGGGGTACAAGCCGGGTGAGAAGAAGTCAGTAGCCGAGTACGCGCAGCTCGACGCAGAAGACGAGAGCTTGGCTCGCTGGAAGGCCTCGTTGGGCATTGGTGCCGATGCCGGGGCTGGGGATCCTAGCAAGCCAAAGGTGAAGTGATGTCGCTCGCCCTCGTCCTGACTGGCTCATCTCACTGATGAGACTGTCTCGTTCACAGCTTACGTTGCACTCAATTTCGCTTGAATCGGCCACTGCACCTGGTGGAAAGGTGACAATCACGCTCGATAACCTCAGCAAGGAGGAGCTAGAGAATCTCAAGAAGAGCCCAATCACCGTCAAGGAAGGTGTGGAGTACAACGTCGCTATCTCGTTCTCGTAAGTTTCATTATTCTCGTCTATTGCATCGAAGCCTGACGTAAGCCCCCGGTAGCGTCGGAGCAGAGGTCCTCTCCGGGCTCAAGTATCTGCACGTTGTCAAGCGCGCCGGTGTGACTGGTGAGCCACCTCCTGCCCTTGATCGCCCCTGTTTGTGCAGAGCTGACCGAAGTTTGCCGCTGCAGTCGACAAGCTCGAGGAGATGATTGGCTCGTATGGTCCCCGTCCAGAAGCATACGTGAAGCGGTTTGCGACCGAGGAGGCGCCCAGCGGCATGCTCGCTCGCAGCGGCAGCAACACCGTCCGGTCAAGGGTCATCGACGACGACGGTAACGTCTACGCTGACTGGTGGGTCATTCGTGTCATCTCTTTGATCTCGGTAGCTCGCAAAGAGACTGATGGATCTGTGACAGGACCTGGGTTTTCAAAATTGCCAAAGACTGGTAATGGTCTCTTATATCGACCGCCGTCCGCCGTAAAACCGTCCATTGTCCCCTTACCCCGAACAGATATCGAGCATCCCATTTTTTTCTCTCTCATATTACAGTCACACATCGTCATCGCCATCGTCTTCCATTCACACGTCCCCTCTTGTTCCTTACATTCCTCGTCCTTTCTCCTCAATCTCAAGTGGCCGAGACCATGATATTCAGTGAAAGCAAATCAAATGCAAAATGACAAAGGAGGTCAGATGCGGGCATCTGGTACAGAAGCTAGTCAAGAACTCGTAGAGAGCTCGAGGCCGAAGAAGGAGATGGCTTCTGCGGCCGCGTGTCTCATGGCTTTGGCCGTGTAAGCATTCTCGCTGTCGCCCTTGATGGACCAGCCGTGCGTGACCCTAGGGAAGTAGACAAACTTGGAGAAGACGTCGTGCTCCTCTGCACTCTTTTCCGCGACGAGCTTGGCGGCCTCCTGCTTCTCCTTTGGGAACTGTTTGTCGACCTCGCAGCACATGTACAGGCCAGGCACCTTGACCTGCTCAAAGTCTGATGCCTCGATCACAGAGGGGTGGGCAAAGGCGACGGCGTCGACCTGCGACTCCTTGGGCGCATTTTCCGAGCCGAGGTAGAGGACAGATGGGGCGCCCCAGCAGAAGCCGATGGCGCCGAGCTTTTTATGACTCGTGTTGGCGGCCCGAATGTCAGCGACGGACTTGGCAACGATGGGATAAGTGGGCTCTCGAGGGAAATACTGAAGCATTTTTACCGTTGTTAGCTCTTCTTTTGGCTTGCAGCAGTGTCATTAGGGCAGGGGTCCACAAACCTTCTTGAGCAGGGCCGGCACGTCCGGGTCCTTGTCCGGGTTTGCCTTCTTGAACGCCGTGATGCTCTCGCCATGGAAGTAGTCTGGCAGGTAAACGCGGGCGCCGAGCGCCTCTGCGTACTTGTCGGCGAGGACGCGGGTGTTGATAAAGTCCCACCCATAAACGTCCGTAACCATGACGATGGCCTTGTCGGCCGTCTCAGGGCCCGTCACGTAGACGTCGTGGTCGCCAATCTTGGTCTCGCTGCCCTTGGCGGTGCCATTCTGGAAGTAGCCCTGCTTGCAGCAGTCGAACGCGTCTGCAGATGCCATTGTGTCGGTGAAAATGTGTGCGTGAGGTGTTTGGTTGCCAGAGAAGAATCGTGGCGAGAAAAAACCTGGGTCAACATGCCCGTCTCATTCGGCAAAGCCGAAGTGGAGGATTTGGATCCTTCTCGCGCGCGAAGTCTATTTCTGTCACATGTGACACCTTGACGCCGAGGATTTACGCTACCCACTGTCACGATCGCACTTTGGACTGGGTCTACCGTCAAGGCAGCGCAAAATCGCTACTTTTCAGAGACTTCAGAGATGGTCGTAATGTACTATTATGAAGTCACAATACTGGAGCAGCTGAGGAAGGACGGCGGAGAAGAAGAAGAGACAGACTTGCCATGGAAGAACCGCGCTGCGTCGCCTAAGATTGCCCAGTTCAAAAGGCTGAAGTGCCTGCCCGCTGCTGGAGGAAAAGTATTTGCCCACTATCAAAGTTGTCAGTGCGCTACACCATCCTCTTTAGGGAGACATGAAAAGGCTAATGTTACGTCTCGCTCCCCTGAAGAGTCTTTCGTCCGCCCTGGAGTTCCGGCGTCGAGCGGTGCGGGCGTCATTACCGGTAGGACATAACTTCACGTGTCGGCGACCGACTGAGCACACTCTCGACGCCGCTTTCGTCTCCTCGTTCGAGAGTTCTGCCATCACATAGGATTCAGATCTTGCTTCTCCTACTGTCGAATGAGCACCTGGAAGAGCATTTTCCCCTGCGGAGGAACCATGATCGACGACACGTACGAACACAATCAGGAGGACGCTTGGAGCATTACGGCGAGAATCGGTCCCTCGGCGATCAATGCCTTACCCAACGAAGCTCTCGTCGAGATTTTGGTTCAGTTGGGGACGGTTCAGGCAATCAAAAGGGTTTCGGTCGTCTGCAAGCTTTGGGACGCAGTGATTCGGAACACGCCGCGTCTATTTGAAGGTGTAGACCTGGGGTACTTCGCTGTCGATAGCCTGGAGAGGATCGAGACCTTGCAAAAACTTGTCCACCAGGGACTTGGCGCCAGCCGAAGCTGTATTCTGAAAACGGCTCATGTCTACTGCGACCTTCATCGCTTCTCTGGACGTCCCGAGTATATGTTGACAGGATCACGTTGCACTTGGAACGATGGGGACATTGAGAGAACATATTACGATGTCGCAATCGGAGGGCGCTGCTCGGTTTTCGATGCGAGCAAAGAGGCGATTGAGACCTTCTGTCGGGCAAAAGACAGCCACAAATTGACCGAAGCTTGGTTGGAAATGTCTCAGGCAAACGAGCGCCTTGGACAGGCAAACAAGCGTCTTTTACAAATTCCTTGGAGTATTAATCTCAATATCCAGGTAAATGGGATCTTCGCAGCCACCACCTTTCCAGCTTGCAGCATCGACCGACGTACCTTCATCACCTTACTCGGGCGTGCGAAGGGATTGAGCTTCGGTGATGTCGATCGAGACTTTGTTTTATCATTCCTCTCCTGCAGACCGGCATCAGTCACAACCCTCAATATTACCGAAACCGTCGATAATGCAGATCGAGGTCCGCATGTCGATCTCCTCACAGATGGTACAACTCTGACGCTCGACTGGGTGCACACTCTGCGCTTAAAAGGAATTCAGCTCAATAGTGCTAACCACGAGGAGTCCGGACGGCGAATCATCGCTCCTCACTTAGCCAGACTCGACCTGAGCTATTATCAGCCCGATCTCGTGCTATTGCGTTCAGCAGCAAACACTCTCACAACTCTGCGTGCTTGCGACCTGTCCTTAGTCTCTGGACAAAGCGACAGCCTGTTGGATCTTGTGCTGGGGATGGAAAACCTGCAGCAGCTGGATATCGAGATCGATTCACCCCTTTTTTGCAGGGCATTTTCGAAGTTCGACGCCTCCGGACGGTTTCCTTGCCCACGTTTAAAGTCTTTGACAATATCCGAAGCGAATCGGTCGCCGTGCTTGCTGACGTTACTCAAGCATCTTGTCGATTGCTTCTACACTCGCGCTCAAAGCAAAATGTTGGACGCACCAACTTGGTTGAGCGCATCGAGTTGGTTCGGTCATTGGAAAAAAGATAGAGAAGCTCTGGAGGGGACGCAAGGGCATGAGAAGCAAGGAGCAGCTCCAACGTCGTTGGAAAGGCTTACTGTATGCAGCCTCGTCTCGTGTTACCAAAACGAGGACCTGGATGGAGTCTTGAAGCTCATGGTCGCACTTATCCCTGAATTCGACATTATTCTAGATTCCGAATTCGACATTCCGTTTAGTGAAGGGACGTTGGAAGAAGAGCAGCTGTCCCAACAAGAGTTCAACAGAAAGCTAGATGATCTTTATGAACTCGAATTCAACGAGCCCTTCGTGCGCTTAGAGTGACGATCCACTACCGTCGCTGACTCCCACCTCTTTGGTCATACTCCATCTCTTATCTTGTTCGACTAACCCGTATAAAGCTACAAATATCTTTATGAAACAATGGCAGATTCGGCGCTTGAAAATCCCTTTTTTCTTTTTAGGAGGGGACTGCTTTCGTCAGACAGCAGAATGCAGCAGAATGGACATTTGATTAGCGATACGGAGGAGCGAGCTTCCCATGATGATGAGGCTCTCCAGCAATCCATTCAGCATAGTCTATGTACAGAACACAACGTAAAAAAGCCCGTCCAAGGTATGCGAAAACAAATGAGGCGAGAAGTCAGGAAGCGAAAGAGAGAGAAGGAGAGGTGAAGCGAGGGAGAGTCGCAATTAAACGAGACAATATTAGATCGGTGGCCGTTTGGCGTCGTTTTCATCCATGAGCGCATCGCCCGTGGCGGCCTGCGGGTTCGTCTTTGTCACGGCCTCTTCGACCGCCTGGACAGGCTCCTTGGCCTTGCTGGCCGCCTTTGCCTTCTTGCCCGTGCCCTTCCACTGGTGGATCCTCGCTACATAAAAGAGGACAAAGCAGAGGCCCACATTGAAGGCAATGTAGGCCACGATGAGGCCCAGATTCCTAAAGCGGTGCCCCACATCGAGCTTGAAGTTGTTCGTGCTGAGCAGCGTGAGGTACGTGTCGGCCTGCCTGTACTGGCAGTACGAGCAAGTTCCATCTGGCAACGTCGTGTAGTAGCCGGCGCTCGTCTGCTGGAAGCGGCCGAGATACGCGTCGCACGACTGGCCAGCGGGCGGGATGACGATGTTGGCTTCCTTTGCCGTGCACTCGACGGGTTCGCCTGCCAGGACGTTTCCGAGCAGTCCTTCGAGGAGGTAGGTGAAGGGCGACAGGGGCACCATCCACGTCGACCAGAACGTTGGCATCTGCGGCGGAGGCTGCACGACGCCGCAAAAGACGATGACGAAGCTGAAGAAGACGGAAAACAGAACGCTGGCCAGCATGGCGTTGGCAGCGAGGGCTGCCATAGCGGCTGCAAAGGTCTGGAAGTAGATCTCGAAGAGCATCAGCGCACCCCACGAATAGGCGGAGCGAGCGCTGTTGAAGCTGAACTGGATCATGAACCACCAGGGGAGCCAGAACAGGGTCCCACCGACCATGTTCCAGGGAATCTCAACGACAAGGGCGGCGAAGAGCATGACGGGCCACGAGTAGGCCTTGCTCGGCCTCTCGCGCGCCTCATACAGGCCACGGAACGAAATAAAGACGGGCTGGAGCTGCTGAGAGAGTGACGTGGACAGGACGAGGGCCATGAAGATGGAGAAGAGCTTGTTCTGCAGCGAGGCGACCGAGTAGAGGCGACCCTGGCCCCAGAAGGAAGAGCCGATGAACAGGCCAGCGACGAGGTTGAGCAGCAGCTTGGCGCTCAGGTAGACGGGCGACCTCCAGTAGTGGACGAAAGCACGCTTCGTGACGAGTCTGAGCTGCGTCGCAAACGAGGCAGCATACTCCCTACTGCCTCTCGACTCGTCCTCCTTGGATCGCTGTCGCGCCTGCTGCTCAGACTCGATCCTTTGGATGTCGGTATGCATCTTCTTGCACAGCTTGCTGTCCAAAAAGAGCTTGTGCCAGTCTCGCGTGGCCGTCGACGCCGCACCGGCGCCAATGACATCGAGAATGTACTCTGCGGGGTTCTCGTCGGGTCCACACTCCACTCCGGACCGCTTCTGGAAGTAGTCGAGGAGCGTCTCGCAGTGATGGCCCAGATCGCCAAAGTAGACCGTCTCACCTCCCTTTTTGAGGAGGAGCAGTCGGTCGAATTGGTCAAAGAGCTCGGCCGATGGCTGGTGGATCGTGCAGAGAATAGCTTGTCCGGCGTCCGCCAGCTTGCGCAGAAATCGAACGACGCTCCATGCAGCCTGCGCATCGAGTCCGGACGTGGGCTCGTCGAGGAACAGGAGGAGCTTGGGCCGCGCGGCGAGCTCAACGCCAATCGTCAGGCGCTTCCTCTGCTCGACGTTGAGACCCTCGCCGACTTCGCCCACGATGGCCTCTGCAAACGGCTCCATCTCGAGCATGCGAATGACCGTCTCGACGTACTCGAGCTTTTCCTCCTGCGGCACCTCGGCCGGCTGACGGAGCAGGGCCGAGAACTGGAGAGCCTCACGGACAGTCTGCGTCGAGAGGTGCGTGTCCATCTGCTGGCAGTAGCCCGTGTCGGCCTGGAACGAGCGAGGGAGAGGTCTGCCCCCGACCATGAAGTCGCCGCTGATGACGCCAAAGTCGACGCGCTGGGCGAGGACGTTGAGCAGCGTCGTCTTACCCGCTCCCGAAGCGCCCATCAACGCGGTGAGCTTGCCGGGCGCGACATACCCAGACACATTGTTGAGCAGCTTCCTCGGTTCGCCCTTGATGAGAATGTCAAAGTTGACATTGTGCCACGAGAAGACGTCGTCCGACGCATGAATTGCCCGCTTCACTTCCTCGTCCTCCTTGGCCTCTGCAGCGGCGATGGCATTCGGACTCATCTTTTCGACGTCGGCGTCCGTCTTGGGCGACGAAGCGGCCGACGACGAACCGCCCTTTTCGCCGTCGCTTTCGAGGTCGCCAACAGCATAGGCGGCATCGAGGGCATACTTGGGTGCCTTGGACCGCAAAAACACCATTCTTCCGCCCGTCGCGGCTGGGTCCTTTTGCCACTCGGAAGCGAAGCAGTAGATAATCATGAAAAAGATGAAAAAGGCAATGGTGATGCCGGCATTCCTGCCCGAGTGAGCAAACGTGTATCCGTAGTTGACCTCGAGATACTCTGATCCATCAATGGTCGTCGCACCGGGCTGACCACCAGTGACGGCGCAGACCTGGTTGGCTGGCGAGACATTCTCGTACCCCGGGCCCGAAGGCACGAGGGAAAGACAGGGCACGTTCTTGAGCTTGCGAAACTCGTTGGTCATGAGGATCTCAAAGGTAAAGGCGATCGGGTTGCAGTACGAGAGCCACTTCCACCAGACGACCATCGACGGACGTGGAATGACGTAGCCGGCGTAGAGGGCCATGTCGATGATGGCCAGACCGGAAAGCATCGTGGCGACAGCCTCGGACCTCGTCAGGGCCGCCAGCATGCGGAAGAAGGCGACGAGGGTGATGGTGACGAGGAGGACGGTGAAGAGGAAGATGAACCAGGCATCGGGCGTGTAGCTGAGCCCGGTGAGGTAGTAGATGACGACGCCAAAGGCCAGAATGGTGGCAAAACGGATGGGCAGGTCAAGCAGGGTATTCGCCAGCGCGTCTGCAGAGGGGTGGATCATGGCGAAGCGATTCTGGCGAATGACGATAGGCCGCTGCGAGTAGCCGATGGTGACCTCAGTCATGGCAGTAAAGGCGTTGAAGAGGAGCGAGAAGAAGAGGACACCACCACGAGAGAAGAAGCCAGAGGTGTCGGTCGGCATCTTGTAGAAGACGGATCCAATAATGAGGGCCTGGAAGACACTGGCGCCAATGACGATGCTCTGCGTAGGCAGGTCTCCCACTAACACCTGGGCTCTCCTCTTGATGGCCAGGCGGATCTGCTGGGGCCAAGAGATGATGAATCTCGAATTTGGTCTCGTGTGCTTGGCCTTGTCCTGCTTGAAGAGCGAAGTGTAGTCGCGCTTGTACGTCTCGTCCTTGTTGAGCTGACGAAGCTCCTCGAGATACGCCGTCGTCTCTTCGTGGCAGCGTTTGCCCAGCTGCGACTCTCGCCAGTAGTGCTCAAACTCCTGCGCGGTCCGCGGTGCACGGCTCTCGAAGCCCGGCCTCACGATTCTGGCATAAGGGTCAGTCAGACTGACGAGGAAGTCAGCTGTCGTCTGACGGTGGTGCGGCTCGTAGCCCATCTCGTAAAAGTAGCCGAGGGCCTCTTCGACGGGTCCAAAGAAGATCTGCCTTCCCTCGTACAGCAGCGTCACCTTGTCAAACATCCTCGTCAGCGACTCGCCGGCCTGGTAGATGGAGGCGATCGTCGTCGTCTTTCCTAGGTCGGTGCCGATCCGAAGGGCGCGAATGAACTCGACGGCTGTGGATGCGTCGAGGCCCCTGCTGCTGTTGTCCCACAGCTGAATCTTTGCCCTCGTTGCCATGACCTCGGCCACGCTCACGCGCTTCTTTTCACCGCCCGAGACACCGCGGATCAGCTCGTTGCCGACCTTGGTGTTGAAGGTGTGGCGCAGACCAAGGACAGTGCCGAGGACCTGTCGGACCAGGCTGATGTACTCGCTGCGCTTGTTGCTTGCCGTTGTGAACATGACCCTTCTCCGTGCCTGGGGCGCTCGGGTTGCTGCAGCGAAATCGAGCGTCTGCCCAACGGTGAGCGTAGGAAAGTGGATGTCGTCCTCGGGGCAGTAGGCGACGTCAGAACGAAGGAGCGTATCAATCATGGTATGATCAAAGCCCTGGTAGGACACGGTGCCCGTGATGGAGCGGAAGCCGTCCCGGTAGCTAGCCAGGGATTTAAGCAGCGTAGTGCATCCGCTTCCCGGCCTTCCCAGCACCAAGAGCATCTCGCCCGGCTTGACGTGGCCCTCGAAACCGTGAAGGATCGTCTTGATAGGTGGGTAGCGCATCGCCCGTATCGTAGAGCCGATTCTCAGCGGCTCCGTCAGCACGTCGCCGATGCTCTTGGAGAGGCCCACGCCAGCGCCGATGCCAGTCACCGTGTAGTCCTGGAACGCCAAGCCCATCGACCGACTCCCGTGCCCGCCTTCATCGCGCCTCTGGAGAATCTGCGTTAGGAACGTCTCGAGGTCGAAGCGGCCCGCTTCGTCGAACGGATCTGCCGTCGCCGGCCTCGTGTCCTTTTCCACATCGTCACCATCGGCATCGTACGTCGTCGTGACCTTACTCTGCGCAGTGAGCTGCCGAGTCAGACTGGCCGTGCCTCGGGGGTCGAGCGATCCGATTGGAATCGACTTGTTGCTCCGGACCCGCTCCAGCCCGTCCGGCCGCACTTCGTCTCGCGCCTCGCCATCGTCTCTGTGCTGCTGCACCACCGTCTCGATCTCATCACGCGACTCTGTGCCGCCGCTCATGATGAACAACCTTGGATCCGATGCGCAAGCTGCAAAGCGCTGTGGCGGATCAGCAATGGAAGCAGCTTTGACAAGGTCGACGAAAGGGTTTCGCACCGCTTATTTCCTTTCTTCTCCCAGCCTGCCTCTTTATCCTCCAACAAAAAAAAAAAAAGGCAGCTTCATATTCCCGCGATGTGGTACGATTTGCCCGGAAGGAGATTTCTTCTTATTTTTTTTTGTTTCACTTCGTCAGCAGGTCCACCTTGAGGCTAAATTGTTTGTCAAAAGGGGCCTACGGATGTCAGCTTACCTCGTTCCTAGTCGCTGCCTTCCTTCTTTCATTCTCGAACAAAGAGGCCCCTGCACCGCACACTGTCCTTGCTTGTCATTGGCCAATAAGTATCAGCCTATATCGTTCCATCAGCCCCGTCCTCTTCTGGTGCACTTGGTGTGTTCCCCCTCTCCGCCGCCCCCTAGGGACGGCACAACAAGCAGATACAAAAAAATCAAATAAGTCGGAACATGCGTTCTTCCGTTTTCAGACCCAAAAAAAGTGGCGGAGCACATCGCGCTCGGAAATCGGATCCCGGCAAGTCCACGGAGGAAAGCCAAGGCAACCGAGCAGGAACCGGCGAGCGCTTCGCCAACGAGGCATGGTGGATAGTTGTAGCAGAACGGCGTGTTGCATTCGCCAGCAGTCAAGCAGGTATGCGATAGAAATACAGATGCAGAGATCAGAGAGAGCAGCAGGATCAGAAGTCATCGTCGGGCTCGCTCTGGGCAGAGGCGGACTCGACGTCTGCGTGTGTCAGATTGGTCAGTTGAGACACATGCGGTGGGCAGGCTAGAACGAAGTAAGCAAGATACCCACCAATGTATTCGCCGTCGCTTCCTTTGCTCCTCTCGATACCGCTCTGGCTGAGCGGTAGGCCTGTCGATGCCTTTGCCAGGGCATCGTTGGGCCTCGATGACCCGAGAGGGACGTCAGGACTAGACGCGTTGCCATCCGAGTCGGCTTCCGATTCGTCGTCGTCGTCGTCTTCCTCTTCGTCGTCTTCGTCATCGTCTGCATCATCACCGCCGTCGTCATCGTCTTCCTCGTCGTCGTCGGCCTCCTCCCCGTCCTCATCGTCACCGTCCTCGTCTTCGTTGTCCTCTCGCTTTCTCTTTTTCTCCTTGCCTGTGCTTCCCTTGCCCTTGAGACTGCTGGCCAGAGCTGCGCTTGTGCTGCTCTGGTACCGATTCGGGTTCAAGGGGGATGCCGTCAGGGGCTGAGACGAGTTGGCTGCCGCACTCAGCACTGCAGCTGGGACCGACGAGGCATTCGGAGGCGGAGAGTCAGAGGGGCCAGTGCCCTCAGCTGTTCAGAAGACAAGATCAACAGCATGCTTCAGAGACGATTAGAGCAGAACGGTGGGCTCACGAGTGCCTGTGCGGGCCTGTTTCGCCTTTGGACCCGGGCTGGCGCTCGCCGTTCGTTTACCGCTGTGTACGCCCAGCGAGTCCGCAAGAGACCCTGACAAGATGGACTGTCAGATGGAGGCAGGAGGAGTACAGGGCAGCACGGGGGCAGGGACTTACTGCTCTTTCTGTTGCCGCCTTCATCGTCGCTGGTAGCCGTCGGCGTGGGTGTGGGAGTGCCCATTCTGCTTCCATTGCCATTCGACTGCGAAAGGCCCGCTCTTTTTCGAGCCTCGAGGGCACTCTTGACCTTGCTCCGGTCCTTTGCCGCCCCGCCAGCCTTGCCCTTTCTGCGAGCTATGCCGCCCTTTCCGACACCAACACACGAGGCCAGGTGCTGCGCGTAGCGGTTTGCTGATACCTGGCGGGAGCAGACGAGGCAGGCTAGCAGCGGATTGTTGTGATAGATGTCGAGGCCCTTGGGCTGCGGTGTTGCAGCTGCACTTGCTGCCTCTCCGCTTGCACCGTTTGCTGCAGACCCTTCCGTACCATTGCCGGCATTGGCTGACGATGCGGCCGCAGGCGCAGATTGGGCATGATGCTCGGCCTGACAGCTGCATACAGAACCCATTCTAGCATGAGCTGCAGGTCTCTCAATATCCCAAGCCTCTCTTCTTCTCACCTGGAGCGACAGACGGGGCAGCCTCCCTCAAGAGAGCCCCGACACTTTTTCTGCCTCGTTGTGAGCGAATGGGCGTACAGGGCCGTGTCGATGACGATCTCCTGGAGGAGCGTGGCCAGGAACCGATTGGCGATGAGGTACTTTGCGTCCTCAGGGTTTGCGCCGCTGGCCCCGCCAAGTCCATCGACAGAGACGTGCGGCTGTGGCGTCTGGTCCACGGTCGACAGACTGGTGGCCATCGACGACGACCGCCGACTGTTGCCTGGCTTCGAAGGCATGGCCGACGAACCTCTTGAGAAATAAGACGCCGGTAGCTCAGAGCTTGTCTCACGCCCTATGCGCACCGATGTCTGCATGCGCTCTCGGCCGGGGAAAAAGGGACGCGAACGCACGTTATGTGCGCATGTACGCCTCTGGACCCACAGTCAGCCCGAGGCAGGAAGCCTTTTTTAGTCTAGTCCAGCTGCGAGAGTATTTGCAATATTTTTTTCTCTCTCTAGCCTCTAGCCTAAGTCGATTTCAATTTTGATTTTTTTTCGCGGGGAGAGGGGGGCGGACGCGTGGGGCGCACGGACAAAGGATAAATGGAAGAGCAGGGAGATCAGAGCTTAGGCTATTCTATGGACGACGGGTTTTGCTTCGGCCGCGATACAAAAGGCGGGAGCCGCTGGGAAAGAGTCGGGCTTCTGGAGTTTGGGTCAAGATTTGATGAACAGCTCTGGTGTGGGAGTCCAGACGGTGACTCCAGTCGTGTGATCGCAGCCTTTGCTTACACTGTCTGCAGCTGGAGAAGCAAGAGATAAGAACCAAAATTTGGCCTCTCTTCGAAAGGACAGTTCCTGAATTTGCGCTTAGCTTTTTTTTTTTTTTTTTTTTTTTTTTTTTTTTTTTTTTT